CAGACAAAGGGACCGTTGACCGTTCCCCGTCGGTCCGCTTGGGCGTTCCATGACCGGATGGCTGAACGTGGTCTTCACTCTTCTTAATAACAGCCGAGAGACACACCGTCCTCGAGACCCGTCATCGTGGTTCTCGTCGTTTCTGCTTTCCTGCATCAGCAGGATTTATTCTTCACTCTCTTTTGTTCTTCACCCTATCGACCTTGAAATCGGTTCCCTTTTTTCCCTTCTTCATACCACTGTAAACAACACTTTAGTTGTATTCACTAATATCACTTGGCCTTGTCACGATGGCCGTAGGCGTGGCAATCCTCGGCTTTATTCTCTTCTGCGCATGGCGCCTTTACTCAGCCATCCAGTTGAAGAAGAGGATCCCAGCGGGAGCGAAGCCTCTCCCTGGGCCAAAGGGTAAGCTATTGTGTCATTTCGACGATGGTATACAGACAATGCTGACCCTAGTATAGGTCTTCCCTTTATTGGTCGCGTTCACGATGTGCCAGCAGAGGCGGCATGGATGAAGTTCCATGAATGGGGCAAGCAGTATGGCCCAATCTACGGGCAAGAGATGTTCGGTTCCTACCACGTCTGGATTTCTTCTGAGCAAGTTGCTCACGACCTCCTTGGCCGCCGTAACGTCATCTACTCGGATCGGCCTATGATCCCTAACCTTCCGGACAATCGCACCAGCGGTGACTACCTCGCCCTCCTCGGCCGAACAGGTTAGTGTACGAAGTTCTCACCTCACTTCGCTCTTCACTAACAACACCGTTAGAAACATGGAAGCGCCAGCGAAAGCTTTGCCACCACCTCATGAACCAAAGCGACAAGCAGGAGCTACACGCATACCCGAGCCGCGAGCGCGATCGTTTCTTGTGGCTCCTATACCAGAAGCCCGCCGAGTACCGCGAGTACATCGAGCAGTTCACCAGCCGCACCGTCAGCCGTCTCTCTTGGGGTACTGCCCACCCGGCTAGAGTTTTGCGCAAGACCACCTTCGGCCTTCTCGAGACCATCTCCCCCGCCGGTGCTCTTCCCAACGTCATCTCCTTCCTCATGCATGTTCCCGCTGCTCTGTCGCCGTGGAAGAAGAAGGAGGCGGAGCGTCACGACATCGAGTCAAAGCAGTTCACGAGCAACGTCAACTTTGTCCAGGATCAGGTCGAAAAGGGTACCGCCGCGCCGAGCTTCATCAGCACTTTCATCAACGAGGGCCTCGGAAACGAGAAGGGCAAATGGGGCGACCTTGCGGAGGCTCAGAACGTTGTTGGTCTGATGGCCATCGCTGGCGCCTTGACCATTGGTAGTCCCATCCAGAGTTTTCTCCTCGCCATGCTGCACTACCCTGAATGGCAGGCTCGCTTGCAACAGGAGATCGACGAGAACTGCGAAGGCAGATGCCCTCAATGGTCGGATCGCGAGAAGTTGCCTTTGTTGAGAGCTGTCGTCAAGGAAGTTATTCGGTGGAGACCCCCTGTCCCTACTGGTAAGCTATGCGCCATCTTAGTCGAGGCTTTATTTTTGAGTTCAGATCCACTGACGTGACGTGCAGGCATTCCCCACGCTGTTGAAAAGGATGATGTTTACAACGGCTACTTTATCCCTGCTGGTGCCACGATCCATGCTCTTGAGTGGTGAGTAGCTTGACACTAGGACCATGTGTTCCCTCACTAACGCCGCCTAGGGGCATCACCCGCGACGAGTCCGTCTACCCCGATGCCGAGACCTTCAACCCCGGGCGCTGGGTGCAGCCTGAGTATCCTACCTATAAGGAGCCTCTCTCCAGATTCCCCAACCTCGACGGCTTCAGTCAATTCGGTTTCGGTCGCAGAACGTGCCAGGGTGTCCCAATCGTCGATCAGGATCTCTTCCTGTCCATGGGAGGCATGGCCTGGGCTTTCAATATCCGCAAGAAGTTTAACGCCGACGGCACTGAAGTCCCCGTCCACTGGAATGATTACACCCCTCTCCTAATCGCCAAGCCCGCTTTCTTCGACTTTGACGTCACTGCGCGTACGCCCGAGAAGGCCGACTTGATGAAGGCCATGTTCGACGCCGCCAAGGAAGAGGAAGAGAACGAGGAGCTGATGATGAAGATGGGTATGCCCGATATCGACACTCGCGAGAAGAAGAGGGCTGCCATGTCTGTTAAGCCGCCTTCCGTCACGTTGAATCTCCGCCAGAGGAAGGAGGATGGTGAGCGCGAGAAGCAGTACCGCGAACACGAGCGCGACATCCCCGGTTGCCCTGGCCGATGGGCGACTGAGAGCGACGTGGACTCGGGTAACGAGAAGGGATACGTTGATGGAGAGGATAGCGCCAGCTGTTCTGGACGCTCGTCGCCGACGATGCTTTCATAGGATCGCTGGTGCCGTGGATGTGGAGGTGATAACACGTTAATGAGGATGGACGGCTAAGAATGTTTAATGACATGGGGGATAAGATACCGGTGAGATCATGGACGGCGCTGATGGATCATTCGGATTATATCAGGGATTCCCTTTGTTACGGGCTTATTTTTTCATATGGAAAGATGCCGATGCTACTGAAGGAGCTGGTGATCTGGGGGTCTAGAATGTGACACGGACTGGATATACCTTCTACGATGTATGAATATAGAAATTTACACTTATACCACAATCATTCAACACATCTGAAAGCTCTCTCAAAAACCCTCGTGTATCTAGCCGCCCCGCATCCCACAAAACATCATCACCTCCTGTAGCGCCGCACGCCACCGATCTGAGTGGATCACAATATCTTCACAAAAACTAGAAAACATACAACACTAGGTATTCGCTGGTCGTCACCGACCCAACTACTAATCCGGCCCTCATTGGCTTATCTATGGGAGAGCGGACGGGATCCCGAGTTTTCCAATGGGTATGGTCGTGTGTGACAGATGAAGCTGTCGTCAGAGGTCATGTCGGAAATCAGAATCGAAGTCGCGATACTGTCTTTCTGCGCGCGAGGATCTCCAACCTCATTGATAGAACACTCACAAAATCAAAACGGCGTCTGGGGCTTCTCGAAACGGTGGAAAAATTCCAAACGGAGCGGTGGTGGTTCCGTTGAGATCAGACCGTGACAGATACCCGTCTGTTCAAGTTTCGGCGACCTGCCGCTGGGTGTCACAGACTCACAGTTCTTAAGCATGACTAAGCGGCGAACGGCATCCAGTGGATGGGAATTTGAATTACTGTGACTTTCTCAGGAGGAGACAAAGGAGCTGAGCTGGAGCTTAGCTGAGCTTGAGCTGGAGAGGAGCTGGGAGCTCGAAGGGGGCGAATGGCAAAGCTCCCAGACATGCCAAGCCCTACGCACAGAAATCACGTTCCGACGACCGCTACGGCCATCTCTGCTTATCTTTCATTCTCAACGCGATGGACGAATGAGGATTTGAGTACGTTTCGTCCTGGAAACGATGCGATTCGTCAGGATTCGAGAGAGAGGTTCTGGGCTCTTTGGGGTTCCCGCGCCGGACGGCGAACGGGTGGTGGCCAAGGGAGATGAGATGTGTCAGAGAAGGGACGAGAGCCGAGATCCATGACGGCCTGAAAGTCTTGGGTCAGAGATGGGATGATCTGAGAATGGGATTTGGGTCCTTTCAAACCCGTGAGGGAGAATACACTCCCAAAGTAGTACGAACTATCACCAAAGCACACATGGTAGAGAGGGAGTAGACGGGATGAACTCTGAGCTAATCGGGAATCGAAGCGGGTCGGGGGTTTTCAACTCTCCATGATGGTTTGATACTGTCACCGAATTTGATTCGCCGCCAATTACTTATTCGATCTCGGAGTGATCCCTTCTTTTTTGAGTTGAAAGGTAATCATTGTCAAATCGCCGAGGGGTTCTGGTTCCGCCCCGAGCTCCCGCAATTATGCTCAGAAGCTTTCTCTTTTATCCTAGACCTTGGTCTTTAGACGAGATTGACGGCTTTGGTGTCTAGATTTCAGGAACATTAACGTTTGTTTCGAGAGTGGCAAAGAGGATGCCCCCCCTCATCCTCAGCGGTTTGTTCAGTCATTTGAGGAGCTTAATGTTGGGTTGAACTAAACGGTTTCATGCACAACTGACCCTGATACTATTCCCCGCTCGGTATAACTGTCCGCCAGCTCCGCGAAGCTTTCATGTCATGTTTACCTTTTCTTACTTCCAACGGGCGGTTGTGGTTTCGTGCTTCTCCCGAGTTGGACCCCCGCTGCAAGGTCGAATGCTATATAGAGATTGAACTTCTGAACCTCTGAATCTTTACCCTTTTGACGTGCTTTTGGGAACTCCGGGTCGGGCTTTCTGATAGGCTCGACACGGGTTGCCTGAATGGCTGATTATCTGCAGGGATTGAGAACAGAAATCGTGTGGCTCTTGTCAAGGGATGATCAGATTACTCTGAGGCACATCCAGAGGAACAAACCGGGCAGGCTTTTCATTGCTCGGACTCATGAGGCAGGTGCCCTCCCGACTCTTCCCGGCTCTGTGACTCTGGGTGATCCAGTTGCTGGTCACTGCTCTCAGCGGGTGTCGTGGATAGAGGTCTCTGTGATCTTTGCCGGATCTGCGAAAAAGCCCGTCCGTCGAGTTAAGCTTGGGGCGGGGTATTCAAAGGTTGTGTGGTTGAATCGAGATTGAGATACTTTACATATTTACTGTTCACTCACGGAGCTCTCGGAAGTTGTAATCATGTGGAAGGCAAGAATGCAGGCAAGACCAGCAAAACAACATGTGACTATGAGCCGAACCAGGTTCTAGCTTTACGGTCAGACATTACTGATAGAGCAATTGCTTCGGATACTGAGATTTGGTTATGCCTTTGCTTTGGAAGCACACTAGCAACTGAATGCTAAAGGCCTAGGCTTAAGAGCGTGCAGAATGAGCGATGTTGGACCAGTCCGGTACAAGAACCTGTAAGAAGATCTTGTCTTTGAGAGGACCACATTGAGGGTCAAAGATACTACAGTAAGTTTACCAACGTGTCTGCAACTAGACTTATTACAACATTCTTACTCGACGTAATGCTCTCTAGTTCTCTCCTCCGCAGCTATCAAGCAATCACTGGTCAAAGCCGTGTCTCTGGGGATAAGCTTTACCTTAAAATCCTTGGGGATCGCCACCAAAGCCGTCTTGAACTGGTTATACTCAACATAGTCCGTATTCGGGGGTAGTTCTTCGCTCGCAACAATCTTGTACGACGATAGTAATCGTACCAAAGCTGTGTATAACAGACGTTGTGCGATGTATTGCCCCGAGCAGCCGCGAGAGCCGAGTCCGAAGCTGAGGTGACCGACGCCTGAGACCTCCTTTTCCGTAGGGGGATCAACAGTCTCGAGCCATCTCTCGGGATTGAAATGTCCAGCATCGTCACCAAAATGCCCGACGTCTAGTTCAATATTAGTTTAGGCTCTGAGAACTCCAACTACCGGGGCAGGCAAAAAACGCACCATGATTCCCGGCTTGTGCATTGATCAAGATCATTGTCTTTGGGGGGATGATGGCCCCGTTCCAGTTGACTTCGGTCACAGTCTTTCGAGGAAGACTCATAGAACTGACTGTGTAGTATCTTCCAGCTTCCCTGATGATCGCGTTGATGTATGGAATCTTCTCTTCCACATAGCAAGAAGCCCACGCTTCGCGCACATCTCGGTAGTAACGCTTGATATCCTCGTAGGCCCGGTCTTGCCAAGATTGCCCCGCCTTTGTGGCAAGGGATCCGATGGTCGAAGTGAGGGTCCCAGGTATCGTCTCGAATCCTCCGGATACAAGTGACAGGCAGATAGAGGAAACTTCGACCCCGCTAAGTTTAGTTTCCTCGTTCTTCAAGATGGCTGCTGAGATGCAAGGCTTATCGGTGCCGCGCTTGATTTGCTCACGGACTTTATCAAGAAGCAGATTCAAATATGCGTCACGGCGTTCCCTAAGATCCTTGGAACGGCGGCTCTTCTCATTGTTTGGGGAGTAACGCATAATGGGAACGTAGTCTTGAGTGTTCTCGGAAGCACTGCGCAAAAGCGAAATCGCCGACCCGACATGCAGGATCTCGCGCAGGAGATCATCGTAAACAGCGTCCATGCGGATGCCGTAGCAGAGCGTCAGCGTTGTATTCAATGCATATCGCTGGATATACGGCCGCACGCTGATTTCCACCTCACCATTGCGACTGTCCTTGTGCAAGTCTCTGAGGATGCAGTAGCTCTCAAGGTCAAACATGGGGTAATAGCTACGAAGAGCGGGTCTCCCGAGCGCCGTGCCTGCGGCCTTGCGTTTTCGGCGGCAGGAGTCATCCCAAGGTGACGATCCGATCGTGAAGCCCTGCGTACTGCTGATGAGGCCGTGAAAGGTGTACAGTTTCGGTCGGTCGATGACTGCATTCTGGTGGCCGATGAGCAGTCGGCGAATGTCCTCATAGGAGTTGAAGACCACGGCTCTGGTGTTTCCCAACTTTATTTGAAAGGTGGATGGGTTCCCTTCCCGCCACCAATTCTCGCAAGTGGTCGCGTGGTCTTCGCCGAGCTTGAGAAGATGTCCAAAGATTGGGACCGCGCCTGGCATTTGCGGTAGTCCTTTTATGTGAGGGATGTCAGTGCCGAAGGCAACCTGTGGAGTTAGTATTCGTGCACGTGTCGTAGAGCTAGCATAGGTGACAAGCTGGCAGGTCTGGCGTAGAGACTCACATTGTAGGTGACGTAGGAGGCCAGTAAAGTTATAGTCGTTACAAGGATAGGTATGAGAGAGAAAAGATCCTGAACAAGGTCTGCGTTCTCAAATAATCGGGATGAGCCAGTCACATTGAGTAAGGCAGACATCATGAGTCGATCTTATCTAGCTTGTCGTTGAATATCAAATTAGGAGCAAGATAGTTACATCTGCAACAAAGGAACAATAATAGAACACTGCCAACAGTACTTATATGAGTTTGAGCTAAGGCGGCTAGCAAGTTCACAAAAGTTCAATTGGCGGAAAGTTCCCATATATCTATCTTAGCCTCAATTGCGACCATGTCGGTCGGGGGTCGAATAACGATGTGGCGATTAATCATCGGTTGACCCGACCCCTCAGCCTGGAGGCTTATCATCCGTGTCGGACAGGCCGCCCACCAATCAATTATCACTGCTGGTAACTTAGACATCATCCATACCTATAAAATTGACTGAAAAAGATTGCAATAAATAGTAAGTAGCTGGTTTCTTGGCTGATCAGCTCACGCCTTGCCAACTTCTATCATTTCCTTGTATCTAATAGATATCTGTTCAACCATCCGGCGTATCTTACCAGCCACAGGGAACTTGACGCTAAGCTTGTCAAATAGCTCAATAGTCAAGTCAAGGTCGGTCACTGCTCTCTTGTCCTTCAAAACAGAGGCTAGGTTATCTGGCTGGACAGTTGTGGCGTATATCAGGCACAAAGTTGCGGTGAATATTGAGAGAAGGTTGAGCCAATTGTAGGCAAGGCACTGTTGTCGGTGCATGTTGGATACTTGCCGAATAGACATGGAAGCAGCTTCCGCTAGCATTTTTACACGGCTTTGTGTCAGAGTCGGGAACAATGGAGATGGTCGATATAACATGGCAAGGTGAAGGTAGTAGTTGAAGTCATACCAGCTGCTGTTGAGGTGTGGTACTGCCGCGTCGGTGTTTGGAAGGGGGAAGGGCATATTACGACGCCAGTCGAGAAGTCTCTGGTGAAGTGACCCTGCTACTTCTTCGCGCTGTTCAACACTCAGGCTGGCAGATTTTCGGTGCGAATAGACTGAAGTCGTAATATCGCTGGCAACCCGCCGCAGTTCCAGAATGTGGAGGGGGACGGCCATCGCAGATGACTTGAATGAGTTCCCGAGCGGGTTGCTTTCCGCCCCAACGCTGTTGTCGTGCACCGCTGTGAAGGGCTGTTAACACGAGTCAGTTGATATACTAAACAGGGAACTCAGCAAGTTCCAAAAGTGCCTATGCCTTACCGTCACGTCAACATCATCGTCATTGATGGCAAATGGACGGCCGAGAGCTATTGAGACCACGCTGTTGGATACGGTTAGAAAGACAGAACAAGCAGAATTGGAGGTTTTAAAGGCTCACCGATCCATCATATAGACGGAAAAGAAGAGCCTCTTCCGCTTCTCAGACACGTCGGCTGGTAGGCCTTCGTAGGTTGAGGAGGCATGCATGCCCAATCCAATCGCCATACGTGCGCCGAGACCAACCAAAGTCCATGTATCTTTTATCAAGAAATCAGCAAGAATTTTGAGGAATATCCATATCATCACGTACTTGGCCCAAGTTGGTTGAAAAAAGAATAAGACACTTGCAAAAGCACAACTTCCAACGCGGCCTGCATCTGTGAGTCAGCGTTTACCTCCTTCACGAACTCATTTGCGCAGAAACTCGTACCATATATCCATAATTAAGAGCACCTTCAAAGTGTTCAAGTGCTTTGTTATAGTACATCGTTGATTCTGACTCATCTGAAAGTGTGACTGAGCATTGCGCTGTTGATCCGATGGCAAGAACCATCCATATGCGGAACTGACATAGGGATGACTGGGCTAAGGCACACAGAGGATCCGCTCGAACGTGATCTAGTATCTTATCAAATTCCTCACGATGGATAAGTGGGTACAACGTATGGGAGTGAGCGAAGTAGAACCTTATGAGCTGGTCAACATGACTGCTTTCAAGCGAAACTGTTTGCTCTGGGAGGGAGGTGGGCTCGGCTGGCGCAGTTGGGGAGAATCCATCAAGCATCGAAGGATAGCACATGAAGGGGTCCCGGAATCCACCGAACAGTGATGAATCCGAAAGGTCCGAAGTCGAGAAAAAGTTTAACTGCGGCCACATGTCATCTTCGGTCTCAAGATTGGTGAAGCTGAAGTCAGCCTTGTCGGGATTCAGACGCCGGAGGACGGTTTGTGTCAACTTGGCGAAAGAGAGGCCAGACGAAGATCCAAGATGACGATCAGCCGTTGCTTCAAAGGAGAGGATCTTGAGCTCTTCGACGAAGGAAGGAGAGGACTGCAAGAGTGGCAGCTGGTCAGGCGAGGGCTCGTAAGGTATGCTCGTGCCGTTTGCGTTGGCATCTTCATGACCTGTGGTCATCTGCATGTCACTTGAATCCAGGTTTAAGAGTCGCGTTTCTGAGTCTGGCACCCTTCCTCTTGGAGGCCGTAGTGATTCAAGTTCCTTCTCGAGGGAATGGACTTTCGCCTCGAGACTGCGCACATATCTGCTCAACATACACAGATTAGAAACTATCAATTATTTCGATTGAGAATTCGAAATAATGCACTTACATGACGGGATAAGATGCCACCACGCGGTCATCATCGAGGAAGCTGCACGAGACTTGAGCCCCGCTGCAGCTTCTGCATTGGGGCAGACTGCGATCACATCTCTTCTTCCGTCGGTGACATCGCTTGCACGATGTTTTAGCTTGAGCTAGCAAAAATTCCGGCGCCATCGTCGATGAATGTGAGCAAGGTGGTTTGTGAGTTGGAAGACGATCGGATGTTCCGACGGCAGTTCGTGGTGGATCACGGCACTACCCCGCCCTCGTCTGATAACAGAAGAGGTTGCCTGTCGGCCGAACCGACGCGCAGCTTGCCAACCTGATAAGCAATCTGCCATCTATAGCAGAAAACGAATTCACAGAACAAGGTTCAACGTGCCCCAGAACTAGCAGGAATTCCTTCTAGAATCAGAAACATGGCCTCACTCGATGTCACGCGACTCTTCTCGGTCAAAGGCTACGTCGCGGTGGTAACAGGGGGTAGTAGCGGGTTGGGCCTGATGATATCCAAGGTATTACCCCATCTCCTGTGGCCTTGGTCTCCCAAGGCAAAAAGGCTGAATGGATTGTGATTGAGCATATTCCGATCTAATCATTTTAGGGTCTCGTCACAAATGGTGCCAAGGTGTATGTGGTTGCTCTACGAAGTGACCCGATCGAAGAAGTCGTCAAAGAGCTCAACGAATTAGGCAAGGCTTCTGGAGGAAGTGCAGTAGGGTAATACCGAGGTTATGGCTTTGAACGAGGCGATTACTGACACCACTAGTATGTCATGCAATCTGTCGATGACTTATGACATCCCGAAGCTCGCGAGAGATATTGAAGAGCAAGAAGGCTGCCTTGACTTGCTCGTATCGAACGCTGGGATTCGACGGGACCCATTCGAACCCTGCGACGTCCTGACTACTGACGTCCTCGAACTGCAAAATTCGATGGCGTCTTTGAGTCAAAGGGACTGGGAAGATACATTTAGTGTCAACGTCACAGCTCACTATTACCTGGCTGTCGCATTTCTACCATTATTACAAAGAGCTACGAAACCAGACGAGGACGGCCGGCCAGGTAGTCGTGAAGGACGTGGGGCCGTGATTATCACGAGCTCATGCGCCAGCATGCACAACCTCACGAACGTCGACTTGACAAGCTATGCCGCGAGTAAAGCCGCCACAGATCACCTAGTGAGGCTTCTGGCCGCCAAGTTCAGAGAATTTTACATCAGAGTTGTGGGGTTGAATCCCGGATGTAAGTGGCCGCACGATAGACGGTGTTCATCGTGTCCAACTTCATCGTTAGCTAGATGGTGTCTTGCTTCATATTGACTTTTTGTTCAGTTTTCCCCAGCCGCATGAATCCTATTGGAAAAGAAGGCAATGTGTTCAGTGCCTTGTTCGACAAAGTTCCTGCCAAAAGAGCTGGCCAAGAGGAAGACATCGCAGGCGCGGTGATCTATCTTGCAAGCAGAGCCGGGGTAAGCCTCATGTCTTCTCGTTCCTGTGGTCATGTCCCAAACGCAAAAGTTTCTCGCGATCATTACGTTACTTCCTAGCTGACCCGCAAAAAGTCGTATGTTAACGGTATCAACTTATGCATCGATGGTGGCCGCATCCTTGTGGCGAACGGACAGGAATGAGGTGCCGATCACGATAGATACATGGACAAAACCTTTCGCCATCATTTCGCACCAATGGTATACCCTCAATTGTGTAATGTTTTTCCCACGAGATATTCATGTTCTTCCACCTTAAACGCCGGTAACGCAATAGATGTACATGCCATTACATGAGCGATTCTAACCAAACAGCTTGTCTAGAACTCTTTCAAAGACGTTCCTGGTTATGCCCGTTAAATTCATTTGGCGACCGGCCGATAAGAGCGTCAACTTACTTAGCAGGAGTGGGCACGAAAGTCCTCTCGTACTCGTCAATCTCATCCTTGTTGCGGTACAGGTCGACCTCTTCCGGCTTGAAGATCTTGGTCTTTTTGAGGAACTTCCAGCCTAGGTACAACACTGGGAAAATACCGACCATCGTGTATCTTGTGTTCCGTTAGTATACGATTGAGGCAAGCTGAAGACTAGAACCGGCTTACGAGAACAGGAAATCGGGGATGCTCCAGTATCCATCCAAAGGCAGGAACACGGTGTACCCTCCAACAAACGTCATAATGAAGGTGCCGATGAGACCATACCAGGCAGCATACGGCTGGAACCAAGCCTTGTACGGAAGTGTATCGCGACTGATGCCCTGAGCCTTAAGCGCACGATAGAAACCCAGATACGCCGTGCACATGCAGGAGAAATTGATGAGCTGCGAGGCGGTGACCAAGCTCACAAACCAGTTCAGTACAACAGCCGTGTTGGCGCTAAGTTGCAGGAAGCTCAGAAGACCGATGAGCAAGACAGCAATGACACAGTAGACCGGCACACCCTTCTTTGTGCACTTCTTGAAGAAAGCAGGCGCCTTGCCCTCAAGCGCTAATCCGTATAGCGATCGCGATGCACAATAGACGTACGAGTTTCCGGCGGAGAAAGCTGCCGTGAGGACCATGGCGTTGACGATGTGCGGCAGGCCACTGATCTTCAGGCGGTTCATGGCGACGACGTACGGCGAGGCTGAGGCGCCGGGTTCGCCGTCCTTGAAGGCACGGGTGAGCTCCTCGTCGTTGTATGGGACGAGGATGCCAACGCAGAGGGAGCCGAGGACGAAGAAGGCGGTCAGGCGGTAGAACACGGCGTTGAAGGCGCGAGGCATGACCTTGCGTGGGTTCTCAGCTTCACCGGCGGCCATGGCGACGTAATCGGGTCCTGCGATGGTGAAGGAGGCTTGGATCAGGCATTGAAGGAAGCCGAGGAAGCGTCCGAGGGAGCCACTGTAGTAAAGCTCTGTGAATGCGCCTGGTTCATACCAGTATCTAGATGAATCAAATCAGTTAGATCAAAGTGCATCGCTGGAGAGAAGCGAGGGGTGGAAGGTTACCGGAAGCCAAATCTGTCTCCAAGCGGGTTTCCTAAAGATATGATTAGTGTCCTATTTCAAACTATCGAGCGATACTAGATATAAATAGCGTACCTCCTAACATGACAATGAACGTAAAGATAATGAGTCCCACGATGAGCAAGAACTTGCCAAGCGCGGCCCAGAACTCGGTCTCGCCATACCACTGCACCGCCATGACATTGATGATACCGTATAGGACAAGAATGATGGCAATGATGCCTCCAGCTGGTACAACGTCGCTCCAAAAGTGGATGATGAGATTGCAGGCGACGACCTCAAAGGGGACGAGAGCAGCTTCAAAAACGAAAAAGTTCCAGCCGGCAGCGAAGCCAAAGGCCTCATCAACGTAGCGACCGGCAAAGCGGATAAACGGACTCGAGATCGGGAGGTAGGTGACCATCTCAGCCATGCTCAGAGTCACGGCCAAGATGAAAGTGCACCAGATCGTAAAGGCGAGAAATAAGCTGGCGGGGCCGCCATTGAGCAGACCTCTTCCGATTTGGACCTATGATTGTGTCAGTACCCGAAGTTGAGATGTGAATTCCGATCGACTCGCGCTTCAAAATAACGTACGTAAAGAGCGGTTCCTATAACCATGTGAGCTGGATTAGTCTCTCTGACGTAGATCTAAGGTCGAAAAACGAACCAATTGTTCCGCCAATGCCAATCAGTTGGATGTGTCGCGACTTGAGCTTGCGGTGAGTGTGGTCTCCCTTGTCGCCAGAATCGAGCGAGGACCGAAATCCGCCGTCCAAGGGCTCACCATATGGTTCCCCGACGCCCTTCTCATCGGGAAAACGGCCACGTTCGGAGTAGCCGCCTCCGTAGTCCGGAAGGCCATCGCGGTGCCCCGCGCGCTCGATGCCGGTGGATGACATGGTCGGTCGGTCGGGAGAAGGGGGAGATGTGGGGGATCAGGCCCGGTTTAGTGGGGGATCTCGGCGCGGCCTCGTCTCGAATCGAGTCGGCGCAGTGGTCGAAGAAGAGGGGCACTCAACGGTCCAGGAGTGTGCTCGTGGCGAGTTGAGCGAGGATGATGGTCTCGATAATTGTAGCCTTGGAGAAGTCACGATTATGCGAGCCTCAGATTACCAAAGGGCTTTGAGCAGAAGACAAAAGAATTGGATTTTGAATTCCATGAGGGGTTGACTCTGGACACAAGCACCGGTTGATGTCTCGGGGTCTGATGTGATTATGCTCCTTGCTTCAAAATATGTTAGGAAAAGCCGCACGTAGGAGAAGAGGAAGAAGAGCGAGAAGAGACCGAAAGAAGTCTATCGCGCGACCAACGCTGCGACCGCAGATCCTTTTCAGCAATTCCCAAAGATCAGGGACCGCAGCAATTACAGCGTCGCAGCGGACAGAGAGGCGGGAACAGTGGGGTGAGGGGTGAAGGACTGAAGAGGGAGGTCTGCAAGAGAGTGGATGTCTCTGTGCGAACCATGCCCAACGCGGGATGGGCCCGAAGAGGTATGAGGGAGCAGTGAGGAGGAGGCGGCGACGGAGGATGGGGGAAGATGGGGGCGGTCCAGCTTGTTTCTTCTGGGGATGATTCCCTCTCTTTTCCTATCCTCGGAGTTTGTGCCGTACGTCTTCTTGCATCTCTACTCTGGTCTAGAGACTGTGGACGGTGTACTGCGTACCTAGCTGTCTGCAGCAATGATAGTACTTGGTACTTGTACTGTCTTATTGACTCGATTTTCTCACTGGTTTCTCTGATTAGACTCTGCGCGAAATGTTTCCAAGTCCCGGCAAGTTGACGGTCCCTGAACGCGAATCTGCAGCGCGTGAAAAGACTGGCCAGAGCTCGAGAGTCGACAAGGTTTATCCACAAACATTTGCGAGAGGGGTACGGAGTACCTTGGGGACCGTATCTATCAGGACAAGATGCTTGATGACGCGGTAGAGAAGATAGTGAGCCTTATCAATTAGAGTGCCATGATACGACGCATGTTGTGCGACGGTCACTTTGCCTGTGCCGTTGGTTGGTGCTTTCACGTCTGATCGCCCAGATAATTACAGACAGAGAAGCAGAATAAGAGATCCCGGTGACGGACTGCCCACCATGTTGGGTCAGCTGCAGCTGTCTGGTCCTCTGCAGGATGCACATCGCTGTCAGTGACATACCGATAGCTCTCGGTCTATCTGAACCGGGCCCTTTTGCATGCCATTGACAGTCGTTCGAGACCATTCGTCGGCGCGTCCCAACAGCTTGGCATCGGTGTGTCCGGTCCATGTTCCATCCCACGCGGCCCAGCTGCGTGGCTTGCGCTGCGTACAGAGAGGCAGGACACTGTACTCCGTAACTATACGACCATTGGATGGGAAGAACGAGGCATTTTCACCCGAGTGACAATATAACATTTCGCCCGACGATTGGCTGCCCATTGCGTGCTTCGTGTGGGTGAAGGTGCCGTTCCAGCTGCCGTTCGCCGCATGGATGGCAGGTCCGGTTTATTTGAACCACATACCTGGTCCTGGGCTCTGACGAAATGTGATTGAGCAATGTTGCGATGGACCCCTTGAGCCAAGGCAGAGCGAAGCTTTTAGGGATAGCCGACAAGCAATGAGGCTGCCGGGGGACAAGAACTGCCTCATCGTGGGATGGCTAGGCGCATTGGCGACTTGGCTTTGGGGGCAAGGATGCTTCATTTGCTGCTCACATCACCCCAAGCATCCCGCGGCGGATGGACATATCTGCTCTTTGATTGCGCAGGTGGCTGGTTGAGTCCTCTGCTGCGCATCCTTGACCAACAACCCCCGAAGAACAGGAATCCCATTCACATTCCCCAATCGCGTTACCGTAAGTTTTTGATTGTGCCTCTTGGCATCTTGGCAGAAACATGAAGCCAATTGGTTTGCCAAATTGCCGTTGAGGGCCGGTTAAGATACCTTGGCAGACCAGAGTTCTACGTCACGTTATCAAGCAATGATAACTCGTCAACTGCTCTAAAGCGTCTCCCATTGGGCGGCGAAAGATGGATGAGCCCATTGTCCATAGTATCGACGGCGTAGTGTCTCCGCGCCGCCTCAAAAGTCTTGGCCTCATAGAAGGTAACGTATCCACGAATTTGAGGTGGTCATGGTGAGATTTACGGTATTATTGGTCCAAATCCGAATCATCAAATGGAGCAAGCCACCATCGACCCCATGGAATTGAGTTTGACAGCTATTGAAATGAGAGCTTGTTGACTCGGGCCGTCTTCCTATCCATCTCGACCTCGGCCGGGTCGCGGTCACAATGTCCATACATAACCTCGGAACGAAATCACAATTCGTTACCATTTGTCAACTCACACCGGCTCGCTCGTCCAGCCATTGAGTTCCTATGGTACATGATTACTGCAGAAGCAGATGTGGGCATGCAGCGTCGTCTGGCGCAGGAACCGCACGCCACGCCGCGAACCTTTAGGTTTTTGGTGGCGCCTCAGGGCCTAGAGCCGCTGCATTGTCCTTGAAGCTAGGTAAAACCCCTCGCTAGGAGCTGCAGTTCCGCGGGGCAATTCCTCCATGTTCCACCATCGGTACCACTGATGAAATTTCGAGATCCGTTTTCACATGCTCACCTGTCTCGACCCTCTCCACAACACGAAAACAAATCTGAGAACAAATGTCTCTGAACATCGCTTGAGAGAGTGTTACTTCTTGATGTACTTCGTAAGGAATTGTGGTTTTCTGGGGCGAAATGTAGTTGACCACTGTCAGTCAGAACAACGCTAATAACGAGTCAACGACCTAGCTTATCAGGTCTCCTAACTCTACCTTTTCATCAGGAACGACCAAATCATTACGCCTGGTGTTCAATGTCTAAATTACAGCAAGTTATCATCGGAAACTTGAAGTCTCAATGAGCGACGAATCGAGCGCAGCCTTGCGACACCAGAAAAGTTCCCCGGCCACCCCCCACTCCACTCTTTCCGGTATAGCGCGACGCACGAGAGTCAATCCCATCAACAGGCACCAATCCCTTCGGTCTATTAGTCTAGTTGGTTAGGACGTCGGATTCTGATTCTCAGAACCTTCCGTAGGCCCAGGTTCGAATCCTGGATGGACCTCATTGTCTTTTGCCTCGTCGACAAAGTCTGGCCAGGTCTCATTTTTGCCATTGTCAACTAGTCCCACGCCGTTCTCGTGATCTTGCCCAGCTTTAGACACGTCCCGACAAGCTGTTCACCATCTAGCGACCTTCTCATCAGACCAGTACTCTCCACTCTTGCCACCAATATCCGCAATCGCCAGATGCACAGGTGTCTGCGCGCCCTCATCAGGCGTCTTCGTGCCGCCGCCTCGTGTCATGTCCGTGACCACGTACCCAGGATGGCACGAGTTAACGAGCAACTTACTCCCCTTATCCTGCAACTCCTTGGCGATGGCCTTGGTCATGCCAATTTCGCCGGCTTTAGAGACCGCGTACGCCGCGCTGGGCCAACCTTGCTTCTCGTGCGTGCCCTTCTCGACCGCGGCGGTGAAGTCTTCCATGAGCTTGGTGACGTCCGACACTGATTGTGCGTCGAGGAAGCGCTTCTTGATTTCTGGCGAGTACTTGCTTAGGGACCCTGATACTGATGCGACGTTAACGATGCGTCCGTCTGGCTTCATGACCGGGATCCAGGCGCGTGTCGCTTCAAGTGTGCCGTAGTAGTTGCACGCTAGGGTATTCTTCACCACGTTTGAGTCTTGTGCCCAGAGAGTCAGCCTCAGGATTTATCCAATGCATCATCACGAGACCACGCTTACCAAATCCCTGCATGGCAATACCAGCGTTGTTGATGATAAAGTCAACGCCATCGGGATGCTCCTTCTTCAGGAACGAGGCGAGATTCGAAATGCTGGATGAATCTGAGATGTCGAGCTGATGGTACTTGATGTCCGCCGCACCACCGTGAGTAGACAGCGCCTTGGCCTGCTTGAGATCCGCGTCGCCCTGGACCTTGCTGAGCGCCTCCTCGCCGCGAGACTTGTCGCGCGCAGTCAGATAGATGAGCAGCGAACCATTGTTCAGGTGAGAATTAGGGTATTGCAGCGCGAGCTGTCGGACTGGTGTGAAGGCAAGAAGTCAGTCGAGGTGGCGCGATTCTGGGGTGGGATGAAGACTTACCAACTGCATATCCGATGCCCTTGTTGGCGCCGGTAACTACACCGACTCGTGAGTATGTCATGGCTTTTACTGTGAGAGACTTCTTGATACAGCGTTTGGATAATATAGGTAAAGAGCAGAATGTTCGCTCACGCAAGCTGATCACATTTGCACAAACTGTCTACCGGTACTGATCCATGACATCACTAAAGTCAACGTTCGGTCGCACATTAGTCATCGCGTAGCGCACTGAAGTTCTGTCCTCTTCTAGGTTTCAGCCGGCGTCACCCACTGGATGTACAGGCATGGCTGGGCCCGACTCCGAAGCCAAACAGCCCGGCCGGGACACGGGGAAGTGGAGCGAAGTCAGTCCGATCCGGTCCGGCCTGGGGTGCAAGTACGGGGTACATCGCAACGCTGGCTACCCTCTTCTTAGACAACCTTTACCACTTCACCGCCGACTCGAAGAAGTACTCCACGTCGAATCAAGGAGTCCAAGTTTGTGGCGTACAGCCGAGATTGAGGCATTCACCAGCCAAGACACCGAAATCTGCAGTCGGATGTGCAGCCTAATTCCGTGAGTAGCTATGATGTGCTTGTTGCAGCATGTGAAGTTGCATCGCGTGCAGCTTGCATTAGGAAGGGGACATACGATTGGTACGTTGGGGCACAGCATGCAGGGAGACAGAGAGCCCATCGTTTCGCCTTAGGATGGCTTTTGGGGAGGCAAGCCTCACTTTTCGTGCCGCCGTTGGCCTCCTACAGCATGGACTGCTGTGTAAAAACCCACGTGCGGGGTTCGTTGTCCAAGGCAATTTCGAACTTATTGAGAGTCAGCTGGTTTCGAGGGTCTTAAAGTGTTACTCCTAGTACGTCTTCTCCGTATGCGGATAGAAGGCGTGTTACATGGCCACTTCACCCTCTGAGATACTGTCTTCAACTACTTTCAACAGTTTTTTTGACATGGCCGAAGTTCTTGGTATAGTTGCCAGCGTCTCAGCACTTATACAACTTGTGGAATATGGCAAAAAGTTCGCAAAGGCCTTGTACCTGTTCTCAGAACAGAGTGGCTCTCAACGGAAAGAAGTTCAGCGATATGCCTTCCAAGCACAGGACTTCTCAGATTGTATCAATATTACACAATTCGCTCTCGAACAACATTTCGACAAGTACACCGAGTCTCCTGTACTTCGGCACATCCTATCCCAAGGGATACTCCGGCGTCTACTAAACTGGTCAGAATTGATAGAATGGCGACTTAGGAAGGCAACCAAACATGTCCGGACACGTCTTAGCGGTGGAAATGCCGTATTGAATTTCTTCAAATGGTGGTATCAGAAGGATTGTATCCTGGATCTATTTCCAGAAATGGAATGTGTAAAAACTAGTCTCCTGCTGCTTATGTCGACCACGCAACTCGAGGTTCTCAGCATGGAGCGCAACGATTCACACTCCGACAGCGAAAAGGTGAAGTCGATTGAGGGGCACATGTACGTTTCCTAAAGGATGGAATCTTCTCCTGAAACCACTTCTCCTGTCGTGAGCTTACTCAAAGCCAGCAAGCGCATGAAAAGGACCATCAGAGATCACCTTAAGTCAATGGAAAGGTTGAAAGACCTAATGGAAAGAGTCAATCGACCCATGCCAACGGATCCTTTCGCACATTGGACGCAGTCCACTAGCTCACTCTACGAAAGTCTGTACCCCTTGGGAAGAAGTATGGTGAAGAATGGGAGTGTCCCAAAGCCAAAATCCGTCTCGATTACGTCGTCAAAATCATCTACTAGGACTAAGGAGGTAAAGTCTTGCGTCCAAATTACCTTGTCTAGGAGGCTACTGACATGACCGAAGACCTACCAGTCATCATCATCAGACAAATCCATGCCGTCAGTATCTTCAGCTCCTACACGTCGAGCAGACTCCACAGCTGAGGCATGCTTTTATGATCAAGAAGCCCTGTACAAAGAGGAGCGCCGCTTTCAACGTGAGAGAATTTCAAGTGATGGGTCAAGATCGGCTAAGACTACGCCATTAGTGCCATCAGTACCGTCAGCCCCTACACGTGGTGTTGGCCATGAAAGCAGTGCAAGTTTGAAAATTCAGGAAGCTAGATCCGTGAACGAATCTCATTCTAAGCGCCACCGATCTGAGGTCCTGCCTAAGAGAATAGTGGAAGTGAACACTGCAAATTTTGAAAAATCGATTGTTCACTCACAGTTATTGGACAATGGTCAACCCTCTGGCAAACTTATGACTGGTGTCGTCAATACCACTCTCGAAGTCAACATAATCTCAATTATCGAAGCCAAAAGACTTGAATTGGACGTGATCTCCTGCGAAGAAGACAAGGAGATTAGTTTCAAATTTGACCAAGGCAAGAGTCAGCGATGCATCGGCATGGTGTCTGTCGGTATTCGCGACAAGGGCATTTCACAACCGCACGCGACATGCAGAATGTACGTTCTAGCGGACTGCCATCCTCGGCTTGTGTTTGGTAGAGAATTCTATGGGAATGACGGAATATCGAAGCAATAAGAATGAATTTTTACCTGAAGAAAACCGATTTGATTACCGAGTAAATTGTCACTGAACTTGTTTTACTTTCTTCGAGTGTATAGCATATCAACAATGTATTACTTTACATCACTGCAAATACCAATGGTAAGACTTGCCTATTTTGCTGCTGGGGATAGGTAACACAAGATGGTGAAATGGCAAGGGCTAAGTTAGACCTTACATGTCGGCACATTCGGCCTTGACTAAGCACCTAAGTCAGGAAAATGGCTTCAGTGAAAATGTCTCTGTTTCCAGTCGCATCGCATGAAACCACCAACTACTTAGAAACTTGTAATTTGACACAAAACCTCGATAGTTAGTCAATCACTCTTATGGGAATCGAGGCCACCCAACCGATATGATAAAGGGATTTGTTCACTGCAGCAACTAATACTGACAGGGTCGGCCCGGAAACCTGTCCAGGCCCCGCAAGACTAGTCGCACCCAGGCAGCCAGGCTTGCTTTTGCGCAGTGCAACTCTCCTATCATCTCCTATCAGCATCACAGCCCCCAAGAAGATGCAGCCAACCATTGGCAAACCTGCGCCCCACCGCAATCTGGCAACGCGAACCGGCATTTCGGGGCGGGGCAGAGTTGCACACAGCACGTCAGCTTATCAGCTGAGATGTGAGGCTTTAAAAGCTGGAGATAGGGCACGCCGACTATGTGGCTATGTGTGTCTGGGCAATTTTCTATGTTATCAGCCGGCCTCCCGACTGTTTTGTCTGTCTGAAGCTTGCCAGGTTAAGCGTGGTGACAGGAAACTGCAATGTACAAGGCTCAGTTCTGGGTTGCCATTGTGGCGGGATTTGAAGCCTCCTTGGCCAGCTGCAAGTTAAGTGCCAGCCAAAATTGGCCTGTAAACTCCTCAACGGCGGCGCCTTCGGTATTCCCGCTGCTTGAAGATGTGGGATCTGCAGACCTGTTCCCCATGCCGCTTTGTGGAACATTCAGGTTGGAAGAAGCGACAATTGATGAGATGCAAGCAGCATTGACTGCGGGCACACTTACTTCTCAGCAACTAGTCGGATGTTATATCCAACGAACCTACCAGACGCAGGAGTACATTCAGTGAGTGGCCCAGCTTGCAACCGTAATTGGATTTCAAACAAACGCTTTACTTTGTCAGTGGACGTACGCTAATACGTAAGACAGCTCTATCCTGCAGATCAACCCAGATGTCTTCCAGGTAGCTGCGAAGATGGACTTGGAACGCAGAGCTGGGAAAATCCGAGGACCGCTTCACGGCATACCTTTCACCGTCAAGGACAACATCGCTACCAAGGACAACATGGAGACGACAGCTGGCAGTTTCGCCCTCTTGGGCAGCATCGTGCCTCGCGACGCACACGTCGTCAAGCGTCTTCGTGAAGCCGGCGCCATCTTGTTTGGCAAGGCCGCTTTGAGCGAATGGGCTGATATGCGCAGCAACAATTACTCTGAGGGCTTCTCGGCTCGAGGCGGTCAGTGCCGAAGCCCGTATAACTTCACCCTCAACCCGGGCGGGAGCAGTACGGGAAGCGCTGTCGGGGTCGCGGCGAATGCCATTGCTTTCTCGCTAGGCACGGAGACGGATGGTAGTGTCATCAACCCCGCTGAACGCAACGCCATTGTTGGATTCAAGCCTACGGTTGGCCTGACTTCTAGGGCCGGGTACGTTCATGGTTTATGGAATTTGCTGTTCAAAAGATTTACTAATTCGAGGTAAGGGTCATTCCTGAGAGCGAGCATCAAGACTCTGTCGGAACCTTCGGTCGCACGGTTAGAGATGCTGTGTACGCGTTCGATGCAATCTACGGCATTGATGACCGGGACAATTACACACTGGCTCAGGAAGACAAGACGCCTGAGGGGGGTTACACCCAGTTCTTGTCCAAGAAAGAGATCCTGAAAGGCGCCACCTTCGGACTTCCCTGGAACAGTTTCTGGGCCCTGGCAGACGACGAACAGAGGGAGTCTTTGGAACAGTTACTCAAGCTTCTCACATCAGCCGGAGCAACTATTATCAACAATACTGAAATAACCGACTATGAGACGATTGTCAGCCCGGACGGTTGGGACTGGGACTATGGCACTACAAGAGGCTACGCCAATGAATCAGAATACACCGTTGTTAAAGTTGACTTTTACAACAACATCAACACATATCTCTCCGAACTAGAAAATACCAACATAAAGACTTTCGAAGACATCGTTGCATTCAACTACGATAATGACGGAACCGAGGGCGGCCACCCGTGGCCACTCGGCACAGCTGCGTTCTATTCTGGGCAAGACGGCTTTTTGGCGTCTCTCGACTCAAAGGGTATCAAGGATGAGGTATATCTTCAGGCTGTCGAGTTCTCCCAGCAATCAACACGGAATGGTATTAATGATGCTCTAACGTCGTCCAATGGGACAAAGTTAGCTGGTCTTCTTGTTCCTCCAGACGTTGGCCAGACCTACCAGATTGCAGCCCAGGCCGGGTATCCGATGATTACACTCCCGGCCGGTGTTCGTTCTAGCACTGGAATGGGTTTCGGTCTTGCCATCATGCAAACTGCTTACGGCGAAGCAGAGTTGATCAAGTGGGGAAGTGCGATTGAGGATTTGCAATTGACGACGGAGGGGAACCCATACAAGAGGACTTTACCTACCTGGTATGAGTACCTCACACGGAATGTTCCAGTCTTCTGAGAGCAGAAGACTTCGGAGCGCGCAAGCTACTGACCGCTATTGCTATCAAAACTTTTTGTAGATAATTGTACGCATCACTGTTGCCTGAGTAAAGTACTTACAAAATGATCCGTTCCCCGACCGAAATTGGGCATCGTCTCCGGAGCCGGGTCGGGCCCGGAAAGGCATCGACCGAGAAAAACTACCTATTGATGATACATATTGAGTCTCCGACCAAGCTGGGCATTAAATTTGGGGACTGTTCTACTTGAATGAGGAAATCCACTTCTGCTCCGCCTACTTCTGGGGTATGGCTTGCCGTGTGGGATAAGATCATGGGCTGACATCCTCCGTTACCTGCCGACAAGCTGTATGATGTATGAATCCATGATGGCTCGTTCCGCTGCGGAAAAGCTAAATTTGCCCTCAAGCCAATATTAAATAAAACGATATTCCATGACACCAGGTTATCCCAGACCGGCTTCGGAGTCCGCATGTTCCGCGGCTCCCAGCAGGTACTGTGCAAGCCCGAGTCGTTCATCCCAGGCCACTAGCTTGGCGACCCACGTTTTCTACTCAATGACAAAAGTGACGTGCCACAAGTGATTGAGTTTACTGGCGGACAACGAAAATAAACGGATATACGGTAGGTAGGACCCAACTTCATGCAGGTCGATAGTATGTCATGGTTTCTGTCAGCTTTTTCGATTGTTAGTAAAGCGCGGGCTTTAATGTCGGCTATGAGACCACCTAGCCTACAGCGACTGGCCAATGGCTTAACAGAGCAAGACCGTTCTGTAGTGAGAATGTGGCCTGGAACCGCGTCTACATGGCCATTTGAGACATCGTTGTGATAGGAAGGTAAAGATAGGATGCCCCCTTCCGCTGGCAATTTGTGCGGTCAACACCCTAGTACTCATAGTTTGAAGTACCTAATCATTCGTCAATACATGGAGCGGCCCAGGATCTCGGACTCTGTGTGGACAGCACCGCCTGCCACATCCGGAACTCTATCGTCTGACTCTTGGGAAGTTGGGATGGTGTGTTAACCGAAGTCTAACCCCTGCCAAGTATGTGCCCGTTTTCCGACGATCATCTTGGCTCCGAGCAACTCAAATTTTATGTAAAGCGCACATTGAGCTCGCTACCGGCTATGAGGATAGCCAAGACCCAGGTCTTTATGGCTCTATGCTACCTACCTGTTCTGGTCACAAGGTCGCGTGCCAAGCTTGTCAGCAGCGGCCATAGCGGACGTAAGGCTGTGTCGGAAGGGATCGCACTTTGTTATTTTTGACGAAGGTTTACCTACTCGCCGAAGATTAACCTCTTTCGCGTGAGGTAATTCTCGGAGAAATAAGCTCGGACAGCAGCGGGATAGGAGTCGCGATGACTAAAAAGTCAATTTTATTGACATGGCTCCGCCGCCAAGACGTATCCGACAACGAAGACGGATCTGATAAGATGGGCCGGCGGGACTCCCGCGCGCTTGATATATTTCACAACGCCAGCGGGGCGACTACAAGGCAGCGAACAGAGAACTTGGCTCGGTTAGGCGTCTGCAAGTGGAGAGCGTAACGCAAGCAGAGTTTATGAAGCAGAAAAAGGAAGTTGGGGAGAAAAGAGGCCCCTCGGGACTCGGGTGTCGGGATATTCCCACTTATTCCCTTCCTTTAGGTTATAATCTACCTTAAACAGCCTTGTCATGTGGTGATCAATCACTGCATCAAGGCGGCGCGGATCATGGCTCTAACACCCTCCGATGGTCAAATTAGGCTAAGATCCCGTTAGCACTTGCAGTGCCGTCGCACATAAAGTTGCACAAAGCCAACAACATATGGCTCGCTACTGGATCGTGACCTCCGCAACTCCGTCAACTCAACTCTGTACGCTGCCCTGTTGGTTGTCCAACAGCACCGCCGCACAACTTGGCATCTTGGCAACTGATCCATCTAACGGGCCCATCCCCGAGCCCCCCCCCCCCCCCCCCCCCCCCCCTGCATATGTTGACCTTCCGAATCAGAAGTCTAATATGACATGCATTTGTGAGATATACAGTAAGCACATTAACGGCTTAGAAATGCTTCCGGATGAGTGCCAAGTGCTTTACCCCGGAGAGGGGGAGACTTGTGTATAAGTAAAATGATTTACCGTGTCTCGCAGCTGAAGCTTGGAGGCATCTCTCAGCAGCTTTCACTCTCTTTTACATAATCTGCTACTTGGCAGAAACGCTCTTTTGTTACCATGCCGTTCTTTCAACAATCCAAGCCACAGTGGCTTGGAATCGTATCCGCGGTCCTCCTGGGAGCAAGCTGTGTTACTGACGCCTACGTGATTCCCCGCCAAATCAACTCATCTCAGTTGCTGAAGAGCTACGATTATGTCATTGTTGGCGGTGGAACTGCAGGTCTGACTGTGGCAGACCGTCTGACGGAGGACCCCGAAACCAAAGTCTTGGTTCTCGAGGCTGCAGACTGGGGCAACATGACTGAAAACCTCAAGGTTTCCTTCCTGACTCGGACTTCCGCTTTCACAGACCTACTTTGGCCCGGTCTGCAGTCTGTACCGCAGCCTGGCCTGAATGGAAGAGTCGGCAACGTCTTCATTGCCAAACAGGTCGGAGGTGGTGCGTCAGTAAACGCCATGATGAACATGCGTGGCTCGGCCGAGGACTACGACCGTTGGGCTAGCCTCTTCGGATCCGAGGCTCAGCAGGGAACTGCCGACTGGAGCTGGGATGGCATCTTGCCGTTCTTCAAGAAGGTGAGGGCGGTGACCTGATGTAACAACATGAGTTACCACCGCGACGCCAAGCTGACCATCACTCCAACAGGGCCTTCACTTCACTGAGCCACCTCCTGAGTTGACCGACAACTTTGACAGCGTCAAGTATGACGCCTCTTTCTGGGGAGACTCGTCGGAGATCTACGCGGGATGGCCCCGGTTCTACTACCCGGGTGTCAAGCCCCTTGTCGAAGCCTTCAAGGAGATCGACGGAGTAGAGTTCCCGGCCGACAGCGGTGCCGGAAAGCCCGGTGTCTTCTGGTTCCCCACGCTCATGGATCCCCGAACCGTCACCCGCTCCTATGCTGGCACGGGTCACTACCTCAACGTTAACGCCACTCGTCCGAACTATCACCTTTTGCTCAACACTCAGGCCCGCAAGTTGATCCTTGACGACCAGCTCTCCGTCACAGGAGTTGAGTTCCCATCGGGAAACAACAGCTTCGTCACTGTTACTGCAAAGAAGGAGGTCCTCCTTGCTGCCGGTGCTGTTCACACTCCCCAGCTCTTGCAGCTCAGCGGTATCGGTCCCAAGAGCCTTCTCGAGGCTGGTGGCATTGATATCCTCGTCGACCTCCCTGGTGTCGGCCAGAACTTCCAAGACCACAGCAGTCTCTCTTCCATGAACATTACCCGTAAGTGGCAAGGGATTTTATAGGCGTGGAGCAATAGGCTGTAGTCGACGCGAAGAAACTAACCCGCATATAGTCTCCAAGCTCACTGACATCCACCCCAACCCAACCGACCTGGTCGAAGGGAATGACTTCAAGACTTGGGCCGACGAAGTGTGGGCAGCCAACAAGACCGGTTAGTGATTCTCTAACATCAGATCTAACTCACTCATATCTGTCTTAACTTGACTGACTCATCATCGTTCGCCCGGAACAGGCCCCTATTCTATTGCATTGACAAACTTGGCCGGCTGGCTCCCGTTCACCGCTGTGTCTGAACGGGCTGAGGAGCTCGCCACCAAGTTAGAGCAACAGGACTTTGCTAGCCTGCTGCCGACCGACACCGAAACCACAGTTGTCGCTGGTTTTGAAGCGCAGATGAAGATCCTGGCTGCACAGATGCGTTCCAAGGACACAGCATTCACTCGCATGCAGTTGATCGCGAACCAGGGTTCTCAGGGCCCCGTGGCAATGCAGTCCTTCAGCCGTGGCACCATCAACATTAATACGACTGACCCGTGGAACACTGAGCCCGTTATCGACTACCGCTCCTTGTCCAACCCTCTCGAGGCCGATTTCTTCGTCGAATCAATCAAGTTCCTCCGCCGTTACAACTTCAACACCTCTTTAGCTACCGAGTTCGCCCCTGTCGAGTACGCTCCCGGTCCTGAGGTCACCTCGGACGAGGACCTCAAGGCCTACATTGCCGGTGCCATGTCGCCGACTGACTACCACCCCGTGGGAACTGCATCTATGATGCCCCTGAATCTGGGGGGTGTTGTCGATCAGACTTTGCGGGTGTACGGAGTGAAAAGCTTGAGAGTCGTTGACGCCAGTGTTATGCCCATGGTTCCTAGCGCCAATACATGCCAGCCTACCTACGCTTTGGCCGAAAAGGTGAGTCAATACCTCGTAGTACGCTACTCCTTTTATTTCCTCGTTTCGCTGACAGACTGGTACAAATCTAGGCCGCCGAAATCATCAAGCAAGGCATCTAGACTGATAGTATATCTTCTCATGTGAGGTACTTGGTCACAGCACCTCTCGTTATTGTGTGAAGACTTCATGAATAGAGAAAACTTATGAGGATGAATCCGTGTATCCACCTGTATGACTACATGTAGTGCATGCTCACATAATTCAGATGTAATCGTTCTGATCCTCCGTGGCTCGCTCGTTGCAATGCTCTTAATCCCTTGCGCAAGGCCATCCATCTTTATGTTTCAGCATATTTAATCGTATCTTGACCCGGAAAAGCTTAGACGATGATGGCCGAGGTGAGAAATCGCCGGCAATCTTGTAGTTCTGATTTTACTTCATGCTATTTAAAACATTGTGTTGATAGCCGGTCTCCTAATTTGGCGCTAGGGGGATTTCATGGGTCTTTTGTTCATCTAAAAACACGCACACTGTGCTTCATTCGCATGTTCATATGTTGTTTGACTACCTTATGCTATGTAGAGAGCTCGGCAGCCATCATCAAAATGTAGAGCCTGCTCATGCGGGCAATAAATCAGTTTCTCCGTCGAAATTGACAACACTGCATGGCAGACAACCTAGTCCGCGAGTAAGCTCAGGCTTCAACCCAGTCGCCTCTATTCGAAGTTGGTCTGAGAGTCGGGTTGACTGTCAGCCTAGGATCTACGCTACAGCCACAGCGTAGCCAAACAGGGATTAATATCGCCTGTATCACCTTACTGGTAGTCCGTTTCCGTTAGGCAACAAAATTTGTTGTGCGATATTGGCATTGCTGATTCAACCCCGCCACGATACCGTTCATCTCGCCCGATGCTGCGGGCCGCCAATGCGTGGATCTCCAACCGTCTAAGACACCATGACGGCCGAGTTTCACTCATTTCCCATGGCACAAGGCGCGGCATTCGTATGTGGAGCGTCAGCAATTGGCCTGCAGCTTCGCCTCGTCCGAGTTTCCCTAGCTAGGTAATACTAAGTATCATTTCGCGGGTTCGTTGCTTATGAGCTGTGCGCTGTGAGCCAGAAGGATCACGCTAAAATCTTATGGGAACATGAATTATGGCTCCATGTTTTGGGATCTTGTCTGCCTGCTAAGAGGTAACGAAATCTCCTTCAAGAATGAAATAATAGCTACGATTCCGCAGATATGGCGAGTTTTGAGCTACGGGCGTGAAGACTCGACAAAAAGTTGAGCAAAGACTCTCATTGTCGTGCAAAATGAGCCGCAAGACGTTTGGCCTCGACGCCTCGGATTTACCACAGGACCCATACTATCCCCAAACAGACCCTACAGGCCCCAGTTTCCTTGATACAGAAGGATGCCTCTGTGCTTTACAGGTAACACCCGCTGGCGGAGCCCCGGAACCCGCTTGGCAGTGCATCGGAGACCAGAGTCAGGGAAGCATCTACACGATCAAGACCGGCAGATGGTTCGACACACTCAATGGGGTCGGTAATGCCAATGGATCCATCAATGATGCTTCAAATCCGCCAGATACCGAAAAACCCCAAAGGTGGCTTTCTGGAGCATTGCGAGACTCTCCAGGTAACGACGGACTGAGTGTTTACGACAGCGCCTGCACCGGCAAGAATAACACCAGATTCTCGACCTCGTTTTACGAAGCTGTTGCACAGATCAACGCAGGCCAGCAGCCATATAGCGCCGCACCGTGTTACAGACAAGGGGCAGTTCCGATAGAGATTCAGACCGTGGAGAGCTGGCAGGCTGATGGGTGCAGCCCGGGCTTTCTATGTGAGTATAAGTCTCAGAACTTACATGTCCCCGTGCGTCTGGAGGACAAAATTTGCTAATATCCGCGTAGGTGAGAACAATACTGTCAACTCAATACCCCAATACTGCCCGCCGTTAGACGGATGTCAAATGGCGAGGTTAGCATCAATCACCTGCAACTTTGACGGCAAGAACGCTGGCATGGGGCCTTTTGAGCCCGTAGTCTGTCAAGCTGGGAACTACTGCCCCGAAGAGAATAACGGCAAAGTTTCCATCGTCTGTCCGGCTGGCTCATATTGTCAGCCTGGAGCTGCAACTCCGACGCCATGCTCGGTTGGCAGTCGCTGCCCGGAAGGCTCTTCCTACGAGCTATTCCTCATACCTCTGGGTGTCTTGATCTTTGTCGATCTTTTGATGATCGCCGGCATGATTATCTACCAATTCCGAAAACGCGTTCGTGAACATCAATCAAACAAGAATCGGAGGCCGACCTTGAAGCGTGGCATGAGCAGCATGAAGGCACAGATCACTGGGTATAGGGCACTTTCAGAAGACATCGATCGTGAGATGCTTCCGATGAGTGTAACTTGCATCCCCAACCGAACCGACTCATACGGAGGAGGTTTCCAGGCCGCACTTGAGCTCGGGTCAGAGTACTCCATCAACGTCCGGCCTACGAGTGAGATGCTCAACCCTCAGCTGATGGCATTCGTCTCCTCGATGCGGCGCGCGACGGACGCGACCAACTTTGGTCTCTCCTTCAGCTACTCGGACCTCAGTTTTCAACCCAAGAAAAGCTTCAAGATGATTCTTCAAAATGTTACCGGATCCATCGATCGGGGAACTTTGACAGCTGTCATGGGCGGTTCCGGCGCCGGCAAATCGACCTTTGTCAACGTTCTCATGGGCAAGACCAAGAACACGGGGGGCACGGTGGCTGTCAACAGTAGTCCGGACAAGTTGAAACGATACAAGAAGGTCATTGGTTACGTGCCTCAAGACGACGTCGTGTTGCCGGAGCTCACAGTCTACGAAAACATTATTCACAGTGCCAAGATCCGCCTCCCCCAGACTTGGTCCACAGCTGACATTGAGTCTCATGTCGAGTCTGTCATTGACTGTTTGGAGCTCTCGCACGTACGCAATTCCTTGGTGGGCTCAGTGGCTGCACCTGTCATTAGTGGCGGGCAGCGAAAACGTGTGAGCATCGGTATGGAACTGGCAGCTGCCCCGATGGCAATCTTCTTGGATGAGCCGACCAGTGGTCTTGATGCTACCGCGGCTTCGTCTTTGATGCGTACTTTGAAGGCAGTTGCACGGCTAGGAATCACTGTCATTGTCATCATCCACCAACCCCGTACCGAGATCTTTGAGAGTTTTGATAATCTCATTCTCCTTGGAAACGGCCAGACCATCTACGAAGGCCCTCAATCTGAGGTGCACGACTACTTTGAGGGACTCGGCTTCGGGTTCCCAGAGCACAGCAATCATGGCGACGTGGTCACCGATATCATCACTGGAAACGGCCGCGACTACAAGCAAATTGGGGAGATCTCGAAAGACTCACTGATTTCGAAGTGGTCAGACCACCGCTTGGCTCTCGCACACAAAGAACGACACGCATCCTCCATCATGAATAACAACGGCATATACGCCGCCATCAAGCATCGTGGTGCGCCGCTGTATAGGCAAACATGGCTTTGCCTCCGTCGAGCAATGCTTCAGCAGTACCGCACTAAAGCAGCTTTCTGGGCTGAGATGGGCCTCGCGGCGCTCGCCGGATTTCTCCTTGGCCTGGCCGAACATTCGAAGAAGGGCATCTTGTTTACGGGCACATTTAAAGAGCCTTACTCGATATTGTCAACTGCTGTGGACTTCAAGTCCGCCCCTGAACTGGCTCTCCTGGTATCCATCGCCGTGGGTCTGGTGTCTGGTGCACCTGGTGTCAAGACGTTTTCAGAGGAACTGCTCGTGCATCGGAGGGAAGCTGAAGCTGGCCATAATAGGCTGGCTTACTTTCTCGCAAAGGTCGTCTCAGTTCTCCCTCGTATGCTTTGTGGTTGCCTACATTTCACGACTTTCTTATTCATCCTTACGGTACCCGTGATCAACTGGGGGCTTGCTTTCCTGACCAACTTCTTCTACTTTTACTGCATCTATGGATTGGCGAGTATCGTCAGCATGCTCGTCAGGCGAGAAGACGCTCCTCTGTTTGCGACGATGATCAGCCTTATCGTTGCGATCCTATCGGGAGCTGCCCCTCCGCTGGCCAAGGTCAAGGAATGGCACTTGGAGTGGCTTTGGCGCGCTTCGCCCGGTGTCTGGCTTGCAGAAATATACTTTGGTCAACTGGTCTCACCCTTTGGCTTTTTGTATGATGTCGACTCTGCTGCAGCGGCGACCGGCTTTCACTTGAATTGGTTATGGCGCAACATGGGAGTTTTGGTTGGAATTGGAACTATCTATAGATTGGTTGCATACCTTGCTATGATTTTCGGGCAGAGTCGGCGTAGATAGACTGCCCCATGGACCCATTCGATGCGGGAGTACGGAGGTGGAGGATCTCGTTCATCATCATCGACCACCGCTACTTCCATGTCTGTCTGGATATCCTGAATGGAAAAGTAAGCTCGGAATATACGAAATGGAATTATTCTTACCTCGATACGCGTGGTAATTCCCGTCCATAAACCAATAATACCTAACAGAGAGTGTGTAATCGATAGGATCGAGGAGTGGTACGTTGGCGTTACGGGGGGAACTAAATCACTCCCCCACAAGCTTCAGCCCAGAATCCAAGTGCCGATGCCCTCGTCTCCTAAAAAGTCTGAAGGAAATGTCCCCAGTGATAGCACAGGTTATATCGTAATATACTGAAGCCCTCAATACCTGGCTGAGATACACGTTGGTAGTCGTTCTTATGAGAATCTCCAATGTCCTGAGGCAAATTGCAGGGTAGCTTCGCACAAGGTCAAGTGGCATCTTGATGGCGAGTTGCAAAGGAACCTGCCTATGAGTGACAAGAACTGGAAGACCGAGGAGTGTCATAGTCATCCGAGGTAAAGTCAAATTGGCAAACGGACTTCGGGCGAGATTGTTTATCTCTAGGAGTCAAGCTGGTACCAAAATCTCGCTCGATCCGCCGGAGCGCGTAGGTGGCATAGTCAGTTGCGTTGATGGTCGGAAAGTCACCTCTACTGTTGAGATACGGTTGAAGCGTAGAATACCTCGCCTCCGAAGATGAGCTCTCACATTGTATGCTACGCTTATCTTCAAGCTGGGGACATTGGGATTGAGCGACGGCGGCAACACATGAAGCTGTTGCGTTCCTCCATCGTTTGGCCTGTGCGAAAATGACAGGCGGAACCCAAAAGAGTGCTGACCACTCCTGAATATCGGAGGGCCTTCAATAAGTCTCAGGGATCGATCAAAAAGCAAGTTAAGAGAAAGTCGAACCTTGGAGGTAGAGATTCATCGAAGAAACGGACACTGAATGCTTCACCTTGAGGTTTGCTTTACCAAGAATTTCCTCGCCTTGGCAATACCACGGTCGCTCGATGGGCGCGTCAATGCTCAAGCTGAGTTTCATATTATTTAGTGGAAAGATGCGTGGGAAACCAGAGTGAGTTTAGACCTTGATCTGATGTCGATTGAACTAGAGGAAGACAAAATGTTATTTGGCTGAAAAGGCCTCCGGGACAAATGATGCACCGAATACTGTAGGTAAAGATCAATTACTCTCCCGGCTTGGGCTGCCTCAAATGACATTGATTACAGAGGTACTCAAATCGACCTCTGGTGCAACATGTCCTTAATGTGCTGGCTACCAGTAACCCATGGTGATCATGATGGGACATGGCGAGTGATATGGTTCTAGTTGCTGTAGTGGAAACTCATGTGGCACGCACCCTATCAGTCCATATTATGGTGCTTATCATCACAATAGTATCCCTGCAGAGATTCTTCTTTCAATAGCACAGCACACGGCATTAGACTGCTGGTATATCTAAGTCAACGGAGGGAAACAGTGTGGGAGGTGAGTGAGTCTATAGAACGAGGGAGCATCGGGACCAAGGGACGAGCTGGCCTAATTATCTGCCTGGGCAGAATTTAATCTCGAACGTTGCCGAAAATCTCCGCACTAACATTGTCGGGCTAATGCCTGATGGAGCATTGGCTGCCAGTAGCCCGGTGAGTGCCGGATCATTGGACGGCGATGGCGCGGGAATCCAGGCGAGGGCCATATCGACCATCATCATAGCGGAGTGTACTTCGAAGTACACGAGGAAAGACTCCTTTGAGATGTGTAACTTCGCGTCCACAGTCTGTAGTCGTTGAATTGATTGAAAGCAAAGAATTCAGAACGACAAGGCGTAGTTGCCAGCACTCTCTTCTTCGGTTTCCTGACCTCCGATGGGTAAACCAATCTCATTTATGCCAAGAACCAATATACATACCAATCATACCCAGTGAGCATCATAAAAGTACGAAAGACAGTGGCAGCAGACTTTTCAGGGCATGACCTCGGTGCTGTCTACTTGACGTATCGAAGCGAGACCGGCCGGCCAAGAGCCAATTTTCCGGTCTCTCTCTAATCCCACAACGTGCCCCCATCAGATCAAGTAGCCCCAGACCAGGGGCGGGACCTCGGGGCTCTTGTCCTTTCTTTATTCAAGGAGGCCCTCATATAACCATGACTATACTTGGTCCCGTTGTGACCGATGTCCAACCTAGCATCCAGAGGTCCCATCTCTAACCCACTGCTACTTCTTTTGCGCACCTACCCTTTTCTCTCAACCGATATCAGTCGCTTTGGCAATTATCTCAACATCATGTCAGGCGAACCAGATTCCAGTACTTCTAGCCAACTTCGGTTACAGAGGGAGAAGACAAACACGTCGTACACCTACGATGACCAAAGAGGCTGGAGGCGCTGGAGGATCTTCCGTCCAGGCCGTGGGATTTACCACGACATCAAGAGACGCTTTCCATACTACTGGAGCGACATAGTTGACGGGTGGACGTACCGTATAGTGGCCAGCACCATTCGAATGTATTTTGTCAAGTATGCACATGGTACTGCAGTCCAAATCGCCCCCTTATGCTGACAGTCGAACGACTTTAGTCTCCTCCCTGCGATAGCCTACACTCTCGACATGTATCGACGAACAGGACAATTCTTCGGCATCAACGAAACTCTCTTCTCATCTGCGCTCGCTGCCGTAGTCTTCAGCATCCTCAGCGCCCAGCCCCTTACGATCGTTGGCGTCACCGGTTTGATCTCGCTTTTCAACTTCACAATCTACGATATCATCAAGATCTACGACGTTTCCATCTACCCACAGTTCATGGCTTGGACGGGTATTTGGGCAGCGATTTTCCACTGGCTTGTCGCCGTATTCAACGCGTGCGACTATATGCGATACGTCACCGACTTCTCGAGTGAGGCTTTTGGTTTATACGTTGGCATCATCTACATCAGTTTGTAAAGTCGACTCAACAATCGCAAAACATACTGCTGACACACATATAGTCAAGGGCGTGGAAGAGTTGGTCAACGAGTTTGATGCCGAAGGCAGCGCGGCTGGTTACTTGGCTTGTATGATTGCCATTTTATACTTCGGCACCGTTTATACGCTAGAAAAGCTGGGCCTTAGCACTCTTTGGAAGTCTGGCTACCGAGGAATCCTCGCCGATTATGCCTACGTGGTAAGATTCTGGCCTTGCCGCGGATGATTAGTGACAGATACTGACTGTGCTCGTAGTTTGCCACCATCTTTTGGGTGGGTTTCTCGCACATCCCTGGCACTCTCAAAGGAACGCACATCATGAGGGTTCCTGTCGTCGACGCCTTCCAACCTACGCAACCTAGGAACTGGTTGATCGACTTCTGGACTCTTGATGCAAAGTGGGTTTTGGTTGCTATGCCATTTGGGTTTCTGGTGATGCTACTCTTCTATTACGACCATGTAAGTCCTGTGCCTGACTTCTAGACCACCCACAGAAAAGATTGCTAAATATTCCTTTAGAATGTCAGCAGTATCACCGCACAAGCACGTCGGTATCCCCTGAAGAAACCGGGAGGTTTCCACTGGGACTTCTTCTTGATTGGTTGCACGACGTTCATCTCAGGCATCTTGGGTCTGCCGATGCCCAATGGCCTCGTCCCTCAGGCCCCAGTTCACACGGATTCATTGACAGTCTACGAGACGAAGCTCAAAATTATACCGACTTTCGAAGGAGAAGACACAGAAATCAGGCGACCTATAGTCGTTGCTACACAGGTAGTAGAGCAGAGGATTTCCCATTTGTTGATGGGCCTTGCTCTAATAGGCACCATGACGGGTCCCCTTCTGGTGGTGCTACATACTATGCCAGCTGCTGTCTTTGCTGGTGTTTTCTTTGTCGTTGGTGTAAGTGACCAATTCAGTTCTTGTCATTAGTACCTTATGGAATGAGTGGCTGACTACTATGTTCCAGTGGGGATCAATCGAATCGAACAGCATCCTTCGAAAGTTCCTCTTTCTCCAAGCAGAGGAACGCTTCATACAACGAGACGAAATACTCCTCCAAGTTCGCCGCCTGAAAATTTGGTTGTACATAGCTCTACAGTCCCTAGGTGTTGCAGCTTGCGTTGCCGTCTCCCACACGCTGGGTGCCATTGGTTTCCCAGTCCTGATCATCCTGCTTATTCCAATGAGAGCCATGTTGGTACCCATATGGTTTTCTCAGAAAGAACTTGAAATACTGGATGACTTCACGGCGACGAACAAGATGGTACTGGCAAGTTTGGGGGGCGAGCCTGGACTACCTGGAGGCCCTCGGGAGGAAAGTCGGGGACTCGAGAGGAGAGCTAGCGAGAGCAAGCAAGGAGTTGCTAGACAAAGGGCTGGAAGTCTGCATTAATAGATCACAGAGGTGTATAGATAGGAGATAAGTTAGGTAGGTCATGGTAAGTCCTGGTGACCGCCGCGCCAGATAATACCTGACCTATGCTTGGTCGAAAGATTACAGTATAGCGGTTTGCTATTTAGGACTACTAAGCAGCGAGAATCTCGATCATCTTCTTGAATTCAGGCACTTCATCAGCCCAGTACTTCAGAAGGTTCGCCACATCCTCAACACTATCTTTCCAGTCGTGTGGAAGCTTGTCATGTAGGCCTCCGTACGCTGCAGCAATCAACACAAGCGCGCTTCGTGTGCAAGACTGCAGCATCAACCATGTACCATGATGCCGATGGAAGAACCCCGACTTATTGATCTTGATTCTCCGCACACAGAAGTCAAGACCTCGCGAGGCCAGCATATGGGAGTCTCTGTCATCTCCAAGCTGCCCATGCACAGCGGCGTATATGAAAGGCCAGTACATCAGCTCCAAGCAGTCTATCAAATGGCCACTGAGGATGAATCTTAACTGTCCGTTCTCGTTAAAGTCGAAAGCAACGTCGCTGGCATCGTCTATCGCCGGTCGTAGGCTCGGTGGAAGGGACCTGGCCCTACGCAGCAGAGACACCGTGTTAGTTCCGCACGAGGCATTAACGAGCAGGGTACACATGCATACCAACTGTGAGCTTGTCGTTCGAATTCCAGGGTTGTTGCCACTTTATCCGCAACGTTGCCAGTATTCCGGTCATCCAAGCATGTCGCCGATAGTATGCGGTTGTTTAATCGTCTAAGTGCTATTTCGGCTAGGTAGAAATACCAAGCAGGCTCTCCTTGGGACTGTATGGACTCGGGAGGATCGGGGAAGAGATCTGGATAGCGTAGATCCCATGCACTCGTCTTGATGATTCCTAACTCCAACCGCACCTCACTATTTGATTGTCAGTACACGCACTAGAGCTTGAGGACTAAAGTAAAAACAGGAGTGGTGGGAGTCACAGTTCGGACTTGAAGCATGCCCAATGGATGGTCTGTTGCAAGCGAGTAGCTCCAGGGCTGGCGTCGCGACAAGGTAGTTGGAACGTATGGCAGCTCGACAAAGCCCGCGTGAACATCTTCCAGGCATCGACCGGTCGCATCGTAGTCATCAGATACACGCCAGCTAGGAAGAAGCACTGAGCTTCTGCGATGCCACTACTGGACAGCAGCAAACCCATTCGCCTTTGCGCCGCAACAAAGAACGCCTCAGCTCGGCCGAAATGTTCGTTTTGTCGAACGGACAGAGAGGTCTGTGCCACGCCGTTGTCATGCTCTACGGTCGTGCCTAGCGCCAAGACGAGGAGCTATAATTTGTCAGACATCGGTTGCAGGTATCGTAAACAGAGGTTACCAAAGGTAAAGGGTGGCTTACGACCAAACATGACCCAGCATCCCAACCGAACCCGTTGAGAGAGGTACTCTTGACGTGTTCTTCAATCGTCGCGATATCCAAGACTGGGTTGAATATGTGGTAGATGGACAAGAAAATGCCGAGTAGTCTGGAGGCGTCCTGAACATCCACGTCTGATACGAGGAGAGGGCGGGACACCACGTCGATCCCTGGGGAGATGGCCGCGGGCGATTCGTTGGATGGACTGTTTACGTCGACGGTTTTCCAGACTGGCCAATTAAGTATCACATCGCGGTTGACGTAACGAACCTCAAATGAGTTGATCCAGTCGATATCGGTCGGTGGGAAAGGCGACGAAGCAAGCGACGAAGCAAAGTCGAAGCTCGGCTGAGGAGCAGCAGGTAGCGGGCGGCTACCTTTTACTACACTTTCCAACTCGTCCAGCCTCCGTAGTATGGCAAGACTGGCTGCATCGAAACTGGGCTCATGATTTTGTTGGATCAGAAGAAGCGCGACAAAGACGAAGAAAAAGGAAGAAATTGCCAATTGTTGACCGCAAGCAAGGACGGGGAGAGTATCAGAGGGGCAAAAAAGAGCACACACCTAGCCTTTTCGAATTCATGGTAGACGCACTCTATCCCCAGCTTCTTGCAAGAATTGCAGGCTGGCTTCTCGTTGTCACATTTAGTCCGTCGCTGACGACATGTCAAACAGGCCTGGGCAGCTCGTTTCCGAGGATACGCAGGTCTTTTGCGAGAACTGGCACGGGTTTCTGCGTTTGCATTGGACATGGTCAACAACGATGGGTACAGGTTCGCGGAGTGTAGGGTCAGAATGAATGAGCAGCAAAAAGGACCGCTGCAGGAGTCACCAGGCATTTGCTACGGGCCCAAGCGTTTGGATCGTTGCGCGGAAAGCCGGACCTAGTCAACCTTTCGGAGGATCGACACCCCGCGGTGGAAGATTACTCAGCATCGTCGAAGGTCTGGAGTCAAGGAGCCTACGGAACTAGAGCCGAAATATTACTGGAGAACACAGGAGTCAATGATACGAGAACTTGGGATGGGTGTTTAAAAACGGCCATGCACAGGGTGCGTGTAAGCCGCATTGAGTAGACGCTTGATGATTCCGAGTTGGTGATCATTTTCTGTCATTTTTTCCTTTGCGAGTTGCGAGAACTACCTTACTCAACGAGAAACTTCCAAAACGATTAACTGCCGCAACCATGACTATCTCCTATATTCCAGGAAAGTCAGCTGTCTTTGATGTAGAAAATGTCTTGGAGAAATTGACTGTTCAAGAAAAAATTGACTTACTTGCTGGTATGATTCCGCGGCGTCAAAGCCTACTTTCAAGAATCTTGCTGATTATACTTGCAGGTATCGACTTCTGGCACACCAAGAGTGTTCCCCGTCTTGGAGTTCCTTCCATCAGACTATCTGATGGCCCAAATGGAGTCCGAGGCACAAGATTCTTCAATGGTGTGCCGGCAGCTTGCTTCCCCTGCGGCACTGGTCTCGCAGCAACTTGGGATGCCGGTCTGCTCCAAGAAGCCGGAAAGCTGATGGGTCTCGAGGCGAGAGCCAAGGGGGCGCACATCCTCCTAGGGCCTACGGTCAATATGCAAAGAAGTCCCCTAGGAGGTAGAGGATTTGAGTCGTTCTCGGAAGATCCAGTTCTTGCAGGTCAAAGTGCCGCTGCGGTTGTTACCGGCATTCAGAGCACAGGAGTTCAGGCTGCTATCAAGCATTTTGTGGGAAATGACCAAGAGCATGAGCGAATGGCTGTTGATTCTCGTATCACGGACCGTGCTCTTCGGGAAATCTACCTGCTTCCCTTCCAGATCGCTGTCCGAGATGCCAACCCTGCGTCATTCATGACCGCCTACAACAAGGTTAATGGGCTCCATGTGAGTGAAGACATTGGAATGCTCCAGAGCATTTTGCGCGACCAGTGGAAATGGCAAGGCCTGGTCATGAGCGATTGGTGAGTCTTCGATATCCGTCCCTATGCGAGTGACTTTCAGCTGATTCGATTGCCAAAGGTACGGAACATACTCCACCATCGAAGCTATCGAGGCTGGTCTTGACTTGGAGATGCCTGGACCCACGCGCTGGCGCGGCCAGTTGGTGAAGCACGCACTGGCATCCAGAAAACTCCTCCCAGAGACCGTCGATGAACGCGTCCGCGCAGTCCTCAAAGCCGTTCGTCGTGCGGCATTGACGGGAATCTCTGAAGGTGCAGAGGAGAGAAGCCGAGATCTTCCTGAAACCTCAGCCCTCCTCCGAAAGATTGCGGGAGACTCAATCGTACTACTAAAGAACGAGAACGCTACCCTACCTTTCAACAAAGAAAAGACTGTGAGTCCATCATCCGCTTGCACTGGATGATTTCCCAGTTTCTAATCGCCGTAAGGTTCTCGTAATCGGACCAAACGCCAAAGCAGCGGTCTACTGTGGTGGAGGATCAGCTACTTTGAGGCCATATTACGCAGTAACGCCATTCGATGCTATTTTCGAGCAAGCAAGCGATGTTGTTTACTCAGTTGGGTGCTACGCTCACAAGATGCTACCGATTCTCGGCCCTCGGTTGAAAACTGCAAATGGCCAGGTCGGAGTTACCTTCAGGGCTTACACCGCACCGGAAACAGAAACTCACCGTCAACCAGTCGACACGCTGCATCTCGTTGACACGAACATGTACTTTGCCGACTACTATCACTCCGAGATAACGGAAGATCTGTGGTGGGGAGAGATCGAGGCCTCGTTCACCGCCGAAGAGACGGGCGATTTCCAGTTCGGTCTGACTGTCCACGGAACTGCCAATCTTTACATCGACGGGGAACTCGTGATCGATAACGAAACCACTCAAAGAGGCGGTGGAAGCTTCTTCAATGTCGGAACCGTAGAAGAAACCGGGATCAAGGCGTTGGTAACCGGACAGACATACAATGTCACGGTCAAATTCGCCAGCGGCGCGGCATCCAAGGTAAAGGACGCTGACGGCGTGGTTTCATTTGGCGGTGGCGGTGTTCGTATTGGCGGTGTTGAAGTTCGTGACGCGGATCAGGAGATTCGCCGCGCAGCAGAGCTGGCAAAGTCGGTGGACCAAGTCGTCGTATGCGTCGGACTCAATGCGGACTTTGAGCAAGAAGGCCATGACCGTCCTCACATGGACTTGCCTGGAAGAACAGATGACTTGGTTTCTGCTATCGCTGCTGCCAACCCGTCCACTACAGTCGTAGTTCAGTCCGGGACGCCTGTGACAATGCCTTGGGCTGGTTCCGTATCGGCAATTATCCAAGCATGGTATGGTGGAAACGAGACGGGCAATTCCATCGCAGATGTGTTATTTGGAAACGTCAACCCATCGGGCAAGCTGCCCTTGTCATTCCCAGTCAGGGTTGAGGACAACCCGGCTTTCCTTAACTACCGGTCGGACCAGGGACGAGTGCTTTACGGCGAAGACGTCTTTGTTGGATACCGCTACTACGAAGCAGTCAAGAGACCTGTTCTCTACCCTTTTGGGTGGGGGCTATCCTACACGACCTTCAAGATTGACGGTCTTCAGGTGTCTCACAGAGTCACCGACGGTGATGAGAAGATTTTGGTGATCGTGAAGTTGAACAACACAGGCACGGTCGATGGTTCCGAAGTTGTGCAGGTCTACGTCGCGCCCCAACACCCCTCCATTACACGTCCTGGAAAGGAGCTCAAGGGGTTCTCAAAGACGGATGTCAAGGCGGGACAGTCCGCTGAGGTGGAAATTGTCTTGAGCAAGAAATATGCTCTAAGCTTCTGGGATGAACCGCGCAAACAGTGGGCGGTGGAGGCCGGAAAATACAACATCCTTGTTGGCACCAGCAGCAGTGAGACGCCTCTTGCGGCTACAGTGGAGGTTGAGAAGACCAGCTGGTGGTCAGGCATTTGAACGTCAAAGGCTTCCGATAGAGTAGAATGCCAAGAATAGACTCGGTTCCGAATCAGTTGAGATGTGGCTTTGTGAACTCACATGAGAATACAGCTGCGTCAGGGATTGTTATGAGATGTGTTTCTCTTCCATGTTTGGGGTGAGAAAAGTACTCGCTCGAGAACGCACCGAGCTGGTGGATGGCTCGGTGTTTTCAGGCCCCCACCCTTCTGTAAATAACTGAATTTGGCGGCTTAAATAAGTGCATAATACCCCCCAACTTCCTCTTATCAATTCATCTCGATAGAGGAGCACATCTATCTTCGACCTTCAACTACCCTCAAAGATATCAACGACAAGAGTCACTGCACACAAGTTCAATAACATGGATCCCGAATTGCTAGACACACCCTGGATTTGGCATCCGGAGTGGCAAGACCATGGCGCAAATACTGCTGGTGGCATCGTCCACTTTCGCAAGAGTCTGAACCTTGAAGAAGTTCCACAGGGGCCGTCGAGAATTCAGATTACGGCGGACACGAGATACAAGCTTTTCATCAACGGTCAAGACGTCTTTTCAGGCCCTGTCAAAGGGGATGAACATCTCTGGTTCTATGACGAGATCGACATACAACCATTTTTGAAGGCTGGGGTGAATCAAATCTCGGTCAGGGTCCTGCGCTTCTTTCATGCCACGCAGTACGCGACGAGTTTCCCACGACTACCCATTCCTGGACTTTTCATACGACCCCTGGTGTCAAATGATGTGGTTTCTTTGCTTGTTCGCAGTGACAGTTTGTGGGAAGCCGCCATAGACCGTGCCACGGTGCTTCGCATTGACCAGAAAGAAGACGACTTCCTCCACATTTACGAAGACGTGGACGCAGTGAAAGCATTGGAGCTCGATTGGGTTGCAGCAAAACAATTGGAATTACCGGCATCGCATGGCATCACTCCGCCGTGGGTCTTAGCTCCGCGACTGATACCAAAGCCGACGACCACTTCTCGTTCACTTGCAGCTGTCCATAAGGTCAGAAGCGGCATAGAACAGGCTTCGTGGGAGAGCTTCTTGAAGAACGGTCCGAGTACGCTCTGGCTGCCTGCGGGCACACATCACCACATCGAAGTTGAGGCAGACAACCACTTGACGGCGATGCTCGCATTCCGCTTTAGACGACCCGAAACTTCGGGATCAATTTTACGAATTCGGTACTCTGAGGCGTATGAAGACGAACCAGAGTATGTGCCTTACATTCGCCGCAAAGGCGACAGGAGAGACACGACCAAAGCTTTGTTTGGGCCAGAAGACAGGTATATCTTTGCTGGCTCCTCAGGAGCTCAAGCCAGCACCGACATCGCCTACAGTCTAGATGCAGCAAAGTTTGAGATCTTTTCGCCTTTTCATTTCCGAACTTTACGCTTCATGTCTATCGACATCCAGGTAGATTCGGAAAGCGATCTAGAGTTCCTTGGGATTACCATCGATCAGATTCATTATCCTCTAGACATCAAGAGCGAGTTCACCCTCTCCTTGGCTGATGAGCACCAGTCAACATACCAACGCCTCTGGGACAACAGCGTACGCACGCTTACAAATTGCATGCACGACTGCTACAATGACTGTCCCTTCTACGAACAGCTTCAATATGCTATGGACGTACGCAGTTCCTGTCTTTTCACTTACGCCGTGTCAGGCGATGATCGAATGGCTCGGCAGGCAATTGTTCAGCTTCACAACTCGTATCGTCCAAGCATTGGGCTAATCGCTAGTCGCAGCCCTGCCCATGTCTTTCAAGTGATTCCTCACTTCTCGCTATTCTGGATCTGCACGGTAGCTGATCACTTCACCCATTACGGCGACGAGAAATTCACTCGCAAATTTCTCGCAGTGTGTGATGGTATCCTTGCGTCCTTTGCACAGCGCTTGGATACAGAGACCGGTCTCATATCCAGTGGCTCTCGGTTCATCAGGACACATTGGGACTTTGTCGACTGGACAACTGAGTGGACACCTATGGGTATACCGCCGGCAGCCCAGAGGACGGGTATTCAGACATTCACCAACTTTCTTTACGCTTACACGCTCAAGGCCATCGCCAAGACTGTCAGGAATCTCGGTCGACCTGCTCTAGCGCAGGAGTACGAGTCACAAGCAGACGAGATCGTTTCGGCCACCCAAAAGCACTGCCGTGTGGGGCCAGTCTTTACAGATGGATTGGCGGTCAAAGCCGACCACTCCTTGGACTTCAGTCAACACAATCAAATCTGGGCTGTTCTCTGTGGCGCGACTAGTGGTGAGGAGGCGAGACAACTCCTCACACAATGCTTCGATGATACCCCGAGCACGTCAAAACTCCCCACTGCACCGGGTCATCTCGTCAAATTCACCAAGGCTTCTACGGCGATGTCGTTCTACGCTCTCCGGGCTTTGTCCGAAGTAGGCGGAGACCTCTACGACAAAGCTTTCCACTCCTTCTGGGATCCCTGGCGGCATCAGCTGGGACAGAATCTGACAACTTGGTGCGAGGATGAGGTGACGCTAAGATCAGACTGCCATGCGTGGAGCTCGGTGCCTCTCTACGAGTTCACGGCCGAGGTTGCCGGTATCAAACCTCTCGAGCCCGGATGGGGAGCCATCTCTTGCGCTCCTCGGTTCACCCTCTTCAGCGAGTTTGACGCCAAGGTAGCGCTTGGTGGAAAGCTAGCACCTGGCATTGCTCGCATCAGATGGTCCCGAGAGGTCGGTACTGATGAAATGAGCTTGTCGATTGCTCTGCAGGATATCCCAGTCGAAGATCCGATTCGAATAAGCGTGAAGCTTCCAAGTGGTGTTGAGGAACATCTTGGCCAGGATTTTACGTTCAACTTTCTCCTAGAGTAGAGTAGCGTACAGAGTACTAAAGTACACTAAAGAAAACAAGCATCTTCCCAAATACCCCTTGGCTGTGAGTCGGCTCATGAAATCGTGACCGAGGTTGCTCTACGGCATGGGCACCTTGCCCGCTGCGTGTTTTTGCACAGAATTCAAGGGGGGAAATGATCCTACATGATTCAGAGAATCGCTGAGCTAGAGTCAGAATCGAGTAGAGTCGGAGTTTAGCGTGGGGTCGAACCAAGTTAGCGGGTCAAAATGAGATGAATCCATTGTCCCGGCTTTCCGCGTGAGCTCCACCAGTTCCACGTTCCGCGTATTCTCTGAGCCTCAACTCCGGCTTTCCGCGGCCGAGTCTACCCTTTCGATTGGGATCCAGCCCAAGATTTTGGCTTTGAGCTGGAGGTAAAATGATTTCGAGACTAAGCAAAGGTCTGGGTCACCTACCGGGTCACGATATCTTGACAGCCTGGATCCCGAACGCCCCCAGTCCCCCCCGCGAATCACCCCATACCCCGGATCCCAAGGACACATGCAGGGGCGCTAAATCAGGCGTGTCTGAAAGCAACGCCTCATCGTTGTTCAACGATTTCTTTAGTATCACGCAACGATTCGTCCTTTGCTTCCATGACTGCCGGTCAACTTTTCTATAAGACTCTGTTCAAGTGCTGACCTTGTCTTATCCTCTATTCAGCATATCTCTAGGACCTTTCGCAGCTTTCGCCGCCTTGAACAGATACCTAGCGGCCTACATCTATCACAAACCCGTCCATAACCCATCAAAACAGACATGGGGCCCGGCAGCAATGTTGAGGGTCCTTTCGTGACCGCCATGCCAGAGGGTACGGTAGATCCGAAGAAATGGTGGAGGTCTAAGAATCTTCGCACTCTGAATTTGCTTCTAGCATTTCCAATGCTGTCCATTTTCACCCAAGGGTAAGAATGCATAGCTGTCCCCCCTCGATGGTTCTCCAGACTTACAAAAGATGTCTAGTTTTGACGGCTCGATGATGAACGGCCTTCAGTCAGTCGAGAACTGGCGGAACTACTTTGGAGAACCCAAAGGATCGACTCTGGGTCTCTTCAACGCTGCCTATCCTATCGGAGGTCTCTGCGCCATCCCGTTTCTCTCAATTGTCAGCGATACTTTTGGTCGTAAGATTGGTCTGGCATGCGGCGCAACACTATGCATCATTGGCTCTGTGGTCCAAGCCTCAGCCCAAAACCTCGTCATGTTCGTCATCGCTCGCGGCATCCTCGGTTGTGGCACTGTTTTTCTTGGAGCTTCAGGTGCCCCATTGATCACAGAGATTGCACACCCCGCCCACAGAGCTACCGCAACCGCTTTGTTCAACACCTCATATTCTCTTGGTGCCATCGTAGCGGCATGGACAACCTTTGCGAGCTTCCGTATTGACTCGACATGGTCGTGGCGTATCCCATCAGCAATCCAGGGGCTGCCATCCATCATCCAGCTCTTGGGTCTATATTTTGTTCCAGAGAGTCCGCGTTGGCTCGCCTCCAAGGATCGCAACGAAGAGTCGCTAGCCTTCTTATCCAAGTACCACGCCGAAGGCAACGAGCATGATCCTCTTGTCCAGTTCGAGTACGAAGAGATCCAGAGCACTCTGGCATACGAACGGACGACCGATCGAGGCAGCTGGATTCAGAATTACCTTGAGCTGATCAGGACCCCCGGAAACCGCAAGCGTCTGTTCATTATCCTCTGGACGTCTTGCATAGCTCAGATGAGTGGCAATGCCTTTGTCTCGTACTACTTGAGCAGTATTCTATCTTCAGTCGGACTGAAGTCTTCCATGGAACAGACCCTCATCAACGCCACCCAGCAGATCCTTTCTTGGCTTTCGGCTCTTTACTTCGCAACGTTGCCGGGCAAGCTCGGTCGCAAAACACTGTTTCTCAGCTCCTTATCCGCTATTTTCATCTGCTTGATTTGTATTACAGCTGGTAGTGCAGTGTTTGCAAATGACGAGTCGAACAAGGCTGCCGGTGGATCAGTTGTGGCGTTCCTCTACTTATTTTCTCCTGCTTACAACTTGGGTCTCAACGGCAACTTGGGGTTGTACATCACCGAGATTCTTCCTTACAGCCTCCGCATGCGTGGTACAGCCTGTTTCCAGCTGTTCTCCACATGCTTCTCCCTTATTTCAACCTATGTTGTTCCCATTGGGCTTGACAAAATGGCATGGAAGTTTTACACCATCTTCATTCCTTGGGTTCTTGTTGAGATCGTTGTCTTGTGGTTTGTTTACCCCGAGACCAAAGGCCCTTCCTTGGAAGAAATTGCTCTCATCTTTGATGGACCTGCTATGGATGCTACAACTACCATTGGAAAGGACGGTGTTAAACATGTCGAGATTGGCTTTGCGGACGGAACGGAGAAAGTCTAAGTGGTCTCGCCGAACTAGGTCGGTTTGTAGAATGTTGTAGTTCGTGTGATCATCAAATGGGAGGCAGATCAAGAGGTTTGGTCCTATACATAGTCTACCTTTAATAGAGAAACATCTCGACAAAACAAAAAAAACGAATGATTTTCCTCTGACTACAAGTCGAAAACTTTGGTTGAGAGTTTCAAAGATAGTAATTTACAGTTATGAAGATTTATTCAAAAATGAATATTCCCTAAATCCTCTTGGCTTTTCTGCGCCCATGCTCTCTGGAGATCTCATTGCATTAGTCCCACACAGCCAGAATTGGAGGTCATGATCACTAATCCCATAGATGGTGAGGAATTCCTCCGCGTCTCGGATGTATCACTAATCTTTGTGTCACTAAAATGGGCAGAATTGAGATTGGTAGACGAAAAATGGAAATATTTCTTGATTCAGTCTTAATTGACGTCCCATTAAACTTCCCATGGTCTCGTGGGACAGGATCTAAGCGAGAAGATCATCGAACTTTGATAGAGTAGTTGCTATCCTCATACGATAGTAAATGTTTATGGGGGACTCTAAGCAGATTTTGTAGGTGTTTGGTTACTGGAACTGAGTATGAAATCAAAGCAGCACGGGATAATCTGACCTAGCCCATGATGTTCTCAACCCTTCTGACTCCACCCAGCTTGAATAACTTCTTTGACAGTTCGCGCCTTGATCTCTGGGAACAACTGAATGAGAGTCGTTTTAGGCTGGAGATGATACAGTCCTTCCTCAAACCAGATACCAAAAGTGGCGAAAAGTGCCTGAAGTTGATCTTTTGGCATCACGCTGTACAGGGACGGATGAGAAGGCAACTCCGTAATCTTGCCAGACTTTAGGAAGTCGAGTTTGTCATGGGTGACCTCGAACTTGACGCCTAAAGATGTGGTTGTGTGAGAAAATGTTTGACAAGCGCGTCCAAGCAATGTGCGTCACTCACCTTTGACTTCTTCGGCTATTCGGAGGAACTCATTCCACGTCACATTTTCGCCGATAACATAACTCTCCTTCTCCCATTTGGGGAGCTCCAAACTTGCTGCCACAAATTCTGCAACATCCAAGGTGTGTGTAAAAGTGACGGGAGTATCGCCTTGCCCAGGAACGGCGGCCCTGTTGTGCTCGATGTCGACGACGATGATGTTCTGGATCTGGTATGTATTTACACGAGGGTATCCCCAGAAGTCCAGAAAGTAGCCGACATAATACAGAGTGTATTCCAGAGACGAATTCTCTAGGGCCTCCACTGCATCGAGCTTCGACTGGCCGATAGTCATCTGCCTTTCGGTTACTTGGCTAGAAGACGCTTCTTGTCAGATGTTTTGTTCTCGGTTCCCAAATTTCTCTTGTATCCATGTTCACGAGCATGCCAGGCTTTACAACTCACTCTCTGGAATAGGGAATTCCCCAGACGCTCGGGATGAAACGCCTCGTATGAACGCAGGCCTCGGCAGCGCGTATCATATTTACCTGAGGAGAACCATCTGAGGTCACGAACAAGGTCGAAATCACGGTGTCGACTTGATTGTCGTCAAAGACCTTTGTCAACGCCAGGATGCTGCTGTAGTCGACTGGAATAACCTCGATTCCTGTTTCATTTTGCAGGGTCGGATTGGGCTATCAACGATCAGCATCTCCCATAGCCAACCTGGCCAGTCAAAAGCACAAGCTTACAGATCTACTGAGTATCTTGACGCGGTAACCGCCCTTGCGATTGATAGCCTCAGCAATAGCCCGGCCGATTCCACGAGTCCCTCCTGCGACTATAATGGTAGTCATGTTGATTGTGATCTCCCGACAGTATGTACGAACGTTGAAGGAGGAATGTCAACTTAGTACCTTAAGCTTAGAGGTGAAATCTTGGGTTGGATCAGTCCAGCTGTGGGTGCTCGGCACTTTTGTACACCGCTCCAAGGCAAGCATCGGGGGGCTATCCATCCGACGGGCAGACCATGAATCCGAAACCCATGTTCATCCTTCTGTTGACTCACGAGGGACGTTGACAAAGGTAGCGGGTGCTGCGCTCGATCTAATCAAGAGGCCAGCCCCGGACAGATTTCGGCCGAACGCTCCATGTCCTTTTTAGAACACCACATCTGATTCCAACACTCTGGTTTCAGATTATGTAATCACGCTTATTCCCTTAGCTCGGAAAGTTGTCTGTATCAGTAATTCGACTTCATTCAATCTCGGACCATGCATTTTCAACACAGATTGTCATGGGGAAAGTCTCGCAAGGGCCAGTGCCTTACTTCCTTTTTATAACATTTGCTACAGTCTACTGCGAGGAGGGAATTCACCGAGACTCACGTTTCTAGGCAGTTGTAATAATAAGAGCGGAAAGGATGTATTAAAATAACACTAACCAAAGGGCAACGCGTTGACTCGAACCCTCAACTTCAAGAAATGCGCTTAACGTTTGCCTAGCACATCACTTAGCACCAAGCCGCCAGGCTCACTCCCCATCGACAAACAGTTGTTCTTGCTGAAATCGACAGCATGGCTAATGATGTTGATGAATCGCCGAGCCCCGTCCTCGGCAAAGAATATCTCCTCACTCATGATGCAGCGCTTAATGAAGTCTTGAGCGCGGCCAAACATCTCCGTTTCATATTCTTTGACGGCCTTCTCAAGCTCAGAAGGGTCTTTTCCATACTCGTTGGACTTACTCTCAGCCAGCTTGAGGGCGTCGTACATGGCCATGTTAACTCCTTCGCCCACAAATGGCGTCGATACATGCGCGGCGTCGCCCAGAAGGGTAACTCCTGGAACACGAGTCCATTTAACGGAGGACATGGGCATGCGGTAAAGAGGCCAGGGTCGGAAAGGACCTTCAGCGTCAGAAATAAAGCTTCGTAACTCAGGGGCAAAATCCGCGAAGAATTGTGAAGAGGAGAGAAGCTTTTGTCGTGTAGCTTCGGTATCAGCTATGTCAAGGATTGTTCTTGTCAGGTTCTCAGGTGCCACCAAGCCCACATAGACTCAGGATGACCGATCAGATACCTGTTGCACTGAGACCGTTCGTCCATGGCCCAAAGCCATCATATTGCCGGGTGCCGACAGTTCTAGCGCGGCGGAGTAACTCGGGTTGCCATGCGAAAGTCGACCCTCGATGAACATCTTCCCAGAATATTCAGGTTTCGCCATAGTAAGCTGAGAAATATTAGGAGTTATCATGAAAGTGATGTAGCATGACCAGGGCTTACTCACCAATGGCCTAACCTTGCTCCACGCGCCGTCAGCTCCGACAATGAGCTGGAATCCAGATGCAGAAGCGCCATTTTTGAACTTGACGATCCAGTCCGAGCCTGACCCCTTGTCGATTGCTTGAACACTATGACCCAATCGCACTTTATGGGATGGAATTGAATCAAGGAGGAGTTGGCGCAGCTGGCAACGATCAATCTCCGGAGCGTCATGATCCCGCCCGAACTCTGCTTTCAAGGTGCACGTTGGGTCCTGAACGACGAATTTGGTAGCATCCCACCGCGCGAGCTTGCTGAACACCTCAAGGAGGCCTGCGCTTCTCAGAGCCTGCTGGCCGGAAGGGCCATGAGGGTCGAGAGTTCCGCCCTGGTACATCGGCGTGGGAGCTGAGTCGATGTCTTTCTCAAACACCACGCAGTCGATATTGTTCGTCTCCAGCAAGCGTGCGAAGGTCAGGCCGCAGGGCCCAGCGCCAATGATTCCGATGGAGGCTACGTTGTGGGCCATATTTCCTGTCTTCCGTAGTAATTGTGTTCGGTGGTGTGATGCTTTGGTTTTTGAAGTCGAGGTCAATAGTGTTGGCAACGGAAGGATAGTGAAGGATGAAATCGATATGGCGTAGTTGATATTGTCGAATTAGATTGTGTAGGATCGGAGTCTGAGTTAAAATCGAATAGCTTGTCTGCTTTGAATGTGATAGAAGACAAGTTGAGAAGAAATTGAGAGGCAAAGGGACATTTTCTCTCATTGGATAGCATTCCGTCGTGTTGAGTGCCACACGGTTGGCATCCATGTTCAAGGCTGAAATGAGCTATTGCGCAGTTCACTTGGTCGGATCTTCAACGTGCTCACGGAAATCGTGAATTCTCCGGCTTAGATGCGACAACAGTAGGCGGTGTTTAAGACTGCAGATGTGGTTGGATGGTTTCAGAGGTCTCCTGGAGGTTTGTTGCCGTGCAATATTGAGCATGGAGAATAATGTCCGAGATCCTATTGTTTGACTGGCTTCTGTCGGAATGTCAGCATCCTTACCGGAGGAACGCTCATCGTCGGCGTTCATCCAGTCCCCGCCATTTCTGTCGGACCTTTTGTCTACACACCCAAGCTTGATCAGAAGTTTGCCGGCATCGGGCAACTGAGTGCATCCGTAACTTCGACATACCCTCGAATTCTTTCCATTTGCAGGGGATTGCATATCAACAAGTAATACTTCATCATCAAGGCCGATTGCGATGAGCCCAGGTAGCTATCCAGGGCAAAGCACCCCGCTGGCCCGTTTCGCGGTAAGCTTTCAGGATGATCATCAGTTCAAGTTCTCACTTACCTCAATATTCTTGACTGACATACTGGATATACTCCCGTGCGATTATTGCCGACAGAAGAAATTCAGGTAATTTCATCACGGCTGCACCGGTGCTATCAATGAATGCATCTTTGCAAATGGGAAATGGAAATTCCGGCGGGAGACTAACGTGTCAAAGATGCTCCAGGGAGCTGCCAAAATGCAGTGCCTGCATTCCATGGCCTGGACTTGCAATTATTCTCGCGACCGTCTAAAATCTGTACCGACTCATAGTCAGCCCAGTTCAGTGTCAGTCCAAGGGCAGCCACCAACTCAGGACCATGAATCGATGCCACAGCTCGCAAGTACATGAGAGCACTCCACGGTGGTATCTCGACTTTGCAGCATAGAACGCACACTTGAGCGCTTGACCGCGTTAGTAGAAAATGCTGTTGTGCAGTGCTCATCCGAGAAGGAGCCGAGAAACGGTGCTCAGGTTCTTTCTCGGGCGCATCAGTCTGAGTAAAATCGATGATCGGGCCCCCAGGTTATTTGTTGGCGCCTCTCATTCTTTCTCTTTCGTGAGAGAGGCTACTGAAAACGTTCGGACAACATCTGGAAATCCCAGTCGTTCGTCTCAGCAAGAGACGGACGCTCAGTCTGAGCTTCAGTTTCTATCGACGTCCCTAACTACCGCAGCAGTCGAGCCCGTGCATAACACGCATGCGGCAGGATTCTATATACCTTCCAGAGCAACAGGCTACAAGCTTATTGGAAGTAAGTTGGTTGATGCTCGATTACACGACTGCAACAAAGTGCATGCTGATAAACTCTGGCAATTCTAGCCTTTCTTGAACACGCGCCAAAGGGTGAGCCATTCTTCATTACACCTTCAGAGGAGCTCCTGAGGCAAACAGTCTTCAGTCCAGGGAAATTCTCTCACAACGCTTGGCTGGTCTATTTCAACTACACCATGTTAGCTCAAATCTCTACAGAGCAGCGAGATGATGGAAAGCTGGAGGCTGCGAGATTTCGGCAGAATGTGCGGATCACCGTGAACGATAGCCGCATATTCTTGGAACCGCGACAGGTCAATGTTCAAGCACTAGCCTTACTAGCTGTTCATGGCGAGGATTACGCCTCTCCAAATTTGTCGTGGATGTTAGTTGGCCATACTTGTCGCCAGGTGGAGGCTCTCGGCTTACATGTGCCAATGTACACCGATATCGAGTCCTATCAGCGGAGTCTTTCGATGTTCTGGCTCCTCTTTGTCTTGGATAAGTCTTGTGCTCTCGCGTTTGGTCGATCCCCGTTTCTTCCGATGAGTCTCTACCGAGATGTTCCACTGCCCGACTTCAGCCATCTGCTCAAGTTCCAACCTCCACATCTCGATCTGGAGTTCAGCAGTGCACCACCGTCTGCAGTCCATCTAAATTCGGAGCACACTTCTTCATTAAGGGCATTGAGCTAGCCAAGATAATGGGCACAGTCGTCGACATGCTGGCCCTAGGTTCATCAAAAATCTCTCGAGACACCATCAGGCTGCAGCTCGAAAAATGGTCCCATCAAACGAAAGAAGTATGTCAATGGGAAGGAAGACCTTCCTTTAGCCTCATATCATGAATTAACCTTAGCTTACGATGTTCAAAATGCAGATTTTAAACAAAACAATTGAGGCAGAAAGGCGACTCCTTGAGCCGGCCCAGCTGAAGGAAATGTTGTTGGGCCTCAATAGTCTAAGATTCCAGTACCTTCACATCATGATTATCCTTCTCAAAGAGGAAAAATCTTCCAACAATCACTGTCTGGAGTGCGCAAGAGAGGCTCTATTCATACTGCCGTCCATTGTCCCCAATTGGTCTTCCGTTTACAACGGGGTTGTTTGGTAGGCCTTGTTGGTTTGAGGCAACTCGGTTGTTTCAACAGATCCCGACCTCCCATTCAAGAGTTCTTCTGACTAACATCGCAGGCACTTATCGTACTATCCCTTCATCCCATTCTTTGTCGTCTTCGAGAATCTAGTTCACACCTCCACGTCCCAAACCTCAGCGACACTCGATCAACACATCGGTCTCCTTGCCACAACTGTTTCATACTTTTCGAGCATGGGAGGACAGATGCAGCTTCTCGCTGTTCTTTGTACTCGTCTAGAGAATGTTGCGTTTGTCTTCCTGGAGCTAGCTCGGAGATATATACGACAGCGCCATGCAACCGTCAACAACACCCTAGACACCTCATGGCCCCCAATGACTACTCAAGCCGACAAGAATCTTCCCGAAGTAGATTCTACAGAGGAAAGCTTCTTCGGACTCTCTCAAGGCACCCTTGATGAGATCTCTTTGGACGATTGGCTGGATGTTGAAAACTTCCTCAACTGGCTGCCTGCTGACGTTTTCGCATCTCGGCCACCCTTGGGACTTGAAGAGCGGCGAGATCCTGAGTCTGCCAGCGAAACTCCCGAGACTTTGTCCACGGCTGACCTTCGAGGTCGCAAAAGACCATTTAATGCGACTTTCGACTGGTTTTCTTGGGATACATATTATGCCAGCATGCTTCCGACATAGTCAATGAGGAACCCTTCGTAAGTACCAGGTCTTATCTTACATGTAATACCCTGCATATTGACACGTGTTTATCAAACTTTCAAAGTACTTGGGGAAATCATGACGCACGTTAAATCATGAAATATGTAATGGTCTACCAAGATTGGCATGTAACCGGGCGGTCTTGCACTACACGTGTTTCACTAGTTCAAAAAAGACCATCTGTACTACAAGAACTCCATCGAATCCAACTGCCAGGCTATGCCTCAGAATGCCCTAGATTTGACCGTCGAAGGCCCCCTCAAGGCTCGAGCACGCCCTTTTCCAGCACAAAAGTCAGCCTTCGGTGGCGTGATGTACTCTATCTCCCGGTTTCGTTTGAAATGTACACTTCTATACCGTAGTAACTCTGCGAACGTTCTAGGCTCCTGGTCTCTATTTTCGTTTTTCTTTATGTCCCATAAGGTTCTTGGTGCCTTGGTCGAGGTTATCTCTGCAGTATGGGTGACTTTTTGTATAGTCGATGTGGTTAAGATTGTGTACAATATAAGCTTCGAGAAGCTAGTCTTCCTTGACCTAGTTCGAGGCGTTATTGGGAGAGTCTAGAACGTTATCTAGGACGCGAATTGCCTATTCTGGACCGCAGAGACGAGCCCAGTCTATGATATTGCGCTGGCCCCAGCTTGGAACGTTGTTGAGGCTAGAATCCTAAAAGGCCTAGATGTTATTTTCTGAAGTGACTGGCGAGGGTCTCATCAGAGACTTGAGAATCTCCTTGTTGTAGCGAAGGTCGAGAAACTCGACATGGCGAATCTTCGATTGGAACTCTAGCGGATTCTGGAATCTTGGTGAAGCCATTGCGAAGTATTAATGAGAGGACATGGGAGGTTCCGATAGTAGCCCAAGACGACAAGAAATGATCGATATTTTGCCTTCTTAAGTATTCGCACTGCTATTGGTTTGGAATGCGGCTGTGTTACACGTAGCAAAGACTGGAACAAGTAGCGCTTACACTGACGAGGGTACATCGATAGATATCCATTGTTCGTCACCTTTGGCGTTCGACGAAAATCAATGAACCAATTGTATGCACATTATCAGATTGTAGCGCTGACAACGGCAAGATGCAGGACGTGGTCAAGTCTGACCGGCAGGAAACGTGGATCTATGTGCGAAACAACTGGAGATGGGAGCGGAAATGTTTCATTGATTGGCAGGACAATGTTAGAGTAAACGATCAGGTTATCGGCTCAGAAATCGATTGACAGCTGGGTCTACTCAATTTATGTGTTGGGTGTGCGACGAAGGGGCGTGCTGCATCAATTCACGACATACGCAGCATGCTTGGTTGGTATCTGAGAACATATCGGTCGAACCGCTGACGTTGACAAATAGGTTGGTAAGAGGTATTCGACGTGATCCTGTCTGTGAATATCAAGTCTTCAGGTCCTCATGGTAAGTTGTCAATCTAGAGTTGTGTTTATAAGGTTGACAATTCTGGGTGCATTTCTTCTGAGATTCCAGTGCCCCCACTTCGATGGTATCCGGTGAGGCGACAATAAACTCCATAACTCGACAAAACCTAGGGTTAGGACAGATGATACGATGTGCAGACCGCAACGATCTTCAAATTCCGATTTCACTGCTTCCTGAGACAAACATGCATAATAGGAGTTTCCATGATAGCCTAGTTCCCTGAAATGTGTATGCTTCGTCGTCGTTCGCGAAGTAGGGAACGTTGCCGTTGTGGAACTTACATTCTCGTACTCTCGCAATACCGCTCTCATCGACCAGCCACATCAATCAAGAGGGGGTCCGATGTCAGCCTTGACCATTCCGTAAATCCTAAAACAGCCGAGCAGTGAGTGGCTGAGGTAACACTCAGCTGACTTATCCGTACGTGTCCTAGACCGGTCCCTTAGACACTTCCCAAGTCATATGAATGTTCCCGTGAACCCCGGATTCCGATAGATCAGAGCACGGTAGGTACAGTAAGATGATTCACTTTTGATTGGAGGAAGCGCGACTGCGCCACTGATACGAATGCATTAGACCTGCTATACATGGGTCAGGTAAGCACAGGGCTGAGCGATCTTCAATAAAGATGAGAAATTTTTTGGATAAATATTAAGGTTCTGGAGATTTTTGGGTGGCTTCAGTCAAGCCATTCGTTCGTTCTGCTTTTAGCTAGGCTAACTAAGGTGCCAATCAACTATTTTTCTCCGTGATAGGCTGATGTGCTCCAGCAGATTTCAATCCCTGCCCTCTCTCCGTGTAATACCTAAGTAGTGGATGAGGGAACATCACTACTGCAATCCGCATGGCCCTCGCCCCTCTCTAATTCTCCAATTTGGTGTGAACCAAGGGACAGACTCTTGGTGCGATTTTCACTTCACCGGATCCAGGAATGAAGGCGGAAACCTTGGCTTTCGATAGACACAACGTCGCCCGGCTACTGTAGCGCTGCCGTTGTGAAGACAGCCCTCACAGAATTCCCGTGTCACATACCATAGCTAACGCTCATGCAATCGTCCTAAGGCGGTAATATAGGCAAAGTAGGTAGTGTGGCTTCCCACAAGATCTTGCGTGTGCAACGTATCGCATATTTTGAGACATTGCGGCCGCTCAAGGGAGGATAATAGTTGAAGTAGGTAGGTATGCCGCCCCAGATGACGCCTGGCTGCAATTTCGGGCGCAGGGTCCAGTCAAATTTTTTTTTTAATTTTTTTTTTTGAGAAATCAGGTAGCCCGAGCTAAAATCGGCCCCGTTTCTAGAGTGCCGCAACCTTAAAGACAAATCTCGTAATGACTTCTCAAGTGTCGGCGGTTAGCGGCGCGGCATGGAAATGACTTCATACAAAGATCTGCGAATGACGGTGAATGGTACGAGGGGCACAGTCCTACAGTCTGACACCCTGTCAGCCCAACAGGCCCAAAGCTCTCCACCATAGGCAGCGACTTATGCTAGGCCCGCGCGAGATCGGGGACTTTGGTGTGCTGGTCGTCAAGAATAGGTGGGAAACCCGTAAAAGACGCAGAGAGTGCCAAGGATCTACGAGCTGATCCGGGGCTATGCCCCTTGGGGACGCACCAACAGGCGCTTGCTGTCAGCCGAGATCCCTGGCAATCAGGATTCTCCTTGCTCTTGGCCCCATGAAACAGGCAACACAGGGCGATTTCAGCCACTTGAGTGTCTTTGGGGGCGCTGCTGGGCGCGTTGGACCATCTTAAGGTTACTTCGAAGGCCTATAGACTCTAATTAGGGCTGTGCCAACAAGGGCCTAGGCGACCAAGTCGAAAGGGGCTGTGGCGCGCCGGTCCAACGTAACTAAGACATTCCAACTGTAAGCGAGACGAAAGTGCGGCGCTGCTGATCCAAGGGGTTTGATCCTTCGAGTGCGCGTGGTCATCGTCAAATTTTACTTAAGACGTAAAGCTCTCTCACAGTATTGGGGGAAGTCAATTGTCTTTGCTGTCAACAAGTACCTCACGTCTCGGAATTGAACACTTGGCTCGCCAATAAGTTTACAAGAATACCTGCGAAACAAAACCAGACACTTACACCACAATAACTGCGACCACCGGCAAAATGACTCAAGCATACATCATCGGCGATAGCTCGCCGTTCCTCAAGCGCGTTTTGATCCCCTTTTGGGTTATTCGAATCGCTGTCATGGTTCTCGAGATCGTCCTCTACGCCGGTTCCATCGCCGTTGTCGCTTCGAACAAGGATGCTTTGAACGACTATGGCGACGACAGCAGAACAGCAAGCTGGCTGATTGGTGTCCTCGCTGTTATCATGGTTATCATTCTTATCTGCCTCATTCTCGACATTGTCTGCATCGTCAAGCGCTCTCGACGCACGCTCAGCCCCAAGTTCTTCCTGATCACAAACGTCATTCAAACTCTGGTCTGGGTCATTCTGTTCATTCTGACAATCATCGGAGCTGGCGGCGCAATCACCATCGTCATCGCGATCATTATTCTGTAAGTGCCTCTCAACGAACTGGCCTCTGCTCCCATTGTGCGCCAAACTGACTCTTGACTTTTCCTTAGCGCCTCTTTCGTCGGCCTCCTCATTTACGCCAGCGTCATCTACCACAAGTTCCGCAAGGGCACATTGCCCCGCGGAAACTACGCTCCCGCCAACCCTACCACTGGTTATACTGGAGGCTACGCTTCTAACCAGCCTAACAAGACCTACGATCCGAATGCTCCCCGTTACGAGATGGATCAGAGATACGCATAAGAGATAGAATAGTGGTGTTTCAGTACGGCGTTGGCCTAGAAAAGGCAATCACGACTCGTCACGGCAACGAGATGGCTGACTACCTCATTCATGGGCCCGGCTGTCGTTCTGTTCTTTTTCTTTCATTCAGTAATGAGTAGGATGATCGCGATTCGGACCAAGATACCAGGCGTAAAGAATTGATTTTTGTTGGTTAAACAATATTCCAGTCACCGACTCCTTGGCTCAGTAGAGACTAGCACGCCCGTGCGATGATGCCTTTGTGAACGAAGTTCCATGAAGTTATAAAATTATAGTTAAATGTGCCTATTCACCAAGAATCAAGGGCTCGATCTCGCGCATGAATACCTGAATTTCTCATTACCCGATTACTTAAAAGAGAATTGACACCGCTATCGTAACCCTCCTTCTCTTGCCTAGGCTGGATTTTAACCCCATCTTGGAGTAGTCAGGATGCTCGACGCTACTCAACATGAACGTACCCATCCGTTTCTTCCATTTCAATCTTGAGAGTTCCGAACCCGGCCGGCTCCGATTATTGAGCTGGCGACGGAGATCTACTTCGGAATTCTCGGGCTCCGGAACCCCTTCCAGCATTTTCCTGATCACAACCAATTTTTCATCTTACATAGGTCTAATCAAATGTTCAGAAAATTGACTAATTCCAGCTTAGACATGTCGCAATGTCAGTCACTGTGCCCTATAATCAGACTGAATTGAGCTTCAGCCAGGAAGAGCCGGGCGACACATCGCAGCCGCCTAAGGGATGACGAAGGCGACGGCGAAGATAAGCCAATAAAGTTCCGATTCAAAGACATCAATCTTCAGTGCTTGAGAAGTCCTAGTATCTGTCCCTCTACCTAATGTATCCATTGCAGATAATTGGACGCGACAGTTAGATGTCCACTTTCACATAAACCTTTCGACTCTGCCTAGGCTTCAACGGCTCTTGTTCTTCACTACATTAGTTGCAGCATTCTTCTAAAGCTTCGAGGCCATGAAGCGGTAGTAAGCTAAGCAGTTCCAGTCCGCAGAATACTGGCCACCAGATAATGTAATCCATTCCTCGCCTACAACAAATTAGCATTTGCATATCATCATCGTAAAAAAAAGGCCTTACCGTTTCTCACGACCCTCTCAAGATCGCCCTTGGACGACGTCGTAGTTCCACCATAGTCGATACTATAAACAGGGAAGAAATTAGTACACCTACGTTTTTCCATCTAGCAAGAGACATTTTAAAGGAAATCTCACCGCTGCATTCTCTTTACTTCGTCCCAGTCATGTCTGGTCTGAGTCCATGTGTTGGGATTGTCTACCAGACGCCTGACATGAAGATAGCTAGCCTTGAACTTCTTCTGAAATATGGCAGTCTTTCCAATAATTAGACCGGTATGAAGGCAGCCCGTCTGATCAATGGTGTACTGCTGTGAAGGAGTCATGCCCTTTTGGCCTGGGTAGGCCTTGTTGCAAGACATGAAATAATAGTACGTGTTGTGCTTCAGGGTGCCGACAACTTTCTCAGCCTCTATCCATGCCGCACTAGAATCACGGGAAAGGATGCCGTCGGCGTCGAATGCATTGCTTCCCGTAGTAGCCACGTCGCCTGGGGCGCGTACTGCGAGCGCTGTGTCGAGCTTGGGGAGAGCAAGGCCGGAAGCGACGGCGCAATAAGTGAGGAGTTGTAGAAGCCTCATTATGGGTGTTTAAGATAATATTGAGGATGCGCTGAAGATCTGGTTGATAAAGAGACCGATCAGTGAAGCTTCGAGCCATTTATATGTCAGCTCCTTCCATTTCTCAAGATCTGATTCTATTGGCAAGATGACTGACTCTTTAATCTCAACGTATCTACGATCGGCCATCCCGTGGACGAGTATCCCATTCATCAGGCAGTTTTCAGCGTCAAAAACCTAGATAGATTCCAGCGTAGCTAGAGAAGGCTTGCAGTCAATCTCCGGGTTGAAGGGAGGTTCTTCGACAATCAATTCTGTTGATGACCAATGCACGATGATGTGGTTCTAGTTAGTGTTCATTTCCTAATTGAAGCGAGAGATCCCACGAAATGGAGCCACCGGTGGGATCTTGACTAAACTTTGGCAACACCTCATAGAAGTCATTGCCACAGAGTAACTCGAGTCACAATCCAAGCTTCGAACAAGGAACCCGAGGAAACAGAGTCGCATCAGCCCTCCAAGAACCTTTTAGGTGAAAATCAGAGATTTGACCCGAAAGTTCCGAATACTTCGGACCTGAAGGCCGCAGCTTGGCGGAACAAATGAACTCCGCCGGACCTTGAGCAAACGGACAAGGATCCAACCAACGAGAAATTCGCCGAGAATACGTATATCTTCACAACCTTGAGGTCTGAGTTTAATTGCACATAAAGTATTGCCAGTCAATGCCGGCTTAACACGGCAATACCGAAGTGGCAAGCACACCTTTCCTTCCCGAGTTCTTGAGTAGTGAGCCCCACTCACGGATTGAACATTATTAGCGAGACCGACCTTCTTTCCCAAGTACCTAAACTGCAGTTCCCAAGTTTCCAATACAAACTGAACGCCTTTTTAACCAGTGGAAAGTTGGGTTTGTTAGTGTAGGTTTCACCTGGTGAGTTACACAAATAAAGCTTGTTCTGGACATGCAATGGCTATAGCACGTAGAGCTTGGAGATTTATCCACACATACAGCTAGCATTTGCATGTATTATTGAATTACTTGGCAGTTTCCTGGCATTCTATTGAATAGCAGAGCCTCCACGTCACATTACTGCCAGAGACCTACAGGATACATGTACTATTAAGGGGTATCCTAAATAGGCACCCTGTCACACTGCAACTGGATCATGTGAGTCCGTTACACAGCATATAGAGTTGCTTCTGGGTCGACTTCACTGCATCAACAGGAAATAAAAATCCCCGAGGCTGGGACCAAGAACATTATAAGTATTTTGTTTATCCACACACTTCTCTATTAAGCTTTCCTTATTGTGTACCCTGAATCGGCCAAGATTAGATGCCAGCGAGTAAAAGTATCGCCTTGTTCTGATCAGTAGTCAAGGGACACCTTGTTATGTCTAGATACATTCGCGACAGAACCTGAGACGTTCCTACTGTGTCTCTATGCTCCCGTTTAGACCCCTTATAGGGTTGGGTAACAGTATCCTGTCCTTCAACTGTAATCACCCTGTATTGAGTACATTTAGGTAAGTAACTATAATGCCTAGGAAACGCAACGTATGATAATCCGAGGCCTTCGATATATGGTTTCAGGGGCTCACCAAGGCAAGGATGGATATAATCACCTTCCCTTGACGTGATTCTTGGCGTAGCCTCCGAAGCTTTCGGCATACGCCGCAACCCCAGCTACACATCCGTGGCAGCGTCGACTTTCAAGCGAAATCCGAGTCGTAGTTTGTCATTTGGCAAGGCCAAACTTGAGGAAGTTGGCGTTCCCCTGAAATTTCCCTGAGCTTACAAGTTACGATCTACTGAGTTATAGTTCACGGTCTTCTCCGTTGTAAATGTGGCTGATATTGACCCATACTTCTGACAGTTAGCCTGTTAAGCTTGCAAAGAGACACAATTCCATGAGAATATTCTATTTCAACGCCTGACCTTCCTATTCTGAGGGTTACGGAGGAAGCGGCTGGCTATAACCTATAAGGCTGCTGATGTCTACTTCGACCCTCTCGGTTACCAGCAGAATTTCCCAGCACACATCACCCTCAACTCATTCTTTGCAGGTACAAGCATTTCACCTCAAGGTTTGTTCATCTTTCAGACTCAAAATGTCACCTCCAGCCTCTATTCTGCTTTTTCTCGTGTCTTCGCTAGGATTTGTCAGCGCAACACCTTCTCAAACACACTGGAAGCGCGATGGAGATGTGGCGGTAAACGCCAAATGGACTGCTCACGACAAAGTCGTTCCCGTTGCGGAAGCCCCTGGCTATGATCTCGACGGCGAGGTCCAGATGACTTTCAAGCCCCTGATCCATTCTTGGCACGGATGTGTTCCATACGCAGCGGTGGACGCTGATGGTGCTGCCGGGTAAGTGAAACTGAAGCAACCTTTGATTCTGCATATCCTAGAAAGCTAGGCAAACTGATCAACCTGTATATGTACTGATGGTGATTGGATAATAGCGCTGGCTTGAAGCCGACAGGAAAGAGCGGCGGCGACTGCCGCGACTTGGGCCAGATCGGACAGACTTACACGCGAATCGGACAATCCCACAACCGGACGGGCATCATATACAGCTACTACCTCCCTAAGGTCCAGGGCAACGATGAGCAGCACAAGCATCACTGGATCACAGCAGTTGTCTGGCTGGCTGTCGATAAGTGTCCTGATGATATCGCCAACTTCTCGCCCCGTGGTGTCGCATACTCGACGAATCCCCAAGGCGCTTTCGACACCACACACACCTCCAATACCCTGTTCGTCAGTTGGGAGAATTCAGCGATGGCAACACGCCCTATTCTAGCTTATGACGGCGGAGTTCCTCTTTTGCCTTCTGCTAATGGTCCCGAAGGAGCCTTGAGCCCTCCTCTCGTCGCTTGGGAACGCCTTCCGGCGGCGGCGAAACAACAACTCGACGGCATCAAATATGAGCACACCAGAGTCCCCTTCAGCGATGCAAACGTCCAGGGGACTCTCGACTCTGCCTACAGCGATATTTTCTTTACTGGCGTTGGTCCAGATGGTACAGATTGTGGTGATGATACACCTTCGCAGGATGAGATTGATCCCGATTTCGGAGAGCCGGCCCCTTCATCGACTGCGGTGCCTGAGCCCGAGCCCGAAGCAACCGGTCTTTCTAGGTGAAGAGTGGGCCAGTCAGGATGCTAAGATAGAATCCAAGTCGTAAGCCATATTGAAGGCAGAAGAGTGTACCAGACTACGATTTCTATATTGTGGCTACTTAATCGATACTGCCCGTAAAATGGTATTTCTAGGGTTTCGTTATCATCCATGATGCGGTTTCTTCAAAGTGCCCGTCTGATTCACAGCCTGGACTTGGGGATGGAGCTCGAGACATTGTGGCCGAATGTGGATTTCGCATGTGTGATGTCAATTCTTGCGATAAATCACTATGTGAAAAGGACCCATGGAAATAGACAGATGTCAGCAGGAAATAATTGTACCTTCTTTCAGGGAATTCCTCGGAGTTCCATTGTCTATTCAATTCGCTTGTTCAGAACTTAGTGTGAATAACGATGGCCACAATTCTCAAAGAGTCTCTCATTACATGTATGATACCCTGTCGGAGCTCAGTGGGTACCCCGCCATTGGGACCCTTCATCCGATCACCCGCTGTCGGGGGAGCTGTGACCGACATGGTTCCCTTCCGCGAATCATCGTCATCTCATCCCGCTGCAGGGATGCCCCTCTAGCGATATCCAACGATGCTGCATCTGCAGAATGATTGGAGCTATCAGCACATGATCGTGAGGTGGGGTTGACGGTGGTCGACGATCAGTGTATCGTAGAGATTTAATGTTTGACGGCTTACTGAAAAGTGAAATCGTGAGCATTCTTCACATCTACTAGTTACGATGGCTTCTCCAGTCGAGTTTGACGAGTCCATCAAAGGCGCTCTGCCATCCGACTTCACCTGGGGCTTCGCTACGGCTGCTGCCCAGGTCGAAGGCGCATGGAACAAGGACGGTAAAGGCGAGTCCATCTGGGACAAGTTTGCGCATACTCCAGGAAAAGTGAAAGATGGCAGCACAGGCGACGATGCCGTGCGCTCTTACGACCTCTACAAGACAGATGTTGCCCTCATGAAGAGATACGGCGTCAGCGGCTACCGATTCTCTCTCTCATGGTCACGAATCATTCCCCTCGGCGGGAAGAATGACCCCGTTAATGAAGACGGCATCGCATACTACAACCGCCTCATCGATGAGTTGCTCGCGAACGGCATTGCGCCCTACGTCACGCTCTTCCACTGGGACACCCCGCAAGCTCTCGAGGATCGATACGGCGGCATGCTAGACAAGGAGGAATACACGCCCGACTTCGTCCGCTATGCTCGGGTATGCTTCGAGCGCTTCGGTGACCGAGTCAAAGACTGGATCACCTACAACGAACCCGGCGTCTACACCCTCGCGGGCTACGCTGCCGGGGTCCACGCCCCAGCCCGGTCCAGCTTCCGCGAGCTCAATGAGGAGGGCGACTCGTCCACCGAGCCCTTCATCGTTGCGCACACCGAGCTCATTTCTCATGCCTACGTGGCCGACATGTACAAGAAAGAGTTCAAGCCGACGCAAAAAGGCAAGATTATGATCACGCTGCACGGGAATTGGTCCGAGCCTTGGGACGCGTCGGACCCGCTCGACGTCGAAGCCGCGCAGCGGGCCCAGGAGTTCGAGATCGCGTGGTTCGCCGACCCGCTGTATAAGACGGGCGACTACCCGGAGTCCATGCGCGCGCAGCTCGGCGACAGGTTGCCGAGATTTACACCCGAGGAGAGCAAACTCGTGCTGGGCAGCTCCGAGGTCTACGGTATGAACTCGTACTCTGCCTTCTACGTCAAGCACCGCGACGGTCCGGCCGACATCAACGACCACAAGGGCAACATTGAGCAGTTTGACGAGAACAAGGAGGGTGTGCCGCGCGGGCCAATGAGTGATACCTACTGGTTGCGCACGACGCCGTGGGGATGGGCCAAGTTGCTACGGTGGATCTGGAATCGGTACCATGTGCCCATCTACATCACGGAGAACGGGACAACGGCGCAGGGCGAGCATGACTGGAAGCCCAAAGGACCGGATGATATTCTCGAAGACCCTTTTCGAATTGATTTCTTTAAAAGCTACCTAACAGAGGTGGCCAAGGCTTCGCAAGAGGGCGTTGTCATCAAGTCTTACTTCGGATGGACGTTTACCGATAACTGGGAATGGGCGGCAGGTTTCTCGGACAGATTCGGCGCAACGTGGATCGACTTTGAGAGTCCTGAAAAGACACGCTACCCGAAGAGGTCAGCACTTTTCCTTGGAGATTTCTTCAAGCATCTGATTAGCAAAGACTGAAAGGGAAAATTACTCATGTAGATACTTACGCAGATAGAATGCATCAAAATTGGTCACAACCAGCCAGCAAACTAAGACAGAGTCCACGAGACCTCCGCGGCCTGATTCCATGGACCTTTCGCAATGGGTTTACTTCAAAAAGAACCTCTCGCGTTGAATTGGCAAAAGATCTGCCTCGAGGGCGAATCGAACGCCCGATCTTCTCATTACGCAGACAATACGAGTGAGACGCTTTACCACTGAGCCACCAAGGCTAAACAGATCCATGTTATTTCCGGAAGACTGAGGCTTCATCTCTTCGTCGCGGCCGTTGGCTTTCTACCTGAGAATCAGCCATCTCAAATACCTCACCTAAATACGCAACAATACTGACAGATCTTTCACGAGCCAACAGGTATTACATCAGTTTTTTTATCCAGACTGAGGGGACCAGGTTCGTCGGAAGGAACTAGTATGCCCCGGGTCGCTCGGGTCCCGCATGCGCTCTTGTCGGGGATCATTCCGGATTTCGGGAAATCCGGCATCTGTATCCAAACTGTGGTAAGCAGCAACAGCGATACATCATAGAGCCAGCTCTTCCAAGTCAACTTGCTGGAATTGTTGATATGTGGACCAACTCGGAGAACTGACAGTCTTAATTGTCCTTCAGGCTTGCCTCAGTCTTCTATATTGACATACCTCGGCATCTACTACCTAATCACCTACTAGCGAAGAACAGAAAGGAGTGTTTTCGCGAGCTGGAGGAGAGAAAGGATACACTCTTCCGAATGCTTGGCTCGAACTCGAGACCTCCAGATAAAACAGGAAGATTCTACTATCAAGTACTCAACATATTTGGAAATATCTCGAGGGCAGTTCCATCACGTGATGACAATAACAATCACCAAAAGTTTTATGAAGAAAGATGCCAAACAACAAGCTGTTCATGGCATTATATAGGACAGTGAGCCAGCATATATTGTTCATATTTGTGCTGCAAATCTACTGCTCGGCCATCGACTCTACTTGTAGACAACACCACTTCGTTGAGCAAGTATTTAACCCCCCACACGGCGCGACCTCGGATTTTCCGACGAGATCCTAGAGGAGAAAACAACACGACCCCGACATAGCTACCCCGGAATCCCCGCAATCTCCACGCCAGCAACTTGACGTGCTCAATGACCCAAATCGGGGCATTTTGAGCATTTCTCAGATTGATTTCTTCGATGTTTCCCAAGATGGGAAGTGTAAACACGGGCCGCGGTAGTGGGATTGTCCATCCCGGGGCGGAGCGCATTGAATCTTCTTAAGCGAGGAGACCTTGAAGAGCGTCATTCAATCTCTTGAAAAGGGACGTGTCGCCTCCAGTCATGGCTTGAGTCGATCTTTTGTTGAAGGTGATCAGTCATTATCCAAAGGCTCACCTTGCAAGATTAGGACCAACATGGCACCACTCTGGCATTATTGGCTTCTGGGGCTGCCTGTCCTGTTCTGGGCTCACTTTGTAGCATCGCCCGTCAGCGCAGAATCGATAAGATGTGATGCAAGCTTGCTGAACACTAGCAACAGCTCCAATGGACTCAACAATGTTACTAAGCCCAGGATTTTCATCTTCTCCGACATACTCAACGAGCCAGATGATTCCATGTCACTCATCCGCCTGCTCTTGTACTCGAATCAGTTGGATATTCGCGGGCTTTGCGCAACCACATCGACATTCTTGAGGAACGAGACGCACCCGGAAGAGATGACTAAAATACTGCAGGTGTACGGCACGGTGGTGGGCAATCTCAATCGCCACGTCTCACAGGATTCCCAGTACAGCAGCTCGGATGTCTTCCTGCCATTGGTGTCCTCTGGGCCCAAGGTAAGTCTCCGAATCTACGAGTGATTTCTCTTAGGCTCAATAGACCTCGTCTGATTAATTGATTGCGCATGCAGGTTTATGGGATGGAAGCTCTGAGTACGACTCTCAGCCAAGGAGCGAAGAACATGATCGAGAAACTCGAAGAATCTTCGGAACCTCTACACGTCAGTCTCTGGGGCGGCGCAGGCACGTTGGCACAAGCCCTCCAGCACATCGAGATGAACCAGTCATCAGAGAATGCTGCACTTCTACGGTCGCGGCTTCGGGTCTACGCTATCTCGGACCAAGATAACGTCGGCTCTTGGATCCAAGCTCGATGGCCAGATATTTTCTACATCACAAGCATTAATGGTTTCAACGAATTTGAGGGTGCAACCTGGGTCGGAATCAATACGGACGACAATGGGTTCGCAAACACCACCAAGATCAAGAACGCATGGGCCGACGCGAACATTCGAGTTGGGCCTTTCGGGACTATATATCCTCAGATTTTGTACGGGATGGAGGGTGACTCTCCTAGCTTCCTGTGGCTCATCTCGAATGGCCTCTCGGTACCAGATATGCCAAACCTTGGAGGCTGGGGAGGTCGTTACAGCAGGGTCTCCGAAGTGGATGGTTTCAACTGGTATGGCAACGCACCAGACAGCGTATCACTTCCCAGCGGAGGCCAATACCGTAGCAGCCAGGCAACGATTTGGCGTTGGAGAGATGCCATGCAAGACGATTTTGCCGCCCGCATGCAGTGGACGCTGAACAACAGCGTGAGTGCAGTGGCACACCCGCCTCTCCTAAGCATCAATGGCTCGACAGGCACCGAGGTTGTGAGATTCGACCTCGGCCTCAATGGGTCAATCATACTCGATGCGATCAGCACTTGCGATGCCGACCACTCTGGAGACACGAGTCAACTCGACTTTGAGTGGTTTGGATACCCGCCCCCTCAGGGATACGGCGTTCAACCTTCTCTGACAATTCAACCACTCTCGTCACCACTCGGGACGAATGGCATTCTCCCTCTGAATGAGGCTGGCTTTGCAAATGTCACACTTGGACCAATAGTCACCATCTCGCCGCCAACTGAGGCCGGCTCTGCATCGGATGGGGAGGAGTGGCATGTCGTCCTACAGGTCCGCACGAAGAAGGGGCCGTACGCGATCCGCCGGTACAAGAGAGTTATCATCACAACGCGTGCATAGTGGTAACTATAGTGATACTAATTCACGATGAATAATGTATTGTGCTCAGATAGACGGGTGGACTCTTTCTGTCAACGTTGAGTAACTCTACATGTGATACCATTGTCCACATCGTGGCCAACTTCGACATTGCAGAATCCTATTGGCTAGTGTTTTAAGGCCAATTGCCCAGTCTGCTCGCAACTTCATCGTACTGCGATTTCGTTTGGCTTCAATGTAGAAATCGAGCCCGATGACAAAGCGGGCAACAAAATACCTACTCATCTTTACCCCAGCTCTTTGTTGGAGATCCTGATAACTGCAATCAAGGGGCGATCAATCTTCCCCACAACCTCTACGTGACCCATGTCTCAGTCGGAAAAGTTGGTTCAAGACCAGTGCAGCAAGCGGAGGAAACCTTGTCCTGTGCGTTGTGCCACCTGGAGATAAACGCGGATATGATATCAGGAAAGAAATACCGGCCCTCGAGTATTGGCGAGATGGCTTGTGAGTCACCCAATCGATTTACTCCTATTTCTTAAAGCTAATCGTCCAAATGCAGAGCGGTGTCTCTCCAAACTCGACATCATCAGACCTCGAACTCGTCCGTTGAAAGGCCGCTGCATGTTTTGGACCATCCGCTAAGCCAATCCCACCATCATGTTACCTCCTGAGGAAAAGAAGCCACTTGGACTGCAACCACCGCAACCACCAATACCCAGCCCTGAAGAAAATCCTCCATTCAATCACCCCAATTCGCAACATACTTCGATCGTCGAGGAAAATGAAGAGGAGTTCACATATCCGGATGGAGGCACCACCGCCTGGCTGCAAGTCCTAGCCTCCCACTTGATCAATCAAATCGCCTGGGGCTACCCCTCTTCCTACGGCGTCTACCAACTCTATTACACCACCACCCTCAACCTCCCCTCATCGCAGGCATCCTGGATAGGCTCGATCCAGATCTTCCTCACCTTTGGCATCTGCGCGCTGTCAGGTCGCCTTGCTGACGCAGGATACACCCGCCACGCAGTCATCGTCGGCTTATTCATGGCAGTAATGGGGACATTCTTGACCAGTTTCTGTCGCATTTACTGGCAAATCTTCCTTGCCCAAGGTCTATGCACCGGACTTGGGATGGGCATCATGTTCATGCCGGGCATTACCATCGTCCGCTCGTACTTCAAGAGACGGAAGACGTTGGCGCTTTCCATAGTCACCACCGGGACAGGCCTCGGCTCCGTTACGTTTCCCATTTTGCTGAATTATACGATGCCTCATGTTGGGTTCGCGTGGGCTGTTAGGTGCCAGGCGTTGATGATGCTGGTTCTTGGTGTTATTGCGATTGCGCTGATGAGGCCGCGCCTTGTGCCTAGGAAGCAAGGTCCTTTGATTGAGTGGGCTGCGTTCAGGGAACGGTCGTACACGTGTTTCGCCATTGGAAGCTTCTTTGTGTTCCTGTCTCTCTACTTCAGTCTATTCTATGTGAGTCGTGGACAATCTGGTTCTGGGAGTTACCAACTAACAAGTCGTTAGATGAATGTCTTTGCGCGTGAGGTCATCGGGTTGTCCTTCACTGAATCCGTCTCTCTGCTGCTGATTCTAAACTCATCGGGAATACCCAGTCGCGTTCTCTCCGGGTTCATAGCTGGGCACTGTCTGGGTTCGATCAATGTGTTCATCATCAGCAACGTGGTTGTGAGCGGCATGTACTTTGCATGGATCGGAGTCCACACCAGTCTGGGCCTGTACGTCCTGAGCGTATTCTTCGGCATCGCAAACGGCTTTGTGCAAGGCGTTTTCACGCCAGCCCTGGCAAGTTTGACTGTAGACCCTACGAAGATGGGAGCACGCTTTGGTATGGTTGCGACGATCGTGGGCGTAGCTTCCTTGGCAGGGCCTCCTATCGCTGGCGCGATTCTCGACGTGTCAGGTGGGAAGTACATGTGGGCGCAAGTCTGGGCGGCCGTAGTGACGTTGTTGGGCGTAGGAAGTCTTGTCGCTGCTAGAGTAGCGGCCGTTGGGAATGTGCTGAGAGCGAAGGTGTGAGTGATCTTGAGTGAACATCAGCGTAAAAGTACTTCTAGACTTGCATCATCCACCCTTGGGGGTCTTGACGATTCTCAAGCACTAAACTATGTCGTGGAAGAGATTGTTGAGGCAGAGGCGGGGTTTGATCCTCTTAGATGCCGACAAAGGAACATCAAGGGCGAAAATGAACTTGACATAGCATAATACAGTAGCACCATGGAAGAGGCGTTTTGGTTTATGAAGATATCAGGCATTATTCCAGTCCTATAAACTTATTTACAAGAAGAAATGTCGCATAGACATGTAATACTATCGTGGCACATTTTCCACACCCTCCTAGTGTCTAGCAGAGACGGTCGCGTTCGCGGCACCGTAGACAATGCGGAAAGGCTCAGTCTCAGTGGTATCATACTCCTCAAGCTTCGTTGCGTCACCAAAGACACGCAGAGACTTGATGGCAAACTTGTACTTGCCAGCAGGGGCATAGGTGCCGTCCTCGAGCTGGCCGTCAAAGTTGACAGCGAAGACACCGCGAGAGACGTACAGGTAAGGGAAGGAGCGGGGCTGGCCAAGGGTCTTGATGCCCCAGACCTCGTGAGTGATGTTAGGGGGGCAGGTGGTCAAGGGAACCAAATCGGCGCGGACAAAGGAAGAGCCGAAGGCCATGTTGACGGCGAGGGCGGGAAGGACGGCCTCGGTCTCGTTGGCGGTGCCCGGGGGAGGGAGAGTGTAGGTGTAGTTGCTGGGGACGGGCTCGTAGACCTCGTCCTTTGCGCTGGTGGAGGTGGTCATCAGGGCCTGGTCGAGGGTGACGTGGCTGTGGAGGCTGCCGGCGATGCCCTGGTAGGGGAGGGAAAGGCTGGTGCCGTCGGAGCCGTTGAGGGCGATGAAGCCGGACCAGACGGGAAGGCGGCCGGCATCAAGGGTAGGAGGGGTGGGGGTGACCAGGACGGTAACCTCACCGCCGGCAGGGACGGTGACCTTCTCCTCGCTGAAGGCAAGGGTGGCGTACTCGGCGGACAGCTCGTTGGGGAAGAGGGCGGGGAAGAGATCTCCAGCGGCCTCGAAGGTGTAGGCAGTGGCGGCACCAACGTTGCTCAGGTCGTAGGACACGGACTCGGCGCCAGTGTTCTTGATGGTGAAGTTGAGCTCGGGGATGAAGTTGTCAGTGTCGTTGAAGGAAAGGCTGGAGTGGCTGAGAATGACAGTGGAGTAGGCGGCATCAAAAGCCTGGACAAGACCACCACCCTGCTGAGGGACAGGAGCAAGAAGCTCATCGGGACCGGTTCCGTAGTTGAACTTGACGGGGTTGGCGTGGGCAGAGAGGAGGTTCTCAATGGTGGCAGGGTCCAGGGTCTTGCGTACATCAGCAATCAGAGCAACGATACCAGCGGTCTGGGGGCAAGACATGGAGGTACCAGAGAGGACGGCGTAGCTACCCAGGGCTCTAGGGTAGGTGGACAGGACGTTACCACCAACGGCACCGAACTGGGGCTTCTGGAGACCGTCCCAGTTGGGACCCCAAGAGCTGAAGCTGGAAATGGAACCTCCGGTGGCGGTGTTGTTGGAGTTGATGAGGATCTGCTCAGCCTCCTTGGGGTCAGTCATGTGAAGGACGACCTCGGATCCAGCAGCGAGGGCGGTGAGCCAGACGGCGGCCTGGGCAGGGGTGGTCATTCCAATAGCTTCGAGACCCTCAACAGCAGCAGAGACGGAGCCAGCACCGGCGGCGTTGTTGTAAAGCATGACGTACTTGGCACCAGCGTTGACGGCGTTCTGGGCCTTGGTAACGAAAGTGCAAGTACCTCTGCGGACGAGCACGATCTTACCGCTGAGGTCGGGGGTGTCGGCAGGGTAAGCATCGCAGCCGAGGGCAGCGGTGGAGGTCGAGTCGGTGCTGGTGGCCCAGAGGGGGAGGTCGACGCCAGCCCAGTTCTGGGGTTCACCGGGAGTGTAGGAGAAGTTCTGAGACTCGCCGCCGGCAATGGTGAAGGAGTTCTCAATGAGAACGGCCGGGGTGATGACATTGTCAAAGGAGGCGATGGCGGTGACGTGCTTACCGCTGGCGGCGGTAGAGGCAAAGAAGATACCCTGGTCACCAGAGTTACCGGCAGAGACTGTGCAGGGGACACCAGCCTCAACGATTCTTGAGACGGTGGCGGCCCAGGGCTCGTCAGTCCAGCCAGAGGGACCACCGATGGAAGCGGTGATGATGTCGCTGCCCTCCTCGTAGGCGCGGTTGTATGCGGCAATGAGGATGTCGTTGCTGACCTGGCCCTCGCATCCGAAGACCTTGTAAGCACCGAGGGTCACTCCGGGAGCAGTACCGGTGAATCCAAAGGGGTTGCTCTGAGCGGCAATGATACCAGCAACGTGGGTTCCGTGACCACCGCAATCCATGGGATCATTATCGGGGAAGTGCTCGTTGAAGCCATCGTAGGCGTCACCGACGAAGTCGGTTCCGTAGCTGACGAGACAGTCGGCGCCGAAGCAGCCACCGAGGGCGGGGTGAAGGTAGTCGATACCCGTGTCAATGACGGCGACCTTGATACCCTTGCCAGAAACGCCTTTGGCGTGAAGCTGATCGACCTGGGTCATGACGTGGGTCGAGAAGGTATCCTCGCCCTCCTGACGCTTCTTGAGGTCGATGTAGTCGCGGCCCTGCTGGCCAGTCCAAACAACCTCAGGCTTGGGGATGCTGTAGGTCCTCACAGGCCAAATGTTCTTGACCGAAGCGAGCTGGCCGAGCTTGGCGGCCTTCTGATCGGCAGTGTCGAGGTTCTTGAACTGGATAGAAGCGCCCTTGAAAAGAGAGTAGGTGAGATTCAAACGAGTGATGGCATCGGTCTCGGCCTCTGCGTAGAACTCGGAGGCATCCTGTAGAAAAAGGTAGGTCAGCAACTTTACTTCAACACGGCATAGGCCAGTGCTGCTGTGGGAGCTATTGACATACCTGACCATCCTCCAACTCGACGATGAAGGCACCGGCAACGGTCCTGGGTGACGGAGCCTTGGCTTGGACGGCGGAAGCCGCCGCAAGGAGCGGCAGCAAGAGACTGCTTCTGACCATTGTGTTTGGCTGACGGGTGACTTGCAGGGGACCGGAGCTGGCGAGAAAGAAGCCATCTCATGAGCGCGGCAGGCCGGGGGTCCAGCTTTATAAGTGCCATGAATGTGTCCTTCATACGGGGAGGAGGGGAATTGTTCGCTCGGCCCAACTCTCAAGGCGAGCCCCCCGTCTTGCGGGGGTCCAGGTCGGCGAGATTGGGCCTGTCGTTGTCGTCATGAAAGGAACTGAGAGCACCATTTCGGGCCAGCACGCTTGCTCGCGCAGGCAGGTGGAGAGATACATCGCGCGGAAGGCATGCGCAGTGGGAATATGCGAGCATACAAGGACGCGGTGACAGTGCGGCACGCGATAGTCCTCGGGAGCCAGGGGTGAAGGTCGAGGGGTGGGATGGGATGGGATGGGATCATGGGTCAGGGGAAAGCAGCACGCTGCACAAGCGAACGGGACCAGGGAAATAAGAAATTGCACGCCGCTTGTTGCCTCGAGCTTCAAAGACCAATCTGCAGCTCATTCACCGCGTGGGCCAGTGATGGCCTGTAGGGAAAAGGAGCGTCTCGACCGAACGTCGATCGACATATGAAAAGCTGCTTTTCGAGCTGCCTTGTTGAGGCTTCGTAGTGGGAGGGAGCTTAGCCGGGGTTGATTAATTGAACAATGTCATTGGAGAGCTTTTTTGAACAGTCAATTTGCTCAGATGGCCTTCCTATCTGGGTAAGGGCCTCCGCATGTCGTTGGGTGAGGGACCGCGAGAATTGATGGAGGGGAGGCCCTGACCAACCGTGGTGGCCATGGATCATGAACATGGACATGGTCAGGGGTGGCTTGGTTAGGGGCACTTTTAATTTACCAGCATCCCCCCCGTTTGGTGGCGAGACAGCCCTCCTCTGGCTCGCTTCTAATAGACTCAGCGTTGGAGCTATCGCGAAAGGGTGATTGGCAGAGGGCGGGAGATCGGATTTGACTTCTTCGAGATCTCGGGGCGAAGGTTACCAGCAACGGCGCCACAACGCTTTTTGTGTGTGAATCAGGTTGTGCGCTGGCCGTTGGCCGTCCGCAAGACTGAAGACTAAGAGACTCGGGATGCTGATTCTGGTCTGGTGGCACATCGAGGGCCCCGTGTTTGCAGGCGGCAAAAGGACATTGGGTGGCTCGTGTGGCATTGGTGACGGCTCCATATTGCTATTGTTGCTGCAAATGCTGTACATCTAATGAGGCCGGCAACAAAAGATAGGAGGACATGTTGCTCGATGTCAGTGGCTCGTACAGAGATTGCTGGACGAGGGTCCCCTCCCATCAGGATTCAGCAAGACAACATTCGCAACGTTATCAAGACATTACACTTGCCGCTCTGCGATAAAGATGCCAACATGATACATTGAACATGATACGGGAGTTGCAACTCCCACATTCCCTCAGAGACACGCTGCCATCCGTCTTGCGTGCATCGCCGACTTCCCCAGACCATGGAGCCAAGAGGCCAAGAAGTCAAGGCACTCCTACTGCCGTGGTAGCAGTGCATCTCAGGCTCGTTGTTTTGTTGGTGTGTTCCTGAATTCGCACTCGTGCAATGTGGAGCGCCGGGCGCGCGATGTGCTCAGGCACGCGTGCGGTACCACGGCAGCATCCACGCGGGGACGGGCATCCCGGCTGCATGGTGGGTTCTGAGGCGATTGCGTTGGATGTTGTTCCAGGCACGTTAGTGTCGGCTTCTGGAGTTCTGTCCTCAGCTGCTCCCCTTCGGCATACGGGTTCTGCTCAGTTGAAAAAAAGATAGCGTCCATTGGCCGGAGGTGAATCCGTAATGAGGGAAAAGGAGCTTGAAAGGCTAAACGACTCAAATTGAGTATGTTCCTTTTGGGCAGGAGACTCAGAGACTCTGCTGGGTAGAGGACCTTTTGCTAGTCATTATCGCCAACTCGTTTCGCCCACACGCGATATCCCCGCATGTATACAGGGCAGAGCCAAAAGTGGCGGACAACAAAGTGTCTGAATGGGCGAGGGCGTACGGATGCAGGTGAGGACGCGAGAGTTAGGCTCTCCCGAAATCACTACCTAACAAGGCCTGACACCTGTCGTCCCATCATCCATGGCTTCTCGTCCTTCTGGGACTCCATCCGATTCACCTGCCGAAAAGTCGATAACGCGGTGACCAGGCCCCGGCCCTAGACCGGACGCAAAGGTTCGCGGGATGCGGGCGGCTGTGCGACGCTGCATGTTCGCTGCTGCGCCGTATGGCTAGCAGGGCAAATTCGCAGACGGCAGAAGGATCTTCGCGGCCTGGTCTCAGTTCAAAAGCGCAAGATATCGCTTTAGGTTTGTCATTACGTATCGGACTGTCTCCGCAGGAAACTATACTCGAGTCCCTCCGAGTTCTCTGCATCTCTGGGGACACAATATGGTACAGTTGGGAACATTGATATGCCCTGAAGTGAAAGCCTGAAGACTCAAAACCACATAATGAACCGCGGCCCTGTGTTGATACGCCCGGACCAGCGCCGACAGAACGACGGTTCCTTTCGCCTATAGCCCAAAGGAGTTGGGTCCCGGCTGGGCTACTAAGGCGATCTGGGAAGCTCGGGAAGAGGCCGCGGGGATCTCCCCCACCTAAAGTAATCTGCTCTCGTTAAGCTTTGGAGTCTTCGTATTCTGGGCGAGGGACTGGGTCCAGCTGAAAATGAGAGAACTTTTGATATGCGCTTCTTCTCAGCGTTCGACCGTTCGGCTGACGGAGAACCTGGAAACGGCGAAGCATTGCACGATTCAGTTACATTTTTTTTTGGTATTTGCTGCAAATCAACGAAGAGGTTACAGCGAGATGGGCAACTAGAGAGGCTCATCAGACAATTGACCCCGCTTGCTTGAACCTAAAAATTGCGAATAAATGATTACTGACTCTCGTCCTGCCAGGGATGACCTGGACACATATCCTCCAGGCGGCCTGCACTGTTGTAGGGGTCTCTAATGTAAATAGAACATTGGCAAACACAAAGGCGTTTAACCTTACTATGGCGCCGAACTCTGTTCATGGTTGATTCAACAACATACATCGTCATGCAGCGGACTACACGTAGTATCCAATGGGTTTTGTGCTCTTCAGAAAGACCTGAAGACGTTCTTATTGAGCCGACTAACTTCCGCATTCAATCACAGTTTGGCGTAGATAGAGTCGCATCCTCAGTTCACCGAGATAAGTCTGGAAGATATGGAAATACTCCGTACACATAGCAGCCTCCGCGAATCCGACTTCGATTTCCGATTACTCATAATCGTAAAACTACCTAGTCGTGTGCAACTCACATGCGGCGATTTATAAGTATCATATCATGATACAAAAAAGATGTTGATACTGTGCGACTCTCATCAAACATCGAATCAGCCATGTAAGAGCCGGCACTAAGGTAGGTAGTTGAGCAAACAACTCTTCTACACCGCAACGGGAGACAGTCACGGCTCTTGGCCAACATAGTTGTCTTCAGATGCACGCCAATGCTGTCGCCCGACCATCATCCCAATTGTTTGGTCGCAATAAGGTTGTACCTTACAGATCGTCGGATGCGACCGTCGCAGTCCGCCCCGGGAAGAGAGGGGGCAGGGTCGACGGGCGGCTGGGCGGTGACCGGGCTCCATGGACCATAGCAAGAGTCGCCCTGTCTTCTTGGCCTAACGGCGAGGGCGGAAGATCGAGGCAGTCTCCACTAGTACGAAAAGAAGTAAGTGGGCAAGATAAGTAAGTATCCGTAGCACACCGTGATTGACTAACATTGCTTATTGTTGTATCATCTATGTACACTGTACGCTGGACGATGCCGGTTACCCATCTGCGGTCTGATGCTAGACAAGCCCTCGGGAGTTCCAGACGCATACCAGTCTATCATGCAAGAAGCTCCCTCGCAACCTCGTAGGTGTTGATGAAGTCTATACCCTCCTTCCTCCACGTGTCATCCTCCACAAAGCTCTTGGATGCGTTCAACACCAAGTTCTTGGGAGCGCTCAAGTCATACTTGGGCCAATACGGCAACAGCGATGTGCCATTCGTAAATGTCCCATTACTACCAGCTTTCGGGTTCGGATCTGTCTCGTAAACGAACCGCACATAGGCCTCCCCGATGGCGCGGGCGAAGCGCACGTGGCTATCATACTGCGGCGACGGCCCGAGCAGGCCAGAAATGTTCTGGAAGCTGTAGGCAACATTGTCAAAGTGCCGCACACCTTCAATCTGCTTGCGGTTCCAGAGCAGCTGGTCGAAGCGGTAGCTGTACACGGGCTGCGAGACGGCGTAGAGCTCGCACATCTTTCGGCGGCCCGAGATCATGACGAGGTCGCCGCCGATGGAGGCGCCCCGTCGCCACTGCAGGCCGTACTCCGGGTACACGGAGCAGTTTGTGATGGAGAGCGGCGGTTGTGTGCAGGGGTCGTTGGGGTATAGCTCAAAGAGTTTCCGGATCGTAGGCGGGGAGAGAGCGTAAGAGCGCCACCAGGTGAAGCCGTTGAAGAGGTCCGTTTCGGTGTTTGGTTTCGGGCTGTTGGGGTTAAAGTTGATGCCCTCGTCGCTGTTGGCGCCTGTTAAGAGAGGCACCTTGTTGAACTTGCCCTCGCGGATCAGTTGGCTCGGGTACCCCGTCAGGAAGTCCCCGTCAATCATCGGGTTCCACACTTGACTGGGGTTTCCTGCAAAGAGTTGTGTCTGGCTGAGGCCGCGAAGGCAAGCCAACTGGTCTTTGGCGGTCCAACAGCCGACGCTGCGCGTAAGGTTCTCGACAGGTGCGTTGTAGTAAGCCAAGTCCTGCACCTGGGCGCCCGTGGGCCCACCGCTCTCGAGGATTGCGGCGCGGTAGAGACCGTCGTCCCGGCCGTCGTAGCTAAACATGTGGTAGGCGATGCTCTGGGCCCCGGCACTCTCGCCCCAGATCGTCACCCGGTCTGGGTCTCCACCAAAGGCCGCGATGTTCTCCTGTATCCACCGGAGCGCCAACCTCTGGTCAAGCAGACCCGCGTTGGCGGAGCCTTCGGCAAGAATCTGGGGTGTTTGGAGGAAGCCGTACATGTTCAGACGGTAGTTCATGGCGACGCTGATGATGGGCTGGCCCATGTCCTGACTGACTTTGACAATGCCCGAGAGGTTGTATTGAGGGTCGGCCTGCGTTGTATACAGGTCAGTCCTAATATTTGATGTTCCAAGGTAGATATCGTCTTACAATGGACCCAGTGTATAAACCACCCCCAAAGACCCAAACGAGAACCGGTAGCGGCTTCTCGGGCTTTCCAGCAGGACGAACCACATTGAGGGTCAAGCAGTCCTCAGACATGTTGAAAGTCCCTCTAAACTGCATACAACTGTAGCCTTGTTCCGTGGCATCTTTCGTCCCTTCGAAGGAAGTGTTGAGGCTTTGAGGCCACTTGTACCGGAGCTGTCCGACTGGAGGTTGCGCAAAAGGGACACCGAGAAAGGCATCTTGGTCCCATTCAGCAAGATGCCGGCCTTGATAAGTGCCATTGAGGACCTGGGCTGTAGGGTCTTGAGCTGCCACGGCCTGGAGGAAGCAAGCCGCAGCTGCGGAAAACAAAAAGGACAACCGAGCCATGAGAACAAGAAGGAGGATCAAGCTGCTGCTCTTTTCTGGTGCTCCTTCCCTCTCTTTTCCACTCGGCGTCCCCTTTCCTCTATGTACCACGTTTTATACGCCCTTCCAGCGTAGCATCGAAGCTCGCTGTCCCCCTGATGCGTTCATCGTGTTCCTCACGTTCATTGCCATACCGCTTGGAAAAGTGTTGCCGGCCGAAACCCTGACACGCCTGATTGGAGGAATTTGACAAAAACCGCAAGAGAACCTCGTCGCCTCTAATCTCTAGTGTCGGACTTAGCAGCTTTTACGACCTGGGGTAAATCATTGGAGAAGAATGCGGGGAGATGCGGGGAGAACGCTATTGACGGCCCTTGGTCCTGGGGTAAGCTGGACAGGGTGATCTCGAACTGGGAGAATTTGCCGGGGTGATTTGGCGGATGTAGGTAAGAGATGCGGCATGGCTGGCAGATTGGAGATGCAGAGATAATTTTCCCGCCGTCTAGAGTGGCCTGTACTAGCGGGGACATCTGCATGTGAAGCAGGAGAGCTGAGGGTGATGATGTAGCCCATGGTGGTTGAAGGTGCTGTCGCATTAGCCCCTTCAAATTTCCAGTCCCTGTGATCCATGTTAGCCGTTTTGTGACTCTAATGAGATGGCCAGAATTTTTTCCTTTTTTTTTCTTTGTTTGGCTTACGCACTTATTACATCAGGTTGCTTGTTGACTGGAAAGGTGTGAAGCTCAAGTGAGTGACATGTGAGAGGCATGTGAGTGAGTGTGCTTGATGAGAGTGAATCTCACTTGTTTCTTACCGAGCCACTCATCTCACTCTGCCACCGTGTAGACTCTTTCACACTGTACCCTCCACACGGTATCCGGCTAAATCCCGGCTGCTCACCAGTTCCTTGTTGACGTCAACAGCCGTGAGCTTAGAAATTCTGAATTGAAGCTTCCCACCCAAAACTCTCCGATTTATTTTAGGATCTCGATTCGACAGCGACAGCGACAGCGACAGCGACAGCAAAAGCTCTCAGCGACTCTATTTGAAGCTATCGCCAACATCCTTTAGTTACAAATTGAATCCTTAATACGTCAAACAAAACCTGGTCAACATGTTTTGCAGAGCGTGCCGTCGCGCAATTGCGCTCCCCAAGCCCGCTTTGAATGCCCTCATTACCAAAGCTCCCCTCTCAAGTCTCTCGATCGCAGCAAGAAGCTACACTCTTCGATCTACTCCTACCAACCCACTAGTCAAGAGATCTGTCCTCGCGATCCGGTCATCACCTCATATCAACCTCCGATCGAGCTCCAAGCGCTCCTACTCCTCCGCGACCGAGACCCCGATAGCCCTCGAGAAGCCCGACCACCTTGACGATGCCGAGTCAACGATATGGGATAAGCTGACCGCCGAGTTCGCGCCTTCGGAGCTCATTGTACAAGACGTTTCGGGCGGATGCGGTTCCATGTACGCCATCGACATCACCTCGGCTAAGTTCAAGGGCGCCAATATGCTGAAGCAGCAGCGCATGGTCAATGCCGTCTTGGGCGATATGATGAAGCAGTGGCATGGTGTCCAGCTGCGCACCAAGGCGCCTCAATAAGGATATAAAGAAACGACCGGGCCGATCGTGGCGACGAAGACGACTGTACTATAGAAGAAAGTGTACCAATAACGGTCGACACTCGACCGAGCAATCCCAACACGCGGACGGCGAAGGCTGGAGCACCTAAAGAAAGATGAGGAAGGCCGTTCCGTCAAGTTACGGACGGAAGTTGTATGCTATTGTGCTTTTAATCCAGACAACCACATGTTCACTTCTCACATCTCCACTTCTCATCAATCGATCTATCGCGATCCATCCATGTGTTTCCCCGGTGCAGACTTCCAGGTCACCGCGGCCTTCACAAAAGTTCAACCGAACTCGTCTTTGCCTCAAGCTGTTCCTCAACCACCACAGACTTTGTCGCAATGCTTGCTGCCATTATGCTTATCCTGCGTTGTCACCTTGTTACTTCCCCTTCTCCAGCCAATAATATCTCCTCTATTACTCCTCCATCTCGTGTCTGTGGGCCTGGTATGGGTCGTCGACAAAGTCTAGCTATCAGTAAGGAGTACAGCCTTGGCATCAAGTTAAAGATATTTGAATAGCAGCAGCTTACCAAGACACCAAGACCTTGCTCTTTTGCCCATTCCGAATTCTATCAGAGTCCGGCGGCGATCCATCATGGCACATCCGTTGTAACCACAAAAGCGCAAGTGCTTACGCCGACATATCCGTACTCCCTGCCTGTACTCCGTACGTTACACAAGACAGAGTCGAGGAACCCACATAAGCTGCCTCCCCTCTAAACGTTTCCTCCCAAAACGTCCAATCACCATCATTAACATTTCAATTCTCTAATTGCCGATCTCCCATTCACGTCTTGCCCAAGTTCGACAGGTAACTCGCCATTGGATATCACTGAGCATCGATAGACTAGATTTCTGCAATAAAATGGTGCAAAATGCTGGGCAGTGCGACTTTTCCAGATAGGTTGTCCGATTCGAGGTCGATTCACGATCAGCATTTGGGACTTCTGGTAACAATGGCCAAGTCCCACCAAGCCTGCTGATGCGCGAACCCCGGTGACACTGTCATCCTCAAGACGTCTTTGGAACCCCGAACGATGTAACGAGAAGCGGGGTTGCAACGTTCGACACGTTGATATGGCAGGGGGTCACGTCAATTCCATACTAGTACACGGGGCAAGCCTGAAAAGTAGAAGATGACCACTGCCGGTATTGAAATAGAGGGTTGCCGCCGAACAGAAGATTGTCGATTGAAGTCGAACTCAACTCAAGTCTGCCTTCATCGAACAACTGAGCGACGAGCCTACGAGACATGGCTCTATCGGATTTCACATCGTACTTGAATGGCGGCTTATCGCTGCTCTATCTTAGCTTTGCTTTCATCGTCTACTATGTCATCTCATCCGTCATAGCCTACGGCCGTCTTCGCGATTTCCCCGGCCCTTTCGTCGGACGATTCTCCTACCTATGGCTCTTATCAAATGCACGCTCCGGTCGACCAGCCGAGCACTTTACCAAACTCAATAGAAAGCACGGCTCTCTAGTCCGCATCGGCCCCAATGACCTCGTCACCGACGACCCGGACATCCTCCGCCGCATGAATGCCGCACGCTCAACTTACGGCCGATCAAGCTGGTACGACACCACGAAGCTGAACCCCCACAAGGACAGCATGTTCAGCCTGCGCGACGCGGGCGCACACGACAAGCTCAAAGCCAAGACCGCGGCCGGGTACGCCGGCAAGGAGAACCTCGCGCTCGAAGACGACATCAACTCCCAGGTTGCTAATTTCGTGGACCTCATCCAGAGGAAGTATGTCACTACCAACGACGAGGTCAGGCCGATGGATCTGGGTAGGACAGCGCAGTACTTTACCTTGGATGTTATCACCAGAGTTGCGTACGGCAAAGAGTTTGGATACTTGATTACTGATTCGGATGTCCATGACTACATCAGCACGACGGAAGCGGCTATACCGATTCTGCAGCTCTGCAGTGAGGTGCCGTGGCTTGCCAGCGTTATGTTTTCCAAGCCCGTCCTGGGCGCGGTTGGTCCAAAACATACTGATAAGAGCGGGTTGGGAAAGTTGATGGGGTAGGTTTTGCTTCCTCTATACACTGAGTAGCACAATGATTCGATGCTGACCGGAACGTAGAGTCGCCAAGGAGGTTGTAGGACAACGTTTCGGCGCGGATGCAAAGGAGCGACCGGATATGCTGGTATGTCGACCTTTTCACCTTTCATTTGGAGCAGAGCTGAGAATGAACAGGGTGCCTTTATTCGGCACGGCGTCAGCCAGAGTGAATGTGAAACCGAAGTTCTCTTCCAGATTGTTGCTGGATCAGACACGACCGCAACAGCAATCCGGACAACTCTCCTCAATCTGATGACATCTCCCCTCGCATATTGCACTCTACGAAGTGAAATTGCTACAGCTATCACTCAAGGCCACATCTCTTCGCCCATTACCAGTGAGGAGAGTAAAACGTTGCCATACCTCCAGGTCAGCTCCTCAGTTACAGAACCACATTTCGTATGGAGACTTTGCTGATCAACCGTAGGCCATAATCTATGAGGGTCTCCGAATGTGTGCTCCCTTCACGGGTCTTTGCGCTAAGGAAACACCTGCCGGAGGAGATACCATTGACGGACGTTTCATCCCCGGGGGGACGCGCATCGCCCAGAATGTCTGGGGCACGCTGCGCCGCGTCGATGTCTTTGGTAAAGACGCGGACCTCTTCCGGCCTGAGCGGTGGATCGAGGCGGACGAGGCGACGAAGGATAAGATGCAGAAGACTACTGAGTTCGCTTTTGGATATGGGCGATGGGGTTGTGCGGGTAAAAATGTTGCGTTCCTGGAGTTGAACAAGGTGTTTTTTGAAGTGAGTGTCTACTTCCCTCTTTCCCGAATCCTCTTTCCCGAATTTGAAAGTGCTGCGGCGGTGTAAAGAGTCGAGATGCTGACATGTACAAATTCCCATAGTTGCTTCGCAATTTTGACTTTCAGATCTTGGATCCTGCGAAGCCTTGGCATAGCGTGAATCACAACATGTTCATGCAAGATAACTTCTGGGTCAAAGTTACTGCGCACAAGAACTAGGAAGATCGGGGCAAGGAAAACGCAGCTAGATCGCAAAGCGTCCTTTCCATAGATCGTCCTTAACCTAGCTGCTTATCTTCGCGCAGCTTCCAGTGGTATCGTTCATGATGATTTGGATCTTAGCTGTCGCGCTATAGTAAGTAATATGTGAAGTGGTCAGTATAACAATGGTGACTCAAAGTGCCTACAAAGTATGTAGTACTCGGAGCATGGCCATGCCCACCTCCGGACATGCGACTCGCTGCTAAGATATGACTCGGTACCGCAGCGGCTCATGATTGGTTCAGTCAACTTTTGCAAGATTCGGCCCTCTGCAGCATGTCGGGCTGTCGGCAGAGATGCCTAATGAGAGAGGGGCACAGCAACAAGTTGCAAGAAATCTTACGTCTGCAACCAACCATCCCAGCTCATTCGGGAATCACATAGCAACAATCAAATCACGATCAACGCAGTTGAAGTGAGGAGAATAATGCATGTGGTTTGCAATGGCCGAACACCAGCTGGTTGGCAGCCTGGAGTCCCTCCAATATGAACCGCTAGACCCGGAAAAGAAGGAGTTCCGCCTCATCGAAATAGAGCCTTTGGGAATAAAAGAACCAGGTGCTACTCCGCCATCCGTTCGCTGTCGTCTGAAGCAAGCCAGACTTGATGAGCAGCAATGCTACACGGCAGTTTCATACACATGGGGAGATGCCAGCATCACAAAAGGCATCCTGGTAGATGGTCAGTGGGTTCAAGTTACCACGAATCTGGAAGCGGCGTTGAGACACTTGGCTGCTGGGCGAATTGATGAGAACCTCGGCTCAACCTTTTGGGTCGACGCTCTGTGCATCAATCAACGGGACGAAGCAGAAAGAAACCAACAGGTGTCTTATGTGAGAGAAATCTACCAAAACGCCGCAAAAACTGTTATTTGGCTAGGCTCTGCAAGCGTGGACAGCGATCTTGCGATGAACACCCTTCTCGACTTGGACAAGTTGGCAGATTCGGGAGTGTTTGCTGTCATGTCATGGTCCGAGTTCCCATTCGCCAAGATAGCTGTCAATATGATGGTGGACAAGGTCCAGACCATACTCAGAGAGATAACAGGAGAGCTTTGTCGCAAAAATTCTGCGAGATTGAAAGCTATTGGCTCCTTGTTTGAACGTTCCTGGTTCAGGCGCGTCTGGGTGATCCAGGAACGCGTGCTATCGAAGGACTGCTTGGTCTGTTGCGGTGATACTTGGATGTCCTGGGATGCATTCTACGACGGGTTCTGGGTGCTTTGTGGTGTACGCGACTACTTGAACATTGTCGGCTCGGGTACTGGGAGGCGGGACAGCTCCGCGCTGGTGGCTTTTCTCGCGGCGGCTCTAGACAGGGTAACGCCCGTTGCTTTCACTCGACCAGACTCTTCACTACTCACCCTTTTCTCCTTGCTCAGGAGGACGTCCAATGAAGCCCAGCTCCAGGCTTCTGATCAGCGAGACTACGTCTTCTCGCTTCTAGGCTTGATCAGCCCTGATTCGAGCCCGTCAATCCCAGTCCAGTACAACAAAGATTGGCAAAGGATTCGCACGGAAGTTGCCAAAGCCTGTCTGATCTACTATGGCCCAAGAATACTATCATTCGCCGGGCCCGGGGGCGTACACAATGCCGCCGCATCGTTCATTCGCAAACCTTCATGGGCACCCGACTGGTCTTCGAAATACCTGGCTCAGCCGCTGAACGCTCCATCCCTGTTCATGGTACGAGGCAAAAACAGAGAAAAGGCATACACGGCCTCCGGATCACTCTCTCAGTCTCTTTCGGCCGCATTCTTGGAAGAGAATCGGTTCGTGATCCCATTATCGTTGAAGGCCATTAGAGTCGGCAAAATCGTGAAGCAAGGAATGCCATTTGGAAGGTTCAAAGGATTGAAATCGGATGTCGCAGATGGCATCCGAGCATCGTTACTAGACCTGTGGCTGGACGATCTTGATGCCATCTTAGCAGGTACCCCTACTGTGTACAATACCGACCGAGCTCTGCGAGAGGCCTTGTGGAGAACTCCAATCGCCGATCGAGAGTTTGCATACAACTGGGAGACGGAACGGGCATCCGCGGAAATGTTTCTGTCTTACCAAGCTTTGCGACAGAGAAAGGTTTACGAGGGCCTGAAGTACGTGAACGTTGCGATCGCCAAACTCGTGGGCAGACAGCCCTTTGTAACTGACGGAGGGTATATCGGACTAGCGCCACTGGCATCGTCCGTAGACGATAAGGTTCGGATAATCCTTGGTGCAGACGCACCGTTCATCATCTCATCCAGCTCCTTGGCTAAATGCTCTCGGATCATTGGCGAGGCCTACGTTCATGGCATTATGGATGGCGAGCTTTTGAAGGGAACGACTGAGGTACAGACGCTCAACCTCACGTAGATCGTAGCTTTTATATCACTGGGGCCATATTTCATCTTCAACGGTCTCATTCAATCGTGTATTATCGTGTAGTTATACATGAGCAAGTCGTCAAATCGTGAGTCCATCAATGCGCCACCTGCAAGCCGCGAAGAGAGATGCTAGCTCTCACAGTTGCACCAGATCCAACATCAAAGCTCTCCTCCTTGACCAAGCCAGGCGCCTGAAGAACATCCTGGAAAGGAATCTCGACAGCCCCAGTCTCATCAGCCTTGTTGAGCAAAGAGATTTTGAAGTTGGCAGGGTTGGCAAGCAAGTCCGCTGTCACTGGGATTCTGAAAGCCTGGTCGAAAGATGGGTTGAAGATGTCCGTTCCCGGAGTGTAGGTCTTAGTTGCGGTGCGGAATTCTTTTGCGCCCCATGTTACCTTGATGCTGGGGTTCAGCTCGTCGCGCTGGCCCTGCAAGCCGAGGGCGCTGGCGATGAGCACGGTGGCGAGGCCGACGATTTGATGCTCGTTCTCGCTTTGTGTGGTTGTGATGGCTTCAGCGTTGTCGACAAAGTTGTAGAACTTGGCGTGAACGACAATCTTGGCGTCGGTAGGTTCGTCCTTGTGGGTGAGGGCTAACTCTTGGGAGCCTCCATTGAGCAGAATGTCTTTGACGGTTGTAGTCGCGATACCGATGTCATCATCGCCGCCAAGGTCATCGTCTTGTACATCAATAAAGATGCGCTGGTCGTAGTCTGCAACGAGGAAGTCGTGAGTCTCGTTCCACTCCGGGTCGTGATCGTTCTTCTTGACGGAGGTGCGCCACTCCTCCTCGGCACCGACGTTCACCTTCGCATAACAGTCGGGAACATCCTTGACGATCTTGGCCAACAGCCTCTTGGCACCACTCTTCTTGGGGCCGCTGATGCCAATTGCTCTCTCAATGGTAAGGCGAAGGGCCCCCAGGTGAGGCAAGTACGTTCGGAAGTAGTCGTTGTTGCTGTCGAGCTTCACGAGGTAACGGTTGGGGAGCACAGCCATGGACGCGATGATGTCAAGAATGACCTTGCGCACGGCCTTGTCAACCAAAGCCCAGTCTGCGATGTTCGCAGCATTGGTGAAATCGAGCTTGAGCTCTGGCGGGTTGATGAAGGCGACTTGTGCGGCTCCAATCTTGTTCATATGTTAGTACATACACCGACTTGGAAGATATTATGTGAGGTGACGGACCAGGGGGATGATATTTGTGAGTGGTGCAAGCAAGATCGAAAGTCTGCCTTTCAGATGAACGTGTTCGATGCCCTGTTGTTGTTCATTTTAGCCATGCGCGAGTCAAGCGACAGTCTTCACGCCAGGGTCTTACCAGCTTGGGAACCATCTTTCCATCGAGCTCAATGTCACTCTTTCCCTCCCAAATGACATCCATGTCAAGTTTGATACCACCATTATCGACCTTGTGGACGTCCACTTCTGATACCCGCATGGGAATGGTTCCGAGGTCCAACTTGACAAACTTGAGACTGGCGAGGGGGCCAGGAAGCATTGTAGCGAACATGGGCTCGACGATCTCCTTCACCATCCTGCAGCCAGCAACGTTGATGTTCGGCCATAACTGCTCGATGATGTCGTTAAGGAACCCTGATGAGATGTTAGACGCCAATTGCCAAACAACTAGGTGCTTCAGCTACTGGAAGAGGCGTTTGGCCTACCTGCAGATTCGGTGCCTCCAGAGGCAGTCAATTTGTCTACGATTCCTGCCATTGCGAATTAAGAATGCTGAATATGTGAGAAGAACAATGCAGACGTGAGCGAAGTCGTTCTCGGCGTTGGAAGACGAGGTGCCTCAAGGGACAATGATGATATATCAATGAGTTACTGCGAGAGTGGGTCAACTAGTTTAGAGGGTGGATCAGTCAGGGGAAAGTCAAGAACACTCCAGCTGAAGCCCGACATCACAAGGGAGACTGATGGTGAGCGCTTTTGATGCCCAGACTACGCGGTGGCTTGTTATTCGTGTTCCTTGGCAGTGGGCATGGAAAGTGGGTTGACGTCACTTGTTAGACTGCGGAGATCACTGGATGTCATACAAGCTTGCTTGGCATGGTTTGTCCTCCAGCTCTACCATTGGGCCTGTATCCCTGCCCGCGCGGGGTTCTGCACTCAGCCGCTGACACACCGCTTGTCGACCCCAGTTCCAGGGAGAACTTGCTTCACTGTCTTGATCAATGAAAGCTGTCTTGGATATTGCAGGATCCTCTTGAGCACCAGTCGTGGAGAGACGGGACGTGGCTGGTGCTGCGCATCGGTGGCGTTGTGGCATGATACGTGGACACGCTAACAGCGCTTGAGACATGCAACGGGACCAATGTACAGGTAAACGAACCGTTACAAGCTAATAATAGGGTATGATGTCCAAGACTTTGGTCTAGTCCATGCGATAAACAAGAATTTCGTCGATTATGGAGGCTCCTGTTTCGCCAGTGGCCTCTTCGCCTGCATTGAATGACTTGGACAACCATCCAAAGAAGTCGTCGTCTCCTCCCAACAGTCTACAGCTCATGCTTTCTTACAGAAGACGAGACGCGTAGGGCGGAAAAGAAGCTCCGCACGTCACTCATCCACAGATCGGGCTGGCTGACAGCTGGGAAGTGTCCGCCATTTTGATGTCGCTCGAAATACACCAAGTTGACGGACCTTTCAACCCAACTTCTTGGCTGTAAAAAGTCAGTTTAAGTGTTTAGATACACGTGTCCCATGAGAGGACTCACCGCGAAGCCAAAATTTCCAACGTCGGGGAACGGGCCATCGCCCATACTCCACTGAGAGACCCCCGTAGGCACGTCTGTGTGGGGAAATTGCGACTAATATGGGTGTCAGTAATTTCGACACTCACAAAAACCACGTTTAAAAGGGTATCACAAACCTGAAAACCCAAGTAAGCTCGAATCCCCGCGTATGGTCCAGGTATGGCCATCATCATTGCATCAGTGATGAGCTCCTCTTTGGTGTATGGGTAGCCATTGGAAGTGGCATAGTTGACATCCCAGAACCAGCCAAGCAGACCAACAGGGCTATCAGCTAGAGCTTGAGATATCGTCAGGGGCTTCTGGCTATGAACGACAGAATATGCCCAATGCGAGCTGAACCATTTGTCGACAGCGGCCATATATAGTGTTTCCTCCTCGGTGGTCTTATTCTGCGCCAGTCGGGCCTGGTCCTCAGTCGTTGCTTCGGCGATGAAGAAGTCGCACATGTGGCCAAGAATACTGTCGCGAACGTCGATAGTCATCCATCTTCCGGTGACCCATCCTAGGTCGGTAGTAACGATGCCATACTTTTCGTAACCGAGTTGGTGCATCAGGGCGTCAAAGGCCGATCCAATTTCTCGCAAACCCAGCCCAGGGTGTTGTGGCTCTGGGCTGAATCCGAATCCAGGTAAATCCGGTGCTACGATGTGGAATGGCTGTCCGGAATTCTCTGACAGAGGCTTGATGACTTTGGACCACTCAAGATTTGTTGATGGCCATCCGTGAAGCAGTAGCAGTGGTGTGGCGTTTGTGCTGGTTGAAACATGATGGATAAAGTGTAGCGGTACGGGATACGGATACTTCTCGCCTCCCGAAACAGTCGTTGCATAGTGATCGAAGTCGTTGTTTAGCTTTTCCTGAACGTTGTTCCAGTCGTATTGATTGACCCAATATTCCGCGACATCGGTCAGGTTTCTAGTGGGAGGCCCTTCGATATCCCAGGTAGAAGACAGCCCATAGGTAGGGCGGTAGCTGCGAACCTTTTGGATGGTGTTGTTCAAGAAGGATTCATCAACCTTGATGGTGAAGCGTTGAGGTGTTGAATTGGAAGGGAAATCGAAATTAAGGAGAGAACGATCATACGGCTGAGCGCTGACAGCCGTGGCTGCGAGCAACAGAAGACGTTGAAGAAGCATGGCGGTGTTGCGTTTACAGTTGTCCTGAATCAATGGATGAAAGACAAGGAATTGATCTGTGTAAGAAGAGCTGCCCAAGACTTCACCATTATATCCGCCTATTATAGATTTCACTTCATGTACGCCCTTGACAATACATTACCTAGCCATCTAGCTAGTATTTCTCCCCCTGCCTCCGTGGAGCTGGGTCGATTACAAATGTTGAAATGAATGAATATTGCTTCGAAGGTTTAATCTACCGTGGAGACACTGATTCAAAACTTAGAAATCAGGCTTCCTTGTAAATCCTTTAATCAAGATGTAGTGAGATACTACTTCAAGGCAATGTGCCATGTTGCATTCGGTCATGAAAGATACCCGGCTCGGTCCCGTTAAGGTTTCGGTGGAGCCCCGCTTCGCGCTCCGATGACCCCCGATGAATCGCGGGTCTAGGGCCCCGGAGCTGTTCCACATCTAAACGGCCCTCGATCAGGCCGATTTCATAGGAGACAACCAACAGAATAATCACTAAATTCTGTCCTAAGGTTGCCAATAGTCCGTATCAACAGAAGCTGTTCTAGATGTTCGTAAATAGCATCAAAAAGCAACCGGAATGCATGTCAGTAACAATCAATTCTAGACGATGTCAAACGAGTATACTCCATATTACATGTCAGTAGAAGAGGACTGAGGTCTTATTGAATCTAATATCTCACGTCGCTTTGGCCTACATTCAGTCTTCATAGCGCGCAGCAGCACGGAGCAATCAAGTCATGCCCATGGCGATAGTATTATTAGATCATACATTTACACTGCGCTTGAGGCCATACTTGCCGCCTAGTACGCTTGGTCCTTTGGCTGAGATTGATTGACTCAATCATTGACCTCATTGAAGACACTGAGATCTCGGTATCGGGATTGAGAGATGACTAAACGATCGGTCAGGCTTGTCAATATCTCTACGTATGAAGGCCCCGCAGCTTTGGTCAAGTGCTTCCGCGACATCGCGACTCGATTTATGCCGATTAGTCATCGGCTAACAGTTTATGAAGTATCGTCGACTTCGTGATGATGAGTTATAGTGTAGAAGCTCGAAACGAACACCAAACTACAAAAACGACGTTCTCGTCCGTACTTTACCATCACAAACATCCACAGTAAACCTTCCTGTTGATCCTCACCTTTGAACACATCGTCGTCGTTCGCGAATTTTTGCAACATCGAAGGCATCTTCGAATCCGAGACTTAAAATGAACTACTCTTTGGCCAACATTTTCAGCTTTGCTCTTCTGGGAAGCGCCGCGGCAGCTCCTGGACTCGTTGGACAGCCCCACCTCCCCAAGATCGTATACCCTTCCAACGTTGGATGTGGCGATGTAAACGTTTTCTACACGTGAGCTAGCCTGAAAATAATCTGAACACCACGAAGAATGACTGACTGCTGATAGAGGACTTCCTGCATATCACCCCTACGTGATTGCCCAGAATGCGGATGCAGTCGTGATCGACAAGCAACTTCGCAACGACACTGCCGCCTTGGTGAAGGCCGGTTTTAATGTTCGCAGTAAGTCTTCTTTGCATCCAGCTCATCTCAAGAGCCAAGTACTAAAAATGTACGATACAGTCCTGTTCCAAGGTCCGGACCAGCCAGTGACTAGAATCGGCGAGCGCTTGAACGGCACCGACTGGGGTGTGACTGGCGTAGGCCGGGGCCAAAGGGGCGCAACCATTCTGGACGTCGTCACCCGCTTCGAAGGTATGTACCAATGGTTCTACTTCCAGAGCATGGGAAGAGGATGTCGTTCTGACGCGAAGAAACCTAGATAACCTTCATCAATGCCGCGAGAATGCGCCGTTGACGCCAACTGTCTTCAACTGGGGCCCGACCACCTTGGCTGAGTCTGTGATTCGACATGTGCCTCTGAACGAGGATTGCGCCACGAAGCCTGGAAAGCTGATTGTAAGCATCACCCAAAGAATATCAGACCGGTCGCCATGAGACGCTGACATTGAACTCCCAAGGCTTACGAAGAAGTATGCCCTCCTGAGCGTTGTGAGAAGGTGACTGTGGTCACCTCTGGCAGCTTGGATGAGCTTCTGGCTGGCACTGACGGATGAAAATGACCATCGAACGAGTGTGCTCTTGTCTATACTTGTGCTGTGAAGGATTATTCAACATAATCCTTGCAGCGGTGTCTTAGCCTGTATGTAGAAATGCCTATTTTCTCTTCTATCTAATCTTTGGAAAAAGTCATTGTCATTGTCGACCGATACCATGCGAAGGGTAAAAATATTCTTCCTTGTTTTATGAACATGCGGTCTTGTATATAACCACTGTATCCGGAGACATTTTATCAGTAGCCTACATTCATTAGTTGGCCGCAATGTCATTTTCAAATGCTGTCCAAACACTCCCAAGCCTCTGTTTCTTTGCGGTCTTCGTAGCGAATCGCTCGAGACTGGAGAGGCGAGTTTGATGTGATATCTGAGGGGTCTTCGGGTCTATCCTGCATGCCAAGATTAAAACATCAAAAATAGTGTACTCATCCGGCTTCACGATCTGGGCTGCGACGTGCGGGCGCTGGAGAGCTATGACTAAATCATCATCGGGACCATCGTCGTGTGGAACTTTGTGCAATGTCCCCCTAAACAACGAGTCGCAGCATGGGCACCCAACAGAAGTTAACGAATTACCCCAGGATTAAACCACAGAAGGATTTGAACTTCGCAGACCTTCCGAAGAGGCTAGAGTCAACCTCACAGTAAATTGTCGGAGGCCTCTGTCAGAAAATCGCTCTCATCAAACGCGTCCCCCACAGGCTATGTGCCGCATATCAAAATCCCTCATACTGCCTACCTCATCGTATTCTACACGTGACTATGATGGACCAGGCATAGAAGATTTTTATGTTGGGTATATGTAGAGAACGATTTTGAAATTCAAAGCGAGATTCAAAGAAGTAACAATTACTCAATTACGTGTCTTCGCGCCGCCACAACATACCATTCAAGTGCTGGTACGCTTTTTATGAACCACTCCCCTCATTTTGAGGTCGATAGTAAGCATATGACGGTATTCTTTCCTTTGGTGATATAGTTCGTCTCATATTTATGCTTGGTTGGGGAAAATGTCCTTGCACGCGTTGGACATGCACCCTCGGATGCCCGGAGGCGACAGACATCTGACCTTTTCCGAAGCTGCCGGTTCTGAGGCTAGTCCAATCTCACGCGATCCTTCGCCCTCTGAAAACAGGAATCTTCTACAACATGCCGAGTCACCGCAGGCCAAGAAAGCCATTCGAAACAAAATGTTTTCTTCGTGGCTCAATTGCCTTCTCATCTTTGTACCCATCGGCGTTTGGGCGTTCTGGTTCGACAAAGCCCCTCTGGCCATATTCATCACTAATGCCATAGCGGTGGTGCCGCTGTCCTCCCTGCTCACTGGAGCCACCGAGATGATTGCTTCAGATGCTGGCGACACAGTTGGAGCTTTGCTGAACATTACCATGGGAAACCTCGTGGAGCTAATCTTATTGTAAGCCTTACCGTTGCTTGGCTGAAGTTCATGGCTATAGACGCCAATAATACTGACAATTATTCTAGCATGTAAGCGCAATATCCCCATATCTCATCAAACTGTTTGCATGATGCTGATGTAGTTAGAATCGCCCTCAAACACAATCAGATACAAGTCGTTCAAGCGTCAATACTTGGCTCAATGCTCGTCAACTTATTGCCAGTTCTTGGCACCGCCCTATGCGTCTGCGGAATATCGCGACAGGAGCCAGCCTTGAATACTTCAGAGACCCAACTCCTGGGCTGCCTTCTCTTTGTTTCAGTTTTTGTTCTTCTGATACCAGTAAGTGGAAGCCACTTATTTCATACTAAGGTAGTCTGAGCATCATACTCATGACATCTAGGCAGCCTTCAGCCATACGTTTCAAGCACGTGATGGAGCGAACGAAGCCATGTTGACAATGAGCAGAGCTTCATCATTCGTGGTTCTATTCATATACATATTCTACTTCGTCCATGAACTGAGAGAACAACACATCTCTGCGGCAAAACAGCTAGACACAACGGATCTAGAAGATGGTGGTGCGATAGTACCATGTAACCCTGCATTCTCGCCTCGCACCACTCGGCCTGGGAATTTAGATGGGAGGATGACAACTGGCACCAACGAAGTTAATGACGGCAGAGATACCTTCATAGAGCTCGGAAATATTGAGCTCTATTCAAGTTCCGCATCTTCGCATGAGGATAGCGATGAAGAACGTGGAAGAAAAGAGGATAAGGTCGAACAAGGGGGAAGCCGTGAGAGCTCATGCGAGATTTCAGAGGCACTAAGTCGTCAGTCACTTTGTCATTCGATTGCGGATCCTAGCCGACTCGGCCGGGTCCGAGATGCTTCTGAGACCAGGATTGGCGGTCACCGAAGGTCCTGCTCAAATAGATTACGCATCTTCCAGACCAGCCGTTCGAAAGTCGCAACGATTCACGATAAGAGCTCCCGGCGGTCTTTGGGAGAGAAAGCGATTTCTGTCATTGCATTAATCATAAGCTCGGCCTTGATGTCAATGTGTACCGAGTTTCTTGTCGGAACTATTGACGATATAACACATCAAGGCCATCTGTCAGAGTCTTTCATTGGCCTGATCATTCTGCCAGTTATTGGCAACGTGGCAGAATACGTCACTGTCGTAACAATGGCGTCAAAAGAGAAGCTAGATCTTGCCATCGCGGTTGCAGCTGGTTCAGCCATACAGATCGCGCTTTGCGCAGCGCCCTTGACCATTTTTGCAGGCTGGATCATGCACCGAGATGCCTCTTTCGACTTCAGCTTATTCGAAGCGGCTGCCCTTTTAGGCGCAGCCACACTATCAACACGGCTTCTCTTAAGCGATGGAAGGGGCAATTTGAAGATGCCGGGTATCAAAGGAACACTCATGTGTGCTTGCTATGCATTGATCGGGTACGTATGAGACTTGAATCCCGTACAGTCTTAGAAGGGACCATGCTAATTACCTATAGAGTTGGCTCTTTTCTTTTACCGGACATCGAGTCATAGCGATTTCACGGCTCGAAGCCCTGAGACTCTCATCTTCCAGGATGTCATATCAGACCGTCTACTACTCCTAGCATAAACAAAATCGACGTTGTAATAAGACTCAAACCCCAGATACAATTGTTCGAAAGACATATAGATACTTCACTGCAGGTATCAGTCTTACTCTTTGGTCTATTAAACACTACATGTACTGATATATTACGTGGTGGCCATGTGTTACGCCCTTCCCACGCGGAAACATGCTTGCTCTACGTGACCGCAAAATCATTACCCATCTTTACAAGTAGACGTAGCAATACGGTCCGGCAAGAGTGCTCATTGTGTCACGAATCTTGATAGGAGGACCAGCAGCGTATCCATACTCGAGAACATCGTCAAGAGTCGTGTTAGCACTAGGAGGCGAGTTCAAAAATGTGTTGGTTCCCATAACAGCATCATCAGCGAACTGGCGAGCGTTGGGTGACAGCATTTGCCACATCCACCAGACGCGATCAATTTGCGCATGATGCAGGTAGAAAGCGGGATCACCAGGAGAAACAAAGAAGTCTCTTCCAGGGTCACCCCCAAGAGTCTGAAATGTGTTAGAGTTGTGGCACGATAAACACTGGATAGTAGTAATGGAGTGACTCACGAAATGACCACCTCCGTGGATGCCCATGCCCATGGTACCTGACTCTGGATCTCCCTGCATCTCAACTTGGAACTTGTCGACGTTTTGAGGAACCAAAATGTTGTGTAGGATGGCAGAAGCGTTGGAATACCTCCGGTTGATAGCAGTAGTCAGGTCACGCTTCAGGCAACGGGGGTTGTAGGCAAAGAACCCGTCCGGGTTCGTCTCACTACCTCCACCAGGAAGTGAGAGTGCCAGAGGGCCGAGGTTCACGGACATATTCTTGAAAGGACCGGAGGTAATGCATCCACCTCCCGTTCCAGTCGGAAGACGAGCCGCTTCCGATCCGTCAGGGTTGGTGAGGATGATATCTTCCTGATCAGGGATGAACACTCCATTGCCAGACATTGATGTCTCACTACCGTCGAAGATCGGAGAACTATCAACACCAGTGACGGCGGTCTTTGCCCAGTCCCAGTACTTCCATACAGATTAGTCGATGGCAACCATGGTATTACGCGCAGACAACTTACGGGTTGAGTGCCCTTGTAACCACATTCTTCCCTGAGTGCCTCCTCGTACAACCAAGTGAAACGTCTGTGCCAGGACAAGAACGTGCCGGTGTAGTGGATGGTGAAAGTCTGATTGATGTGTGTGGCGACAAAGTCATCGAACCGAGTCTTGGCACCGGGAACAATGTCAGAAGGGGTCAGCGCGGGCTTTGACTGAAGGCATTGCACGGCTTTGATGTAGTCAAGCTTTTCTTGCTTCTGCAACGACCCCCTAGATCTATGTCAGTTGCAAATCGAACCACATGGTGAACATGAACAGGACGGGGCTAACCATTCCTTGCGGATTTTGATATTTCCCAAAGAGCAGGAACTTCCACGCTTCTGAATTTCACCGCTCTGGATCATCTCCTCTGATTTCTGGTAGGCAGCTTGAGCGAGAGCCGCGAGCTGATCGACGTTCTCAGCAGCGGCAGTTGCCCCGTCATCGGTCTGAGGAAGTGGGTTTCCGAGGACAGCTGAAGCCGCCTGGAGGGCGAAGACACCGAGGGAAAGAGCGTGCATGATGATGTCGGCAGGGTGGGACAAGGGAACAAGGCCGCAAGAATAAGTGGCCCGGAGCTAGAGTCCTGGCTGAGTGAGGGAGAAGATTTCTGCAGGACAAGCGCCCGCCGTGTGGCAGATATATAACCCTTCCTCCGACTCACATCCGGTCGGAAAAGACCGCTTCTCAAGAGTGGCCAAGATAAGAAGTCGACCGGTTCCCTGCCACTTCGTTGTTGGTGCTCTATTCATACGTGATATCCAAGGATGCTTTGGTGGATCATGTCGCGTAAAAAAGTCCAATTTGCATCGCCACCAGCCCAACCCAAGTATATCTCAGAAGTAAGATTCCTGCAAAATATCTCTCAGCCGTGATCAACGTGTTGGTCTAAGATGTAATTGGTTCCACTCTACCAGGAAGGAAACCCGTCGGCCTTTTGGCAAATCTTGGCTTCCAAGGCCGGGACAGCGGGAAAGACGGCGGATTACCCGACTTCATCATGCAGGTCGAAGCCGGGGTTGTGGAATCGGCCCACGGTCCGGGCCAGTTGGTGTGTTGGTATTAAATTCCCATGTAAGACTCTTTACCTGATGCAGCGTCGAACCCGATGCCGTGCAGATTTATCCAACGGCTCCAGCAATGAAAGCTGAAGGCATGCTCCGACCCCAGAATAGGCGGAGAAGGGCTGTGAGTCGAAAAGATACTGACTTTATGCATATTCTAGTCTCAACGACCAAATCGCAGCCAGGGGCACCATCATCCCATCCTGCAGAGGGTCAAACCCCTAGTTATTAATCCCGGTATCACAACATTTTGCTACATCTCGCCAATTTGAAAGCCACCAACCAACGGAAGAAAAGGGTGCGTTGCAGACGCTCCGATGCACAACCGACATGACTGGAAACTCGGGCGAAGGATTTTTGTTGGTACTTCCTATCGCAAGATCCATCGGTACCATAGACCTTACCGGAAAGGAAGCTCCAGCGAAGAGATGGGCCGATGAGTATTTGCAAGTACTTGCAGCTTCAGTTGAATGCGCCGGAGTCTGGAATTAATTTCGAGGCTGGAGGCGAAGTGCCAAGGTGGCGCTGAGGCCCGGTGTCATCCCAACGGCGAGAATCCGATGAACAGGCTTGTGTCTTCCATCAGTCGATGATGCGTTGCCGCATACCTGAAGACACGGCGTGCCTTGGATGGCCAATTTTATCAATGCCCCTCTCCCTCTAAACAAACCTGGGTGTTGACATCTTTCTCAGTCGTCCAATGCCACATTTCAAACAATCCACTTGCTCAGAGAATGGAGTTTGTCTCGAACCCGGGGGAGAATGAGGGACCCACGGTGTTGGTAGCAACACTAACAGTCACCTGCGTGGCATTGATTGTCGTAGCAGCTCGCCTTTGGGTGCGCCTTGGCATGATTCATAGCTTTGGATTCGATGTAAGTTTGCACATTTGGGGTGGCTTGATGTCTGGCCTTGGTCCTGTGACGCTGACAGTAAGTTGAAAGGACGGGTTCATGACATCCGCGATGGCCATCGCAGTTGCAGGTCAAGGTGTCCTGATCGTGCAGGTTCTTCACGGAGTTGGCCGCCATGTAGGAGACATAGACTTCATGAACGATTATCCGATAGCGATGAAGATGGCTTTCGTTTCTCAACCCCTTTTCCTTGCCGCCATCTGTTTGGTCAAGCTTGCCGTTGGGTCATCTCTACATCGAATCGCTTCCAAAAGGCTGTACAAGAACCTCATCACTGGTGTCATGGCCTTCATGACTGCTTACACAATCGCCTGCGTTTTCGTCAGTAGCTACCCCGTACCATCAAGATGTTATTGAGAACTTACGTCCTAACAACAAGTGTTTGTCACAGACCATCATCTTTCAATGCACCGATGTAAGAGCATTCTGGGACTTTAACGTCAAAGCAACCTGCTGGGATGTCAATACCATCAAGGGCCTATCCTACGCGAACTCCTCGATGAACATACTCACCGACCTTCTGTTCGGAATAGCTATTCCCGCGCCTATGCTCTGGAGCCTCAACGTCCCGCGAAGAGTTCGAATATCCCTTATGATGGTGCTCGGTCTGGGCGTGTTTGCATGCGCAGCAGCTTGCGCCAAAGTCTATTACATCGTCACGAGCTATGGAAGGGCCTTCGATCCAACCTGGGATTCGCGAGATATCCAGACGTGGACCGTAATCGAAGCCAATGTCGGAATCATAGCTGGAAGTCTGCCAACTCTACGACCTCTATTCAAGGACTTCCTGGGCAGCATCTACGGGAAGGGATCAAAAGCGCCAACAGGAGGAGTATACTATGGCCGTGGCACGCTGCGCAGTGGAAGTAATTGGCAGACCCTGTCAAACACTCAGTGGCCGACCAAGCCGGGCGAAGACAGCGGCGAGAAGATTCCCAGGAACCCCAGAGATCGGGCAGGGAATGACTACGAGTTGGAGACATACGCCGCTCGGCCTGTTGGAACAACCACCGTCGCGGCTAGGACCGGGGGCGATGACAGTGATATGAGTGAGGACAAGGATGAGTTGCGGGACAGCTTGAGCGATGGGCGGGGGATCAAGAAGACCACAGTGACAACTGTCATGTACACCAGCTCTCCATAGTTGTGAACGTTGAGCCGGTTTGTCCGGATTCTTCTAATTGTCTCGTCCATCATTTGGGACCTCAGCGCGATGATGTACCAGTTTGTTTGCCTCTTTCACAAAAATAGTCGGCTTACCTTTGTCGTGCTTTGCTAAGATATGTCTCTCTCGCCACTGGGAGACATGGCTCTTCGTGCGGCACGATGCTCCTGAATGCAACCTCATGCCGGCTAATGGGTACAGAGAGAATTCTTCACTTCTTTCGCTTCTGCAAGTTTTTACCCATTCGGAAAGGTGGTCCGAGAACAAGAATCCCCATTGGTTGAGAAATAAATGCTGTGTGGTCCGGTAAGAAAATTGATGAAGGATCGCACCCGGTATGAAGATGCGCCAATGTGGCAAGGTCGGAAGTAATCCTTGCCCGGAGTTGTTAACGAAGTTTGTTGGACAAAGGCACATCAACTCTTCGGGACTCGCACTGCGGATGTGACTGATACATGAAGGCTCGGATTCTATCCACTTTCAGAACCCTGGTCCTCTTCTGGGTCCCGAGCTCCGTCTCGTTGTTAACCTGTGCTGGGAGCTTTGTCCGTACTTCTCATTCCGTACAGGACGAGAGACCCCTGATGATATGCGATCACAATATCTGAAGCGTTGCATCCGATCGTGATGGGCCTGGCAACTCGCAAGGACCACACCTAATTTCATCCCCTGCATCGTCCAACTTGACAGCCTCCAATAATCATGTTCACAATTTGACTCTCTGTAAGGTAAGGTAAGTCACGGTCGCTCACGAACCCACTTAGCCACCCCCTTCTCCGTGACAGACGACAGCCTACGCAACATCCGCTCGTAGCGACGGCATTGTTGACCGGCATCGGCTCACTCCCCCCCTCCATGAATATCTGCCTGTGGAAGTCGTACAGCTTCACGGCCGGGATCGCTCTCACAAGTCCGGCGTCCTCCAAGCCCAGCCCGGCCGCACTACCCTTTAGACGCTGTAGCCAGAACCTTGACGATACGACATCGATTTTTGTCACGAGCTATGGCACGCAGCAATGGGCATATGAAGTGAGTTAAAGTGGCTTGAAGTAACCCGTCTAGAAGAGCACTTGAGAGCAGTCTATATACTAAGAGAATGTGATATCCACGTGAGAAAGCACGTGGAAAGGTGCTTGACAAGTGCTGATACCATTCCTGTTTCGTGACAATTTTGCTGCTTGACCGCTTTTCATCGCCGATTATATGGCAGGCAAAATCTCAAGTCACGATACCACCCTTGGGTTCCGCACATGGAAGAACCTCGCACCAGCACTTCTATTCTTGACACTGATCTCGTCAAAAGCCAGCTAGAACTGCTTCACCCAGGATGTCCGAAGGCAACCAGTCGACCACCGAGAAGACGGGACCGAGATCGTCGGGAAGGCAGCCCAGATAGACCGAGCTCGCGACCAGGCTAGGGAGCCATTCATGACGATTCTAGATAGCGGCATCTCCCGACACATCTGCAGCACAGGCGACCTGGCTCAGCTGGGTGGCGGTGGCCAGCATACCGAGATGACGTGCTGCTATGCCGCAGAGATGTCCTGCCACGAACTGGCTGCGCGTATTCATTTTGTATCCGTCCGGGGCGGCCGCAACCGCGTTCTTTAGTCGCGCCTCCGCAACTAGGTGCTGGTCACGGGGCGCGCTTACGATGGCACCCATAGTGCATAGATGAGATGAAGACCGTACGTATAGGATGGCGGGGCACGGCTAGTGCGAATATGTCCGCGATATCGGTTAGCTTGGGCCGGAATGTCTATAGGTTTAGGTCCGAGCTAACCAAATGTTTACATACGCCCTCTTCAAATTACACACGAGATAGAAAATATAATCAGCTTTAGGCTTAAAGTCCGCGGGAGGTAATCTCCATATGCTACGACTGATGCTGGTGCTCCGAGGTGAGGTCTTTACGAGATCTTGACATTCGCAGATCGATGTCTAAGGTACTTGGGGTAAAGTAGTAAGAACTGCTTCGACTGACTTCCACTGTAGAGTGATCCCCGGCTTTCTAAACCTGAAAACTCTCACCACGACATCGAAGCTCACCAATCACACCCCGTGCAAAGAAGCTTGTTTCGTATCGTACAATATCCAATCCACACCAAGGATCAAGCGCAGAGCGTCGGGGAAATATAATCTGGCCATGACCATCCCAGATCTCGGTGAACCTCCAGTCCATCTTTGAAGGAATTAGCTCTTGGATGGCAGGCGATGTTCCTGCACACGGCTGTGGGATACTGCGAAGATTAAGGGTCCATTTTTCTGATGTTGGCAAACTAGGAATTTGACGGTCGGGTATGAATTCGCATTCAAAGACCGTTCGCCCTGCTGGCCTCTGCGCGTTGGCTTGAACGAGTCGTGTGCCATTTTTCGTTTCAATGTCGGCCTCGCCAAAGACTTTAGGAAAGCCGTACTGTTCGCGTCCAGCGAATATGGCTGCTTCGTTGTCAAGAATCAAGATGAGACTGTACATGAACTTTTCATTCTTGTACGTCACCTCGACTTGATGGACAAATTCCTTGTATGAACCCACGGGACTCATTCCATAATCGAGAACTGAGGTTGACATGAGCGGCTCATCCTCGAGTTCTAGCACGCTAGGGACGAGATGGCGAACTCGAGACGCGGCAACACGGTAGGTGAAGCACAGCATCGTATCGATTGCAAAACTGTATGGATCTGGCGGTTTCGGGTACGGGGGTGAAAAAATGGGAACAGAGTCCGCTTTCAAAGACAGCGTCCCAACAGGCATTTCGCGAGCGACTTTGTGTATTATCAACTTGAGAAATATCGGAGTTTTCCTTGATGTTGCAATTATTTACGTCAAAACCAGCAGGCTATAACGCAATGTCGCCAGCTTCTTAATTTTTGACGCCGGTGTGCCTCACGAATTTAAACGATCTTGTATTTCCCCTCGGTGTCCTTGGCATGCCCGGGAATGCCGCCTCTAACCCCATTGGCGCTGCCTATCGAAGCTTGCCGTGATGCTTAGTCGCTGCTCTGGAGTCAAACTTCAAGTTCCATGGATAGTGAGAGCTCAGAGGTAGGGCCAAGTGGGAATCGCCCGAACCACGTGGAATTAGTGGGCATTATCCGACATGACTGTGCCTCGGTCGCGGCGTCAGGAAGTCCGCGAAACGCCGTTGGTAGCCATAGTTGCCCCGGCCGAGCTCTCGGTGTCATTTTCGGGACCCGAGTCCGCTGGTTCAATATTCACTCCTCGCTGTAAGACGACAGCCGTTGGCTCGACCGCAGCTTAGATTCGGCTGGCGTCGCATCTTATGTTGCATGATTTGTCACACGTGCCACCCCCGGAGAGTAAACGTCACTCCGGCGGGATTCGGTGTGGTATTTAAAATGCGGGGTGAAGATCCGCCTCATAAGCATAAAATCTCGGCATAGGTCGACCTCCACCTGATATTGAATGTTTGACGCGCCAACTTGGACTCGAGCCTGGACGACAAGTTTATCAAAATGCAAGCATTTCAGTTTGTGGAGCAAGGCGGCGGCCTACAACTTCAAAATCTACCGATTCCTCAACCCGGCCCGGGCTGGGTTCAGCTACAAGTCAAAGCAGCTGGACTATGTCATTCAGACTGCCACATATTGAAAGGCATCGATGGGGTTATCCAGCGACCTATTACTCTCGGCCACGAAGTTTCCGGAATAATAACAGCTCTCGGTCCCGATGTGCATGGGTTCAAAACCGGCGATCGCGTTACTGTCGGTCTTTTCTCTTACCCAATCAAACTTCGAGACTGGACAATGGCTATTGGTCTTGGATTTGACGGTGGCTATGGAGAATATGTGCTGGCACCAGCAGCAAGATTAGTCAACATCCCGAACGGCCTCCCATTTTCTCAAGCTGCGGTGGCGACCGATGCCATGGCGACATCCTATCACGCTGTGGTGATCGAAGCCGCTGCAAAACCGGGCATGACGATTGGTGTCATTGGTATCGGTGGACTTGGGATGTCTGGTCTCGGTTTTGGAGTCCTGAAGGGGGCCAAAGTGTACGGCATCGACATATCCGAGTCAAAGTTCAAAGAAGCAAAGAGGTTGGGTGCCAGTGGATGCTTCAAGAGCCTCGACGACGCTACGGATATTGAATTTGATGCCATTGTTGATTTTGCCGGTACAGGGGAGACAACCAAACAAGCCATTGAGAAAGTGAACGAAGGGGGCAAAGTCGTGGTTGTGGGACTTGCAGCTTCCAAGATCACCATCCCTAGCTACGCTTTGATTGGTCGTAGTGTTAGTTTGATAGGGTCATTTGGAGCGAGCGAAAAGGACTTGAGAGATGTTTTTGAGCTATTGGCTAACAAGTTAATCGAGCCTGAACTGAAAGAGATTCCCTTCGCAGAGATTCCGGCGGGACTTGATGCCTTAGACAGAGGAGAGACTCAAGGAAGGCTTTGGTCAGATCCAAGCAAGGCGAAGACTGGCTCAAGTAAACTGTAATGATATTTGTGGTCTGAGATTATTATCGCGGCTCTAAGGCATATGAGATCAATGCAAACGTGCAGCCTGGATATTGATCATGGATTATATGTATATTCACTCAATTCTTATGTAGACCCAACGGCATTGATATAAGGAACAATCTTACTGACATCAAGTGACAGGCTTGTCAATGGTTTCCCATCTCACTCGCTCAAGAAAACGAGACATTTCATCTCAATACTTGCCCTCTCTGTGTCGTTCACATATCTCGAATCCTTAAAAGAGCTATGAAACACAGCCATCTTCGACTCGAACTTCTCTAATCCGGCACTATCCCATTGAAGGAACAAGACTGGCTCATCTGGCTGTTGATGATGCAGGAACACCCAATCATGCTCCTTGCTGTACGAAGCGGTATCCAACCAGAAGTCTTGGGCATCTTTCCCAAAGACCTTGAATTTGCCCTCAGGCCGCGAGAAGATTTGTGCATGTCGTTCTTCGGGTTTGATGCTTCTGGGCACTAGAAAAGCAATCGGGTCACGCTTGATGACTTTGAGTGGCCTCCATACGTTAACTAGGAGAACCCGGCCCTTGGGAGGCAGAGATTTCGGTAGAGGGTCCATATTCGCTATAGTGTTCTCCAAGAGTTCCAGTCCGCTTTGAACGGTCAAGTCGCCGTGGATAGAGTAGACTGGTGTAGTATCCTTCCTGATTCCGCTTGAGTCGGAGTGACGAATTCGCTGAACAGTTGTGTATACTCTCTTGGAGTTGAAACTGTTTCCCAAACACAATCAGCCATTTCATCGACCGATCACGAAAGGGCAGAGAACATGACTGAAGCAAAAGTCCTCACTGTCTCTTCAGTAACTCTTCCGTTTCTCTCAGCATCACTTCCCGAACCTCAGCCTCATTGGACCAGTCTTTGATATCAACTCCATGCTTCAGAAACTCCAGGCCATCATTCTCTGTGTTGAACTGAAACATATTAGGGCGGATATCGCGAACAAATACTTCGCGCTTATCTCTGTAGTTGTCTGCATCGGAGTAGAGGTTGACTGGAGTGTCGAGGAACTCCGGCGTTGGCGGTGGCTTTCTGTACACGAACTCTGTCCGGACTCCAGGAATTGTAAGTGTTGGAGACATCTCGCGGGACGATGGAATTGTAAGGGGGCTGTGTTGCATATAGTGACACTCAGTTGTGACACCAGCCTTGCGAAATTGAGAATAAGTCCGCCTTTCTATATGTGCGTCAAGGATTCCTTCCACGGATTTTCTTTTCTGCAGTCATCCAACGATCTATATTTAGGGCTGTACAATAATCATACCTTCTTCAAGCTTGATGCTGACGGATGTAGTCACGCGCTATGATGATAGCCGCTGACCACAGCAGTCATGCCGGAGAGTGCAATTCAAGGTAGTACGGATGGAACGCTGCATGCCTGTGGGATTCAATGTGTGAATGATTCGTTTTCACGAGCATAATCACCGCTTAAGCATCGGAAACACTTCCAAGATCGTCTTTCAATGGTCGCAAAGGGAAGATCGGCGAGGGCGTATCCCTCCCGTCAAGTTCCAAGAGGGCCAAGGTGTCGTGCCGGTTGCCTACACAGACGAGAGGTAACTTGGCCAACACATCAATGTCTTTTCCAAATCTTTGATTTGAGAAAACTTGCATAGTAAGTTTGATACCTGAGCCGCGGCTTGGATGTGAGGAAGAAACATCGGATATGTTCATCCGCCTTCGACATATCACTATACACACGATAGCCTGAGTTGGGGTTTTTCGAACGCAATTATAACTGAATTAACTTCGGAATTTTTCAAGCCACTAAACGACAGGGCAATAACTACCCACATACACATAAACTGACTCACGTCTCATCAACGTTCACTCTATCTCATCATCGTCGCCATGGAAAAACCTGAGGATAGCAGCAGCGACCAAGTCGCCATCATGCTCCCAATGCGCTGTCTCCGCTGCCTGATCCGCATGTTCCATGTCCTGAATGCCACCACTATCAACCCTCATCTGGATTTGTCTCTTCACCATGTCCTCATCAAACGCCAAATGCGCCTGCGAAGTGAATAGCCGACCCTTGATGTAAACGCCCTGCACTTTGGTGTGCTCACTGTGACCCCACACATCCACCTTGTTGCGCGGCTTCAATAGACCCTTGGAGCTCTCGGTGGTAGGCGGTGCGACGACTTGGTCTTGGTGCATTTGGTGGAGGTGCACATGATCATCTTCCGTCTTGAAAAGTTGCTTGCCCACCGACGAAAGATCGATTCGGCAGTGGCCTAGTTCCCAGTCTTCCGAGGGCGCTGGTGCGACTTCGGCGCCGAGCATCCGGTTGAGAAGCTGGTGGCCGAAGCACACGCCGCTCAAGTGGAGATCCGGCCGGCGCTCCCAAAGTTCTGTCGTCCGGAGTCAGTGCTGCTGGTTGCGGGTGTCTGTGGCTTGGGTGGTGACCAACCTTGCAGAACTGCGAGGAGCTTGAGAATCCAGGGATTGTCTCCGTGTGCGTCATACATGCTTCCGGTGATTAAGACGCCTTGATAGCTGTCGAAATCCTCAAATGTTGGGACTGTGCCTCCCTTATCCTCCACCACGAACTTCTGGTCCGTATCGACTCCTAGCGGCGGGTCGTGTTCAGCGCCAGCATGCTGGAAGTGATTGTGCAGAATTTCTCCGAAGCTACCCTTCGCTGCATGGGTGTCGGGATGAGGGTTGTCGGTCTCTAGCACTATCATCCGCACCACTGGCGCATCGGGGGCAGGGTACTTCTTTGACATATTGAATATGTTTCAGTTGAAGAGTTTGTTATAGGGTAATGGAAGCAAGGGTATTGAAATTAGGCCCTTTTGATTGCTCAATGGGTATCTTTGGGGTATCGATGAAGTAAGAACGTCGCAGGGTGGTTGGCAGGCATCACGCAGTGGCTCAAGGATTACTTAAAGGGCACTCATCCCCCCAAGGTCTCTTCGATGGTGACGCGTTGTAATGTAGAGACACTACATAGGCCAAGGGAAACATTCCTTAGCATTCCGCCGTTGCGCCGGTCTGGGTCATCCGAATTCGAGATTGACGTCAGTAACTTGCTGGCGACTCGGTGCTGTAGGGCTGAGGTGAATGGATTTTTCGATGACGGCAAGTTTGCTGCATTTGAGTTTCCATAACATAATTCCCGTCCTGAGTCCACTAAACCAGCGGCTCGGCGGGTCCCACAGGCGTGGAACCACTGCTGCTTGGCCTGAGTAGAAGAAAGCTAAATCAAGTATTCCAGGCTTGTGCCTTCTACCAAGCCATGGCGAAGCTTACGCGGAGGAAAGCTGGGCTGGATAACTCGGACTGCCCATCTCTACTAAAGCCTTCTGCCCAGCATATTGGCATTCATCTTTCGGCTCTTTGCTACGGTGTTCGAGGATCTGGGAGCGGAAAGTGTCGAGACTGAGACACTAATCGCCCACCGCCCGAACTCGGAAGTCCACCCCAGTCGGTACTCGCCACAACCGTTGGAACAATGGGGAAACGCCCCGAAAATATAGCATCCCAATGGATCAAGAAGCCCCCAGTCAAGCTCTTGCACAACGTCTGACGTTGCAAGGGCACTGGGATTGCGAAATCCGGAGACCATACTCCAGTCCCAGCTCGGTGGTTCCGCGACGTTCGGTGAGACCAAAAATGTTGCTTTTTCTTTTGTTTTACGCAGGAGATCCGAGACCAAGAAAGAAGACTTATGAAGCTCGGGGATACAGCGCAAGGCATCGCAGCGAACCATCTTGATGGCTGTAGACTGCAACCGGTTGGCTCCTGATGCAATTTGATGCAACAGCAACAAGGCCGAGACTACCTCGAAGTTGGCTGTAAGGACGGTTATGGTCAAAAGATCGCCGGTCGATCCGTCCTATTCTTTCGCGATTCTACCAAATAGCACCGGGAATCATCCCGTCGAAAGAAGGGCGCCTAAGCGACACAAAGCACTTCAGGCAGCTAATTGAAACCAACTAGGGAGCATCAATGTCTTCAGTTGATGAAAACACCATTCACATAAAATGACTCGACGGTCCCAGCTTGCTGGTTCTTCTCGACGATTTCATCGAGACAGTCTCAGATTCTCTTGCATTCAACAACTGACTCCAATATCCGTCTAGCTAGAGCGGCCAACACCCCCTACAAAATGGACAGAGAAACCTTACAAAAGCTTCGCAACATGCACTTTGGCGGAGGCTCTGGAGGAGGTCGAGGCGAGGCCAGCAGCGGATGTAGCCACGGAGCCCCTTCTGTCGCAGGATCCGTCAACGAGTCTCTTGATATCGGCGAAGGCAACGATGCTTTTACCGGCAACCGATGGGACTCGAATCCATCAGCTCCGGCGGGCCGCCCGCTTATCGGCGCTCCACACCATATTCCGCCCCAGAGCCTCCAGAAATCACAGAAGCCGGCCGGATATCCACTTCAGCAGGCCGCGCAGCCGCCAATGCCGTCCGGATACCTACCCCAACAGCCCGTGCAGCCATACATGCCAGTTGGACAAGGTCCAATCGATCGTCTCGTACCCTCGGACGCGGCCGCCATGTCTGACAAACGTGAAGAGGTCCGCAAGGTCTTTTGGCCGGAAATCAAGTCCTGGATGACCTCGGACACAGCTCTTCAACAATTCGCCGCCCCTTGCCCCAAATGCTCAACATCCATGACTGCTACGCCCGGCCAGAACTCGAATCGGGCCATGGTCCTCGTCTGCGGCCACATCCTGTGTGTTGCATGCGTCAAACACATTGTGAATCTCTACAACGTCGGTCAACCCAAGTGCCCCTACTGTACGGGTTTGATCGGCCCTTACTCGCAGTGCGCTCAGAGCTGCCAGGATTTAGGCATGGTGGGGTTACCTTTGCCTAGGACCATGGCAGAGCTCGACAAGTTCCCTCTTACCACCCCCGAGGGCGCCTCCCGCCCTTCGTGTTGCTTCAGATGCCGCGCTCTGCGCGTCGAGAGAGCGACCAATTCGCTAATGAGAGCCATACTCAGCGAGACCAGGTCTCGCGCGGTTTGGGCTCCCGGGTACGACCACAAACCGGACGGGAAAGATTACAGCGATTACAAGCGTGTACCTGCGCTGGACAACATTATGAAGCAGATTCGAGACATTGCGCATAGTGATTACATCTATCAGAAATATACTTGGCTGACGCCGACTGCTGAACAGAAAAAGCAGGACGCCTGGGTGGAGATGCTGGACACGGGGCGTCATGTCTCCTAAGAGTCCCGAAGGTTCGTACATGCTATGAATCGTCAAGTACGCGTGAGGGTCGGGTAGGCTAGGTAGCGAACCAAAGGGGATGAGTCAATGGGACATGGCAGGAAAACAGAAGATCAGGATTGAATCAGCATATGTACCAGAGACCATAGCAAGAGTAGACTAGACCGAAAGGAATCTGACTACCTTCATACCGAGGTCTTTCTCAGACCCATCCGAGTTTGATGTACCTCAAATTGCATTCTCAAGGTGTCAGATCGTATTTTCAGCCATTCTGAAAAGTGATGGCGTCAAACTAGATAGTTCTTGGCGTGTCGAAAAGCTTCAATATGTAGATCTCCATAATTCCTTGGGCATACAGGCTTATGCAGGTGCAGGAGGATGACCGCAAGTGACGGTCGCTCTTATGTTCCACAGTTATAAGGATAGGAAAAGCCTGGGACTTGCTGTCGATACTAGCCGCAGTTGTTCTCTCTCTGTTCAAGCTAGTCATCGTGAAACGCGTAGGCAGTCATGGGTGCCCAGGCCAAATGGTAAATCTCCGATTCCTTCTTTAGACAGACCGGACGTCATGGAAGATCGCTAGATGATTCGGAACCGGTTCAACCTCCCAGACAATATTGTCTACAGCTTCTTATTACAGAGCACTACCATATTGCATGATATTCACATAGAGAAGCTGGCTTCGGGCTGGTAGGTTCCCTGCCTGCCGTAAACCTGCTAATGGTTACATACAGTCATCCGTGAACACTGCCCACCACATTGAAAACACTTGGACCACACCAAGACCAGTTTCCAGCCTCAGTTCCAGCCATGACATTGTTGACGTGACCAAGCTCGCACATGTGCTAATTCAATATGTCGTGATGGTGGCAATCAATCATTCTCTAGCCGAATCCAGCAAGTTAAGGGGAGCTCGCATGCGACTCTGCATGTGCATACAATCACCGGTGGGATCGCAGTTGTTTTATGCTCCCGAGTCAGCTAGACACTGCAAGACTCAAGGGGCTGTCGTAGACACAAATTTTCTGACGCAAGGTTTCACACCCAAGTGTGTTTCTGCCGGTGGCACGCGCCGTTGCAAGGAAGAGCTGTGGAACGGCTCAACCTAGCCTATTTAGACACGATCAGCGACCAGTCTCCCATCGTTAGCGGTCAGTCAATGCATCAGAGTGTCAAGTTCGACATGGGCCTCCCGTTCACCCAGCAGATTAGGAGAGTTTTCTCGGCGTGCACAAGATCGTTCTGAGCTTCTTTCTACCAAGAGCTGTCAATGTCAGATCATCATTGCGAGTTCTTTTGCTTTAGAGTGGAAATGCATCAAATCCAGTCTTGACTGACTCCGTCGACTTGGGTCAGTGTAGGAGTAGGTTTAGATCCCGGCTTCGAATAAACGTCGCCCGGTCCAATCAGCGTCCACGCCGGGGAAGCGGTCTTGACGCTAGGGTGGCATACCCTCGTATGCGACGTCAATGTCGGGCGAGTAGATGCTCTGTGTAGTTACGGTCGTAGAATGGGATCTCTTGGAAGTCTTGGGCGCGGTCTTGGTATCCCGATCGCTGGCCAAGCCAATTGTCTTGGGAAACGCCCGGTCCTTGGCCTTCGGCAAGCAAATATCTTGGCGACCATTGCATTCAAGTGTAGACTACAGCATGTTTCTACTAAGTAATTCACTGGTATCTCTCGTCGGCGTTGTGAATAGTAAAACGGCTTTGCAGCTGCTAGTCTGCGGCAGGTCGCAGATCGTATCCTCGGTAGACGACCCCTCGTGCCCCAACGTAAAACATCAGCTTCATCTATCTTTACCTCGCAACAACGTGGGCAACAGAAGAGAATATGCAGCGCTCCCGTACAAAGAAGCCGCCTCTCAGGAAAGCCTGGGCCGCATCCAGCCCAGTTGCCAAGACTCTATATGGTTTCGGGGAGCCCTCGTCGTTGAAGGTCTTGGGACTTGGACCGTTTCACCTCCGCTCAGACGCACTTCTCCACCACATCCCGCGTAACCACCACCACCACCATCACCATACCATCGATGGAAACCACATGGCCCCCCTGGATCAACCCGCGGCTCTTCAATCCTTCTCCTCGAATCCCAACCCGGAAACCACCCCTCAAGGTCCGTGTGTCTGTTAGTCCCAGGTGTTTAGGCCGCCCAAGAACCTATCATCTCTTGTTCAAGGCACCTGGAAGAGCTTCTATTTTTGATAGAGCCGCTTGGCCTTGGCAGCGGCAGGTCTTGACACGCATGACGGCGCCGCAGCCCCGAATGGTATAGTTTCCGCGCCTCTCTTGTGCCATCCTCCACTTTCCAACATCTCACCTTTGACACTCTCTTACTGGCTCAGGTTCTGGATCTGGTCGTGGTTCTCCACGTCAGGTATTTGAACCTCTTCTTGGCGCTCCGTGGGGATTTCCTTCATTACGCTCTTTCCTCCCACCTTGCCTTGCCACTCGTTGACGCGTGTGCTATTACCTGTCTTTCCGTTATCTTTCTTTACTTTCCTCCTCACTTCAGCTGTGCTGTTTGTTCTGATTCTTCGATTCTCCTCCACCAAAGGAAACCCCTTCATTTCAATACTACTTCCTAATAATACCTCTTGAGGAGACAAACACTCACCGGCTGCGCCGACACACGATACCCTATCTTTCAATTCAATCTTCCAATCTTTCGCCATGCAGATCACCAGCACCCTCATGACCCTGGCCGTCGTGGCCGTAGGGATCAACGCCGCCCCCGCACCCCTGAACATCAACCTCGGCGCATACTCCCCTGCGTTGGTAGTCGGTGATGGTGCGCTCACATTCGGAGGCGAGGCGGAGGCTGGAAAGGGCAAGGGAGGCGCCGCCGGAGGCGAAGGCGCAGCAGCCGCTGCCGCCGCCGCTGCCGGCGTTGGCGTGCCCGGAGCCGCTCAACAAGGCATTGTGGCTGGCCGAGATACTACAAAGAGGGTGGAGAAGCGCCAGAGTGGCTTCGATCGTGCCCTCACGTTCGCAGAGGCTGCACTCGTTAAGGGCCCCAAGATCCAGCTCGGAAACGGCGAGGGAGGTGCCGGCGTCGGTATCATTGTCGACAACAACCCTACCGCTGCGGCTCAACCGAACCGCGCCGGCGCAGCTGAGAGGAGGAAATAGGGGGAACATTGTCTTTTTTTCCTTTCCGCGAGGGGAGGAGAGCCGTCGCGTAATCGTGCTAAACTCCGATCGAAGTAAAAGTAAGTTTGATGATTTTTCTCCGATGAAACGAAACAGAACAAATAGCTGACTCATAACTTCACAGATGCTGCCGTTGATACTCTGTCAGAGAGGTTGAAGTTCGCTCGCCTGGCCCCCGTTGATCGAACGCAATTCTGTTCTCCAGTCTCTGAATGAATTTTCACAGTTTGACCGCGGACTTATTAAACCGGCAATCCGCGCGCGCACGCGCTTTCTAGCACTTTGGCATGATGATTTCGTCTCTTGATTTTCGTTCGTGTACTTTTGGGGGCATGTAATAATTTTCAGGCGTGGTGTAACTTTGGGGGACAAAAATGAGATTCAAAATGACGCCTTGGGTTCGCGGGTGCAAAGGATAGATCGAGCACGATCAAGGACGTGACGACACCTGGAAATAGTAGCGATGAGGTCCGGCATCGCGTCACCTGTTGAGGTAGCAATTAACTTCGTCGGGATTTGTTCAAATAATTGCCGCGTCCTTCCGGTCTTATCTCTGTGAGCGCGATGACGGACATACTCTTGTCCAAACTGGATTGATGCAATGACTGCGTTAGTGCCTGCGTGAGTTGATATTAGTCTTGGTAGAGAGTTGGGGGCCAAATTCGCACACGCGAAGGAGGTCCGGCAACTAAGATGCCGCCGTGGTTGATATACACCGTGTCTCACTCGACCTAACCACATGAGCACTCCAGGCCAGGGTTTTACCCACACAGATCCAACATGACGGGCCGGCCCCCGTGTGGGTGTGTATACGATGTCTGACTGCTGTGCGGTACTTGCTAATGGCTGTCCGCAACTCGAGGGCATTGGTTCGGTTGATCAAAACTCCTGCACCTCAGCCCAACTAACTCAGCTCATTGGTGGATCTGGTCTCTAACCCCCAGTTATCTCAAGTGTTGACTGGCAGAATCATGTGCGCATTTTGCATGTTCATGACACCACGCTGTCGGTCTCCCACTGGACAGCCTCAATGGCTTGCAGTCTGCTTGCAGGTCTCTGGATGTGTTAGGCGCAGCCGTACAACATCGACAGTTCTGGGCAAAGAAGTGTCAAAACAAGGTTAGTCACGTCTTGGGCGTCTTATCCGAAGTGTCCTGGGGCGTGGTGTTGCCTGTGTCGCTGCAGCTAGTTCGTAGGAGTCGCGTTTTTGCCTAGTCTTGGCCTTGCGATGAACCTATGCGCTGGATGCTACTTGGCACCCGTGAGGAATTGTAAGATGGTACGCAACTTTGTCTGCGGACCACAGCCTGCTTCTGAATCCTTGGATAAGAACGAGACGTCTTGCACTTTTTTCCCTTTTTCCTGCTTTCTGTGGCTTCTTGGATTTCCTGACATTCAACCGGGTCGTTCATTGTTCATTGCCACACTTCACCGTTCAGTTACTTGTTCGTCTTATCTCACCAAGTAATATCTTCTCTCCCTGGCCAATAATCACGAATACGCCGCTTACCAACCAATCTGATGAGATCCCGTCAGCGATGCATACCTCTCCCACTCCGATCACGCTGCAACCCCGCGAAACCCCTCTTCCCGTTGCTGCCCGACAGGGAGAGACAGGTTTCCATGTCATAACTCAGACGATCTACCGACCAAGCTCAACTTTCGTCACATACGTTACGCTAGGCAGCGGGCCACCGACATCATACTCCGATGGTAACCCGGCCGATCCGCCCTCTGCCGCTGCTCCGACCGCGGACCCACCTCCCCCGGACCGATCAAGCGGATCCCTATCAAGCGCACAGATAGGGGGCATTCTGGGCGGCATCGTCGCTTTCGTTGCTATCGCTCTTATTGCTTGGTTTTGCATTTCTCAGAATAAGAGAAGACCAGGACCGCCGCCGGACTGGGACTCCTTGTACGACTATGACTCTTCCTCCGAAAGCGGCTTTACCGGGTCCCGGGGGCCTAGGACGCCGAGGGCGCCAACATCTGTTCATCCGGACCGGGCCGGCCGGCGTCCGCCGTACGTCCAGATGCCACAAGGGCCGCCACCGCCAACTTATCACATTAATCGTTACGACGCATGGAAACCCAAGTTCAATGGGCCAGCACGTCGTCAGCAGCCACCGCCGCCCCAACGTTATCGGACAAGGGTTCCCTGAGTCAAAACAAAGCCTAGCCCCGCATGCAGCCTACCTTCTGATGGATGCCGCAATCATGCGGATCATGAATAATTGCCGCCGTTGTTGTTCCAACTTGTTTATACCGAAGTATTGAGAAGCAAACTCTGTAATATCTGAGTCTTGCGGGGAAATGAGTTGCGAGGAAATCATAATGTGATTAGGTCTTGGGGCTAGAGGAAAGATATTAGGGTAATGACCAAGGTCGACCGGCTGATTTCTACAACATTTAATACCCCTCTGCTAGCAGCGAATTCTTTTTGTATGATTTTCAATAGTATTCAACTTCTAGATCTCCTCCATTCCTCAACGTTGTCAGATTATATGTCCTGAATATGAAGGAATATGTCATTTGTCGATATTAATATACCCTATGCTAAATCCTACCTAACTGACTAAGTACTCCAGAACACATCAAAGCAGCCTGCCCTTCCATGCTTCAACTCAATATGAAGACCCCCTCATCCCTAAAACGCATCTTCCAGGCGATGAAGCAGAATGACGCTTCTAGTCAAGAGTCAAGAGATTCTAGGCGTCATTGTTTTGTTCAATTTGCACTGAATAGACTTGCTCGCTTCAAACTTAAACTACTAATCCCGGGACTTAGACTGACCTTGATCACTACAAATGTGTCACTCACGGGCTTGCCTTGCATATTCTCATATTGATACTACTTACACCTTGGATGCCCCTCCACTTCCTTGCAGATATTTGGATGCCATGGCCCACACTGCAATTGAACGATTGACTTTAGGCCAAGCTCGTATCCCGAGATTGCCGTAGGATGATGATGCCTAGAGTTCGGCGGTTTAGAAAATACCTTCTACTTGTGTTATCTAAGAACATGTTCACGCCAAGACCAGAAACGCAAAACAAATTACACCCACCGGCTCGCTAATTGACTCGCCAAGTTGCCCCTGATAGTTTCTCCGCATCCCTTTTTACCCCGCGCGCGCAGATGGATCAAATATGCGGAGAAGCGTAAGAAGGATTCAGCCGCAAGGGGTTTGTCAGGTTGAAGGGACCTTTCTTTGGGGAAGAATCAGCATGTTGCCCGCACCCCGGTCCGCGAAATCTTCTACCGACCGGCCGAGGGACCTTACAAGAACCCCACAAATCTTCCACGTATTGTTGCATTCAATCTGGGAACTATGATGATATGATCCGCCGCCGGTAACATCTCATTAAACTTAAGCTCAAGGGATTTGGGGTATTTGAGGACGGATGGTTCGAGAATTGAGACTGAAGTTGAAGTCATGGTGCTCCCCCGTTCCTAACATCATTCTGTCGTTTTTGCGTGTGTGCAAGCTTGTCTACGATGCGGACCACCTCTTCGGCTCTATGGGCTGCCGCCCTGGGCCTGTTGTCGATTGCCTCGGCCCAGGATGAGCTTCCCAAGCGCCCTAAGGTTGAGCCTGCTCCTTACAACACTGGAAAGGCCATGCCATTCTCACCTCCCAGAGACAAAGATCGCTTTTGCTACATCAAGCCGAGCTGCACCGAGGGCAAGGACGACGCGCCCAAGATCCTCAAAGCTTTCCAGGAGTGCAATAACGGCGGAACGGTTGTGTTCGATAAGACTTACCTGGTCAGCTCTCCGTTGGACCTCACCTTCCTGAAGCACATCGACGTAGTAATCACCGGCGACATCCAGTTCAATGATGATCCCCTCTACTGGGCCGACAATAGTTTCAAGTTCGCTTTCCAGAACCAGTCAGTCTTCTGGAAGTTTGGCGGCGAGGATATCAACATCTATGGTGATCTTGGAAACGATAAGTCTGTCATTGACGGTCGCGGTCAGGCATACTGGGAGGCCATTCAGACCAATAGCAGTGTGAGTATGCTGGGTTATCAAACCTTTCGAAATGTGTGCTAACTTGTATTACGACAGCTCCTGAGGCCCATGTTATTCTCTTTCGACGGAGCTCATGGGGCGACAATGTCACACCTTCGGATGCGCAATCCTCCCAATGTAAGTCATGCCTACCAAATCGAGATTGTTCCCGACTAACGACATCAGTGGTTCAACTTGATTGCGAACAGCACCGATGTCATCATCAGTGACATGGATCTCAAAGCTCAGGTATGTCAAACAATGCACAGCTCAAGATGGTTTATGAACTCACGTGATTGGAACAGAGTCAAAATGGTGTCAAGATTGCTAATTCTGATGGTTGGGACACTTATCGATCCGATCGCATTGTAATCCAAAACTCAGTCATTATTAACACAGACGGTAAGTCTGACCATGCATGTTCTGGTTGCTTGCAGCTTGAACGTCGAAATCACCTTTGTTGTTTCGTGAACTGATGCTGGTGGCTTTTGCAGACTGCGTGTCATTCAAGCCAAACAGTACCAATGTTGTCGTCCAGAACCTAGACTGCACTGGCTCCCACGGCATGAGTGTTGGCTCCCTGGGGCAGTACAAGGGCGAGACCGATATTGTCGAGAACCTCTGTATCTACAACACAACCATGGCCAACGCTAGCGATGCCGCTCGCATCAAAGTCTGGCCTGGCATTGAGACTGCGTTCCAGACGCTTCTGAATGGTGGGGGTGGTCTCGGACGTGTCAGAAACGTGACGTATGACCTTTTCAAGAACATCAACAACGACCGGGCCATCACCATCACGCAGTGTTACGGACAGAAGAACCAGACACTTTGCGAAGAGTTCCCAGTAGGTCAAATACCTCTCTGTGGTCTCGTTTGTACTAGTATCAAGTGCTGACCAAAGTAATTTCAGGCCAACCTTACAATTACCGACATTACTCTCAAGAACATTTATGGCACGGTCTCAACCAAGCTGGACCCGCAAGCCGGAAGCCTTGTTTGCAGTGCCGCAGACGTAAGCTCACTTCATTTCAGCATGCTGACTTATCGGACACATCACTAACTTGAGTTCTACGATATAGCGGTGCAGCAATATCCGCGCGGAGAACGTCACCGTCACAGTGCCGAGTGGAAAGCCGCCTGTGTACGAGTGCAAGAATTTGGACAATAAGTTACTCCAGATTAACTGCACCACCGGAGCGGATGGAGATCGGGATACTACCAACGGATAGATGAAGTAAATTTCTGTCAGAGTTCACTACTTGCAATCGTCACGCGTGTGCCACTGCGGCCACACATATCCCAAGATTTGTTTGTTATAAAAGTTTTGTTTCATCCATCGAATCATACAAATAACAATGCTCTAGCTTTTAGTTATGTTACGTGACAAGCAAAGTTGAGGATTTCAGTCAACCTTACCAGGTGTAGTTACCGGCATCATAGCCTCCGTCCTCAGTGTGATCCTCGTCGCCATGCCAGCGGCCATTAGAGATCTCGTAGCCCTCGTCATAGTGAACATCACCATCTTGCCAACGGCTACAATAGCCCGGGGTGATGCCATATTCTTCCTCCTCGTTCACCACCCCAGCACGGTTCCACCAGTGAGTTTCGTCCAGCTCTGTCTCAATCTTCGCGATTCTTCCTTGCACTCTGTGGGTCACATCCTGCTTTAGAAAATACAGCCACGATTCCATCTCGGCGAAAATCTCCTTATGTATAGCGCCGGAGACATCAATCGGTCGCATTCCGTCACCCAGGCGCAACTTCACTTTGGTTTCGAACTCATCTCTTACTTGGCGGAACCAATCTAACATGTGCTGAGAGGCGCCGCCACGGGGAAATGGTTCGGCAAGATGCTCGCCCTGGAGAATGCGACTCCCGAAGTCAGTCTCCGCCTGACAGTCGTTACAAATGGTCTGCTCCATGGGCTGCTTCTCGCTGTAGGTTTTGGTTTTCAGATTTGGGACGTACGAATCATGACAAAGGATTGAGAACATGAAGGCCCCTTTGCATTCGGAACATTGGAGTACCCTTCTGCACATGGGGCAGTCCTTTGGCTCATCATTTTTGGCTCGCGATCTGAACCACGACTTGAGGCATTTCTCCCCAATCATGTGGCCACAAGCCAGGATGACAGGTAGTTCCCAGCCAGAGTGCCAAGATGCATTTTCGTCTGCACAGTTCTCATGACAAATGGAACAAGGAATGCTACATCTGATGCTCGGGTCCTGAAGAGATCTGGCATAGTCATCGCGAATATCCGGCCAGTAAGCTGAGATGATGGTTTCCACTTTCTTTGGGCGATGATTCATGTTGTTTCGGTGGTACATATGGCAGCCAGTTGCAGATTCCCATGGGCTTTGCATCAGTGTAGGCGACGCAATGTTACTGCATCTACGTCTCTTAGAACTTCCGTTTTCAGTCCCGTCCTTAGACTGCGAGGAGCGTTTGGTGCATGTTGAGCTTGTCGTCAGAGCTAGCATTTCTCTAGGTTCGCTTGCCAGTGATTCGTCTCGAGAAGTAGCATGATCGACGATTGAAGCGGTACGAGAAGAGGCCATTTGAGTGTGGTCAGTTTCGGGAGAGATTGGAAACTCTCTGTCGGATGAGTTTGTGTCCTCAATAATACCAGACATGCCATCCATCCAGCGACGTATTCCAGTGGAATTGTAGGTAGGCATGGCCATTGTCAACAGATGGGATTGATAGGAAGGCTACTGGGCTATAGAGTGAAGTCCTTAATGGGGAGGCGGTCTCACGGCGTAGGTCAGGAGTTAACAGTCGATAACGCAAGATATACTTCTAGGTCAACTATGGGCAATTGTTGCAAATTAGGGGGCAAAGATTTGGTGATGATGTCGTTGACGGTCAAGTAAAAGTTGACGATGATTGTGACTGCAAACATTCGGTTGCGACCGACTCCTAGATTATTAAGTAAGATATCAGGGGCTGCATAGCCACTGCTTGAACTATTCTGCTATTCTCGGTGAAAGAAGCCTTCGAATAATAATTCTTTAGTCGCTCAAAGAGGTCAATGGACCGGGTATCACCCAAATACCTTAGCTGAGGAAAGAGCCTTGTCAATGAACTCGAGAGTCGGATGTCGTACAACAAAGCCCTGATTCTTCAGGCACATATAACTATTTATCTACATATATATATATAGATAGATCTCTGAAACAAGTGATACAATCCCCTTTGTTCAATCGGTACACGCCTCGAAATGTCATGTAGACAAAGTAGCAAAAGAAGTTATCAATCTAAACCGCAGAGGGATGGAAGCGTATCAACCAAGCTTGAGCGTGACTTCGCTGAAAAAGATTTTGCAACTTCCTCAGCTCGTGCACCCTCAACTATAACTGATATGACCTATCAAAACTATCATCAAAATTGTGCCTATTGTGCCTATCTCATTTATGACTTAACCTAAAGCTCGCCGACACACGGGCTAAAATATGGCTACACTCGTAAGCGGGCTCACTCAAAACCCGAGTTAGATGATTGAACACGGAGAAGCTCTGGATAACGCCAATTTCGAACAAACCAAGGACGTACGATCACGGACCTGCTAGGCAGCGACTTCGCTACGCCGAACTGCAGTCACCAACTGATGCTCGGATATGACTTAATCTACGGTTTTGATGGGTCACCGACGGAAGGTCAGCCTATTGGTAATCGATCCTCTCCCGCACCACATTCCCCCTTCCCCAAACGGATGACCCTGGTCGCCGATGTGATCTTCGTTGGTCTGTATCCGCAATACTCTGCGACCTCGGCGCGTAATGCGCGCAGATTTAAGTAATATTAACCTTGTTTTAGTTCCCCGAGTGGGTCGTGGAAAACCGGGCGACGATATTAGAGGTCAAACACATCTTATCAGATCATCTGATTAATCCTCAGCTGAATATAATCCCTTGTATGTTGTTCTTTCTATAGTGAGCCTACGCCTATTTCTTCTAGTGCCGGGCCAAGAACCCAGATGTTTAGATCCGTGCCCGCGATCGGTCGCGCAATCCTTCAACCGTAGGTTTCGGGCGAGAGCAGCGCGTGCCTGCCAAGATCCAACATCCCGCCGGACGACATGACCTTCCCGATAGAGGGTTACATTGGAAGCCAGGATAACACCATTCGCACTGCAAATCTCTTCATCCCGGAGACCGGCAATCTAGACTTGCAGAATATGGGACCCTCTTTGGGGTCGTGAGTTCGTATCGCGGACCTCACCATCTAGCAGATGGCAGACCGCCGGCCGAAGTTCATTTCTCTCGGCAATGAGCACATAAAAGGCTCTCTCCGGCTCTCTCCGAGTTCAAGGTGGAAGCCAGTTCGCGGTCTCACCCATCCCTACCAATCCTCGGCCTAAATCGCTTGTCAATTCAAGTCAACATGGCGTTTGGCACATTCGGGTCTCTCTTGGTCTCCCTCCTTCTGAGCGCCGCAGCTCTCTCCGCCGAGGTTCCTGCAGCGGCCTTGGGTGACAGGAAGCCATTCTCACCCCCGGCTCGACGATTTGCAGTTCAGTTCTCCGCAGCTGGCTCTGCCAAGTTCAGAAAGCGAGATGGAAGCCCAGCATGTCACCCATACTCTCGCTCTCAATTCATTCAGCTAACATGCAAAAGAACACGGAAGGTTTTTTCCAGAGCCTGCAACTCACCAACAACACGGCCAAACCCGCGCTGAACTTTACCTCGGACATCTTCCATGGCGCCTCTTTTGACCTTCTCAACCATACTGCTAGCTCACTGCAGCAGATTGAGATGCTCCCCGAGGTCGAGAAGCTATGGCCCGTCTCCGTTGTGTCAGCAGTGAAGCCCAATACCTCCGACATCATGTCAGAGCCGCTACCGAAGTGGGACCCTCATACGCTCACCAACGTTGACAAGGTCCACAAGCTTGGCCACCGCGGCGAAGGCGTCGTTGTAGCGATTGTTGATACCGGCATCGACTATCTCCATCCAAATCTCGGGGGTGGATTCGGTGCGGGTTTCAAGGTCGAAGGCGGGTATGACCTCGTTGGTGACGACTATGAGATCGGGAGAGAGTATGTGCCTGATGCCGATCCTATGGACTGCGCCGGCCACGGAACCCACGTCGCTGGTATCGTTGCGAGCTCTCACGGTGACCTACCTGGAGTCGCACCTGATGCCCGCTTGAGGATCTACAAGGTCTTTGGGTGCGGCGGTAGCAGTATGGAGGATGTCATCGCCCAAGGTTTCATCCAGGCCTACGAGGAGGGCGCGGATATCATATCTGCCTCTCTGGGATCGAATGCTGGCTTCCCTGAGAACATCCTTGCTGTAGTCGCCTCTACCATCCAAACTAAGGGAACTTTTGTTACGGTCGCCGCGGGTAACAGTGGTGAGATGGGTAAGCTGTCCGTGTCCCGTCCAATGCGTTCTCGACTGACTTTGAATGATGCATAAGGACCCTTTTACACCAGCAGTGCTGCCAACGGCTTTGGTGTTACGGCTGTAGGCAGCGTTGAGCACACCCAAACCGCAGCCTTTACGGTAGTTGCGAGGTCAAATAACAATGAGACGCGCGAGATTGTGAGTCTTACCCCCCTTGGGAGTCTGTCCCAGCTAACAATATCGCAGCTTTATGTTAGCTCCGATACTGCGCAGTGGACGCTCAACGGCACAACACCCGCACACTTCCTCAACCAGAACTATACCGGCCTTGACTCTTGCGACGTCTGGGACTTCCCCGGTGTTTCGTCAGACAGTGTTCTCATATTGCCGTAAGCCTCGGCACATCCCGAAGAGGTGACACGTCCGTTCTCGTGGCTGACAATTCCATGTACAGTCGAAGCACCTGCATCTGCGAGTGCTGGCAAGTTCTAGACTCCAATCTTTTCGGAACGAGCGTGAAGTGGGTTTTCTACTACAACTTCGAAGATGCTGCCTGGGAGATCCCGAACAGAAGCGTCTACAACCCTGAGGAGCAGCCCCTCGGATGTAAGTCACTGCGCCTTACTTACAACGCGATTCGACGTCCTGACGTTGAAAACCAGTTGGTCTCATCAGTCGAGAGGATGGAAAATGGCTCGTCCAGCAGAACGAATTGGGTCGCAAGGTGGATTTCGAGTTCGTAGCCAATGGTGGTAAGGCAGTCGGCGTTCCCGGTGCCAACTCCGAGTCCATCGCAGGTGCCATTGACTACTTTTCCTCATGGGGCTTGACAGTAGACGGTCGTCTCAAGCCCGAGATCTCAGCTCCCGGTCAGTTCACCACAGCGCTCTTTCGCGCCTCTTCTCTTCCACTGACTCCACACATCAGGCGGTTCAATCCTCTCCACGTATCTGACATCTGAGGGCGGATGGGCTGTTCTGTCCGGAACCAGCATGGCCACACCATACGTGAGTTGCTAATTCAAAGTACCCCTTACTTGCTCTGACCCAACTCATCTAGATTGCCGGCGTTGCCGCCCTCTATTTCTCAGCCAACAGTGGCCGCTCCAACATCGCCAACAACGCCGGCGACTCCGCTCACCACCTCATCACCTCCAGTGGCAAGCCGGTCGCTCACCATGATGGAAGCGGCTCCCTCGCGTAAGTTCTTACTCAATGTCTCCAAATTCCCTCAAGCTAACGAGCTACAAGCCCCATCCCCATGCAAGGAGCCGGTATCGTCGACGCCTTCAAGGTCATAACTTACAAGACATCCATCATCCCTGCCGTCATCAACCTCAATGACACGGATCATTTCCAAGGCACGCACGAGATCAGGATCGAGAACAGAGGAAACGAGACCGTGACGTACAACATCGTCCACGAAGCCGGCTCCACCATCACCACCAAGCCCGATTCTGATCCTGTGGTCGCGTTCCCTCCGGTCCCGTACTCCTCGACCGAGGGCGAGCAAGCCACAGTCAAGTTTTCGGCGACTGCGCTCGATGTAGCTCCTGGCACAACTGGAGTTCTGACGGTAACCTTCATCGAACCTGCCAGTATCGATGCGAAACTGTTCCCCATCTATGGCGGATACATCAACATTGTTGGCTCCAATGACGAGTCTCTACGAGTGACCTACGCTGGTGAGTGCATAACGCCAGTGCAATGATAGCGCCATAAATCACTAACAGTCCACAGGTATCAAGGGCAGCGTCTATGGCAGTAACATATGGGCTGACGAATGGATTGACCCTGTCATACAAACCCCAGACTTTGTGCTAATCCAAGAGAATGACACCTTCAAGATGACCATTGAAGACACCTTCACCATTGACTTTGACATTCTCTGGCCTACCCGAGAGTTCAGCTTCGACGTATGTATCTTGACTTCTCATACCACAATCCAGGATTTCGACTGCAAGAAGCTAACTCTTCCAAAGCTCGTCGATCCCTCCTGGGAGCCCACAGACTGGTCCTATCCCTTCTTCCCAGGTCAGAACAACTACGTTGGTTCTCTCCAGCACTACAACCTCATCTCGGACGCCTCCTTTGATGCTCCTGTCCAGCAGTACCCGCGCCTGCCTTCGAGTACATGGTGGCCGAGTGGTAACTTCTCGCACGGCAGTGCGATCGAGAGCGGCGAGTACAAGATTCTATCGAGGGCACTTCGGACTTATGGAGATTATCACAATATGAGTGACTGGCAAATTAGGCTCTCGCCCAAGATCATTGTCGACAAGGATAAGGCATAAGGTTCATGGATATAACTACGTGGGATGGAAACTTGACAGTAATACCAAGCACATGTAGGCAAGCTGCTATAAGGTGCATCATTGTGCTAAGGTACTAAGTAATTTCAACTGTGAGTAGTCTCTTGAGGAATTCATGCTAAGCACAATTAAGAGGTCTTACAACAGGATTGTTTTGGTCCACATTTGGCCGTCAAAATGATCTTGAGGACAATGCACCTTACCTTATGCACCAGATGACCCTTCTGAAACCTAGTAGCGACTATCTTTCCCCCTTTCCCTGTCGCTTCACTCTGTGTCACGATACTGCCATCTCAGCTTCGATCTCGCCATAGAACCTCAACATGAACCCCCAAAGACACTCCCAGCCACAACAACATACAGTGTGCGGCTGTGATCTACAGGTCTTACCACACACAACATAGCGGAGATGCCTCAGCATTTCAGCTCATGCGAGGCTGCGTAAGCTATATAAGTATGGCTAGCTTCGTATTTCTGCAGCTCGTGAGGTTAATGCGACCCTGGTGCAACCTGAAAGCATGCCTGGGGGTCAGGGTGATACATGTACCACTTGATTGCGATGCAGTCACAAGTTTGTGAGCTTCTAGCCACTTTATATGTCTCTTACTCGAAAGACCTGGAGCTGGGCAAATTTCCTAGGCATTGCCATCATATGGCCATCAGACTTTTCGCGATCACTAATAACAGGTGTCTCGATAATAAGAAGTTGAGTAAGTACGTGGTACATGCCTCTCGGATCACCATCATGAATAAAGATGTCAGTTTGGAAATTCAACAGGCCTGCTAAGAAAGCGCCAAAGCTAAGACACACTGTATGCATGTGTAATACTGCATATTCTGGGTGAGTTCTGTGTTGCCGTCATCTTATCGTACAAGTCATCAGTATCACCCACCATCTTCTTTGCTTACTAGGTACAAGTACCTTACCTTGTAGGGTAGATACTATTGATTAGTTTCCTGGGTTATTCCGTCATCATCTTCGTAATGGTCACTGAAACTAGGCATTATTTATGCCTTATCCCTGCCCTTTGGACTTACATAGGCCACATCCATCAATCAGGGATCCATGATCCATCATCGCACATTCAACGAGACTCCACACACGATCTCCCCGTTGCGTGGAAAACTCAATCGCCAGCAACAATGGACGAAAGGACTTTGCCCTCTTTGACAATGCTGTGGACAGCAGCCCAATCCAGGACCAAAGTTTTCGATTTGCCGAAAGGTACCCGGCACGGCTATGCTATCAGAGATGTGTCGTCCAAGTCGAGGGCAACAACCTGGAGTGTGGCACTCGACAGATAAGTTGACGCTGTTTCGTTCGGAAGCAACGGGTCATTCTTTAATGATTCGAAACGTTGGCAATCCGAACACAGCCGGCCAATGATGTTTAGGAACGAGACTGGGATCGAAGTTGGTCCAACGACCCTCAAGTTTGATGCTTTGATCCAAAGGGACGAATCATGCCCAGAGACGTCGTTGCGAGGGTACTGTGAAGTAATTCAAAAATACCTCGAGTCTCTCATCAACTGCAATTAACCTGCGACCGGTTCCCCAACTAGCAGGAAATCGTGTCGTGTTGTAACGAAAGGGCCTCACAAAGGCCACACGCCTCGGGACGAATCTCACATCTGTCGTTTCCAACCGTCTTCGATTTATCTCTTTCGCAACTCCCGCCTACGATTGGGGGTCTCGTCAACTACCACTCAGACATGTCGATTTACCACCTTCAAGATCCTGATCTCGGAGGTCTATCATCGACAAATTCTTCGATTCTGGCAAATGTCACCGAAGAACTTCTGGGAATACGTCTGGGTCAACTACTCAACACATACATTACATTGACCCAGGTATCATCTAAGATTGCTGGGGGAAGCCGCGGTAAGGCGGTTACCACAACAAATTTGGCGGTTCCAGCAGAAGTGAGCACTCTTGTTCTCAGATTCGACGTTTCGACCCCATGGACTACAACGTACTTTATTTCTAGCGTTGTTCTCTTGGCTGCTGGCGTTATGGGTGCGGTACGCGAGCATATGGCCAAGGGGCCGGATGTTCTAAGCTACATGGCAACTGTATTCCGGGGCTCCAAGTTTGTAGATATGCCTGCAAGCTTTGTGTAGATCAATAGCTCGGATATCTCAAAAGAGATGAAGGATCGAAAGATTCAGTACGGTGTCACGAATTTGATCAAACGCGGGCAGCCGCTGGTTTGGGTTGGATTTCAGGAAGACATTGAGCTTTTGAAATACGCAACCAGGTAGATAGTAAATTGAGTCGACGGGTGTATTGTGAGGGCTACAAAGTGTTAGCCACGAGTAGTATTTAGAGCAGAGATTGAACACTCGGTAAAGTCGGAGCCAATAACTTGCCATCATAGTTGGTTCTTTCTGATCGCTATAGTACTTAGCTTGAGCACAGCATTGTTGAGTATCTTCGTTGTAAGTCCCATATTAGGAAGAACCTAGTAACACCTACTTATACAAGACTAATTAATACATCCACCTCCAAATGGCGAAACTCGCAAGTACAACTCCACTCCCCAAATGCGTCAACGCCTTCCCCCCATCCCCGCTTCCTTCCTTCCCACCCATCGTTCTTACGATCCACCAATCCATGACCCCAACCAGTGAAGTAATAGCTAATAACGCAGTTACCGCGTCCTCATTCCCGCTTCCCTCCTGATACGTCTCGAGCCCGATGAAGAGCAACCCCGTTGCTAGATCGCGCGCGGACTTGGCGTAGCTGAATGCTTCGGCTTCAGCTGATAGTGGTCGAGCAATGCCAAAGGCGTCGTAGATTGCCAGGGGTCGAACGAAGCCTAGGAGGCCGATGAAGGTCAGGCCTGTACCGAGGACGTAGCTTGGAAAGGAAGAGAATGGGGAGGTTATGTTCATGGACATTGTGTTAAATAGCGGTTGCTACTGTCTTTTATAAATGTTGCTGGGTTCAGAGTTGTAGTGTTTCGTTCCTCTCAAGCTGACTCTTAGCGTACAGGAAAGGAGTATCAATCATGGAGAGGGAGCTTCCCCTCGGACTATGATCTCAGAGGGAGGGGCAGCTTAAGTACCTCAAACAGCGTTCATCTGAACATGGCAGCCAGGTCATGCGGAGCTTCAGGTTGGAGCTCACGGTAAAGGACTCGAGCTCCAAGCATCATGCGGCAGTCCGATGCGAGCGGGGTGGTATTGAAGCAAATTTCCGAGCAATCGAGGCCCCTCTCAGCCAGCTTCATGACCATGATCCGACTCAGCATTCTTTCAAAGACTGTTTGACCTGCAAGGCAATGTATCTGAAGGATTGAAGATCCTTAATGGCAACCACATCAGCATTTCTAAGAGTGATATTTCGTAATCCACTCAGTCAAGGTATCCCATGTTCTGTAGAGCGCTGTCGTCCGATAATTTTACCTTCTCAGTACATAACACGAAGCTTGTGCACCAAGTTACAACTCCAACCAAAGATTGCTTGATGGTCAGCGGCCGGTGTCCGAAGGGCTGCAACGACCCAGCACTGCAATTCGAACCGATCTCTCCCAGGCAAGACGCCGAAAACAGACCCACTTTCGGGCCCGACTCCGGACTGTCCGCCACAGTACGGAGTAAGGTACGTAGTGCCTAGTACTTGCACTTATTTCTTGGCGAGTACAGAGGAAGAAGGAGCCAAGCAAATCTCATCGCCCCCTGTCCAGCATCCCGATCCTTCGCAGAAAACACAATCTGCCATCCAATAAGTTTGCTCGCGATGGCTTCTTTCTTCCGCCATCCACTCTCGCATTCGTTGCTGTCGCCAGACACGAGGGAGCGCTCGCCTCCCGTCCACTCGCTCAATACGCCGTACACGTGAATATCCACGGCCACCCGCATTCAAATCACGATCGCGATCACGATAACCCACTTCCACCACCGCAGCCATGGGCCTCCCCAACGCCCTCCTCGCGCTCCTCGCAACGATCATCGCAACAGCGGACGCCCTGAACGTCACCGTCCCCTCGGAGATCGAAGCCGGCGTTGAGACGGAAATCGAAATTGGCTTCGATTACTGGAAACAGCCGTTTGTCTACGAGACCCTTCCAGGGCCAGTCTTTGACGAGGTCGTGGCGGTATGCCGAAACCCCGTGGACGAGGAGGTTGGCTGTGGACACGATATGTTGTACGAGCATTACCAGCTGTTCCTATTCACTGAGGAATGGATGGACACCTGTAAGGTTCCCTCTCCCCCCAGAATTCGCGTCCCTGCGCACTATCGGTGGATTGCATCCCCCGCTCACATACTCGAACGGAAGGCTACCTGAGCGACTTCATCCCAATGGGCACAACCAACCCCAAAATCACAATCCCCAAAGACCTAGGACCCCCCGAAGCCTATAAAATCACAGCCATGGCCTTCAACGGCACGCAAATCCAAACAAACTACTACGGCGTCGAATCCTCCCCCGACTTTACCCTCACAAACACAGACATCAAATCCTGGACGTCATGGGAACACTACGGAGGCTGGTTGAAACCATGGCACTCCCTCCCCTGCTCCTCGTACGGCTGCTTCCGCACCTGCGGCCTCAAATTCGCAGATGACAAGGGGAACACGAAACAAGGCACGGCCGCCGGGCTCTTCAACTGCCTTAACGAGTGTCCTGGTATTCTTGCGGATTGGAATGACGATGATTCGCAGTGGTCGTGGTATAAAGCGTTCGACGGGTTCGATTGGTCTGGTGAATCGACGGCCGTGACGACGAGCACGCCGAGCGCGGTGCCTAGTACTACGGGTTATGGGTACCAGACGATGGATAAGCAGGAGACGACGTTGTACGGCACGCCGACGGCGCCGACGGAGTATTCGTGGTATAGTCTTTTGACGGCGAAGCCGACGGCGACAAGACAGGCTTCGGCGGGGAAGAGGAGGGCTAAGCCTCCCGTGGCGGTGCCAAAGAAGACGAGCTATGCGGGCCTCATGGTAACGACAGTGTTGACGTGCCTGGTTGCGTTTGGCATTGGATCTGTGCTCGGATGGATTTGGCCTGATGGATTGAGGCACGATGGATGAAGATGGTTGTTGCAGATGTATGGTGTGCAATGTATACGAGTTGGCTTAGTCATGAGACGGCATTTGACGATGAAGATGACAATGCTTACTAGTTATTAGAGCAATTGAGCTATTGCCCATTCCGTGCTCTCCTGAATGACTTCAGCTTCGGCTTCTCTGCATCGAAGCTCTCAAAGGCCGAGCGGATCCTATTAGCTAATAATAAGAGCTACCAGATAACACGGCCTGCACCCCGCACGAGCTCGATGCATCAGCTGGGTGTCCCAGGGGACGCCCGGACGCGCTTTGCTGCGGGGAACTCCTGTGAGAGTGAGACGGACACTTGACAATCGGGGTTCCTAGCCCATTGTTTACCTCAAAACGTGTTGTTCCGGGCTGGGAAGCGGTAATTCTCGGCCCAGGGAATTCTTTAATACATATTACTGCGTAGGGAGAAGCTGGGACTTTTGACTTTGAGACATATTCTGATAAATAGCAGAGAAGACGTACCGTATCGTCAAGCTCGTATCACTCAAGGATGAAGCTTGCCTGGTGTCAACATGTCATCCCAACGGCTGTCTCTCTTATCAACCTCCTCCCTCACAGTGACCCCGGTACATACCCCTCCATCGCGCCTTGTGCTCCCTTCTCTGGAAGCTGATGTGACGAGCGGCTATGGAGCTGTGTCGCCTAGTGACAAAGTGGTGGTGTTGGACACCCTGCAGTGAGCCGACAACAAGCGCCCTATGAAACCGGGCCCTGAGCCGATTGCGGGGTTTAGCCCAAGGGGACGCAAGGGCGTGATGCTCCCTTTTCTGGGGAACAAGCTTGGGCCGGCCGTCGGTCTGTGGAATGATCCCAGTTCCGGGCGTATAAACTCGTCTTTGTTCGCCCCGTACACAACACGGGGAATTCAGTCCGACTGACTTCAGTTCAAACTACTCCATCCGGCTTCTGCTCATAGGAACAACAGAGCCCGTTCTCCAGAATTGTGCAACTTCTCCGCCGCGGCGCGTCATCGGTCAAATCTCGTCTCCCCCGTACATCGGTCAAGGTCTCGAGTCGTTCGTTCATCCACAGCTTGCTTCCTTGCTTGACGTGTGCCACCCAAGCTCGACTCGACTCTACTAGGTAGATTGTTCAGGACCCAAGTACTGACACAGTTGCCAAGCGAGACTCGTCCCCCCCTCAAAGGTGTTTGATAACACTGTGAAGTAGTCAATCACACACACACTCGCACACACACATCCATCCACCTCACTTGTTGATACCCCGCCCCTCCAATACGCCCACACTGCTGGCCGGCTAGTTGGCCTGTTATTGCCGTTCTTCACCATGCCTTTCAGACAATTGCCGGTGCCCATGGCACGTTGCTTGCGCAGCTTCGGCTCTGCAGGCGGGCGACCAGGGAGATTAGTCCGCTTCAACCAGACATTGGCGCCCAGCATAGCCGTTGTCGGCGGCCCTGCTCGTCAACTTGCCGGTTTCTCATCCGCGGCCCCACTGCATCGAAGTGGGGGATCACCATCACCATCATCCTCTCATGCAGGTGCTGGTATAAAGCCCACCACCTCTCGACCCCTTGTTGAGGATGAGTTCAAGGCCACCATCGATCAAGCCCGGAACCTGTCTTCGAAATCAACAGAGATGTATACCGCGTCTTTTGCCTTCTTCGAAGCACTATGGGACGCCGGCGTCACCCACTGCTTCGTGAACCTGGGTTCTGACCACCCCAGTATCATTGAAGCCATGGTTAAGGGTCAAAGGGAGCGCAAGGGAAACTTCCCCAGGATCATTACCTGCCCCAACGAAGTAATTGGAATCCCATCTTACCGCGTGCGTCCAATTGGCATATACTAATGGGGTTATCCAGATGGTTGCCATGTCCATGGCTGATGGTTACGCCCGTCTGACTGGCAAGCCGCAATGTGTTATCGTACACGTCGACGTAGGAACCCAAGGTCTCGGCGCTGCCGTCCATAACGCATCGTGCGGCCGCGCACCGATCTTAGTGTTTGCCGGTCTGTCTCCCTTCACTATCGAGGGCGAGATGAGGGGCAGCAGAACAGAGTACATCCACTGGATTCAGGATGTCCCCGACCAAAAGCAAATCGTTTCGCAATACTGTCGGTACTCTGGCGAGCTCAAGACAGCAACCAATGTTAAGCAAATGGTTAATCGCGCCCTTCAATTCTCAAAGTCAGACCCTCAAGGCCCCGTGTATCTTTGCGGCGCTAGAGAGGTAATGGAGGCAGAGGTCGAACCGTACAGCATTCGTCAAGAGGATTGGGACCCCGTTGAGCTCGGAGGTCTTCCCAATAACGCCGTCAACAAGATTGCTGAGGCACTGGCTGGTGCAAAGGAGCCCCTCATTGTCACTGGATTCGGTGGCAGGGACCATCAATTTCCCGGCGCTCTCGTCGAGCTGGCAAACACCGTGAAGGGCCTGCGCGTTGTCGACACAGGTGGCAGCGACATGTGCTTCCCCGCAGACCACCCCGGCTGGCTGGGACTTAGATTCGGTATCGAGGACGCAGTAAACACTGCCGATGTCATTGTTGTTCTCGACTGCGACGTTCCTTGGATCAACACTCTGTGCCACCCAAAAAAGGACGCCAAGATCTTCCACATTGATGTTGACCCTCTTAAGCAGCAAATGCCCGTCTTCTACATCGCCGCTCAGTCGAGATACCGAGCGAGCAGCCTGTTGTCAATTGAGCAGATTACTGCACACCTAAAGGGTCAGTATGCTACCGAATTGGAATCTGCGGAAGCCAAGGAGCGCGAGGCAAAGGTCGAGGAGTCACACAAGCAACTTCTTGCCAAGATTGAGGAAAAGGCACAGCCCAAGGCGGACGGCGAGTTCGGTACTGGCCACCTTACCCGGTCACTGAAGAAGCTGTGTCCCGAGGACACCATCTGGGCCATTGAGGCTGTGACAAACACGATTTTCGTCCACGACAATCTTCAGCCCACATTGCCCGGCTCTTGGATCAACTGCGGCGGCGGTGGCCTTGGATGGTCCGGCGGTGGCGCTCTCGGCATTAAGCTGGCGACCGATTTCGAGCATGGCGGTAACAACAAGGGCAAGTTCGTTGTGCAAATTGTTGGCGATGGCACGTTCCTCTTCTCAGTACCGGGTAGTGTATACTGGATCGCCAAGCGGTACAGTATCCCTATCCTGACTATTATCTTGAACAACAAGGGTGAGTGGTCGATAAATCTTTCTGGTGATTTTGAAATGGAAGCTGACATGATGGCAGGATGGAACGCCCCTAGACGGTCACTGCTTCTGGTGCACCCTGACGGTGAGGGCTCCAGGGCGACCAATGAAGAGATTAACATTTCATTTGACCCGGCACCCGATTATGCCGGCATCGCCAAGGCGGCGGCAGGTGGAGATTTGTTTGCTGCCCGTGTGGACAAGGCAGCGGACCTTGATAGCGTGCTGAAAAAGGCTATCGAGACGGTGCAAGGTGGCCAGCCCGCTGTTTTGGATATAAAGGTGGCCTTGGGTTCCTAGACATAGCATTGGAAGAGTGAGGCGGGAAGGCGATGGGAGAGGACCGGTATAAGCGGGTAGGATTGCTTCACCAGCTCGGTAAAGCATGGCCTGGTGGATTTGACGATTTTTTGTTTCCTTCTCTTTTTGCCCCTGTACTACCCAGAAGAGCGTAGACGCAGACGTAGATAGACTGTTGCGGAGTTCACCCGGCAGAATAGAGAGTCGCCGGACATTTGAAGGTTGATTGGATACGAAAGCACGTAGAACATCGTGTGGAGAGCATGGGTGACCCTGGTGTTAAGTCATAAGGTACTCTTGAGATGCTGCATGAAACCCATCGACGGCTGTGGCCGTCACGCTGTCAATGTCATCTAGCTTTAAGATAGGCAATATTTGTTAGGCAGCTTCTGACGCCAGTAGCCACACGGACGGAGGCAACTTGGTTGTCGAGTGTAAAAGAGATTCGTTATCATGCTGAACTGGTCTACGGACAATGGTTGATGAGACCAAAGGAACCTAAGCAGCAACGAGACCTCCCCTAACCCAGCGGGTAGATCTCCCCGAGAAGCCGGCCAGAATCATGGCTAGTTAAGATGATGTATATCCTTCAAGTCTGACTGACTGTGAAAGATAATCGTGGATGGCTGGGTGGTTTCTGGCTGGCCTTGAGGGGCTTCGGATGCCATGTACTTCATGAGGCAGTAAGATCCAGTTGAGTGAGGTGGTGTGGTGTCTAGCGGAGACCATGGACATGTTTGCCACCGATGGGTCGTTCAGACAAAAACAAGCTGGATGTTCGTATCATTATCGTCAGTTCGCCGTCACATCGAATCTGCAGCGGCGTAGGAAGATGCAGGAAAGTAAATGGCAAGACATTGAAAAGCTCCACAAGTTGGGCTCGGTGTGGATAGAAAATGTGTGGAAGATCTGGAAGCGCGTCAAGACTGCTCTTGGAGCCTGCGTTGCCTGCCACTGCCTGCCTCAATTACCCGGGGCTCGTGCATCAAATCTGGTCATTTGACAGGCAAAAAGGGACCCCTAAAACTCCACTTTGAGCCACCATCGGCGCCTACCTCCAAAATAAAACGGGGGGAGTGGGGGCGCCGCACCGGCCAGGCCAATGTCTGTGCTGCTCTTAGCTCTGCTGTACTTCATACCCCTGCTCAAATTCACCACCACATGGAAGGTGCCCGCTGAAGGGATTTGGAGAGGCGCATTCCAGGTTTGCGACAGGATCGAGAAGGAGGAAGGAAAGACCCCAAAGCAGGAAAGGGCGAGCGGTTGCTACCTGCAAGACGACAATACGTGATACTCCTATTGCTGAGGTACCCTACTCTGGCTTTCCCATGAGAACTGTACCTGGGTGAATGAAACTCCGTTGATATCAAGACAACTCCTATCGGGCCTTAACGGGCACCTAATCACATCTTAGTGATGTCCCGTCACCAGGGAGCCCCTCAGTTGTTACACGAGAATTCGAACCGTCACCGCGGGAGCCGAGCTACTGCTGTAGCCGCCTGCCCGATCCGAGGCGATGTAAACCCAAAGTGGAGGGTACGAGTGCCGTGTTGTTTGTATGTGTAAGAGTGTGCGAGCGAAATGTGTCAAGTCCATGTCAGCAGGTATGGCTCTCTGGTCCTTCCCAAGATGTGTGGATGGATGGATGACTACTTTGTACTCCGTAAATACCAACCTTACCCTGGGGGGGGAGAATGGGAAGGTGTAAGCTTCGCTTTCAAACGGGAAAGAAAACAGAATACTCGAGGAAGGACGGCAAAACAAGGAGGATGGCACGGCGGAAGAAGCAACACGGGCAAGTTGTAACAAGGAAGGCGCTGCCTCTGCTTCCACAGTTCCATCCTCGGCCTGTGGGACCTGCCCCTCCACCTCCACGCCCGCCTTCCCAAAATCCCGGCCTCCAAATTTCTCCAAAAATTCAACCGCTCATTAAAATGTCCCGGTCTCCCATCCCGACCCGGCGCGCTCAACGACATTACATGCAGATGTAGACCCAGACCACGACCGACGCATAACCGGCGACGTCCACGACGACCCCAGGTCAACAACATCATCAATACACATTCGATGCCCATCTAGCCCATCCGTTATCATCCCATTCTTCTTCATATTTGGCCATTATCTTCGCCACCTCTGCTCACCTCCCGTCGTGGTTCCTGCATATCTCCCCTCTCCGCCCGGGTAGTAAGCCAGCCAGCCACAACCAGCTTGGAGTTCTTGCCGATTCATCAGATGGTCGCCCACTGATACCACAATTCTTCTTGCCCGCCAATCTGCTAGGGCATTTCTCCCGCCGGTCTAGGTTTCCCGTCTATCCACCGCTTTCTGCTCGAGTACACGGCTTGTTGAAGCGTGTTCCCGGTCAAGTCGCCTCCGCAGAGAATAATACGACTTTCCATCCCCCTGTGCGGCGCTATACTTCCCTGCTTGTACACTTTGCTCCGGCGACGTCCGCCGCATCGCACCCGCATCGCGCCAGCTGCAAAACCCATCAGGCAAACGCCACCCGTCGTCTGCTGTTCTGAGGGCTGCCCAGCCTTTTGCTTTTCTTGCAGGTGGCACCCAATCTCTTCTCAGCGCATCGCTTCGCCTGCAAATCCAAGCCGCCCTCTTCCCGGGCCATAATCGTTGTCTGGTCTGCCACCCACCTGTAGTGTGTTTGGATATTGCAGCACTTTGTAGCGTCCTCGACTTCAGACGATCGCCGATCCCTCCATCGCAACGGGGATGCCGTGTCTCTTGCGCTCTCTTCGCCTGCCGCATGCCTGCAGTTCCCCGCACTAGCTTCGAGATCAGCAAAAAGATTGTGCTCTGTCACAAGCACCTCTGCCAGCAATTCAACCTTGTTGGTCCAGACCACCACCACGAACCACCGCTACCACCACCAACGATATTGCTCCGAGCGAGACATTGCCAGGCGAACCACTTGCTTTGCTCTAACCCCCCAAACGAGACGTGCAGCCGCACCGCATTATTATTGACCGACCTTTTCGAGCCCCTCTTGACCACCGAGACCTCTGGTGAAATATCACCTTACGCCGTTAATCAGCTTGCCCCTCCGCTCGCTCTTTTATCTTCCGCAACCGAACGACGATAATTCCCATTTCCCCATTCGAACCACGATCAAGTTTCCCACGCCAAGTCGCTTCTTTTGTTTCAAGGACCATATCTGTTAGCCTGTCCTAGAACGGCTGGAAACTACGCCATTTCGGCCAGACCATTCGAGAGTCGCCTGCGAAAGAAGTTCCCTGCGACATATTCCGACCCCCGCAAGCCGAATCTGGCCGAGGGAACTGCAACTGTGCAAAGATAATACTTTGGGCCATGATAGTTGTGTGAAATAGCTCAACGGTACACACATAATACGGCCTCCGTCGGGGCTTTTGCTTACTATTGTCTGTTTTCTCGAAGCGTTAGATGCTCGCTGTTGCCCACGCCGAACATACCGAGACGCTGCTCTCGTACCCCAACCCGACGTCATTGTCGCCCTATAACCATCCCCGGTGTGTCCTCCAGGACCAACACCAAAATACCGCAGGGATGACTCCAAAGCCTGAAGAGGGCCTGCCGCTGCAGCAGACAGATTCCAACGCGAGCGTCGTCCCCGATATTCCGCCGCCGCCAAACCCTTCTTCCGATCCGCGATTGAGCGTTGCCGATTGCGACAGTCCCCCGAACGTCCCCGAAAACAACGATGTCTTCAAGTTGTCGCCTAGGGCAGCGATGAGGCTCTTGAGTGGCGGAATCGAGGCCCTCGTGAAGATAACAGGCGATATCCCTCCGACACCACCACCTACAAGCCCTACACTGCCCAATATGAGAGGAATGGCGGCAGAGAAGGAGCTCATCCGCACCAGCTCGCAGAAGAATCTAGCTCGTATGCGCAAGGAGGCTGAAGCAGCAGCCGCATCTTCAGCTCCCTCGCCTCGTCGACCGGCTATGATGTCCCAGATGAGTGGCTCGAGTAGCTCAACACCACAATTAATAGACGGTGTCCACCTGCGGCAGACACAATCACCGACCCCTCCACCACCACTGAAAGCACCCGAGCCACACATAATAATTGGGGAGAACTCGCAGCCGATTAACCTTCAGCATAGTGCGATCACGCGCAAGTTCTACTCTAAGAAACCGCCGCCCATTGGTATTGACGAATATCTCGCGAGAATTCACCAATGGTGCCCGATGAGCACTGCCGTGTACCTTGCTACCAGCTTGTATATCCACCGCTTAGCCGTTGACGAACGAGCCATTCCCGTGACCCGGCGAAATGCGCATCGACTGGTTCTGGCGGGGCTGAGAGTGGCAATGAAGGCGCTGGAGGACCTCAGCTATCCGCATAGCAAGATTGCCAAAGTTGGAGGCGTTAGCGACGTCGAGTTGGCGCGCTTAGAGATTAGTTTTTGCTTCCTGGCGAACTTTGAGCTAGTGGTGAGAGAAGATACACTGAAGAAGCACTGGGAGGTTCTGAAGCAGGAGCAGCCATTGAGGCTTATACATCCCAGCCTACCGAATTTGTCGTTGAACAGAAAGCCTAGGGAGTCGGCGCATTCCGGGCAGGAAAACCAATGGAAATGAGAAGGGCGTAATGAGAAGAGGTAATTGGGATACGTCACTGTGTGTTTGCAGCATGGTTGTGGCATTTGTCGGAGCAAGAGCGCATCATCATATTGCATTGGAACGGTGTACTTCTGGGTATGTTACGTCTGATAGCGATTCTCTTCATAGTACAAAGTACACACTTAATTGAGCGGGATAACATCCCCTTATTATTGATCATGACTATGAGAGGCGCCTTTGCTGGAAGTGCACATGATACCGGACGCCGGTGTTGGAGAGACCCGATGGTGATAATTTCAACGGATTGACTTTGTTGACATCTCTACTGTCTACTTATGGTCACGCGACATGAACATTATTTCGTCTCAACGGCTACGTTCCTTTCCTAGGTAGAGGTATCCGGACATTAGAAGCGATGACAAAGGTGTGCGTCGATGATAAGGGTCGCCAGCGAAAAGTGGCTTATCGCATTGTGTGGAAGCTTATCGATTATCGCGTCGCGCTTGGCAGGAACCCTTGACGGGAGTCTCAAGGTCGGAAGGTTGGAAGGCGTGGATGGGTTGTGCCTGCCCGGAGTCGCATGTTGCCTGTGGAAACGGAAAGGAACCACAGGCTCGCTTCTAACGGGTGCAGAACGGGGAAGGACCATTGGGAGCCGTGCGTATAGAGGGAGACAGCTGCAGCCAGCTTGGTTCCCTACCTCGAAGCTTAGAGCTCCGCCGCCTTGCCCGTGCCCCCCTAACCTGGAACCTGGAACCTGGACAGACTTTCTCCTCCCACCTCCAGCTTGCCCGTTGATCGAATTCAAACTAGACATTGACGCTCATCACGTTCTTTTACGTCTTTCTTTCCGCGCCTGATCTGTTCCAAACGTTCACGCGACCGGTTGGCCGGTTCTCAATGCGAAAAATCGAGCTGTCCGACGCAGTCTGACCGAATCACTCCTTCAAACAAGACCAGACATCTGAGCACGACCGCGCAATCGCGACCGAACCCGTCGCAATGGCCGAAGAATTCAACAATGACGTTGAGGTCGTTGACGACGCCCCCGCCAATCCTGGCGCAGACGTCGAGATGGCCGAGGAGGGCGATGCCAATGCTGAGGAACTTCCCTTCGCTGAGGGCGGCGAGAACGATCCCGTCGAGTCGCGCACCCACTTTGTCAGCTACCTATCTAGCCCCGTTGTGACCCTCTTGGTCGGTCAGGGCGAGACAGAAGCCATTGTCACAGCTCATCAGGCCCTTCTGGTGCAAAGTCCTTTCTTCAAGGAGGCATGCGCGCAGTTCAGCGACGATGGTAGCGTAGGTGTTCCTCCCAGGTTGCGCCAATCGCCCGGCGCAATCAGCGGTTCCCCGACGTCACTAACCCAATGCGCGACAGCCGCGTCAAATTGAGCTCGTCGGCGAAGACCTCGACGCGGTTGGATGCTTCCTCGAGTTCCTCTACACAGGAGAGTACTTCCCCCGCAAGGTCGCCGGTACGCGCACCCTCGAGCAGGATCCCTCGACTCCCGAAGTCGATGCGGATGGCACGCAGCTTCTGAAGCATGCGCGCGTCTATACTTTGGCCGAGAAGTTTGGTGTTCCCAGCCTCCGCTCGCTCGCCAGCTCCAAAATCCATTGCGTCAACTCAACGGCCAAGGGCGAGATTGCCTACGCCCGCTACGTCTACGCCTACACTGGCAAGGACGACACCACGATACGCGCCCCCGTCGCACAGTTCTGGGCCATGCGCTCGCACACCCTCCGTTCCGAAGCCGAGGACGAGTTCCGCTCTTTGTGCTTGAAGTACCCCCAGTTCGGATACGACGTGCTTAGTATGTGACGGCACTTGAATACGCTAGAAGGAATCATGATGCTAACTACTGATAGCCCGCGTCCTCGACGACAAGCTCAAGAGGGAGAAGAACGACAAGCTGCACCCATCATCATCATCTCAAGGAAGCGCTCGCAAGCGTGCGCGGCACAGCCAGATCTAGAACGACGAGGAACTCATTTATCAGCGCATGTTTTGCGTGGCGTTTGCTAGCATAGTTTAGGGATCTTTTCGCGATGGAGCATTTGGCATTCCCTGAAATCTTCCGCCATACCCATTGAGTCTCGGATTGGTACCGAGTGGATGCGATTCTCCAACGAGATGAACAGAATTTTTTTGCTTTCTTTGTAGACTGCGGCGCCGGTTCTTGCTGTACGCATATTGTTTTACCATCTTGGAAGCCGTGGGTGCTACGGCTGGGATATCTTGAAAAGGAGTTCGCTGCGTATGGTTTGGGGAGTATCGAATATCTGCATATCATGGAGCTACAAAGTAAATCGTTTCATCCGGGAGAGGTTTCGTCTAATTTCGTGTCTGATGAATTACTAGATGAGTGCGGCGCGAGGCTAAAAGGGGCTGTTAAATCACCTGCCTCGTTCCTTCCCACATCTGCCCCGCTCCTACCTCAGGTGAGACTAACTACGTGCCTACCTTCCTTGACCTCCATTCCTCTAGGCATCCAAGGGTATATATTACCCCCCAACACCTTTTCTGTCACCAGCACAGCAGTGTCCGTCTAGGTCGGCGGTTCAGGTCAAGCTGTGTGCGTGGTGTAGTGCTTCAACAAACAAATACTCCCAGGAAGTCAGAGTTTCGGTTGACTGAGGGGCGCGCTGTTTGAATCCGGATAAGGGCGTGAATTATAAGGTCAGTCCCCCCCTCTCTTTCTTCCATTGTTTAAGTAGTAGATATATTTCTCGAAACTATAGATGTGGTGGACAATTCGAAGCCACCTTTTTCACTTATAGCTCCTTCGCTATGAGTAAGCTCAACATTAAGTTAGCTAAACAATGAGTTCTTGCTTTGTTAATGGAAGCACCTTGACCGAGCTCTCGCCTCCAGCTCTGTTCTGTAAAATCTCGGTGAGTTTCGGTAAGACACAGCTACCCCAAAAATGCGGGGGACGGGATGCGGTCCGGGAGAGGCAGAGTTTCTCCGCCCAGCCGGAGGACGACGCTCCATTTGATCTATCTGAGGCGCATTCGGAACCTCGGATTGGGGACAGATTTGAAGTAATTGAGCCGGATCGGCGCTCACATGTAGAAAGCCAGCGTGGGACCCTGGATATGGTTTGAGATGCGCTCTTATATGAAGATGCCACCCCCCAAGCTCCCGTCTACTGCGTGCTTATGACGTGTCTTCACCGTTGCTATTCTTGATCGTGTAGAGGCGCTTCGAATGGGTGATACATTATGAGCGCATTCACCAAAATTCTCGGGCTATCGGCCTATACAGCCCTCGTAGCAATCTCCTTCCCTTACATCCAACAACACAATATCCCCTCCCGTCTCCAAACCTCCCTCAACAAGCTCTTCTCCACACCGACAGACGACATCTTTTCTGATCCGGAAGTCTTGACGACCGAGCCCTACATCTGCCAATCCCAAAACTACACCATGCAAATCGTCTCCCTCGATCCATTGGTAATCTACATCCATAACTTCCTCTCCGAAGCAGACATCATATCCCTCTTAGAAGCAGGCGAGCCGGCCTTCAAACCCTCGTACGTCGTCAAGAATGGCAGAACGCAGGGGACGCCGGGTAGAACTTCCTGGTCCGCTGGCTTACCTGCCGATGATATCGCCGTGGAATGCGTGTTAGCCAGAGCGGAAGATTTCCTGGGCACGATGATGGCGCCTGGGCGAGACGAGATTGGACCGCCCCAATTGGTGCGATATACAAAAGGCCAAAGATTCAACGTCCACCACGACTGGTACGATGATTTCCAACCCGATGTCAGAACCGGGCGAAGACGAAAATGGAACCGGGTCGCGAGCTTTTTTGCGATTTTGGAGGATGATTGCACGGGCGGTGAGACGTGGTTTCCCAAGATCGAGGCCATTACGCCGCAGCATCGGAGGGTGGATGGTGAGGGGACCATGTGGAGGAAACATAATGATGGTGGGATTGCGTTCAAGCCTGTGAGGGGGAATGCAGTGTTTTGGGTGAATTTGCACGAGAATGGAACGGGGGATGGGAGGGTTGTGCACGCTGGGTTGCCTGTTGGGGATGGGTTGAAGACTGCGATGAATATTTGGCCGAGGAGGTATCTTGGACCTGAGGCTTGGAGGGAGGGCGAAGGGCCAGAGGATGAGTTTGAGGGTGAGAATGTGAGTGTTGTGAAGGGTGAGAAGGGTGAGAAGGTGATGGGAAAGGTGATGGTCGAAGAGAAGGAGGAAGAGCTTGTTGTTGATGATGCTGAGGCTGATCCTATTCAGAAATCCGATTGAAATGGTCAAAACTTTGCGGCAGCCTAGATTATGAATCGACAATTGATTGTTCTCGTGGTTACTTCGAGGTTCCTAGATGACTGATTTGTTTCAGACTCCTCGACTTTTCTCTCGTTTTGAACTTCACCTCGACGAACCTGCATAACCTCACTCCGAGGCAACAAGGCCCAATCGCTCTTTCCCCTGCACCTTCCTGGTCATTCTCTCCCTCGCCAACCACTTCACCTCGAGTAGATCAGAGAGACGGTGATGCATGGCTTATTCGTCCCGAAGCACATCCAGTCCAATCCGGACTTGCGGCGCCCCGTGGCTGATGAAGAGATTGGCCTCGAGGCTTTGGAGCCCTACCAGGATCAACTCGATCACCAGATATGGTCAGCGCCAAAGATGTCAGTTCGAGCCCCTTGGCCTGAGATGGCGACAACCTACGCGTGCCTTCGTCCAGGTATGACGTGGTCCTGTGGTACACAGACGTCCCAAGAGCCCGAAGCCGTTCCATCTACCGCTCATGACAGGAATATCCTGGACGCCACGAAACACTACAAGGCCTTCATCAAGAAGATACGACAGAGACAGAATGCTGGGCTCATTGACAAGTCTGTGACACTTGGCCCGGACGGCCGTCTCACTTGGCCTGGTTTGGGTAACGAGGCTGGCACACTGCGCAAACTACCTGACAAGATCAATATTCAACGTCTCATTGCCGAGTACGACGGCGCCGATGCTGATCGCATGCCTGAGAGCGATCGTCGTGTTCTTCATAGGCTTTTTGAAGCAGATCTAGCTGACGGAAAACATGTGGCCAAATGTGCCCGAAAACTCAAATCTCTCATCAATATCGACGACGTCGAACTGGGCGAAACCCAGGTGCGAGAAGCCTTCGAACAATGTCTTGGTCCGATGTTGTTTGAGAAGACACGGATCGGGGATAAAGTGGCGTCCGCTTAGAAGACGGGCGCATGCCCGCTGACCAACTTGTTGCCTCTTGCGCGGAACTGTTGGGCGTCGACGTGCCCACAGACTCCGACGGCAACGTTATCAATGACGTTGATGCCACTATCGTCGCTATTCGAGCGGTTGATGGAGAACTTACCAACGTCCTACCACATTTACTTGGCTCATCACCCATCCTGGGAGGGACGGAACAGAGCCGGTGTTTGAGTTGACCGTCAAGTTGATGTTCAATTCGCGGTGCTTCGAGTACTGGAATAGGTTGACGATGTTTGCAGGGCATATCCAATGTCAGCCTTTGAAAGAGGAGGCCAAGGAGGAGTGGGCTAGGCTTTTCGGAGAGCCTTATAGAAGCGATGGCGATGGCGAAGGTGATCAGTGGGGCAATGAGGCGATGCTTAGCAGTGTGGTAAGCGAGCCCCTGTTCTCGGGTGTTACCAAATATGTCAAGTTGGAGAAGATCTTGCTGCCAGGCATGGCACTGGTAGGCTTGAGAAGGTGTTTGATTTGCGTTGGACGCGGAAAGATCGCTGGGAATCTGGGGGACGGGCGGAGGAGGTCACGGAAGTTACTATCTGCGTCGACCTGGCGAGAACCATTGTTTCGTCTCCCCATGATTTGCATGTAGACTTTTGCCGTCATCAGGGAGCAGGCTTCGTTGACCAATCAAGACCGAAGTTCCCCTTGGGCCCTTGAGCCTATTCAGTGAGAGACAGAGTGACCCGTCGCCGTCGGCATCTCATGTAAGACCGAGCATTGGCCGCCTTTGGCAAGGACCGGAATCCTCCGAATTGTTCAGTGGGGAGTTGCTGGTGGTATCTCTGCTCAACTTCTGAGCTGTAGCCCCTTTTCATTACGCATTGGGCTCCCATGCCATGTATCTTAGGAAGTCTTTCTTGCTGTCTCTAGAATGATCAACCGTTGTCGACGGCCAGGTCAGGTCTCTCTGCAGCAAAAGGCCCAATACAGAAAGAAGCACTTCTATCCTGTCGCTTTTCCTATACGCAATTTTTTGAGGGGACTAGGACGCATCTTCCTCAAGGTTGGCCATCTTCGCCCACATGCCCAGACTCAGTCTGCTCAACCATCAACTTCTGAAGCTCTTCGACCAAGTTACGAGCTTGAGCACCCTCAAAATCAGTCGTCGCAAGGTCCAGGTCGATAATCCACCGCGCCTCCGTCTTGTCGGTCATGCCCTTGATAGATGCGTGCCGTCGCTCGATCTCATCGAGCTGTGCCAAGACGCTGATAGCCTTGTTGGTTCGTATGGCCGAGTGCCGCAGCGCCATGCCGACCATGCCCTGGGCGATTGACCCAAAGACTGGGAACGAGGCGTAAAGGTCCTCTAGGCCTGCGAGGCAGACGTCTAGGTAGAATTTCCACTCGTTACCGGGTTGGCCGTCTGCCCGGAGTGCCATTCCTCCTTCAGAAATCATGGCATTGGCGACGTAGACGACTGCAGTCTGCCATAGGACCGAGTAGTTCGCGTTCTTGTAGCGCAGGCGGTATAAGAGAAGCAGTTGCTTTAGCTGTGTGATGGACGACGCATATACTGCTTCGGGAGTGGCATAGTGTGTACTGAAGGAGTAGAGGCGCTGTGATTTGTATTCGGTTGCGAGGAATGGTCGGAATAGATCAGTCACCACGGCGTGGAAGTAGACGCTGTTGAAAATACGTCAGCCTCGTTAAAAGCAATGTTAAGTATCCCAACGCTACATTAGGAGTACTGGGAAGGGTGGATGACGTACTGTAACAGCATGACGCTGTGCTTACTTTCTTCGCCTCTTGCCATGCCCAAAGAGAGTGCACCAGACCAGGAGAGTAGACGATGGTATGTTCCTTCTGCGAATCTCAACGTTGACTCGAGCGTGGTACCATGGTACTGAGGGTCATAGAATCTTTCCAAGATGTCTTTGAAGATAACCCACATGTCACTCGCGGCGCTGAGGAGCTGAGCATGAAAGGCTATCTTAGATGTCTCTGGATTGTCGCTTGGTAGGGATGCAATCAAGTCTCGGGGCATAGGTAGTAAGGGCGGTGTGTGGATTTCGTGGACGCGATAGTGAAGGGAGTACACCCTACATGGGTTAGCAGCCATCTTGGGATGGGAACAATGATTACGCTCGAGTACTCACGATACCCAGTTATAAATGCCCCAAGCAGTGTACGATGCCGCCCTCGTCCACTCGGCGTGGCCGCCCAGCCAGACGGTAGCTGATTCGGCTTCGGATTGGACATTGAAGAGGCCCATCGCCTTACCCAGCTTCACACTCTCTTGCAGGAACCGGAGACTCATGTCGTCTTTGCCGTACGTCACGGCGCACATGGTCAGTATTTGCAGTGCAGCAATGGTTGTGACGCTGTGTGGCTGCTGTTGATCGGAGAAATACTGCTGAGATTCTGCGAAAAGAGCTACACTGAAAGAGGCGGCATCGGCATGGAGGGTCGTATATGATTGCTGCTTTAGTTAGCCCCCAGGAAATCGCAACACATTGAGGGCGGGAATAGGTCACATACACACGCCCAACTCAAGACGGCAGTGACAAGAAATGGAGAGCAAAAGAATTGTTGAAGATTAACCAGATCTCGTACAAACAGGTCGGCGTCGAAAAGGGGTATCGTAGCGTAGTCAATGTCAAGATAGTGCGATATAATACTGATGGCAAGGTCGTTCGGGATGGGGATATTTGTCCACTTGGTAATATCAAGAAGACGTAATCGTTCGTCAAAGAGTGGTCTCGGCGTCGCAGCTCCCGTAGAATCAGGAGAACCAGATTTGGGCTCCTCATCTCGCTCGGGAGTCAGATACGGACTCGCAAAAGGGGAGACTTGCCTAGAAGACCTGCAATTCGTTAATGTACCGCGGCGTATCGGCCAAGCCCAGGACACCGTCTTGTCAAGGTTATGTCTGTTTGAGGCGACGTTCACATGCCCTGACAATAGGCATCTGGACTAGGCTATTGATAAGGATTGACATACTCGTCTTGTTGTCCTTGCAGCCAAGACTTCGTCACAGGTTGAAGTAAGGCTCCAAGAGTCAAGTCCGTGTACGGTACCGGGAACAGAGCTGGATATGCGATAGGGTGTCGAATGGTCAGTTCGAACCCAAGGCTGTTCTGTGTTGGTGGCAGAAGCCCTCTGAGGTGTTGCTGGTCGGACGGGCGTGCCAGGTTCAAAGCACGATCGGGCGTCTCATTGCGTAGTTTACGAAACAATTCGAGGGCTTGTTCTGGCGGAAGCGTTCGAAGAGATTCGAGTATCTCAGCAGGGCCACCTCGTTTCGACTGCTCCACTTCGGCGAGAGTAACCCGGTGTCGGACAGTGTAGGTGTACTCGCAATTCTCCGCACGGTGGTCACACATGACGCATCGCGGGAGTCGTCCATCGCACTATCAAGACGGCAATTAGCATTCCATACAACAGAACTCAAGGCATGTACAATGATTGGGAACGTCAAGGAACAACGCCGCAGTGGCAAAAGCAAGACAGGGGAAGCCGAGGCCCACCTTTGTCTTCCGCCTACGACACGGATCGCAGGCGCTGTTGGTCTTGCGTGGCCGCGCGGGACGGCGGAGGCTGATGTTAGGACGGCCGGGCCCAGGACCGGGACCAAGGCCGGTACGGGTACCAGATTCGGCGTTGGGATCAGAATTAGAATCGGGATTCTGCCGGATGTTGGCCGGTGATCCTTCGGCTGATGGCCGCGGCCGCAGCGGGCGAAATGGCGACATGTTGGATGGGTCCGATTGAGTGGCATTTCGACGGCATTCGCCACGTGTATCAGGTCATTTCGGAACCTGTTCGAGGGAGCACCCGCGGACGGTAGGCGGGAGGTGGCGATTGCAGGAATACTTGAGGGATGTTGTCGAAGAAATGCGGTGAAGGGGGGGGATTCGCAACGATGGCAGCGCTCTGGCCGGAGGCTTCCGAAGAAAGCTTAGCTCCAATTGGTCCTTTCTCAACGAAGCTCTCTGCTGGCTCGCTCGAGATGCTGCGCTAGTCCTAATACAGTACTCTGCGGTCCATTGCGGTCTAGACCGTCGATCCCCCGGTCCAGTGAGTCCTGGCAGACCGTTGAGCAGCTCACCTTGAGTGAGTGATCGGCGACTCGAGGTGAGCGGTGAACACTTCCACCAGATCGAGACATATTATCCCTTGGAATCTGCAATCCTCGATGCCGGCATTCATGCTTACCGGCTGCTTGGTTATTCAGCCTGCCACCCTTTCAGCCCATCAATACACCCCGAGACTATGAGTTTGGGCTGGAGCACTTAGCTAGAATTAGATAGCTTTGAGTACTTCATACGCTTTTCTCGACCACCTACCTAATTTCTACAGTAGAGAGGCCAGTGGTCCGCCACTTCAACGCCGGCATATTCCAGGAGGCCAGCTTCTTTAACGTCCCCGAATAGCTCCTTGTCCAATCAGATTTCCAACGATTGACAACCCAATGTTCCCGTTTGGCACTCCGCCGATAGCCGAATGGTTTCATCCTATAATTCAAGTCTGGCACGGGCAAGAGAGTTTCCAATATCTAAGAACTATTGGTGTGTTCGTTAAATGCCCCACGGCATCCGAACTTGCCCAAGCACGTTGAAATCCCCAGCTTTTCCGTTTCGAAACCAATATCCGCCGAGACTTGCCGCCAACGATTCACTGTTGCGGATGTTCATCCGAGCGGCTAGTGCAGGCGAGCTGCTTAAACCTCGAAGAACGACATTGGCTTTCAAACTTTGACACTTTAAGCTACTCTACATAGGATCTACGTTGCCACCAGTTAACTTCCATTGGATTTATATGATTGATACATCGAATACGTTACCCCCGCACTTTCACTCCTCGTGTTCTTCTTGACTGGACCAATATCGCGCCTGTTGTTGGACGACCAAGTTGAAACGAGCTCATGTAATGGAGTTGATTCGCGCCTGACCTGTCGCGGCCATCTAGTCAACCTTTGAGTCGACCATCCCGTCATGGCCCGAATTGGCACACAAAGAGTAAAGACAGGTTGTACAACCTGCAAAATCCGGCGTATCAAGTGCGATGAGGCGCGTCCATCTTGTGCGAGATGCATCTCCACCGGCCGTAGATGTGACGGCTACATATCTCCGCCGACGACGACATACTCCTGGGCGCAACTCTTGAGGTCATGCCCCGTAAATAATGCACCTTCAATCCGGGCCGCACAACCGAGCAGAGCCAGCATCGCCCACGCCGAACGAACGATGGACTTCTATCGCAAGGTCACCGCCCCGGCTTTTTCTGGTTCCCTCAACTCGTACTTCTGGACCAACGTCGTGATCCAGATGTCAGACCAGGAGCCTGTTGCTAGCCACGCCGTGCTGGCGCTCAGCTCCGTGTACGAGACGTTCAGCAAGGGAGCGTGGGAAGCGAGTCCCTTTGCTGTGTGGCACTACAACGAGGCAATCAAGCTGCTCCGCACGACGACGGACCGCGCGCTGATCCTCTTCGTCTGCGTTCTCTTCATCTGCATAGAGCTGCTTCGCCGGAACCCGAAAGAGGCGACGACCCACTGCCGGCACGGGATCAATATCCTGAACGAGATTCACAATGAGTCTGACTTTCTGCGGAACCATGTGACACCGGTTATGCGGCAGTTGAGCATCGCTCCATACCGCTACGGCATCAATCCCGCGACGTTTCCGACTGTGCGCAAGCCCATATCCACATCTACCAACCGACTTCAGAATGTTGCAGAAGCTCATGCCCGATTGTTGACCATACACGTCCGTCTGGTTCGGTATTTGGAATCCGTCGACGATTGCCATCTCGAGGCCGGTCAGGAAGGCCCCGAACCGGACGCAAAGTGGACTCGACAGTTCATCCTCGTTGACCTCGATGCGTGGTACAAGGCGTACAGGGAGTTGAAAAAGGAGGAGAGATATACCACCAGGGAGGAGGATATGGTGCGATTATTGGATATCCGGTATCTTGTGGGCAAGATCGCGCTTTTGAGTTCCGACAAGGGGGAAGCGGGCGAATGTGTCTACGACGAGCACACGGACAAGTTCCGCGCCGTTGTCGTCCTCGCATCGCAGGCAGAAGGCTCGCCGGGGTCTTTTCCCGAATCGTCCTCGTCAAAGTCCTCAGCAGGCTGGGGCACTGAAAGTGTTCTGGAATTAGGCTTTAGCTCTCTCCTCTTTATGGTCGTCACTAGGTGCCGCCAGCTGAGATTGCGGCTCGAGGCGCTAAGACTGATGAAGAAGCTCATGCAGCCCGAGAGGAACATTTGGGAGAGAAAGTTAACGTGGTCAATAGCGCAGCGAGTGATTGAGATTGAGCATGATATCACCCTTGACGACACTACTGACTTGGACGCGTTGATTTCCTCCGATGAAGGAAGCAATAGGTTCGTGCCGAAGGAAAGGCGCATAGTCGAGATGAACTTTCGGGGACCTGCGGAAGCTACGGTTCCCCCACGGAAAAAGGTGCATTTCTACCTAAAGAATGGGAGGACGGGTCAGATTGAGGATAAGGAGGAATATCTAGCAATATGATGATACCAATTGGGCGACGCTGGCTGAGACTAAACCATCATGCAATCTAGCTGCTTTACTGTGTGCTCTACCATTGGGGAAGAATTGCTGTATTGACTATGTGCCTATAAAAGACTCTTGATATCCTGCGCAGTAAGCATACGGTCCAACTGCATAACCCCATCAACAGGCTTCAACCAAGATGCGCGCGTGTCGATGAACTGCTCTACCTGCGGCTTCAGCTTCGTCTCCACGAGGCGGAAGTCATCAATAGTGCCGAGCCTGAGAATGCTCATACCAGGAAAGCCGGAGCTGACGCGGTACATGAGCGTGCCGCAGGTGTCGCAAAAGTGGTTCGCCATGTCGTTGCCCGTCGCGATGGTGCGGGACTGGCTGAAGGACTTGAGGTTGTCTTTGCCACGGACGTGGCGGAGGTGGCTGTCGGCAACTGAAAAGTTGGAGCAGAACATGGAAGAGGAGATCTTGCGGCAGTCTGTGCAATGGCAGATGAAGCGGTTGAGAAGACCGCGGCCTTGGGTTGGCTGATAGGGGTTGTCAGTGTAATAGTTCTTGGTCTTGGTCTTGAATTTTGTGATTTGGAAGGGATGGATGTGAAGACTTACAAATGAAAGTTGAACGGCGCCGCAGAGGCAAGTTGCTGTTGCTTCATCCTCTGTGGACCAGCCGTCCTGAGCTACGCCGGCGAGCGGGATGAAGGTCGGTGATGTCTTGTCGTCTCTGGCGATGGAAGACATGATGCGTGGTTTGAAAAAGATGATTTGGATGAGTTCCTGTGTGTGGCAAATGGTCGGAGAACGACGCGATGATGGGAAAGAGAAATCAAAGCCAGTGACGAGAGGGGCAAGCGTTGAATATATACATCATCTGCGAGTTTCGTATAGCATCACGACCTAGGCCAGCCACTTGGGCTTGGCAATAGTCGCAAAGCTTTTCCGTCGATCGGCAATAAACATCTGATACTATGCCACTCGAGATTGGAAGATTCCTGCGGATCTATGAGCTTCGCAGAGGACACTGCCGGGTTCAGATGGACGTATCGTGCGACGGCAAGACATGATCCAGCCAACACCACTCAAGACCTTCGAGATTGCTTAATCACTTACAAGTTACATGTACTTAGGTGCGGGGATGCACTAACGACGAGCGGGAATAAGACGAGGGGAATTTCTGTGCAAGTGAGTGCGCATGGTTTCGATGTGTGATTGCTAAGCTTGCTTACTTCAGTCGGCCAAACTTCTGTCCCTATAATCTGCATCCCAGGCTTAAACCCGGGCTGCTGGTTTTACTCAACTGATTCATCTGCAGGTGAGGGAAGATGTCGGGATGCTACCTAACTCCATTAAAGACTGACTGGTTAATCATGAGTGACTATGAGTCACCCAGCGATTGCTTGGTAATAACTCATCTATCCTGCTCCATCATGAAGAGAGAGAGGCAACGATCTATCACTCTTATCAATCCTCCTCAGCCATCTCCAACAGGTCAGTCCTGCTGCAAGCAATACGACTCACTCAAATCACGCGGCGAACGTTGAAGGCGTGTGAGACCTGACCCGTCTCAACGCCCATAGTATTGACCCGCTTCAGGTGATGGAAGCTCGCCAACTTTCGTCGCATCTCTGGTGTTCCGATTCGAAGCTGATCCAGGATTTCAGGAACCGCGGCATAGAGGATTTCGAGACTCCCGTCTTCGATCTTGACCGCAATGCCGACAGCTCCCTCCGCGCCAAGCTCCTTCGTGGCCTCTGATGCTCGGATACCGATGGTGTAGCATCCGTCTGCGCCAACTTTGCCGAAAAGGCCGCCTTCGAAAGCTCCCATGAGCACTGTACAGAAACGCCCTTCTCCGCCAACCATCTCGGGGTACGTTGACATGGCGTTATAAATATCGGCCATGTGCTTTGTTCTCGTAGAATGAACGGCATCTCCTCTATCGATAGCATCCGCAGCCGCGGCAAACGCAGCATACATGCAACCCATGGAGTAGAGAGGTTGGCCTGGCGCAGGGAGGTTGCAACCGTCAATTGCCCACTTGATCTCGTCTCCGCTGAGCCCGCTCAAGTCTTCAACAACTTGCTTAACCTTGACCTGCATCGGATGGTGAGGGAGGTGATAGCCCTCAAAGCTCGCACCGAGAGCCTTTGCGCCCCCCAGCATGCCCGCGTGTTTACCGGAACAGTTGCTATTGATCTCCATTGGCGTGAACCCGGCTCTAATCCACGATTTATCAACCACCGGGCAAATGGAAGGGTGGCCGCCGCAACGCAGGTCCGACTCTTGCGCCCCGACCTTGGATAACATTGACCTCGCCCTGGAAACATGCCGATCTTCGCTGTTGTGAGATGCGCACATCAGGGCTACATCGGCGCCGTCGAAGCCATATTTCTCAAAGCCCGGAGTTTCGAGCATTGCGAGAGCTTGCGCTGGTTTGGATGCGGAGCGAGCCAGCGTCATCCGTGAAGGGTTACCGACTGCATAGAGGATTTTACCGCTGACATCGACGACTGCGGCGTGGACTGCGTGTCTGTTTTCGATAACACCGCCTCTGTCTGTGACCACATAGTCTTCGAAGAGGCTAGTCTTTGTCATTCTCAGTTCGGCGAATTGCTTGATGGAATGTTGTTGCGGCGATAGAGCTTGCTGAAACTTGTAAAGGACTCGACTGTAGAATGCCTTGATCAGGATGCGTGTGAGTTGCGTGGCTCAGACGGCGAAGGAAAGGTGAATCTTTCTCTATTTTTTTTGTCGCTATGCTCTATCCCAAGGGAATGTCAAACAAAATCATGTGAGTTAATAAGAGGAAAAGGTGGGTGCACCTTATTCATTGGGGAGAACTCCAAAGGGTGGAAGAATCGGGGTCCAATGCGTCATGCCGGCCAGCGAGCTTACGCGACTTTATCGGGCACACTGAAGATTGGTGTTTCAACCAATTGGGGGCTCGCAGATCCCATTACTCAGGATGAATCATAAGCTAGTTAATCGTCTTGCTGATGAGCGCTCAAACAGACGCTTCAAAGGGTGCTTCTTAATTAAGTAAAGTCGTACCGCCCTCAATTAGGTAGAAGGTCTTAATGCTAGGCAACACGTCTAAGTCTGCTGCAAACCAACCCACAGGCGCTATTGAGGTGGTACTTTATGGAAAGATATTTCAAAGTTTGATAGAAGTACACCAACGATCGCCAAACTTAGAGGTAGTCATTTGGTGATTAGTGTACTCCGTAATGAGAGAGATACTCCGATTTAAAGCTAGAGATCTAGTGAGAATGAGATTGAAATCACTTGACAACATTCTAGACAACCATCCACCTAAAGATTAACGCAAACAACGAGAAAGTCAAGAATTCTATCCTGTTGCAGACAATACAATTACTTTTACAAAACTTATTAGACCGCATAACTCGAAGCGACCAAAAGTACCTAACCAACTAGGAAAGGCGTGCGCCCTTCCATGTGAAAATGACTCTTGACCCAGTGTTACAACCCCACAACCGGATGCCGTCCCGGTCCGGCACCGGTGTCGGCTTCTCAAGACTCTTTGTCATAAAACCTAGAGAATATCAAAAGAAGACGTCTCGGAAATCCTTCAACGTAAGGCTTATTCTGGAAGATATCGTCCAAGATTCGGTGCTCTATTCAACATGTCGGTTGAGCTGCGCCCGATGCCAAACTCCGGCGCTGCTGCCCCGGCGCCGCAGACTGATGAGGAGGACGGGAATACCTTGATCCACACTATGCCGCCGACCGACAAGGGCGCAGCCGCATGGAAGTTCTTGCTTTCCAGCTTCGTCATTGAAGCTCTGCTTTGGGGTAATTGAAGTTCTTGGGCATTCGACTTTCCGACGGCGTCACTAACCTGGCCAGGATTCCCCTTGACCTTTGGTGTCTTCCAGGAATACTATTCCTCTCAACCACAATTCGAGGGCGACTCCAACATTGCCGTCATAGGCACAGTATCCACCAGTATCTACTTCCTCGGCGCACCTCTCGCCGCCCCGCTAGTGAAGAGATTCCACCGCTACCAAAAGCACATGGTCGTCATAGGCTGGGCAATGTGCGTCGCATCCTTGGTCGGCGCATCTTTCGCTACCTCTGTCGCGGGGCTCATCGCAACCCAGGGCGTACTCTACGGCTTCGGATTCCTGATGCTCTACTTCCCGGTACTGCGAATGCTCAATGAGTGGTTCGTCGCCCGACGCGGCCTCGCATACGGCGTTCTTTACGCTGGCGGCGGTTTCAGCGGTGTTGGACTGCCGTTTCTGCTGCAACTACTGCTGTCGAAGTACGGCTACCAGAATACACTCCGTGCTGTTGCCGTCGCTCAGTTCCTTGGTGTTGCGCCCGTCTTGCACATGATCAAGGGCCGACTGCCACCGTCGCCTCACGGTGCTATGCGGATGTTCGATATTAGCTTCCTGAGGCAACCTCTCTTCTACTGCTTCGCGCTCTCGAACCTGTTCCAGGGCTTCGCTTACTACATCCCGTCCCTGTATCTGCCTTCTTACGCCAGTGCCATCGGGCTATCGGGTACCATGGGAGCGCTTCTCCTCGCAGCCCACAACCTGGCAACCGTTTTTGGGCAGATTGGTTTTGGATGGCTTTCTGACCACACGAACAATGTCTTCATGCTCATTTTCATCTCTTCTTTCACGTCGGCGGTCGCGGCGTTTACACTCTGGGGATTCGCCCACTCTTTGCCACTCTTGGTCATTTTTGCGCTGGTCTTTGGCATGTTTGCTGGAGGCTTCCTCATCAACTGGCCGAAGTTTGGGGCGATGCTGTCCGACGACCCGCAACCCGTATACAGCATGATGGCATTTGGCAAGGGAATCGGAAACTTGGCTACGGGTCCGATTACCGCTGGGTTATTGACTAAGCCGGTGAGTGGAGGATACGGGATTGGCCGTTATGAGTCGCTCATTCTGTTCCTGGGCTCTTTCATGCTTTGCTCTTCCTTGGGTGCCTTTGCTTGGCCTTTGAAGAAGCGAGCTTGAAGCGCGATAGATTTAGTATCGTCGATATGGGAAGACAGCTTGACTGTTCAAGGTCTATAGTAGCCGGTGCTTGAGACTCAGAGCCCTTGAGTCCTCATCTCCATTCCACCATCAGTGCAATGAATTCGAGAGATTTCTTAGCTCCCCGAACCCTGTACGTCATCAGCTGATGCATTGTCGTGGCCGTGGCTCGGGAAAAGGTTATTTGTAGTAGAATACTGGGGAGATCTGAGTCAAGAAGCATGCTATCCGCCGAAACCGAGTTTACAGTTTCTGTCCATCCGTAGCCCGCCCAGTAACCTTCAAGAACGGCCAGGAGGGGGCTTCTGCTCAAGTCTGGAAATGACTGGAAATACAATTCGCCTTAACAATGATCTATATCCAGCAGCCTTATGAAGCCTTGGCCGTGACTTTCGAGCCCGCTCAGAAGCCCGCTGTCAGAGATTAATCGAATCGATGTTTTCAAACCGACGTCAGATCGCTCGGACTAGTATCTTTGACGTAGATCGCAATATTTAGACTCAACTTTAGATGTCCGAATCTTGGGGATAAAGAGGTCAGGAGTCTACCAACAACATCTACTACACAACTAATCTCACGAGTGTTCCCAAACCTCCGACTATCGAGTACCCATCATATTGAGTGTAATTCCTCCAAGGAATTCTAGCAACTGTAACTGAAACCAAGATACCATGCGTTCATTCACCGCAAGCATCACATTGCTTTCTTTCCTCGCGGTTGGATCGCTCGCCCAGAGCAATGGTATCACACCCGTAACATGCCAGCCGGAGACAGTCAATTGCGTGAGTCTAAATCTTGAATCGTTTCGAACAGCAAAATTGTCTAATCTTGTTTTTCTTTAGGACTCGACGGCAGACTGTGAAGCAAAAGCCAAGCTTGGAGGATTTCCCTGCCCAGCTGGGTCGGGTCAAAACGATGCCGACTGCTGGATCGCGTCAAGCCCCGACGCCAGCGTTCAGATGACCGTGCAGGTATATCATTTCCTTCAACACCTGCCTGGTATAGTTTCGTGTGAGATCTGCTGACTGATACGCGCCCCATAGTGTTGGTGCTGCAAGCCGTCGAACAAAAGGTTGTTCCGTGCTTGAGGAATTGTTGGACTTGGCCACCAGGATAGTGGAAATCTTATATGTCTACGTACTGTACTATTGCAATGTAGAAAAAAGAAAAAGAAAAAGAAAAGCAAAGTCAGTCCAGCCTTTGAACCACCACTCTATCCGAGATTCATAGCATTGGAACGTTACATCCCACGCAAGCACCCCAAAACCATGTTGGCCTTACAAGATCCAACGAAGTTCAGATTTGTGGTTTAAGGTGTCATCATTGAAGTAGAACTACAACTACGTGTAACTAAGCTGCTTCGGGATCTTGCTGCGTCTAGCACTGGGCTCTATCCATCACAGGCATCGCCTGAGTGTGCCTTCGAGTTGGTGCAAAAGGTCTTGCTGTTCATGGGCAGATCAACTTTTCAGCCGCATACTTATCGGCTCTCTACTTAGACTAACGTCTCATTGGGTAACTGTCGGCGGAATGTTCAGCTCGGCGCAGTGACCAAATGCAGGATCCCATATCCTTGCATAATAACAGCGCGGGAAATCATACTTCCAAGACAATCCCCTAACATTAGAAGTTGCTTGAATTCAATGGGCGTCGCTGAGAATGCAGTGGACGAGATGGAGGCTCAGGTGTCTAAGTGTGGACGTCTGAAGTGCGCAAGACGTGTCCCTACTCAGCAAGGTGCAGTAATTTGACAAGATGACATCTGATGCTTAAAAGAATCGCTGGACGCAAAAGGAATAGGTCCGTGAGTGGATGAGGCAACTATTCTAAAACTTTCGTTTCGAAAAGACGCACAGTAATGGTGAAGACTGATGACTTGCGTATTGCTTCGCAGACCTCGCGTAGGAATGAGTGCAAGGAATTCGGGCCAGTTCTTCTAGAAATTTTGCGCAGCCTAAGCAGTTCAACTTTCCGTTTATGCCGAGGTTGAGAACACGAAACTATTATATTATGCTTCTAGGGTATAATTAAAACGATGTATAGTGATGGTGCTTCATCATAGCTGGCGTCAAGCGGCGTTTACTTGGCCACCTCGGGCTCCGGCGACCCGACATGACGCACCGAAGGGACGGACTCGCCATAAGGTCTGCGGAAGAACACATTTCTCTCCCAACCATCAATCTCATCGACAACTGTCTCGCGAACTAATTCGTACTTGCCAATCTTGGGCAGGATCTTAGCCCAAACGACCCAGTACAGACCACCAGCAACGATGATGGCGATACCGACGACGCAGTGGAGGTAGTAGGGAAGGCTCTCGTAGACGTTCTGGCCCTCTTCGGGGGGCACAAAGGGTGCGATGACGAGATAGACGTTGCTGAGCATGAAGAAGATGACGACAGGCAGGCTGGCGCTGATGGGAGGGTTCCAGTTCCATTCCTTGCGATTGAGATAGAGGTAAGCAAGACCGCCGGCGACGAAGACGTTGATGATGGCGAGGGGATAACTGATGAGGTTGAGGATGAAGTTGTACGCATCACCTGCAGATGTGTTAGTGAACAAGGACCATGATTAGATGTCGATCGGGTTTTCTTACCAGGAGGGGGAGCAAGCATTGTGATGACGCAAATCAACCAGTGCTCAAACAGACCTGCCAAGGGAGCATTAAGGGGTCTGTTGCTGGCGAAGAAGCGCGACCAAGGCAGAATACCCTCGCGACCAAGCTCCTGGACAAGACGGCCCTGGGAGAAGATGACGCTGAGGACGTTGCCAAAGGCGGACAGGGCGACAAAGACTGAAAGAGCACGTTCGGCAGTACCGCCCATGACGTTACGGAAAAGGGATGCCGCAACAAGGCGACCACCCTCGAGGATCTCCTCTCTGGGGACGGCGGCGAAGTAGGCGACGTTGACCAGCATGTAAAGGATGGAGATCGTGATGATACCAACAGGGGCAGCGATCTTGAGGGTACGGACAGGGTTCTTGGTCTCGCTGAGGGCGTAGTTGGCGTTGCTGTATCCAATGTAACTCCAGATAACGTTGTAGAGAGCAGTGACGACACCGTACGGGCTACCAGTGGTACCCTCGAATGCGTTTTGGAAGTTTTTGGGCTTCTGGTCTTCTGGCAGCTTGACGTGGCCACCGAGGGCAATGAAACCGCAGAGGATGATGATGACGATGATAATCAGCTTGATTGTTCCGAGGAGGTTCTGCAGGCGCAGACCCCAGTTCAGAGCAAGGCCGTGGATCAAGAAGGCGGTGGTGATGCAAGCCAGACCGATGGCGCGCTGATTCCAGCGGTCGACCTGGACCTCGGCGGCGTGAAGGATATACTCGCCAAAGACGACAGAGTTACCACTGGCCCAGCCGAGCAGGATAACGTATCCAGTGTAGAGACCTGTGGTCAGGAACTTGGGCTTGCGGAAGACGTATTCGAGATAGTTCTTCTCTCCTCCGTTTTTGGGAATTGCGGTTCCCCATTCGAGGTAGACGGCGGTACCGGCGAGGGCGATAATCATGCCGGCAACCCAGATGAAGAGGGAGAGACCGACACTGCCCGAGAGTGCAAAGATGGTTCCGGGTGTTGCGAAAATACCGGTACCGACGACACGGTTGACAATCAGGAAGATGGCGGTGGTGACACCAATCTTTCGCTTGTTTTCGCGGGCGTGCTCGATGCGGCCTGGGATCATGAATTAGCACGCGGGTGGTTGTGTGGCGGCTCAAGGAGATTGCTCCGCGCTCAAGCTTCGCGATGACGACTCACCAACTTCGCTGTCGTAGGTTGTCGCGGCAGGCAGGCCACTATGCTTGCTGTGGTCACCGTCGGCGGCAGTGGCCGACGACGAGGCGCCAAACTTGGTGAAGAGCTTGGACATCTTGTCGATATAATGACGGTGGCTCAATTCCGTCGTCGTGGGTATAAACGATCAGAGACCAGGAAGAGACACCTGATGGAGACGGAAGACTGGAGAACGGAAGACGATCCGAGCGAACGTAGAAACTAGAAGGCCACCGGAAGACTTTATGTCTGTCGCAAAGCTGGACCCGCCAAGGAGATCACGTCTTATTTACACCGAATTGGCGCCATGTGGCGAGATGCTCATCTGGGTCGAATGGGCTCGGGATAGGTGGTCGTCTTGGGGGGTGAGCAGTTGAGGTTGCGCCGGAGAGTAAACCATGTATGATTCCGAGCCCAGGGGGTAAAAAAAAAATACCAAAAAAAAATCCCCAAGGTCATCGTACCTTCCAAGGATTAGGAGGCTCTGGGGACTTGAGAGTCTAACCGTCAGTGGTGCGCCGAGAGTATCCGCATGCGAGATTTACTTGTGAGAGCGCAGAGCCGTGAGCATCTGAAGCTCTTGGACGGCTTCTTGGATACTTCGAGACCCTCTTTGGACCCCCAACATGGCCCCCAAGACCCTAGCTTCTTCTCTCGAACTGTCAAGGGACAAGCACAAGGATTTCCCATTCCAGAGTCCCAGTGGTCTGGTGCAGAAAGTTCTGTGTCATAGTTTCTGTTTGTGGTCCACTCGGCCGATGACGCGATCTGAGGACAAGATGTCGAAGACTCGAAGTGGGAAAATTTCGGCGTCGGGACCCAGTTTTTCTCCCGTGGGGCGGCGATTGAGCGAGCTTTGCGAGTGACCCTCTCATGCGTTCGCGACTACCCTTCATCCACGAGAGAAACATCATGGCTTTCCCTCAAATGAATATGAGCATCTCATTGTGTAAATGCTGTGGACATGATGCTCTCTCAGTATTAAGTGATTCAATCGTGTTGTCCCTGAGAGAGCGTCATCCCAAAGTCACCTTTGCAGTGTCCAAGTCATGAACCTCGCTCACCTCATCTCATCGATGTCTTCTGCCTCATCCTCATGTGCATGCAATCAATGTCGCCCTTTCCTCCGCTTAAACACGTACAGCTTAGGCCTATTCCAAGAGGGGAAGGGTCAGTCGCCCCAATTGCCATTCAAGCTCAACCTTGGTCGTGCCTTGCCGGGCAATACGATGATTCCTTCACTTGGGAGAAGCTGCATCGAGATTCCACCTACTTAATTGACCTCATTCAAGACTTCGGTGGTTCTTGGCATTGGTGTTGAGAAATGTATCTTTAGGAGGATATGTATCTTTTACCGTGCAGGTGCACATTCCGTGATTCGCACGCTGCGGTAACCTATTCAGCGCCATGATGTGGTCTTCTCATCGTTCCCGAATCTTCCTTCCTCGGATATCTCACCTTGATGGACACAATAAACATCACGAAGCCCCATTCTCACGACATATTATGAGAGTTCTCATGTACTTCTGCTGCATAAAAACTTGACCTGTTACTTTGCAGGCGAGGAATTGTCATGATCATCCACAAACCACACGTTGAACTCAACAGTAGCCGGGGGCTGCAGTCCAGTGCGTGAGATCTGATGCGGATGGTGCAACGATGACAAGGTTCGGGCACCCGTCAATCGGTTACAACCGAGTTCTAGGCTGCATCTTGGACAGGGGATATGATCCTCATCCCGCGCAAAGTTTGCATGACACCCAGGGGTCGTAAGCCCTTGCGGTCTCGCCAGGCAACATCTTTTCATGGCGAGACTGAGTTTTCAACTTTTCTCGGGAGTGACGGAGTACATCAACAAATCAGCATATTGCTGACCTTCAGCTGAGTGGCCTCGCCTGACAAAAGTACCTCAAGAGGTGTCTTCTCCTTCGGGGAAAGAGACGAGACGGGTAAGCATATTGGTATTGAGTCTTGGTTCCTTCCTCATGCGATGGCTGGGCGCTATGAAGCCATCCTAGCCACCATCGCGTGATAGCGCCAATGAGCCGCGGCCAAGCGAGGCCAGTGAGAGTGAGACCTGCTACATGGTTACCTCTTCTACTCGAACGTTGGATGACATTCCTGATTACTCATTTCTCGGGGTACGTGGTAGTCAGGCTCGTCTTATTAACACGTTATTCGAAGCTAGAACATCAACTTTACATCACTTCTCGCAACTCAAAGGGTGTTGTATTGCGATCAAGAGCAAGCAGGGAGGGTGACAACTCGTACGCGACTTGAAAACGAGCATCAAGAGAATATGTCGATCAACTCGGTCAATGTATGTGGTCTTCGTCTGTGTCAGTAAAAAGCAAGCCTCCGTCTGCTTGGTAAGATTTGGGTAGGAGGAAATTGTGATGTTAGTAGGCCTTTGAGTTCTTGCTGCCGTGTGTCTCTTTGGATGCTACCTAGTCGGCGTTGAACACAGTTGAGTAAACCCAAACACGGAGGAGGCATCGCTTTTACGTTTTCCTACCACTGTCATTCAATCGTGAAAGATGGAATCTGTGAGCTGTCGTGTCGTGTGGAAACCTTGCCAAGAGTAGTCAATGGCACGAGGTTTGTGGTAGACAGCCGAGTGATCCTGACCTAGACTAAACCTGCTGGTATCTTATTCATAATTCAGCTCTATCTCGTCCCCGTGGAAAAAGAGAGAACAAGGGCCGAGATAAGGTGCCGTGCCCCGCATTACCGTTCATCCCGGGGATGCATCCTGATAGCTCGACATGTTAGCCGACACATCGCCCATTCATCTCTAACCCCGCGGAAGACCTGCATCTCCCCGATAACCCCTCTAAGTTCCAGTCTTTTGGATAAACTGCTGCATCTTCCCCTGTTTAGTCACTTAGGATCAATGGACCGGGATGTTCGTCTTTTAAGGTTGACGAAGCAGGCCAGTGCCGTTGCCGCGGACCGGACCGCCCACGCTTTCAGCCGCCGATCCTTCGGAAGTCTCATCCAGATGAACTGCCACGCGATGCTGGGGGGAGCTTCCTCGGTGGATCAACGAGAATCGTGCAAAGATTGTCAACTTCTGGAATGGAAGCATTTATAATAGCATCATTTCATCCTGCTTCACATACGCTGCAGGTATCCCGACTTCGGTGTCACTATGACATTGCCGATTAGGCAGTCCGTGAGATTTGGGTCTTATTTAATCCTGCTGTAGCCGCTGTCTGTGCCCGATGAACAAAAATGCAGCGTAATTCTGTACAATTTCCTCACATCTACACCAAGCCAAATCTCATTACTCTGCACAATCACAGTGCGGAGGTGTAGCTCTAATGCCGGCTGACCAGAAGTGGACAGTGACGCAGAGAACCAACCAGGGTCCTCCGATTATCGGAGGCTGACCACCGGACTACGGACGGATACCAGATGCGCAATGCGGCATGCGGAGAAGTCTCCGCGCCCGCATCGCTTGGCGTTTGTTTGAGTCAATGGGTCCAGGGCAAAGGCGATGGAATAAACTCGTCGTTGCATTGACCCACGAGTTGAGTTTCTCACAGCGTCGCCCTTGACCAGCTCCGACGGTAACACAGTCACTGACACAGATGGTTTAACATGCGACCACGCTCGACCATGGGCCAGGTCTCTCCGCCTCTAGAAGGCATCTCAGCTGGTGACTCTGATATTGAAAGGGCCAACATAACCGAGGTTAATAACATCGACGATGTCGAGGACAAAACGAAGTCAACCGCGCTTGGAGAGTCGGCAACAGTCACAGCAGATGTGATCGATATTCCTCTCAACATCGACGCCCTAGAAACGACATTCCAACTCACAGAATGCTTGCGATCCAACGGCATCGAGGGACTCCTCGAGGAAGACTACCCATCATCACTTGACGCTAAATACCAATCACCATTTGCGTGGCCCTTGCGAAAGAAGATCACAGTCCTCTTCGGAACCTTTTTTGCCTCAACTCTGGCCGCCTATTCTGCCGGCGCATACGCCATGGCCGCAGTCCCTCTGACCGAAAGGTGGACGCTTTCCAACACGGAGTTCAATCTCGGCATCACCCTCTTCGTCTTGGGCTTCGGCTTCGCGCCCATGATACTAGCCCTGATCAGCGAGATCTACGGCCGGTACTGGGTCTTCGTCGGCTCTGGGGCCGTCTTTTTCCTAGGAACCCTGGGATGTGCGGTAACACAGTCGTTTCCCGGCATGTTGGTCTCTCGTCTCATCACGGGCAACGGGGCATCTGTCTTTGCGACTCTGACCGGGGGCGTGGTGGGAGACGTATTTCACAAGGAGAATCGCAACACGCCCATGGCCCTCTACTCGCTGACGATCATGATTGGAACCGGTCTAGGTCCCATGATCAGCGGTATCATCGTCGACAACCTTCATTGGAGATGGATCTTTTACCTGCAGATGATCACCGTCGGTTCCACGACATTGGCCATTTTTTTCTTCTTCGCCGAGACGCGGAGCAATGTGGTACTAGAGCGAAAGTGCGTGGCCCTGAACAAATATTTCGACGGCATTCGCTTGCAGCGAGTCTCTTCATCGGTTGGGGACAAGAATGGACTTCGACAAGGCACCGAGCTGTTGGGCGAGGGTCAATCGCAACCTGTCCGCGTTCAGTTCCGTGCTCATGTTGAGGGGCCGGAGCTTGATATGAGCATTATATGGCGGAGCTTCTCCTTCCCCCTGAAACTTCTCTGTACTGAATCCGTCGTCTTCTGGTTCTCTGCTTGGGTCTCCTTTGCGTGGGCGATCCTGTACATGCAGTTCAACAGCATCGGTCTGGCATTCCGCTCCGTATATGGCTTTAACAGCAGCCAGGTTGGAGGCATCTACACTTCAGTCATTGTGGGATCGATAATAGGGGCGATGATCACCATCTTCCAGGAGCCGATATTCAAAAAGGTCATGCCCCAGCGGATGGCCACGCCAGAAGGGAGGCTGTACTCTGCTTGTGTCGAGTCTCTCTTCCTTCCCATCGGGTTGTTTTGGTTTGGCTGGAGCTCGTCGCCAGACGTCCCTTGGATCGCGCCGGCACTCGCAATCACCTCCGTCACGGTTGGCATCTTCACCATTTATCTGGCCGTCTTCAACTATCTGGCGGACACCTATCACCGATATGCCTCCTCCGCTCTAGCAGCGCAGTCTATGTGCCGTAACCTACTTGCTGGCGTTTTCCCCTTGTTCACAAATATTATGTTTCAGAAGCTGGGATACGGTGTGGCGGGAAGTTTGCTCGGTGGCATTGGTTTAATTCTCTCGCTTGTTCCCTGGTTATTGTGTATTTATGGGGAGAAGATCAGGGGTCGCAGTCCTTTTGCTGGACAGCTCAAAGCAGGCTGAAGTATCATGTGATACTAGGCTAGATGTCAGAGAGTTGCATACGCACGAAAGGTAATAACGGTCAGCATTCTTAGAAGCTGAACTTTATTTTAGTAGTAATGTTGAGTCATCACTTCATACAACTACCTCGAACTGCTTCAATCCTGTCGACTGGAATATGCCCGGCTCCTGACGCGCAATGATTGATGACTTACACGACCGAGCCTCATGGCAGCATACACGTTACAATGATTGCTCCAGGCAGATCTTTGGTTAACTGCCAGATGGAACGGTACTACTTGGCTTTAGAAGAGTCCATGTTACATTGGTGCTGAATAACAACATGACAGGCAGCAGTTCTTGAAAGTAGTGTGAGTAAGCACCACACATCACAACGACAACGCTGGTAGACTTAGTCGCCCGAGAGTGAGACAGATATCTGTCCTTGTCGGACCATGGCCCCAGAATTTCGTGGGTCTCAGAACTATTTCGGTTGCTAGTGAGCCCAGCTCTCTGCTTTCATTGGCAACCAAGTGAAGATCCAGTTTGAAGTGCGGAATTCCGCTGCTGCCTTCTTCTTACGGAGTCTGCTGCGAATACCTATCCACCAGCATGTAGGCTTTGCTGGTCGTACGTTTCTCTGAATAAGAGTCCAATTGTTTAAATAAGGTCTTGAGAACTATCTAGGAGGTCTAACTACTATGAGTGCCACGGCTATACAACAAACCCAACCTTGAGATCCGCCTATTTCATCTTCAAGTATTTAAAGACATAAACCTCGCTTTTACAATGGTAACTTGATCACAATGACAGACCTGGATAAGACACTTATACCTACTTCATTTAGGTTCAGCTTACTCCAATCATATCTTGTCTCATCTTGAGCCTCGGAGCGCAAGCTGCTGCAACGTCCGGGACACTAGAGAAGCGCGACACAGTCACCCTCGGTGTCTTCCACGACGGAGGCTGCGCTGGCAGCTTCACCAACAACTTTGACGTCTCTTCTGGCCGATGCCAAGATTTCTCAGGAAATGTCTACGGCGCAGTCTTCCTAAACAGAGGTAGGAATGTTTGCAAGCTCAAGTTCTGGGCAAATGCCGGGTGCAGTGGGAAGGCGACGGTCAGCACGGTCAACCCAGACCAGGACCATTCTTGCGTCGCTGTTGCCAACAAGGATGGGCAGTTCTACTTGGCAGATGGAGCGCGGTCTGTTTACATCACTTGCTGATGGCTAAGCGCGGTTCAGTGACGAAGAATGTCTTGGGTATCTTTCGCTCATAAAACAAATAAACCAGTTGCCCACCCCCTTATTCATTTCCTGTGTATCCAAAGAAGCATCCTTTTCGCTCGTGAGCCCGCAAATCTTGCCAAGGTCTTGAGATGAAGCAACATTTCGTTCTCCGTTCACTGTCCAGAGTGGTCGGTGCCAGAGAATGCGCCAGCGATTGAGGCATAACCATGACCGATGTCAGCGCTGACACTGTGGTGAGAAGACGATCCGCTATCCACTGATACGGCGCTATCCGAGCCAGAAGGTTTCAACGGCTCTCTAGTTGATTCTTGGGACTTCTTTTGTGGTTGGTTGATCGAGCTGCTCTCTATGCTCTTTCGTTCGTCTTCGTCGAGGCCTTTGAAGACTGGGTCATCAGCTGAAAGGGCTCTTGGTCTCCCGGCCCAGCTTTGGGAAGGCGCTTGTCTTGGCTTGAACGGATTGCGCATGGTGGGTTGATTCTGTAACACCGAAGGGTTTGGTTTGTCTTGAGAGTTTCGTAGCTGTCGTCGATGAAGGGGCTGCACGAGTGCGGTCGAGTTGTCTAGTTTGGGGTTGTTTTGAGGTTGAGAAATTATTGGGAAAATCGACCAGGAGCCGTACGAAAGCAGGGGATGGTGCGCTCAAGCTTAAGTAGAAAGCTGCGCGGCGGAGCTGAATATTCCCAGCTGCTGCGCCGCCCTTGTTGAGCTGCTATCGGGGACGCCTACGGTGAGCAAATAGGCTGACATCGAAGGAGGCACGAGGGGCGGAGTTTTTGTCCCCGTGGTTCCCAAGCCACGGTGATGCCTGTCGTATTGGCCAATTAGGACTGGTAATTTTCGGTCGTGTTGAGAATAAGCATGTGGACGAGGATGGTCCCCTGACTTGTTGGCCAAGCTGAGCCTAGCCTTGACGCTATCCCCCCCTGATCAGTCGCCCGAGAGTTGTCTGGTTACTGGTAGCGATAGCGAAATCTGGCGGCGGGGTTTTGTACTCCGTACGTGCATCGTGAACACAGACAAGTATGTTCCTTTCTGGTGTACGGAGTAGAGCTGGTTGGGAGAGTGGTTCATTGAAGCTTCGAGGCACCATGTTCTTGGAATGCAATCAGACTGTTCAAGACAGGATCAAACTTAAGCTTCATTGAAAGGTCCCATTAACTGCCTACTTGCTAACATGTACTTTGCATGTTGTCTGTGGGATCCAATGCAAACGGCATGAACTAAGGACACTGGATAACCTTTGTGCCATCAGAGGGGCAGTACCCAGCCCAATACGATCGCGTCGCCTTCTCGCAATTGTTTGGATCAGTCGTGTCGCTAGCATCGATTAATTGGATTACAGTCATTAAATGAGATTGTTTAGAGGATGTGCATACCGATCAACCTGTAAATAGCACCAGTTGAGAGTGTCCAAAGTCTGGGATGACTGGCCTTTGGTCACAAAGACGAGGGCGTTCACGTCCTGGGCAGGGTCAGTGTCACCGAACTGGCGTCCTACAGGTCGCATTGATGGTTTCTTACCTCGGTTTGATAACAACAAGTGTTGTCCTGTCTTGTTTCCAAATCGACAGGGCTAGCCATAGCCATCAGAGGCACGAAAAGCATGATAATCCTAGAGAAGTGCATTGCGAGCAAAATGGGTCAGAACGTATGATGGCGAGTGTCGGAGGCTAGAGACTTTGGTCTACAGCAATCTTCGACAGCTTTAATACCTAGATATCTCGACGATCACTCCCGGAGAGTGCAAGGCAACCGACAAACCTCGGCGCCAAGAGCCGGGGACAGATTGTATCCGTACACTACGCAATCGGACTTGGTGGTGTGTTTTGCCGTTCAGCCAGACCACTGCATCTTCACGCAACAGCAAGTCATGCGAGCCTGCTGCGATTAAGGTTTGAGTGAGGTCCAACGACGTGAACAGTTATATTAATTGCAGGCGGGGAAATGGCCAAGCGACCTTCATGCAGGGCCTTAAGCGATGTTCCCACTAATATTTCCGATGAACTGTCCTGACTGATAGTTTGTATGACTGGTGTGCAGGAATCAAGACTTGATTACCGTTGCTGACATAACATAACTAAGTAGAAATGCCCAGCCTATGTTGCTAGCTGAAGTTACATGTACTATCAAGTCTTACGGAGGATCTGTACACGAGGATGTTTCTAATACTTGATTCTCCCGTTCTCGAACTATCGATCTCACTTGACCCGCGATACAGTATTGATGAGGAGAAAGGTTTTGGGCACAGCGGCGACCCTCGCAACATTGCAGAGTAAAATGACTCGCTTCGAATCTTGCTCATGCTTCCTTAATTTCAACCCATCTACAAGCTCGATAGATTGAAAGGTAGCAAGTAAAGATTAATCAGTATCCCCAGTATCCCTTTACCAAGAAAGCCCCGTAGCCGGCCAAAGCACCAAGAACGCCGATGCTACCGAAATAGCCGATGGGCCTGCCCTTGCCCATGCCTTGGGGCTTCATAATTCCAAGCTCAGCGTGCAGCACGCGGAAGGCGAAGAAGCTCCCGAGTAGCCAGCTTAGTGTTTTACGGTTGCCTCCGTTGACCTCAATCAACGAAGCAAGGATAAAAGCAAGCGGCACGTTCTCGATGTAATTGATGTGCGAACGGCCGGCAAGGTAAAGTCCATTAGCTTTGTATGCTTCGGGATCCGCTCCAGGCTTGGAGGAGTTTTCGCCCAAGTATTGCTTGGATTTTAGACGCTCGTTGACGACGCGAAGGCTAAGGAAGGCGTAGTAGATCGTAAAAGGGAGCGCGAACGTGCCCGTGACAGCTGCCCAAAGATGCGAATTAGCTCTTAAGAAAACCTACACCGGGCTAAAAATCGGGGTCTAGTATTACTTACGCAGTAGCCTGGGGATCGTTGTCAGTCCAATCGGTTGGCTCATGCTTGCGATCAATTGGATAATTTAGGTTCGTAGTTGCTACTTTTGGAAGGGCAAATTGATTCAGTGTTCGGATAATCAAATGACAAGAGTTTCCGTCGCGTTCGGGGAAGCCTCGAAGATATGTAGCTCGAGATGGGCACCCGGGCGTAATGACGATGAAGTGCCGCTAGTGTCGATATTATGACTTTCTTGACATCATGCATTCAAGACTCACCCGTTCTAGGACATGCGCCAAACCACTTAGAGCCGTCCCCACGTTCAAGGGTCCGAGCTATGACAATTCTTTTTTCAGGGACTATGTTGCCATGGAACTATTCTTGATGAGTATCGCGATTTGAAATAACGATAATCTCGATTCAACTTTGATCGCCGATATCCTCCTGCTGAGTAGTTGTGCGGTTCGGGAACCATCGAGGCCAAGTTCAACTTCATAAAAGCCACGTGCTTTCTCCAATGATACACCTTACCCAGACGCGAATACTAGCCTAGGTCTATTTATGCCTACATGAAATGCATATTATGTGTCTTACTTCAGTGAAGACTGCCGAAGGACACGACGTTATCTACCCTAGATCTAGAGGGGTTTGACCGTCATTCCTCACATGGCAAGCGCGTCAAAAAGAAGTACACAGATCAATGATCGTGTTAAGTATCTTAAAAAGGAGTGTCTAGGAATAAAGAGTGTATTACCATTATTATTTCAGGCTAAGTAGTTGGCGTAAGCGCTTGTTCGCCGTGATTCTTAAGGAGCGTGCCACTATCTGTGTGCAACTCCAACCCATGCGTTCATGCACCGTATTATGCGTTCCCAAATCATTGGAGCAAAAAGAAACGCCAGAAAATGCGAGAATCCCAATACGTTCCGAGGAAAAATTAAGAACAGGTGACCTTGAAGCTCAAGAAGTTTTCGGCGACACCGCTCCACTCCTCACAGGTCTGGACGCCGACTTGGCGACCTCCCTCTCCACAATCAGCGGTAGGGTAGGCAGTCACTTGGCTAGAATTAGTCATTTAATTCTTCACAAACGGGATATTCGGGTCTTACTTTCGCAGCCGTCTGTAAGGCTGCTGAGGCGAATGGCCTTAACCACATTGTCTGGCGCATTGAAGCTTGTCTGGCACACGTCGGTTTGGGACTTGGTGATTGTCCAGACGCCGAGGTTGCCGGCGGCTCCGCATCCCTGTTCGCTCCAGATCCGGAAGTCGGTGATGTGGGGATCCTGGCGGGGCACGGCACCGGCCTCGGCTCCGAGGAAGAAGGCGGCCGCGGTTGCAAGGATGGTTGAGAACTGCATGGTGGAACAGATGAAGAAGTATTAAATTATTTAGAGGGTGGAAAGGGGTCTTGAATGAAGCTTGGAGTGGAATAGAGTTCGGTTACGCAGCGTTGAGGTCTGTTTTTGTTGGTGCAATTGGAGTTTGGACGGTCCAAGGGTTGAGAATGGTTGGAATGATGAGGAGATGAGAAGCAGGACCGTGGGAGAGGACGCCTCTCCTGGATTTATACTCCTCTTGACCACGCCCGAAAATCCTGATGCTTTTCACAGAAGTCGTTGATCTTCCGGCTTTCTTCGTGGTCATGTGTTCGCTTTCTTACATCGGCCTACCCTGACCGCAAGTGTCCTCTTCCGGGAATACGAACGATCAACATGACGAAGACTTGGGTCTTACATAGGTCTTACTCGTCTGTACGCACCCGAATCCTGCAGCAAACAAAGCTTTCGGACATACGGCCGCGCAGTGTCACCAGCATCCCTCCAGACCGCTTTGTCGGGACTGCCGGTCGTGGCTGAGCTCCTCGTATAATGTTCTTTGAATGGTATTTTGAGAAACCGAAGACCCTGATGGTGAACCGTCATCGGTTAGATATATTCGTTGATAAGTGATCACCTGCAAATATTCGTGTTAGTCTCAGGTCTCAGGAAATCTCCTTCTGCCCACGGAGGAACCCCGCAAAGTGAAATTCTTCCACGCTATGATCGGCGTGCTAGGCTCACACGGAGACGTCACTGGCCAGTCACACGTCTATTTCTAGCTTCACGGCAACCCCTCCGATCCCCGGTTTCGCAAGCCGCAAAGCTTGAAAACGGCCACCGGTGGGACGTAGTTGGGCAACGTTACCCTCTTTGGTACGTAGGTGCATGAGGCGTCGATATGCGGTGCAATGTTTCTCTACATGAACCTTGCGCAGTTCTCGGTGAGGCAACCAGCCCACTGATTATTACTATTCGGTTGACAAGTGGATACGGACTCTCCAAGAAGCGCTTTGACTGTCGGTCGGACTATCGTCGTGCAAACGTCGGAATACCGTTGAAAAACGCCAAGTCTCGTTTTCTTACACGCCTTAACAAGCAATGGCTGTTCCTAGAATTCCTTTAGCGGTCAATGGCGACATTTCTTCTCAATGAGTGCCCGGATAAGATGCATTTGCATAATATTTCAAATGTAATGTTCGGGCCGGAACTAGCTAATAGCTTGTCTCTGACTACGGTTTAAGGTCGCGAGAACTTATTCAAGGGGACTAGCCTTCTACTATGACTACATTGATCCGTCCTTATTATGACCGCCATCTCAGGACAAATTGTAGCCGATCAGAAGCCTGAGGTCCGGACCAAGGCCACAACCCAGTATTGACACGCAAATCGCGCGTCGTTTGGTCGAGGTGTCGTCCAAACGTCCTTTCCAAGTACACCTCAGTGCGACATAGACAAGCTTCCCCCGCGATACGAGTGGGGATAACGGAGATGACCCTGTTACCATAAGGCATAGAAGCTGTCATCACGCTGTCAACATGGTGCTGCAAGTCATACCAGGCTGCGATAATCCGACATGAGTTGCATCTACGGGAAATCTGCACGATACCACCTTGGAGCGTGGGGGGGAAAACGTTCATTGCTTCGTTCGAGCATGGGAATGGTATGCCAGGAAAGCGACAACGAAATTCGCATTCTGGGAAGGTGAGTTTGGTTCGACAAGCTGGACAGCTTGGGTCGGGCCTTGGGTACACGTTGCTGGGCAGGAGGTCGGCGAGATCGTAATCCGAGTAACAGACCGTGAACAAGCAACCTTTGCAAAATATGTGAGCGCACGGTAGGACGATTGCATCATTCGGTGAACCTGGGCGCAGATTATCAAAATTTTGATTGCCATGAATTGGATGTAAGCGACTGAATCCATCAAAACCAATGTTATCTGAAGAAGGTAATCCGTCGCCGACAAGGCTCATAGTCTCTCTGCAGATTGTGCACTCAAGTATTAGTCCGTTCCACAAGCTGGGGTTTCCCGTCAAAGTTCTTCTGAGTGACTCAAAATACATCGACGATGGAGCAATTGGATGGTTTGACGACATGGTGAGGGTAGACTTGCTCGCCAAAAATTGATCGATATGGTACGGGTGCCTTAGACTGGGGATTTCTTGGAGGCTATGTCGTGTGAAGGCGGTTATTCCTGGTAAATTTCGACGAGGTACTTGGGTCACCTAACACGTCAAATTCAGATCCCGACCGCAATGTAGTTGATCGTGCGGGTTCAATATGTATAAGAAGAATACATGAGTTCGAGACACAGGCCGTCGATTGTCCAGTAGGCTTTTGAGAGAAAGCTCGTGAATAGTAGTTCTTGTTTGCAAATCAATTCTCGAACGAGGAAACAATTGTTCGTCTGAGGAAACAAAGAAAAGAAGTCCAAGAAACTCAAAAAAAAAAAAGAGAGCAGTCAAAATTTGCATTCCAACTATTGAGCACTATTGCTCAAGTGGATTAAAACTAGTTGTATTCGACACAAGGAAAAGCAACCCCATTGAGAATCAGTTTCGGGCGATTCTTTCTCAAAAAGCCTTGAATACATCCGATAAATTTTACACAGTTTTTGTAGTCGATCTCAATAGTGTCAAAGAAGTCGAGATCGCACATGAGTATGTTCATCTGAATGAGCTGGTCGGAACTTTTCGGTCGGCGTGTTGCAAGATCTTTGAGGGAGTCCGTGAGATCGCTGAAGCTCCTGGCCATCCACTTGAAGGGACCTTGCATAGCTTCCGAGGTGTCGACTACAATTTGGTGATTATAATCAAAGTTTTCCAGAGTCCACTGCGTCTGGCCCATGTCGGCGGCTATCGAGGTGTCTTTCGTTGGCCATCGAAGCTTTGGGTACAAACTTAGTTGTTATCGACTCAGTCAGGCACAGAATCTCTCCAGACTTCACTTACGAAGAGATAGTTCCGATCGTTTGCGCAAGCAACCCAGTCATCCAGTTGATCATATATGGGCTTACCGAAGCAGGAATCATAGTGCTTGCCTCCCATATCATTGAGTTTGTCCTTAGGCCACCGCATAATGACCATACGTTAGGCATTACATACCTCATTGATGATAGCAGAGTTCACCATATTGACCAAGCTATCATTGGAAGCACTGAGCGATGCCAGATCCTGGTTTGCCCAATATCCTGGCGATAACAAGTTGGCTACTTCGGTACCCCTCGATGTATCATGATTCGGAAGAGAATTCACGAAGAGTCGTTGGAAATACGCCTCCATGGCAGTTTGGATCGCTAGTTTCATGTCTGCCAGCTTGGTATTCAGTCTCGCGAAGTTGGTAAACCGGGGGTCGGTGGCATTCGAATTTGCTGCATCTGCAACACTGGCCGCTGCTATAAGAAGACCAGCGACACAGTCGGCTATACCGCCAGCTGGGCCAAGAAAGGCGCCAAAAGCAGGGGAATCTCCTGATGCAATAGTCACCCAGGCAGCTGAAGACATCTCGAGTATTGAAGATCCTGGGGCGATGAATGTTGATGATATTTCGGCCGTTCGGAGGCTGGTGGTGGTAATTCCGTCTGACACTCTGGTGTAGTAAGCCTGAAGGAACTTGATGTAGTTCTTCATGGACCAAGGCGACAATGCTCGCTCCCAATGAAGCTGGCAATGGGTGCTTAGAAGGGCAGCTCCTGCAAGTACGCAGACCAGCAAAGGACTGAATGAAAAGCAATATTGGTCAGCACTGTGAAGTTTAAGCAAATGGTTGACACTTACTTTCGACACTCTCTAGGCCAGTTGAACTCTCTGTCGTGGTCAAACACATCGTACTCTGCAATTGTGCGCGGTGCCCCAAGAACGTCGCTAGACCAGTTGACAACAGGGCCAGAGTAAAGCTAACCTTGAGAGGCAGAGTCAGCCAGAGCTCACCCATCAATGAAGGATGCATCCCTCTGTTCATCCGAATCCTGGTCTTTATTGAGTCGCCATCCACAGCAATGATCTCATCAAGCTCCTCTCCGGGGAGACCATCTTCATTAATCAATTGAGCAAAGTAGATCGAGGTATCGGAAGTGAAAACAGTGCCGTGGGACAAAAGGTCTTTGTTGAACTCGGCCGCATGTCTGTACGCCCCGTCGTCCGCAATGACGGAGTCTGCGGCCCACAGAATCTGAACACCGGAACCGCCAGGAACCTTATCACCGCTACCGTACTCCTTCGAACAAGTCGTGGAGCCATCACCGTCAGTGAAACTGCTGGATTTGCTCGGTGTCGCCAGCTAACTCTTGTTGTTGACCTGGTTGATGGCCCAAGCCCAGATAGCTCCCATGCGTTCGTATCCTTCCTCTGTAGGATGGGTTCCGTCAGGTTGAATATGGTCGTCAGTTATGAAGCTTCCCTCCGCCTTCTCTGCAAGCGAGACTGTCGGATTGGAAGTCCAATTCGACCTCGAGACAAGGGGCCCGCGCAGGGACCACTTACAACCCATACTTCCGAGAATCGTGGGCTGCCCAACCTGCGGTTGGAACCTCCCTTTTACACCTTACGCATAAGTTAATATATATCAATTTGACCTCTTCGTCAACCCACGGTTCGAACTAACTACCCTGTGATAGGGGTACCAACAGAGACTTTGAGCCGCGGGTTTCTCCGTATCATCACCGACCAAGTCTTCCACTAGGGTCCTGTATGCGTCATTGATCAAGTCGATGTTTCCTAGCTGAAGGCGGCTGTAGAAATGACGACAGCGTTTGGGATTTCTGCAAAGATGCCTAGAACAAGCTGTTTCATATGTGCTGGGGTCCCACCGATGGACTCTTTGTCGCCATTTTGAGCTCCGTCGTTGATTCCGGCGTTGATCAGTACGAAGTTGGGAAGCCAGACAGCTGCTGACGCTTTGCCTCGCGCCGCAATCGCAGAGACACGTTCACCACCAATAACTTCATGGTCCTGTTGCAAAAGTGATTATGACAGACCTTTGACGCATTTAAAGACCCGCTTTAGGGATCTTTAACTCACATTGTCCGACATGCTATCACGGTTCAGGTTTCCTACCATGTTCGCTTTCCAGCCTTCGAATCTGAGCTGGTCACGCAAGGCCTCGCGATATCCATTCTCCTCCGTGTCTCCCGGATATTCTGGATCACCTGCGGTAATCGAGGCTCCGATAGCCATGATTCAAAGGTAGAAGTCTTGAGGCTCGGCACGTTGGTTCAAGGTGCCCTAACCCGGGAGATTTAGTCTGGCATTTCCAAGCAACCGAAAGGCAGTAACGAGCGGGGATACAGAACCAAGAAACACGCCAAAGCTGGCGAGAGCCGTTGGAAGACCCTTCATGGCGGTAGCAGCCGCTACTCAAGCACTGTAGAGCCGGGAGAAGAGATCGGCGTATGGAAATAAAAAGAGTGATGACGAAGAAGGGTAAAGACAAAAAACTATTAGGCTTCTTCTGGCAGCTTTTTATGTTTTCTACGGAGAACATTATTCGCATCGATCGACAGTGCACTGTCATCTCGGTAAGAGAAATATAGACACGGAGGTGAGCACCGAGATGTCAAACTTTGGTGCCTATGCTAAGACTTGGCCATGCTGGGCCCCCTGTTTACTTCTGCCAAAAGAACTTCAGTAACTCTCGAAGACTTGCCTCAATATCTCTTGATTCCCCGCATGAGTTGTTTCGGCTCTTTCGGAGCTTTTCTAGTAAGGTATGTGGTAACACCAACGCCTAGGGCAGCACCGATGTCCATCATGAAGTGACATGTCTGCCTGTGGTTCATAGGTTCTGGTTTACACTGCGATCTAGAACAAATTAAGCATACTCTATGAGGCAGGAGGGCCACATGAGTTAGGAACTTTGGTTTTCATGGGATCGTTGGGGCCAGGGGGGAGCGAAAGCCCTTGCTGAGAATTGATCGATATGTCAGGCCGGCATGTGAGCCGCCATGGGCTTCCCGAACATCTGGACTAGAATCCTGTGCCGACTTGCCCGATCCAATGTAATCCGTTCTTTCGATTGAACGACAAGACAAGCTGATTTGGTAGCCTATTTCTGCGGAGATGGATTTGATCTTTGGTGTTTAGCTTCTTGGCTGCCAAGAGTCGCGATATTGAGAGCCGTGTATGCCAAGCTCACAAGTCAAAAAGTCAACCAGTTGAACTTGGTCACCAGCCAATATTGCCGTCGATCCAGTTGGAGCTAAAACAATCCCATGCAATTATGGAGATAAGATGGAATCACTTGGAAATGACGCCTTCGGTTGAAGCGATCAATGGTATTGAATACTTGGGAGCATTTTGGTGAAATTGTATTGTGAATATCATCCCTGCACTCAGCGCAATCAACTCAACTTTGGGCCTAAATTTGACTTGATTGAGGCCTGGGATCTTAGAATTGATTGGGCTGACTGTGACAATTCAGTAGATTTGACCCTATTCTTCGATGACACAATAGACTTCCTGTTACTAGCTGGTCTAATAGATTACAGTAATGATCACTACTATCAATTCGTAATACTCTGCGTACGAAGTCTTGCATGAGGAGTACTTGAGCCTCACCTCGGAGACACATGAGCTCGTTGAGACGCCTCTCATCTATGGTAGCAAAGCTCCTCCTGAAAATGACAACATAGAGTTAGCATGTCACGTATTTCCCTCCAAATCTTTGATCAAGCTATTTGCAGATGTCTTTGATGGGAGCCATGACAAGGAGGTTGCATGGAGATTGCACCGAGACTAGAGGTTCGTACGACTGTCTGACAAGTTCTATCAAATACAGCCATTTGATCTATGTCTAAAAGAGTGGCGGTGGGTCCAATTGAGTTTGCGTCTTGCATAAATACAAATGATTATTCGGGCTGGCTGGTACTCACTACCTAGAAATGAGAGTGTTTACGATGTATTTCGGTTTGTTACGGGGATATCATCATTGATTCCAGAATGGAAGCCTGAATAGAGCCATGTGGCCATGTACTCTTGGTGTTTAATTTCTCGGATTGTTTCGCGGGGTTTTGCAGCTTGAAGCTGTGCAGGCAGATGTCGGCAAGCTTTCAGGATTTAAGATACTAGATTGATGGATCGATTCACTACCTAAGCTTCATACTGCAACGTGTTGTCTCGCATACTATTGGGCCAACAAAACTTAGATGTGACACTGCGGATACCTCGTTGTCTCTGCGCTCTTCTTGGTGGATTATTTTCTTTCTACACACATATCCATTCGCTTCATTTCGCTCAACTCGTGGTTTCAGAAGCGACAGTACTGAAAATGCTTAAGACAATGCAAATGCAGCTGGTGAAATGTCAGTGACCTCAATTGAGGTACCAGCCACGAGCTTTTTACTCCAAAAACTCGTTTTCGTGTCCCGTTTGTTGTCCGCCTTCAGGCGATTATCGACCAACTTATTCTTGTCCACCAGCTAATGACATCGACCTTATATGTCAGGGCTCCATGTATGGCATATGTTCAGCCTGCTCACGTTTCATAATCCTTACCAGGTGGCCAGCCGAACCGGTACGTGGGGGGGCTCGGAATACGGTTATAAATCACTTTTGCGGGAACTACTACACCCAAGATAGAATTGCATTTGCGACCTTCAATCCATCTACAAACTTGTTACTTCATCTTTTGCCGCCATCCAGACAAATTGATGGGTTTCAATGTCGACTGAGGCTGCATGTTTGTAGCGACATCCCCAAGCAAGTTGGTATGTGATGTATCCATGTTCAATGGAATATCACTAGATGCGGGGCACTTAATCGATGCAGAATAGATACTATATTCAACCTCATAATCGGGTTTGACTGCTTTGGTCATTTAATTTTTCAAAATTCTCACCGCAGCTGTAAAAAACAGCGAGTCTAGAACACTGCATACCCAGCCCATATTCGAGGTGAGCCGATAGGACCATAGTGTGCTAGGATTATCGTGTATCACCTGTGGTAATGGTCTACTAGAGGTTAATAATCGACGATGTTCTACTTGAAATCTCACTTTCGGGGGAGTCCGACAGGTGGGTATTGCGGACTGGCCGAAGAGCCACGATATTCTGGATCCTAAAATCTTAGCAAAAACGGGCTCGCTACTTACATGTACCAATCTACATACTTTATAGAATGTCGGATTCCACATTGAGGCCGTCATAATCAATTCTTTGTAGCAGACAACGCAATATCACCAATGTCTTCAAAATCAGGATTCCTCCTGCCAAAGGCAACTTTTGATCGGTCACCTAGTAGCTTACAATGCAGCACGGGTACATCGAATGAGATTTTTCGTCACGCAGCGCGATGAACTCATTCATATCTACCGGCACGGGTGATCCCTGCTTCATGACCTTACCATGCGGACGAAAAGAAACGTTGGTGTTATCCAATTAGAACCACGGCAAAAGCTGCCATTTTCCCTGAAATCAGCCTTGGGGCTGATTGCGACGTAAGCTATCGGATGTTTGGTTCATGAGTCGTCATGTTCGTCCCATCCGCGCCTCCTTTAATGTTCTATGCGAGAGGGGGTATTTTCTTCTAGAACCCAGTCAGGGGAGTCTCGCGAGGCCCGTAGAGACGTTGACATCCACGCAAACGCGTCAGTGACAGGACGTCCGGTGGGACAATCCGGGCCAGAGCCTCGGTGTCAGTAGGGGTAGGGCGGCGGCCCGGTAGGCTGAGTCGGACGAAGCGGGTATTGTGGGCCTGTTCTCCCACCTCCCGAACGCAACATCGCCCACGTTACGGGCAGAAAACTTGCCTTCCTCCCCCTTGAATCCCGGGGATGTGCGGATAACTCACGTAGCTTTCTCATGCTAAGCTACGACCACACTCTATTCCTGGAACATTGGATGTAAAATCCCGTAGAGCAGTCGAGCCTGTTCAACCAGAATCGAGGGATTACGAATATGGATCCTAGGAGGTTACCCATCCCATATCCACTCTATCGGGACGGCCTAGTCGAGGCGCAGAGCAGTCGTAATGGGAGCTCATGCGAAAAGGGATGCCAAGTTGTGGGTAACAAAAATATCCTGATGGACTTCATCAGAGTGAAGGTCTACTTATAAAGCAAAGCAACAGTTACCGCAATGGAGGAGGTTTTAAATCATCATCCCCAGCAGCAAGACCTCATCCAGTCCTTCGCTTTAGACTACTACCCAAGCTTTCCTACTCACTTAGATCCAAATCTCTCTCTCAAGCCACAGTCTAGCGTTGACTTACACACATCTTATACGACAAGATGAAGTTCACTCCTCTCGCTTTTGCTGTCCTCTCTTTAGCCGCCACCGAAGTCCTTGCTCACCCCGAGAAGCTGACCAAGGAGAACGCGAAGAAGGAGGCAGCTCTGGCCGGTCGCTCAACCAACAAGTGCGCTGCCGCAATTGAGAAGCGCAAAGCTGAGATCATTGCCAAGCGCTCTCAGCGCCTCTACGAGCGCCGCGTCGAGAATGGCGATATCCTTCCCAACGTCCACGGCATGTCCAAGCGCAACACCCTCCAGTATACCAGCATCCAGAACAACACCTGCCTCCTGGCCCCTGAGACCATTTTTGGCCCCTACGGTGTGGACGGCGAGTTAGTCCGCCACGACCTTCGCGAAACCCAGTCCGGTATTGACTTCTACCTCGATATCGGAATCATTGACGTCGAGACCTGCGAGCCGCTTGAGGGAGCCTCGGCCTCCATCTGGGCCTGCAACGCCACTGGCTCATATGCTTCTTTCACTGGCATTGACCCCGACACTTCTGAGTTGCTCGATGGCTGGAGCAAGCGATCCGACGGCACGACCGATGATGAGACTTTCCTCCGCGGTATCCAGGTCTCCGATGAGGCTGGCATGATCGAGTTCCTCACCAAGTTCCCTGGCTACTACACTTCCCGCTCTACCCACATCCACGTCGCTGTTCAAGCCAATGCCTCTGACGGTGTCGGCTTCAGTCAGAGCGCCCTCCAGCACGTTGGACAGCTCTTCTTCGAGGAAGACCTTCTTTCTCAGGTCTACGCCGTCAGCCCGTACTCTGCCCACCTCGAGACCCTGAACCGCACGACCAATGCCGAGGACTCTGTCCTGTCCAGCGCTAGCGAGGACGGTTACAGCCCCTTCATTAGCGTCTCTCTTCTCGGTGACAGCGTTGAGGACGGCCTCGTTGGCTACATCACCATCGGTGTCAACTCTACTGGTGACAGCATCGCTACGACTGGTACCGATGTCAACCCCCAGGGCTGGATCCCCACCGTGTCTGTGGGAACAGAGAAGATGGCGCAGGCTACTGCTGCTGACCGTGCTGCCGGTTACACTTCTTAAGTGAACCGTCACATTCGGACTCGCCGGAGTTGATCCTTTGAGTCACTAGCACAGGATCAAGGGGTATTGTATGGCATGGGATGGGATAGGAAAATGGTAGCATAGCATGGCGTTTCAGCACAGAGGTTCATTTGCAATAGATTTATTTTCTTTCCACACTTGTCCCATTACCTTGTCGGTGTGAAATCACTGAATCGTCAGACGTGTAAGTCGTTCATGGGAACCAGGAATATGGTTCTCTGATCATTCCCCATATCATATGCGGACGATGCTCACCAAACTTGGTCAAGTCAGCTCGGTGTACTTCAATGTCGTCAAAGCCGACTTTTTGATAAAGAGAATGGCCAGCTTCTGTTGCCTCCAGGTAGATTGGAACCTCTAGTCGAAGAGACTCCTGGATTCCGAATGTAAGAAGATGTTGCCCCACGCCGCGATGTTGATATTGAGGTTCAGTCACCAAGATATGAAGGTCTACAATCACTGATTGTCAGTAAAGCAAGCACTATCCAATTCCCCGAAAGATCACTTACAAACGCACGCCTTATATGCCATCAGTCGGTCTCGCATTAGTCCCACGCCGCCGAACACCAAACTGCAAGCCTCCTCATTGCAGCTGCTCCCCCAGGAATGCAGCTTTGCTTTGCTCAGAGGCATGCCGTGCTCGTAGATATGCCATTTGGCAAATCCAACAATCGCACATTCACCTCTTCTTTCCGTGTCCACTGCCACAAACATTCGAACGGTCGGGTCGTCGCGAAGCTGCCTAACCAAGTCGGTTGTACGAAGCCCTAAGAACCCATCTTTCGGAACGTAACCAGGAAACATGATTTTGGTGAATGGGCTTTTGCCAAAGGCTATGTGTCCGACCTCCGCGCATCGCTTTAGATCGCTTTCGAGCGCAGTCCGAATTTCGATAGGCATATTCTTAATTTGTCGACGGCAATGGAGTAGCACTGGCTGAGCCTACAGGTTCGTCAGTGCTAGTGGGATACCGAGGAACTAAAACCTCAACGTACAGGTCATGACGTTGAAGAAGTTACGGAGCAAGCGAACTTAATGATGCACGCAAGCACACCTCTTATGGACGCACGACAAATTTGAGAAATCATAAATATGTGCAAGCTTCATAACAAAGTTTAGACGGGGCCAGGGATGGGCTCTTCCCGAAATGGAAGCGCCGTTTGGCCAGAGAACGACTGGGGTGGCAACGGCATAGTTCAACTTGATTGAGTTAGGTATCTGCGGCTTCGGCTGCATTGAAATCAGACGAAGGGGCGTTGAACATTGCATGTGGAATGTGTTGGCGGTCTCAGGCTTTGTTCATCTACGTCGGTTGAACTTTCCTCGGCGTCTCAGGCTCTTCTAGGTTTTTATAGTGCCCAAGTACCGTCAGACTTCTTCCACCGGATGTTGAGAATTGAACCCTATGGCGACGCAGCGCCTAGCATATCGCCGCTTTATATTCCCCCCCTACATGTAGTAAGACCTTCTTACCACGCAGAGTCAATGCTACAACTCTCACAGTGGCGCAGGTGGCATAAGTTATAACAGAAACTATTAGATGTGAAAAGGTAATGTCCCCAATGTATTATCCTGTAATTTCGTAACTCAAAACGTTTTACTTCCATGCGGCCAGAGCCTTTTTGGTCTCGGCCTTGATATCCTCCTCCTGCAAACCCAACAACTTCACCGCAGCGTTGTCTTTTGTGGCGTTATCGTTGCCATCAGCAAAGCTGTACTGCTGTAGCAAGTCGATGAAAGCGCTGTAGTCCCCCTTGGAGAGCTTCTCATCCGCAGTCTTCTCCAGATCGGCGGTCTTGACGTTGCTGACGGTGAAAGTGGAGCCAGTCAACTCTTCGACGACCTTCAGCAGCTCGCGTTGGGTGGTAGTAAACGAAGCAACATCAATGTACTTGTTTGCGGTCGCCTCGGTGTTCTTGAGCACGCCAGCAACGGACTTTCCGATGAAGGGCAGAGATGACGGTGAGACAGGCTCGTTTCCAGAGTCAAAGATTCTGATAGCCTTGTTCTTAACATCGAAGCCCAGAAGGCCACCGCTGAAGTCCTGTATTCGATTAGCACGCTGGGTCTGAGCGGGAGACGGTGAGTATTGGCTTACCCAGTCGAAGAAGGGTCCAGTAGAGATACCAGTCCATGTGAATGAGCTGTTCTTCTCGGAGAGCTCGATCAGATAATCAACAAACTCAATCTTGGGGGTTAAGATGCCGCCAATCTTGGAGCCGCGGGCCTTGCGGGTGTTGATTCCAAACTCTGAGGGGATGAATCTCTTGACTTGAGCGGCGACGGCAGCATCAGCGAGGGTCTTTTGGCTTCCGAATCCGGCATTTCCGACAACTGACACGACGGCGTCTTGGCCCTTGAATACTTCTGTGACGGCCTCGACTGAGGAGAGGTCAATCTTTTTAACGATGGCTTCAGCGGGGAATGTTGCGCTGGACTCCTTTCTTGAGACTGCCGTGACTTCAAACCCGGCGTCGAGGAGGCCACGGACGATGCTGGGGCCAAGGTTCCCGGAACCCTGTCGGAATTAGTGTCGGAAAGTTGAGCGATGTGAAAGATGAACTTACTCCGACAACAGCGACCTTCTTAATGGCAGACATATTGAGATTTTTGAATGAAGTTGAAGCGTATGTAAATATTGAACTTTGAGGAACTGGAGTCTTGAGAACTGTTTGCAGGTGGCTATCTAATGGTGAGTGTCTTGGATCCTATCTTCATGATCGAAGGATGGGTGAAGCTGCTTATATGCTTGGCTGGTGGACAGCTGTCTCTAACATTCACCCCACCTCCACCGAGCCATCGCGCAATAACTGGAGATCTCGCACGATTGTGTATGCAGCACGCAAGATCCACCGCGGTTTCGCACTCAATATTATCAATCAGGTCCTCTGCCGTGTAACGGCCCCTCCCGGCGAGCGGGCATTGCTAAGGCGCCGTCTTGACCCTCTGTATTCCGGTGCCCCCACCGCATCTTCTCGGTATCAAAGTGCTTCCGGGCTCATTTTGCTTCCGAAGGACAGTGGTGGCACCGTATGCAACACTAACAAAGAAGGTTCCGGCTGCTGAGTGATGCAGCAATCCATTTAGACTCGGCACCGTGCCCTTCTCTCGGGAGCTAAATGTCTTGGATTTGCCGCTAAGTTTATCAGGGAACAGCAGCATGGTATTTCAAAAGGTGCAAGAGTCAGGACAGATGCGGACACGGATATTTTGATTGGGAATCCAACAAGTCGCTTCACCGATTTCACACCGGAGCACTGCAGGTAGTCGATAGACACATCTTCAAATGACAATGGCGAGATTCTAGTAGATACCATATAATGCATCCGTAACCGGACCATATTACACATCAGAAAGTAGGAGCAAGCTACCCCTAAGCAAGTAAGGAGTAGGCTAGGTACCTACGTGACCTGTGCACCCAGCGATAGTATCCCACCAGCCTCTTGGTTTTAGCTCTCATATCCGAAAATGATTGTAAAGCCACAGGGCGCCAAAGTTGTATTTTGATGCATTAACTCAGGATGTCATGAATTTATCAAAGCTCAATGAACTAATACTTCGCCGAAGCACACGATTCTTACACTCGAGATGTAGCTCAATTTGACAATTCCACGACAAGTGGTTCCGTTGTCTGAGAAACAACGTGGCGGTTTTCAAAAACTGCTAATGTCTATTCAGACTCACTTCAAAGGTTATTCCCGCTCCATCGTTCATGTATTGTTTACCCATGATAGACCAAGACTACGGCGCTATACTCTTTCTGACTCTCCAGCTGAAGGGAAGAGATTGCGTGTGGCTGCAGAAAGATATGGGATGCTCAGCCCTCTCACCTCAACTGCTCAGAGGTATGCTGGGAAATAAGTGCCATGCCGTACGCCTCCAACAGCCCGGGAAAGTTGCGTGTTTTCAGAGACCGTCCTGGGCCTGGGCCGCATTCCGGAGCAGAGGGGTCCAAACCACGTGTCGGTTTGGGAGCAGAAAAGAGGAATGAAGGCTGAAACCTAACAAAACCCGAGTTCAAAGACGTGCAAGCCCTAAATGGCCCAAGAAATAGGAGAACCAAGTTGGCATTCTGTAGACTTGGTTGAAATGCTGGTCCATGTCACCAAAGTGTAAGGTAAACAACGCAACCAAGTTGTCAGTCGGTGACTGCCGGTATAAATGAAGACATAATAAGATGCTGCCCTAAACGTCGATGTCACTTGTGTAACCAACACATCTACTAATGCCACGTCGGCTATCATACAGTCTTTACCGTGCGAACAATGTCACTTTTCAAAGCACGCACGCTCGTTACCGCCCTGCTATTTGCACAATCATTCGCTTTACCCGCCCCTGAGTCCAAGCCAGCCCAGCTCGAAGGAAGGAACATCTGCAACGATGGCGAGCTTGCTGCCAAGAACCCACGCGCAGCTTTCTTCCGCAAGGTCGTAGACGAGTCAAACTACAGCAATCACAGCAGAGTACCGACGCCGAAGGATGTTCCCTTGAAGGTGGGCATCATCGGCGGTGGAGCTGCCGGGCTCTACGCTGCAATTCTTCTCGACTCTCTTGGAATTGACTACGATATCCATGAGGTTTCTGGTCGCGTTGGCGGGAGAATCTACACCTACCATTTCGATCAAGAGGCTTGGGACAAGTCGACACCCGCAGATCCTGCCTATTATGATTACTATGTGAGGTGTTGTCGATTCGCAGCGCACCTTCGGCTAAGGTTGCTAACACGGGCGTTTAGGACGTTGGCGCCATGCGCTTCCCTCCGATGCCTTACATGAGTCGCATCATTGGAAACGACTCATGGAGTCTTATCCCCTATATCAACGCAAGAGTTTCTGAGCGCGATCAAGTCGTCAAGGAACATTACATTTTTAGAACGAACAACACATTCAGGCGATTCAACGGTGTCACTTCTCTCCTCCAAGACCCCGATTCTGCCTCCCCTGCTAAGTACGATGTTCCTGTCTTCAACTCGACCTTTGAGACGCAGTCTGCGTATAATGTGTGGAAGGCTCAAGTCAGCACGATGACGACAGCGCTGTCGGCCAACTTTGACACGGGTTTCAATCTTCTCATGAAGTATGATTCCATGACAGTCCGGGAGTTCCTCTTAGATCAGGGCTTTACCAACACAGAGATCGACTGGATGGAGACCATCAACGACGCCACAGGTCACTACGACATGTACTCCATGTCTCAAGCCGTTCTCGAGCAGTGGATCTTTGACAGCGCAGATATCGACAACTGGTCGCTGATCAACGGCGGCATGGACATGTTGACCAAGGGCATGAACCTCATCGTGAAGAACAAGCCCATCCTGCACCACCGCGTCTCCGATATCAAGAAAAATGCCAATGGCTCCTTGAAGGTCGTCGTCAACGGCACCCAGGAGTATGACTATGCCCATGTCATCTCGACCGTTCCGCTGGGTGCCCTCCAGGCCATCAACATGACCGAGCTAGACCTCAACTACTTCGAAAACAACGCCATCCGCACTCTCAAGTAAGTTAATCCAAAGTCTAGCCCAGAGATTTCACTTGCCCCATAGTCCATACGGCTCACTTTACAACACAGCTACGACCCTTCGACGAAGATCGGTTTCAAGTTTAAGACTCGATGGTAAGTTGTCTCTTCTGCTATTGTCATTGTGAAATGATTCCAAGCTGATATCTCCCCCAGGTGGGAAAACCTCGCTACTGGTCCCTTCAAGGGTGGCCAGTCCTTCACGGATCTTGCTATTCGCCGCTGCGTCTACCCCTCATATGGCATCGATGTTCCAGGTGCACCCGGAACCATGATTGCCAGCTACGTCTGGGGCCAGGACGCCTCCAGACTAGGTTCATACATGAACCCGCACAACGAGAAGCAACAGGCACCTTATCAACCAGAGAGCATTGACGTCATGGTCGACTTGACTCTGAGAAACCTGGCAGAACTCAACGGCGTGTCTCACGAGTTCCTCCTGTCGCAGTTTGAAGGCTACCACGCGTACGATTGGTACGGATCAGCATACTCCAACGGCGCTTTTGCCATCTTCGGCCCGGGTCAATTCAGCAGCACGCTGCCGTGGTTAATGCGGCCTTCTGCTGATGGCCACATGCACTTCGCGGGCGAGGCGTTGAGCTCGGGTCACGCTTGGATCATTGGCGCCGTCAACAGCGCATGGAGAACCGTGTTTGAGATCCTTTGCACTGAAGGTCTGGAAGACAAGAAGAAGCAGTTCGTTGAGCAGTGGGGTGTCATCGATGAAGTTGACATGGGTTGGTACGACTGGTCTCCGGAGGGGTTCCCGTGAGAGCAGCAGGCTCCAGGTGCCGGCTTGACGCCAACGAATACAGCCCAGAACTGCGCGGTTCCGTCGTCAAGCTTGCATCCATTTTTCTTTGTCTACTTTCCTATCAAACTTACCAAAATATACGTAATCATAATTCTGCAAAGACAAAAGCACCGGTAACGTCAACTTTAATGTAGTGAAATGCATGTTCCTTTATCTGCGAAAATTGGGTTCAGTTTACAAACACTTGGTACAATCACCGGGATGTTCTCGTTAAGCTCCGAAGCTATGCCAAGCTAATGGGGGTTTGCGACTCCCCAAACACTACACGGACCAATCTCAGAGCCGTTCATAGGAGCCATCATTATGAGCCATCTCGACTCATCCACCTTTCTATCGAAATGGCCCACTCGACCAACTCCCTTTCTGATTTGAATCTCCCCGTGTACTTGTTTCCACGTTCAATCATTTGACAAAACCGTACAGGGAGAGCCGAGCGTCCCTTGACTTCGTTCAGAAGCCAAGCCATACCGATACTTTAACAAAGTTGCTGCCTCTCGTCCAAGGAGAGGCGCAATACTCTGACTCCATGGCAACACCACAATCATCCATATTTCCAACGTGCAGTCGGACTCGACAAGTATTCTATCGAGACCAACAGCCAAAGGAGCCTGTACCACCTTGGAGAGCATACTTGGTGGCCTCCTTCCGACGCGTTGGATCCCATGTTTGAATGGCAGGGCATCACGACAGACTCAGGAGATGGATCTCGGCTTCCAGATTATCAGATCCCTTTGGATCCACGACTTGAATCTGATGAGTTGTCTCGGACACGTAGTCAAAATGAGAGCATCGTTGCGCCCGGGGAGTTTGATACAGGTCGAGACGATGCCTTTCTTGGCTTACTTGGTAGTATCGAGCCTTCTCGATCACCAGAATCGCATGGTACGTTCGAGTAGTAATGATCTATCATAGTTGTCATCTTCTTGCTAACATTCATCTCAGACTATCGACAATCGCAAACGGCCGCTCATAGAAACCCTTCGCAAAGCGTTCCAATCACCTCGGATAACGCAAGATCCATCTTTTCCTCGACCTTTCCTTTAAGAAGCACCACCTCCGGTCTTTTACACACTCAGCCTCCAGCCTCGGATGTTCAGCGCCGTCAACACTCCGCTTCGGGCACTAAACGGAAAGCCAACGGATCTCCAACGTCTGATCTTGATTCGATTGATGAAGATAACGCCAATGCCATCAAACGACAGCGCAACACTGTCGCAGCTCGTCGATATCGTCAAAAGGGCCGCGACCGCATAACTGAGTTGGAAACTACTTTGAAAGGTGTCGAAGAGGAGCGGGACAAACTGAAGTTGCAGCTCGCAAGAAAAGAGGCCGAGGTTGACGCATTGAGGGAGATGATGAAGAAGTAGGCAGTTTGTCATCTTCCACCTGAGTACCTTTCCATGTATGAGAATGAAACCTTCGTACCTGGAACTCTTTTATTACTGACTGCCATGAGAAATACCCATCGCTCTGAACGTGTCTTGTGACGTCCCCTTTCATTTGTTACTCCAGTCGCGGTTTGAGCCAAAGAGCACGCATCTAAGTGGTCCAGTTCTCCAACGGCGGCTCAGTTTCATTTACCTTCTCCCCCTCTAGATGTATCATCACATTGACAACGCTTTGGTTTTTTTTCTCGTCCCATTGAACCACCGCTCCAACAATACCCCACGAGAACTGCCGAATCGAGCTTTATTGGAGAGACACAACTCCTTCGGTATAACACAAGAAAGAATGAAACCCGATAGCTGAGCCGTCATTAGCGGGCGTGGGTATTATCTTACAACGCCACCTTTGATCTGGCGAATCTGCGCTTGAATTCTTTCCGTACAAGACTGCGAACCGTAGCACTCGCTGTTGTGCCCTCAGTTCTTTAAATTCAACTACGAAAGCCCAAATGGGGTCGCACATAAATGCGATTGCTCTTTGAAACTTCAGCGGCGTTGTCCGGAAGGCGTACACATCCCCTTTTATCTTCATTCTCAGAGGGGGATACGTAGCAAGGACGGTCGCAGACACAGCCTCATTGCGCCTGTCAAATCGCAACTGGGATACATCGGACTTCAAATCCCATGAGTCGGCTAGGGATTCGATATAGTACTCTGGTATTGCGCGGAGATAGAACGTCGTCACTTGGAACGTCGCTAGCATCAAAAAAGGGACGGCGTAGAGGCGTTCCGCACCACGCCTAGAAGCCTTGTCACCCCAGTTTGTATATTTGCCACTTTCGTCTGAAAGCCCAATACAGAGACCATAAATGTCTTTTGGTGTGTGAAAGTTCAAAGCAGTCCACGCGAGCCATGTGTTCGGACGCGAGCTCAGTGTTCTGTTCGTGGACATGGTAATTGAGATACCACGTGGCGATAATACAGGCGGTGAAAAGGCCACCCCCTCCAGGTGTGAATGAGAGCTATTTTCATAGACGCCTTCAAAATAAGGCCTGATGGATCCAAGCATTAACTCTTTTTTTGGGCTGATCAAGTGCGATCCTTGTACAAGGATTCTTTGCATGCCTTTGTCAAAATCTCTATTGACTGCGGCTGTTGGAACGTGGGTTGTGTCTAGTCTCATGATGCCGAATTCTTTCGGATGTGACGCAAGGGCCGATGACCTGAGCGGTTGAGGCGTCTTGTCGTATGATGTCCAGGCCATGAGGTTGTAATCTTCAATGGTTCTGAGAATCTCTTCTTGGAGGCGACGAAACGCTCGATCGCCCTCGCCGTACAGAAGCGGCATGTTGATGTCAAAGATACCTAATAGGCAATAAGCCGTGTCTTCGACGCGAGTTGTCTCTCTGCTGGCAGCCCATTGCATTCTGCTCCACACGCTAAAGTTTGACAAATTACCAACGCCTTTTAGGGCCTCTTTGTCTATCATGGTGTGTTTGTGAATGATGCCCACAAGATCGGCCTTTGACCCAAGGAAGGACCAGTCTGAAGCGTGGAAGTCGACTTTTCGCGGTGCAACAAGCTCTTGGAGAGTCCAACCTCGAGTGAACCATCTGCTTCCAAGGAAGGTTTCCTGATTGTTTTCAACGGCGGCGATGTGATCCGAGTCCAGATCAACAGTAAGATCCTGAAAGCCAATGACCGGGGCGTACTTCAAGGGAGGCACATCTTCCAGGTAAGCGTAGCAGATTTCTGTCTCCCTATACCAACGGAACATAGAGTTGATTGCCTCGGAAAGCTCAGAACTGGAAGTCTTGTCGATGCAGCAGGTGTCGATCCAGATCCAGTCAAAGCCATCTTTCAGCGCGAGTGCACAGGAACCCCTAATCTTCTTCCATCCAGCCTTGATACTAGAAGGAGCCCCGCCCTCTGCTTCCGTGTCCTGATGAACAATCTCTTGAGAGCCCCAGGCATGGGACAGAATAGCGTAACTGGGTCTCTCGGTGACGAACTCAATCACCTTAAGCGTTATGGTGTTTAAGAGTCGCATGATGATGGTGTTCAGAGTTCCATGATGAGGTGATGTGGGGAGAAACACGTAAAGTGAGGGAGTTCGCCCAGCTTTCTAGGCAACCTGTAGCCAGGTGATGCATTCATCCACTTCAGCTGAGGCTGACTTATCTGCAGGTCGCAGGTGGTTGATTGGTCACAGTCAAACTAGCATGAACTTATGAATTGGGAGTTATTCTATTTCGATTTTCTAATAGCGTTTCTCAGGGAGCTTCTGTCGGGTCCCTATCGCATTCCGTTAGTATATCTTTCTTGCGTACACTTCATCAAGTAATTCGAAAACGTACCAATCGGTCACCAAGTGCTCATCAAGCGCATCCAATGCAGCCAAGTCCTCCTGGGAGATCTCATACTCGGACACGCTCGCGTTCTCGATGAGACGCTCCTGGCGTACACTCTTGGGGAGAGTAATCATGCCTCGATCCAAAGACCAGCTAGATGAACCATAGTCAGTTGCTGCGACCACTCTAACAAGCCTCCAAATGCCACAGTAGCGTGGAAGTTGGAATCTTGGACGATAACTCACCGAACAAACAGCTGCGCAGGAGTGCAGCCGTACTTCTTGGCCAGCTCTAGAATCTTTGGGTGCTTCATGCGCATGCCGCGCGCCAACGGCGCGTAGGCCTCAATGGCGATATTGTGCTTGGCGCATGTCTCCCTGATGCGAGTCTGTGTGTTGAAGGGGTGGACCTCGATCTGGTTAATGACGGGTGCAATGCGAGGCTTCGAAGCCATCAGTTCTTCAATCTAGAAACACCGTCAGTGTTGTTGCCCGTGGTCTTTGCTGAAAATCGGTCGGGAAATTGAAACTCACATGGGCAGCACCATAGTTGCTAACACCACCCATCTTCACCTCTCCAGCATCAATCGCATCCTCAATCGCCTTCCAACTCGTCAACCTAGCCTCCTTGCCACCATACGGACTATGCAGCAAGAACAAATCAATGTACCCCAACCCAGCAACCTCCACAGACTCCTTGATGGACTTGCGCACGGCATCGTACGAGGTACTGCTGCTCGCCAGCTTACTCGTGTAGAACACGTCCTCACGCTTCAAGCCCTGGGTGTTCTTCTCAGACCTAGCAAGGAAATCGGCAATGGCTTTGCCTGATTCCGCTTCGTTGTTGTACATTTGCGCACAGTCGAAGCCGCGGTAGCCGGCGGTTAGGGCCCAGGGAATGGACTTTGTGGCTTCGCGACCGGACATGCAGTAGAGGCCCAGCTGGATCTGGGGGATAGACTTCCCATTTGCAAGCTTTGGTGCGGGTTAGTTGATGTGCCGGTAGTGACGGCATTGGGGCAGGGGTGAGAGTGAGAGCGAGAGTGAGAACTCACAGTGAGGCGTGTCGCCAGAGTGTACTTGTTAGACGCCATTGTTACTACTTCAGTCTCACTGCTGCTGTGTTGAGGTTCAACTTGGAGTGAGAAAAGCCAGAGAAATTCCAAAATCCGTTCGGAGTACAAGGTCGTAACAGTGTCGCCCGACGTCGCGGGCTGACCCGCCGTGACATCACGCTGGAAAGAGGGGCGGTGGCGGGGCATCATCCCGCCCCGGTTTCGGTCTCCGAACGAACGTCTTGAAATCTCCGGGAGCCAAAGCTTCAACTCGGACCTGAACGTAGATGCATCTCGGAAGCCACGTGCACCATCATTGGCTCTTTAACATGTTCCTGCGCTATTTTCCTGCCAAACTCACCCGACCTCCGAGAGAATCGTACGAGCAAGGTAGCATCAACTGGCAGACGAAGCTTTACTTCAGTGCAACCGGAGGTGCATCCGGGGCCACACACAGTTCGAGTGCCGCCAAAGGGTTCTAAGCCCGCAAGTCACATCAGAAAACGAAGCAGCACTCAACTTCCACGAACGTCATGAATCGTCTATGCATTCTTCACAAGGGGTATCTAGGATGGTTGCCTGCGACTCACTTACATCCCCTGAAAACAAACCCGCAGCTCCAACGCGCAATCGCAATCTGTGTGAATCAAAGAAAAGTTGATGCTCAAATGCTTATGATACACTCCACGCCCATCGGCCTCAATCGTCCCACTCCTCATCCAGCTGGTCTATCAGTCGGTTTTCATCCTCACGATTGCGGCCTCTGCTCGGTGACCCAGACAGATGACTGTAGCCACGCCTCCCAGGAAGCAGCTGCGCACAAGAAGACGTTGCGATAATGAACATGTCCTGCAAATCATGTCAGAATCGATTCTGGAGAAAAGAGTCGCGAATGCTACGTACACTGACAAATCCCCAAATGCCAGCCCAGAGGCTGTAGTTGGGCAGCTGTCGCCAACCTCGCGCATGTGCGACAGTTCTTTGGTAGAAGACGCCACCTCCAAAGTAGACGAGGACGGCAATGACAAATATGATGGCAAAGACACTGCCGGGGCCGACGCTGCCTGGCTGGTGCGGTTCCGCTCTGGGGCACGCATGCTGGGAACGCGCTTCAAAGAAGTACGCGCAGTCATCGGGGTCAGACCCGACAAAGGAGATATGCGCAGCTCCGCCAACCTGTTCGGTATCGCAGTGGAAGGAGATGGTAGCCGACTTGCGGCGCGTGGTAGAGTCGGAATCGTCCTTGTCGGCAGTAACCTTGTTTTGGGTGTTGCCAAAGGCGCTCAAAGCTGTTGCTTCCTCCTCATCGGCGTACTTGTTGTAAGAAGCCCCATCGTGAGCCTTGGATCGTTTCGACTTGGTCTTGCCGCAGGGAGAGCCGTTCTTGTACTGCAGGACGAGTATGCGCCCACGGGTCTGAATATCCATGGATGATGACCTGGAGACCGATGCAATCAGCATTTGTTTGTCGTGCCTACAAACTCGCGCAATACGTACCCAATGGAGTAGACCTCGTTCTTGTATTCGTAGAACGCGCTAACATTCTTTGATTCGGTCTTTGTCAGGCCTTCGACATCGTCAAGTGCCTCAATGACCGGTGCGCAAATGTTCAAGGTAAAGTTGCGACCGTAGTCCCATCCCCTGGCATGATAGTCGACAGAGACGCCTGACTTTGACGACTTGCCCTCCTCCGGCTTAACTGCGATGTCCGGCCGTAGGTCGTAAAATGCCCCGCTGCCGCTCTTGGATGCCGCCGTACATGCCGGTGCACTTGTTGTCGTTGAAGACGTTGTGGTATCGGCGGCGCGAGCTGTCGCAGCTGCGAGGAGAAGGAGGAGTGTCGAGGAATGCGGCAGGTGCATGATTCTGTCTTTGTTTCGGTGCAATACCGATAAGGATGAATTGGAATGAAGGAACGTTTACTTCGGCGTCCTGTGGACGCGGGGGTGACCTGGGCGCAAGAAGACCCCTAGGACGTCAATGGAAGATAGTCGGTCGCTAGGAAGTGGGAATCGAAGCGAATGGCGTAGCGAATCTGCTATGCGACGATAAGTAACGATGAGGAAACGTGGATACGGATCCGTTGGGAAGAGATGTGAATTATCGAGGTGCGCAGTGTAGAGCGGTGCCTGGCCACGAAAGCCACCTTGGTCACTTCAATTCGTCAGCCTTCATCTGCAGGGAATGACGGGAGTGACCAGGGATGGGGCATTGATTGGTGAATGGGCACTCCTTGCAGCACCCGCCGGAGGTTGAGCGCCGCCAGGCTGCAGTGTCCGGAGACGTACCCACCAATCTCCAAATCACGTGCCGGTTCGCTCATCCCTCCTGCCGTCATTGGAGCAGTCGGTTGCAGTTCGTCTTAGTCAGCGTGTCAGATAAAAGCGGCGCTGGGCGATTGCCGATAGCCCGTAACAGGACCCGCCCGTTTCTGATACGTCCAGCTCGACCAGTACCATGAATGTTCCTTGCAGGTGTAAGACGGGAGCGATCACTCTCACCGATTTGCACCACCAACAGTTAAGATCTTATAACATCGATGTTGCTCGAAGGAGGCAGTGTAGAATAACACACGATATAAGCTTCTTCCAGTCTTAACCTTCGGACTGGTTGGCTTTGATATCGTCCGATGTTGCTGAACGTCCTCCCGGGCGCCGCCTGCCTCGGTGGAACTATTCCTCCGGGCATGGAAGCTACGACGGAAAAGGCCCACCGTACAGCGTAAACGGTTTCGTAGCCCCACTCCCCGTCCAGCCCAATGAGACGGTTCAACTTTTTATTAGCGTCATCGAATTGAGCTCCATGAGGTCACCCGGGACACCAGAACTCCGGCGCAAGCAGTCCTTCACAGCCCACTTGGCGATTAACAGAAACCGGGGGTGATACTGAGCTCTGGAGTTGCTGTCACTGTCGCATTCGTATTTTCAAATTGAGCTGGTGGGGCATACAAATATTTACACCTTCTCCTCTAAGGAAACCCGTTCGCCAACAACCTCAAGTCAAACACGTAAAGCTTCGACACGAGCTTGCTCCCCCTTTCCATCCCATCAACCGAATTTGGCAGCACTTGCTTTTGGGGGATCGGTCAACATGGCGTCCATAGCAAAGAAGGATGCGGTCCAACAGCCGCATGGTTACGAGTTCGGAGGACCGTGAGTAATTCAGATTCTTGATGTCTGAATATCTAGCTAACCCGCGGCAACATAGTATCGGCGCCTTCGGCATCTCTTTCGGTCTCCCCATCCTCGTCTACCTCTTCACCTTCAGCTGCAACGACGTGTCGGGCTGCCCTGCTCCTTCCCTCCTGAACCCCTCGACCCTCAAGCTCGACCAACTCAAGCGCGAAGTGGGATGGCCCGAGGAGGGCATCTGGGGTCTGGCAGACAACAAGGTCACTGCTGCCGTCTTGGGATACTACCTGTTCAACGCGCTTCTCTACCGCATTCTTCCCGCGACTGAGGTCGATGGCGTTGAGCTTGCCTCCGGTGGCCGCCTCAAGTACAGATGCAACTGTAAGCTGCCCGAGTTTGGAGAGATGGGACTTCACTAACAGACGCAGCTTTCGCTTCCAGCATGTTCATCCTGACCGTTTGCCTCGCCGGCACCATCGCCCAGGGATCCGAATTTCCTCTCTGGACTTTCATCACCGACAACTATATTCAAGTTGTCACCGCTAACATGCTTATTGCCTACGGCATTGCGACGTTCGTGTACGTGCGAAGCTTCAGCGTCAAGCAGGGCAATACGGAGCTTCGCGAGTTGGCTGCAGGTGGGCATTCTGGCAACCTCATCTACGACTGGTACATTGGACGCGAGCTCAACCCCCGTGTTACCATCCCTCTGCTGGGCGAAATTGATATCAAGGAGTGGCTGGAGATCCGACCTGGTCTGCTGGGCTGGTCTCTCATGAACTTTGCGTGGATGGCTAGACAGCACCGCACTTACGGCTTTGTCACCAACAGCAGCGTCTTCGTCTCTGCCGTCCAGCTGGCGTACGTCATTGACTGCTGGTGGAACGAGCCCGCGATCCTGACGACCATTGACATCACCACGGACGGCTTCGGCTTCATGCTGTCCTTTGGCGATCTCGTCTGGGTCCCCTTCGTCTACTCCCTGCAGACGCGTTACCTGGCCGTATACCCGGTCTCAATGAGCCCCCTGGGCATGGCTGGTACTGTCGGCCTCATCGGTGTCGCTTTCTCCATCTTCCGCCTGTCCAACAGCCAGAAGAACGCCTTCCGAAGCAACCCCGAAGACCCAAGTGTCGCCCACCTCAAGTACATCGAGACCAAGACCGGAAGCCGCCTTCTCGTATCGGGCTGGTGGGGAGTGGCTCGTCACATCAACTACCTTGGTGACTGGCTTCAGGCGTGGCCGTACTGCCTGCCCACGGGAATGGCCGGATACACAATCGTCTCGGCTGGCACCGGATACGCCCAAGCCGGACTTGAGGGAGCCTTCAAGATGGCTGACGGTCGCGAGGTCATTCAGGGCGCGGCTCGCGGTATGGCGATTCCCATCACGTACTTTTACATCGTCTACTTTGCCGTCTTGTTGATCCACCGCGACCGCCGCGATGACGAGAAGTGCTCTCGCAAGTATGGCGAGGACTGGGAGAAGTACAAGAAGATTGTCCGGTGGAGAATCCTGCCTGGCATCTACTGAGAGTCCGAGAGATCAGGAGACGCCGGGAGACGGCTCCGGAAAGCAGAAAGCAGGCCCGGAGAAGCACATGATAGGGTATCTGCTTGGCCCGTTTCTCGCGTCGTGGAGCGGGTGGATACCGTGGATATCGTGGATCACACGGATGATGGGTTTATCTGGAGCTCACGCTAGCTTGACAGTCTGCTCTGGCTCGCCCGGCCAAGGGCGTTAGGCAAACGGTTGCGCATGTGGCGTTCATGGCTCGGAGCTTGAGAGGTGCGATTCTATACAGCCAAGGCGAAGGAATTTGATTTTTAGTGACCTATAATCGGGCGTAATTGCGGACTTGGACCGGTAGTCTAGTCATCATAAGCTTCTTTTGCCTTTGCAGCTTAATTCTCACCGAACCCCGCCATGTATGTCTTGACCCTGTGTCCAATGGTAGCCGCGATTCGTTCTTATGAGTCGAACTGGACGCTGAAGCGTCGAATCAAACTGCCTTCCGCCTGCTTGGGTACGAGGGAACGTTACGTGCTTGGCTGCGAGCTGCACGGGTACGTCAGATCGGAATTCCGACTTTAGTGAGTGATCATGAGGGGCAAGCGATTCACGCAAACTTTTCTTCTTCCTCCTTCGCGTGCTCCCGTCGCGAGAGCCGATGTTGACCAGAGGGGGGTATAGCGATGAAGTTTCTCCAATAAAATAGTAAAAGGGCCGAAAAGACTCGGAGACCCCGCTCCTTGGCGAGTGGTCGGCACAGCTCATGATTACCTAGTCTTATGGACTATGAACATTCGATGCGAGCATTTCAAGCTTGATTCACGACGGGGATGGATGTGCCCGGGATTCCGCGGGGGACGGTGGATGATGGTGGATGGAGTCTGGAGATGGGGGTAACTGGGGAGAGGGCAAATGAGGGGTAGGATAGGGCCAAGTGGATTGGCTGGGTTCGAAATGCGGGGGAGATGAGGGGGGATACAGACTGGAGACTGTGAAGATGGAGAAGAAAAGTGTGTGTGGATGAATTGTGGATGAGAAAGAGAGAGCTAAGAGGCGGGGATGCGTTGTCGTTGACAGCATGCAAAGTACCTCACTGAGGTGTGCGGTGTACGGATAGAGGTTGGTTGGTTTGGCGTCATGTAAGTCGCCGTGTTGGACGGGTTGTTTGTCTCGTCAGTGTGAGTGAGGTTGTCACGAGGAAAGAGATTATGGTTTTCATGCAACTGGCAGATAATTGGGATGACGGGAAAAGTACAAGTTTAAGCATAGCTTTAACATCCGGTTTAACATCCGTAGATGAGACGGATACTCCGTGCAGACGTAGTCCGTACGGATATTGCACAGTGCAAATGATTCAGGCACAAGCATGTTTTTGAGTTTATGTGTTGGAGCCTCCATCCTTGGACGTTGCATTTCCCATTTGCTGTGTAAAAATTTGTTTATTCATATTACACGCTGTCAGTAAGAATGACAAAGACTCGTGCCAAGCGAATCAAATGCCGACCGTGGTGTGGAGAGTGTTAATTCCGATCTGCAGCCCAAGGCACTCAAAATCCTGCTGAACACCTTAGCGTATGGGTGCAATGCGAATAGTACTGCCGAGATACATGCAGCCACGATGGAATCCCCCGCGTATCGACATGTTTCCTCCCGGTCGCCAACTGATTTCCTACCGTTTCTACCGTCCAGGGCAATTCCCCCCATTGCTTCTTTCCAATCTCCAGAGGAGCGGTGCTTCTGCGCGGGCAGTCACCCAGTGGAGCGCTGTTTCCCTCTGCTTCTGAGTTCCAATTGTAGGGCATTAGGGTGGGTCTCCACTTCCCCACCCGTTCCGATTTGTTTACCACTCCGGTACGTACCCCAGAGCCGGTCTCCATTCCCCGGTCCGTTGACTTTCTCTCCTCTTCGCCCTTCCGATTTTGCCAACATTCTATCCGTAGTGTATAGACAGATACTCCGTACATGAGGAACGAACGCAAACTCGACATCATCAAGCGGCAAAGATCTTGCCACTCCATTCCGACAGCATCGAATCACTCACATCAGATACGCCACATCCAGCTTCCAGAGACATTCGGTGCCTCTTCCCGAGACCCAATGACTCTCGAGTCTCTACTCATCTCTCCCGAGGGCCCGAGTCCCGTCATCTCTCCTGTCCGGCCATCCCTAGTCTCGCCCTGCCCGTCATCGCACTTGCTGATCGGCCCTTTTTTGTCATGACGTACGGATACTATTACTGCACCCTGACCCTAGTGGACCAGCGAACCCAACCACCAATACAGCACGCTGCACACCTGGCTGCCATTCACGCCGCTCGCCTCTACAGCACTTACCCAGTCTCGGGACGGCGTCTGCCCCGGACTTTGGCTCACTCTCTCGAATGTCTCGAATGCAAGCTCTCCTTGAGTCCTTGACTCCTTGAACGCCCCCTTCAGAGTCGAATTAGAGCCTGCCTCGAGCGCAACTCCACCCAGTCTAAGCTACAGACGGCCCTCCATCTCCAACTCATATGACCTCTTTCCTGCACACTGGCGTTGTCCTCGTCTTTGTCCTCGCCATACATCGTCTACTTCTTCTCCGCATCCAAGTCCTGCTCTCGCCGCAGTGTAGGTATAGCAACGCTTTCAAGACAAAGTATACGCGTGTTAGTCAGAGGCGGTGGGATACTTCAAGACTCTCCCCAGAATCCTCCTGTGGTGTGGTGGGGTAGCATCCGTTCAGCGTGCTGCATATGCCCACAAGTTGGTCCCATAGCACCGCAGCTCGTAAGCAAGGAAACCTTGTTGCATCATCAGGTCCAGCCCAGATCAACACCTCCGTCTCTGCGGGCCCGGCAGCTTGCCCTCGGCACGTTCTCTACCTTCGGATACTACCCTAGAGGCTGAGAGAAAGAGCGCGAGCTTGTTTCCCAGGGGAGCTACCCTGGACGATCATCCCAGCTCCTCTGTTAACATTAAAGTAGCAGCCACACCCGCCTTCATCCAATCTCTCGACCAAGGCTCTGTGCTCTCCTTCCACGAGACTACAGCTTCACGTCGACCGACAATACCTCGAGCCGTCCTACCAGTGACCACTCGAGTGCTCCCACCTTGTGTCAGTGCCATTGCTCGCCAGGTCACCGATTCACTTCGACTAGGACCTTCTTCCACCTTTGTCTCCATCGCCCTCTTCCCGCTGGTCACTCCTCCGATACACAAGACATATACTCAAAGCAGGGGTTCACAATGAGGACACAAAGTCTTGTCGTCGCCCTTCTGGCGACGGCTGATCACGTCGCTGCTGCCGTGGCACCTGAAGGAAAGCTACACAAGGTAAGTTGCTGCAGTTGCGATTTCCCATGGATCTCATATTTTTGTGAAACCACCTTTCAGCTTTATCGGAGCATGGGTTTGTCTTAGACAAGAAGGATCGGAGTGCGAAAGCCATGTCTTCGTCAGATCTAGCTTGAAGGAAGGCGTCTTGCTGTCTGTGACGAATATTTTTCTTCGCCTCGCTGCTCAACTCGCAATTCGTCGTCTTTCGCATAATTCTAAACCAGCGGTACGCGTTGTTGGTCATCTTGTAACTACAATCATGCGTTTCCTTCGCTTTCTTGGTTCTGCTTTTGGTTTATCACAGCTCTCGGAGCGTCCAAAAGACTCACAATGTCCACAGCGCGACCTTGCACACTCGCCCCCAATTTACCCATCACCATGGATGGACCCCAGTGCCGATGGCTGGGCTGATGCCTACGCCAAAGCAAAGGATTTCGTCTCCCAACTGACCCTTCTCGAGAAAGTCAACTTGACCACCGGTGTCGGGTGCGTATGCTCTCTTCTCTTTGACAGAGTATGGCTAATGAGACTGCAGATGGCAAGGAGATGTCTGCGTCGGAAACGTCGGTTCTGTTCCTCGCCTCGGCCTTCGCGGTCTTTGCATGCAGGATGGCCCCGTGGGCATTCGTTTCACCGACTACAACTCCGTTTTCCCCTCCGGCCAGACTGTCGCCGCGACCTGGGACAGAAGCTTGATCTACCGCAGAGCCGAGGCCATCGGTTTCGAACACCGCTCGAAGGGCATCGACGTTGTCCTCGCCCCGGTTGCCGGACCCATTGGTCGTGCACCAACTGGAGGCCGCAACTGGGAGGGTTTCTCCGTGGATCCTTACCTGACAGGTATCGCCATGGCCGAGTCGGTCAAGGGCATCCAGCAGCACGCTATTGCTTGCGCCAAGCATTTCGTTGGCAACGAGCAGGAACACTTCAGACAGGCTCCGGAAGCTATTGGCTACGGATACAACATCACCGAGTCCATTTCGTCCAACATCGACGACAGGACTATGCACGAGCTCTACATGTGGCCCTTTGCCGATGCCATCCGCGCCGGCGTTGGTTCCATCATGTGCTCTTACAACCAGGTCAACAACTCGTACGGTTGCCAGAACTCGAAGCTTCTCAACGGTCTTCTCAAGGAAGAGCTCGGCTTCCAAGGATTCATCATGTCTGATTGGTGAGTGACTCCCATTCCCGCATTGAATGTCGAAAGATAGTGGCTAACATGATCACAGGCAAGCTCAACATGTACGTGTCCCCCTTGATGGCCGAAGAGAGATTTTGCTTATCTCCCCTTTCCCAGCTAGCAAAGAAGTACCGTACTGACTTACTCATAGGCCGGTGCTGCTACCGCTGTTGCAGGTCTCGATATGGCCATGCCGGGTGATGTTCTCTTCAACACTGGAACTACCTTTTGGGGAACCAACTTGACCGTTGCTGTCCTCAACGGCACCGTTCCCGAATACCGCCTTGACGATATGGCTCTGCGTATCATGGCTGCCTTCTTCAAGGTCGGCTTCGAGGTTGAATCAGTTCCCGAACTCACCTTTTCCTCGTGGACCAAGGATACTGTCGGACCCGTTCAATACTACGCCAAGGAGAACACCCAAGTCATCAACCAGCACATCGATGTTCGCAAAGGCAGAGACCACGCCAACCTGATCCGCGAGATCGCCGCCAAGGCCACTGTCCTGTTGAAGAACGAGGGTGCCTTGCCACTCAACAAGCCCAAGTTCTTGGCCGTCATCGGAGAGGATGCCGGTCCCAACCTCAAGGGCCCCAACGGATGCGACAACAGAGGCTGCAACGACGGCACTCTCGGTGCTGCATGGGGATCAGGAACGGCCGAGTACCCTTACTTGGTCACGCCTGATCAGGGTCTGTCAGCCCGTGCCGTTGCCGATGGCTCCCGTTACGAGAGCATCTTGAGCAACTACGACTCTGCGGCTACCACTGCCCTGGTTTCTCAGGCCGACGCCACAGCTATCGTCTTCGTCAATGCCAATGGCGGTGAAGGTTTTATCAACGTAGGAGGCAACGAGGGTGATCGCCAGAACCTGACGCTTTGGAACGCCGGAGACGAGCTTGTGAAGAACGTTTCCGCCGTCAACAACAACACCATTGTTGTGATTCACTCCATTGGCCCAGTCCTGTTGACTGACATGGTCAACAATCCCAACATCACTGCCATTGTTTGGGCCGGCCTTCCCGGGCAAGAGTCGGGCAACTCCATCGCCGACGTCCTTTACGGAAATGTCAACCCGGGAGGCAAGTCTCCCTTTACGTGGGGCCCCAACCGCGAGAGCTACGGTGCTGATGTTTTGTACGAGCCCAACAATGGGGAGGCCGCCCCTCAGGACGACTTCACCGAGGGCGTCTTCCTCGACTACCGCCACTTTGACCGTGCTACTGCTGGATCCAATAGCTCCGGTGTTGCACCCATCTACCCTTTCGGCTTTGGTCTGTCGTACACCACCTTTGAATACTCCAACCTGGCCGTGACCAAGGGCAACGCCGGTGCGTATGCCCCGACAACTGGAGAGACGGCGGCAGCTCCAACCTTTGGCAACTACAGCACGGACCCAGCCGAGTACGTCTTCCCCAGCAACGAGTTCCGGTACATCTACAACTTCATCTACCCCTACCTGAACACCTCGGACGTCAAGGAGTCTGCCAACGACCCGACCTACGGCAAGACGGCTGAGGAGTTCCTGCCTCCCAACGCGGTCGCGAGCACCCCTCAGCCCAAGCATCCCGCATCGGGAGCCCCTGGCGGCAACCCGCAGCTTTGGGATGTTCTCTACACGGTGACTGCTACAGTGACCAATACGGGCAAGGTTGCTGGTGATGAGGTTGCTCAGCTGTACGTCTCGCTCGGCGGCCCGGAGGATCCCGTCAAGGTGCTCCGTGGATTTGAGCGCATTCCCATTGAGGCCGGCGCGTCGGCGACATTCACGGCGGAGATTACGAGACGTGACCTCAGCAACTGGGACACGGCGAGCCAGAACTGGGTCATCAGCGAGTACCCGAAGAAGGTGTGGGTTGGAAGCTCGTCAAGAGACCTGCCTATCAGCGCGTCGTTGTAGATGGCACGATGTTTGTGACTGGACTGTGGTGTGGATACGGCGACTTGAATAGTACTCGGTAGTTTCTAATCAATTATGTTTACTCACATTTTGGACGAATCCTCTCCCACGCCCGACAATGTCTGGGCAGCAACTTCTCACAGCTTTGGAAGAAATCAGGGATCAAGATGTGACTGACTCGAGCAGCAGCATGGGAGTGACGCAACATGGGCCACATTTCGGCTCACGGAAGCTGATGTGCCCTTGCAGGTTGCAATATGACGTGAAGATAATGGAAATGTTGAAAATTTCGAAAGTCAACATTTGAATGCATTTGCTCATGGAACAATATACAGTAATATGCTGTCGATCTCGAGGGTTGAAAAACTGGTAGGTACTCTGTACTCCGTACACAGAGCACAGATGCATGAGTGGGAGAATGCTTATATCAGACCGAACGTGCTTACTCTCACCGATGCTCACCCTCCACCCCGCCCAGGTGACGACAGAGACTCTGAGGTGGAGGAATGAACCATGAAGTGTTTATCGCTGAGCCAATCATATCAAGTGGTGTCGCGTACGTAAGCATAGTTGGTCTGGTGATACAGTGACAGCGAAGGAAGGAAGAGAGTCTGGAAGGCGTCGAGGACTGGAACATTGGTCAAAAGTGGGGTAATAAGTACATGAGGAGCAGCCAACCTTAGTGGGTCTTGGCAGTTGACTGAAGCTGGACCTTTCCTCATCAGGTCTTAGCGTGGGTGATCTGAGGCTGCTCCGGCCTCAAAGCGATCAGTGGGCAAGCACGAAGGCCACCCGTAGTGTAGTGGTCTCCACTGCGAAATTCCTTCTACACTATTCTTTTTTGGTGATTCTTACTCATCAGCAGACCCGGGGTACCTCAGTACGCTCAGTTACCTCAGGTAAGCAGCGAAATCCAAGGGTCCCGCGCAGCCGGAGGGGACAGGCCAACTGGATGAGAGTTGAAGAAACACAGACATTGGACCAACGCCTCTCAGCTTGACCCCGCTACATCTCTCGATTGCGCGCTCCTTGTGTCCCGTCGTCTGTATCCAGTGTGTTCCATTGACATCTCCCCCTTCTTTCCTTTCCTCTTCCGGTTCTCGTTGCTCTACTAGCTACTAGAGATCTTTGACTCTCAGCGCCCGAGTCCCGCGTATAGTTTGCAATTCGAAGTTCTGCTTCTTCAGCTTCGCCCGATTGCGCGCACTGCGTTACCTTGCAGCTGTCATCGTCTCTACTCCTGCGAACCCATCTGCGAACCCCCATCTCGCCGTCGCTTCGGGATCTCGGCATTCAGTCTTCAGTAGGCTGTCGCTTCTTTGCTGGTCCCCTCATCACCTCCTCCTCTCCTCCAATCCCCAGCCTCCAAAGGCTACTACGCCCCCTCTTCAGGCAAAGAAAAAAAGGGACTCCTCTTTTACCAACAACGGAGCCGCATTGGAACCATTGGGAACCACACAGAGCCAGACCAGGCTCCGAACCGCAAACAGCACAAGCTCCATTCCTCGTTTCTCGTTTCCTCTCAACGGCCGGTAACGCACATCCGGGCGGCAGAGGAAAAAGAGAGAGAAGTCCGAATTGCAGAAGTAACCTTGTCTTGCTTTGCCTTACCTAAGGCAGCTCGAACCGCCGCAACTGGGACCTCTCAAAGCCCGAATTGTCTTTCCCACATCCATTACCCGCCTCCGGCCACCAACACCGGCATCCCGAACGAGACAAGAGAGACACCCGACCACACACGCCGCCAGGACCGTACTCCGAACGACGGTTTCCGCCTTAGCTGCAGGAATCGCAACTTCCGAGTGCCCAACCTGCCCGCCGTCTGCGAGCAAAAAACCCACGACGCACGAGCTCATCGCCTCCGATCGGCCGCCCGGCTTGCCCCCGTCACTTCCGTGAACTGTAAATCCTTTCAACCCGGCGGACGGGCTTCGAAGGGGGGAGTTCCCACCTTTCTGTGCCTGTCCCATTCAGAGTATCAGAGGAAGCAGCTTTCGTCACCACGGCCTGCTGGATTGATTCTTGGTACGCGACAAACACCGAGCTGCATCTGTCGCCGTGACCGTCTCCGTAACCTCCACCACTGCCACCGTTTTCACCTCCGCCGCCGCCGACGACGACATCCGGGTCTGATGCAAGGCCCGTCGCCATCATGACCGAGTCGCAGACCACCCCGACCCCGGATCAGGCCTCTATCGATGATCTTACCCCCGAGGAGGCCAACCGCATCATCCACTCTCATCGCAAAGTCCGATATGGTGAGTGAGACTGACCCATTCATGAGTGACTCTTCACTGCCATCAGGGTTCTGACGATGTCTTGTCTGCCCATCAACCCTCATCTCATTTCATCTCATAACCTCTAGGCAAGAAACATGAGATGAAATGCCCTTCACATTCTCTTACCTTCGTCTCACGCCCATTTCCTAAATCACTCATATTACCATCCATTGACTACTGACACTTCCCGAAGGTACCGCTTGCTGGCCATGTCGCCAACGCAAGGTAAAGTGCGACAACAAACAACCATGCGAAAATTGCGTCAAGCGCGAACACCCACAACTATGCTCCTACAAACCAAATCGCACAGCCTCTCACGGCACCAACCATAAGCCCGCTGGCTCCGTCACAACCGAGGGCGGCAACAGCACCGCCGGTGGTAACGGTGTCGCCGCCACAACCGCGCCGACGACAGCAGGCAACGGCACTGCTTCATCAACGCTCAACCGCAAACGCCCACACTCGCCCGAAGATCCCGCCGCGGACGCCGCCGCAGGCCAAGCTCCCTTAAAGCAGGAACCCGGCGGCGCGACCTGGCCACGCGCGGCTATCGGTAAGTCATCATCATCGTCTTCACTGCCGCAAGACCAGCACATCCACCCTGGCCTGAGACCTTCTGCTTCTGCGGCATCATCGTCGTCGTTTATGGGAAACAACAACGGGTTGTATACTGATAAGCTCCCCCGGGGACCAGTAGCCACAGGCGTGGTGGACGAGACCGAGGCCCCCGAGGCCGTGACGCGGTATTTGGGACAGAACAGTATCCCTTCTCTGCTGAGGGAGCAGTCCGGCGCCAACGAACTGCAAGAGGGCGTCGATATACGGCAGGATATGCGGTCCATTCTCGGGCTTGATACCTCTGCGCCGTTCCCACTCATGTCATCAAAGCATCTCGATAGTCTGACGAGAGAGATTTCTGCGGAGCTGCCCTCGGACCGGGAAGTCATGAAGTGAGTGTTTCTCCTCCTGACACAGGGTCATTGTGGGCAATGGGAAGACTGACAAAAACCAGACTGTTCCGCACATATAAAGAAACACCCCAACAATTCTGGGGCTTCGTCGTCGATATTGACGACCTAGAGTCCAAGCTCATGGTCTACCTCGAAGACCGCGCCCGCAACGCAAGCAATGCTGCGCGCACGCCGAAACCCGTGTCCGCCTCGTGGCTCGCCATCCTCTTTGCATTGCTGGCCGTCGGTTCACAGTATCACGACTCACCGTATCATATCCGCACGCGGGATTCCCAAAAGTACATACAAATATCGTTCCATTTCTTGCGGCTCGGCAACTTTTTACTGCGGTTAGTCATCCTCCTTTTCATATTCTGCTCGTCCCTCCTTATCCTATGGAAATGGCTCCCAATCCGGCTATTCGGACAATGACCGTGAAATGTAAACAAAAAAAACCATCCACTGACCCGAGACCCCACACCGGCTTCAAGACCCACATTCGACTCCATACAAGCACTTTTACTTACCAGCTTTGTCCTCCTCAATGATATGAAGGCCGAAGCCTCTTGGGCCCTGCTCGGCCTTACCTGCAGACTGGCCCAGTCTCTCGGCCTGCACCGGCCGAATCCCTCTGACGGCCGGGACAGCGCCCGGAATGACGGGCAGTCCAAGGAGATGATCCGCCGGAAGCTGTGGTGGACATGTGTGTGGCACGATACCCTCACATCACTATCATTTGATCGGTAGGGCTCACCACCACGGCAAGCCACCTTCGCTGATGCAGGCTAACATGAACAGTCCACCCATGACAAACATTCCCTGCTGCCCGATCCCAACAGTAGCAACCACCATCGCCGGCGAATACGGCTACCTAGACACAATGTACCACCTTTGCGAAATCATCTCCCGGCGCCTCAACCCAGACGTCGCAACGACAGTAAGCTACGAACAAATGGTTGAAAACTGCGAAGCGGTAGAAAACCTACGCAACATGGTCGCCCCCAACATCCGCATCAAGGAACAGTGCAAACGCGCCATCGACCGCCTTCAGCACTACGCCGTCCGCCTCCACACCTCCTTCGTCATCTCCGTCTGCTGCCGCCCCGCCCTGCGCCGCGACTGCACAAAACTCACCCCCGAGCAGAAGCGCCACCTCTCGGACAAGTGCCAGCACAACCTCGCCGAGACTGTCCGCATGTTCCTCGCTATGCACCAGCTCTCTGTCATTCCCACCCGCAGCTGGGCGTTTACGTATCACGGTCTCTCATCAGCTCTGCTCCTCGGTATACTGGGTGAGACCAAGAATAGTCCCGAGGTCCGTCAATTACAAGGCGACCTCATCGCCGCGCTGTCCGCGACGGCTGCGAAGGAGGCCACCTCGCCCACGGCGCACATCCCCAAGACGGACAAGGATATCGAGCTGTCTGGACCGTTATGGAGGGCGCTGACGGCGCTGCGCAATATTTACGAGCACGGCACCATTATGGGCACGTCGCAGATGAAGGGGACCGACTCGAGCGGTACCGGAAGCGGGGCGAGGACGCCGTTACCGCCAATGCTCATGGGCCCGATGGGTAACAATGTCAACGGGAACAATGACGGGAAGGCGTTTGGTATGGACCCCCACCAGGATGCTGCTCTCGCCATGGCTGAGATGCAGAATGGTACAACAATGACGGAGTACACGCCAAAGTATGTCACCTTTTAAGTTTCCTTTCGAGGAAGCTCTTGTTCCCCGGATCATGTGGACGACTGCTAATAAGCCACAGCATGGGATATCCACCCGTCAGCATGGATAACATTGCCAACCTGGACCCCTCAACATACATGTCGCCAATGGATCTTTACGAATCAATCTGGTGGGGTAAGTAGCGTTGCCGAACCTGTCCTCGGTTGAGAAGTATAGGGCTGACCTATCCTAGAATCGCCCGACCCCTGGAACAGTGGCGTAGACACGATGAACTTTGATTTCGTCGCCCAGCCCCCGCCGGGTCAGCCTCAGCAGCAATTCTATTTTTAAGTGAAGAAACGCACAAAGCAAGTAAAGCATTGGAGGGAGAGAACAGACCAAAAACCTTTTTTCTGGATTCGCATCATCATATTCTTCTCGGAAAAATTATTTTTAACCAACCAACCAAATCGACTTGACGCAGTATTGACTGATTGGGACATGAAAGCGGCGCTTCTCTCTTTTTGCTTTTTGGGGGAAACGAGGAAAGCATGAACCTAGGTTATCCCACGATTTGTTTTTGAGTAGGAAAATCGGAAAGGGGATGGATAGAAGGGTGGAGGGGTGGTGCAAAGGCGAGAGGGGCGGCTGGCTTTGTTGTTATTTTTGGTTGAAAACTCTTTTCAATCTCGATGGACCCAGGCGCTCTTGATCTTGAATCTTGTTCGCTTCTTCCAACTAGCCTTTTTCTGGAGAGATGGTGTTGACAAGGCTGTCATTTATGGTGTTTAATGATGCTTCTTTCCCTTCTGCTTCTCCAGGGTTCCCACGTGTTATGATTCAGGGTTGGAAACCAAGATGTTGTCCTGCTCTTTGGTTGCGGTCTGCCAACTCAAGATAGGGGACAACGATGCTCTTGTGCAGCTGTAGGATATATCAACTGGCGACGCAAAGAGAAAAGCCGTTCTCGTCACTATGACCCTGTGCTGTGCGTGAATATCGAATTCCCTTGGCCGCCGTGGATGAGAGCGGACTAAGATTCGGCATTTTCCTGGGATTTCGGCCCCACGTTTAGGCCCGGCCGAATTGGACCATCGGCGAAGGAGGTCGGCGATGGTGTAGAGCGGGGCCAATGCGACCGGAGGAATGTGGTGCAGTCTGCCCCAATCCCCCGCACGCAATAATAGCTTAGCCTGTTTGTAGGCAAGCAAGCCAAGGTGAAGAAGCAGCCACGCAGCCGATCAATTGGAGAAGACAACTCCGCCACAGTGCTGGGTGCTTGACAGATTGGGCTCGGCGGCAGAATCCATTCTTCCGGTGGTGGACGCGCGGCTAGGGTGAACCCTTCAAACCCAAACTCAAGCCTCGACAACAGCTGCGACAGGCGATGGGTAGCCGGCACAACTCGAAACGAAGACTGCCATGTCCCGAATCGAGTGAGCAGTTGTTGGCGGGCTAAAGTGGTGTTGGTGACGAATTGGTGGTGGCTCGTAGGGAAAACTGGTCAAAGTTTTGGTAAGGACGGCCCAGGTAAATCACTGGCAACGCTCGTTGAACTCTGTGTCGTGGACCGTTCAATACCAAGGTTGGCACGTCGCCTGCCTCCAAGTTGTGACAGCCAAGAGTTGAGTTGAACAGCGGGATGTGCTGTGAAGTGAAACCTGTACAGCTCGACCTAGACTTTGCTGCCGAAAAGAGAGGTCTTCGGGTCCTGGCCATTGGCAACGACGATGGGATGATGGGATTATAACCTTGAATTAACCGCCTGTGCCAATGCTGAGTCAAGATTCCTACATGCGCATGTTGTCGATATGAGCTCTGAGCCACATCTCGCGAGACTAGAATATTGTCCTTCAGTAAGAGAGGCCACGAGCACACCCTACGGCGGCCTAATCGCGGATGCTGGCACCGGGCTGGAAGGTCGCCGGGCCATCGGCATGCTGGAGAAACGCCCCGAGCTCATCTTGAAGATTGGGGGATTGGAGATTGAATGAGGGACGTCTGAGCTCAACCAACAAGCTAAGCCCAAAGAGTATTGGATGCAGCTTGAGTTGGGCGTTGCGGTGTTCCAGTCGTGGGGATTGAACGGTTACCTGTGCCGAAAGCTGGACGAAACCAGCATCTCTGAAAAGTAGCGTCGAACGTGCTCTACGAATAGTCAATTACGGAAGCGTAGGACCCCTCCCCCACGAGTCAAGGGCAGATTCGGCATCTACAGTGTGGGGGGGTTGAGCAAGAATTGCGTGTCGGTACGGATAGCCGTAGCCTTGTACGCGTCAAGCTTTTGCATCCGCGATCCCCTCGTTACTTGTGCGAATAGGCCGCTCAGGAACCGGCCGACCAGATGCGCGGTCGCGATGCTGCCTGTCCGCGGAGGTCGCTCTCAACAGTCGCCAGGGGGCTGCCCTGGACGCTCTTTTGAGACAAGGATTGCTCTTTACTCCCGCGTATTGTCCCCATTCAGTGGAGTATCCGGGCATTGGCTGGTGGATTTGGTGTGGTTGCTGACATCTCATTGCTAGATTGACGGGAAGCTTGACATGCAAAGCGCTGGGATCTGGATCCAATCCAACAGGCCTTTATCTTTTTGGAAGGAATCGCAGCATGTAACAACTCTCCCTAGGCAGCGACATAGGCTTGTTTTTTTCTTTCATCTGGTGTCGACGGCAGTATGAAGGTCTAGCAAGAGATGTTTACTTCGTCGCATGTATGTTTCCTGGATCCAGAAAAATGAGGCGGTTTCATTATATGCCGTCATGTCTGAACACCAGCAGTTCGTAACGCCAAGACGGACAGATGCCGGTGTAAATAATTCCTCCTGTCTTCAGAAACGTTGTCCTGCTGGCGGCCTTTCACCATAGCTGAGTGTTGTCGGGGTTGGAGATTGGGACGAAATACGGCAATAGGCGTTGCCAAGATTTGCACCGGGCTGGCTCACCAGATGTGAAAATGTTGGTCAAGCCCTGTCGGGATTATACCTAGTATAGATGGCTGCCGCGAATGCCCTGAACGATAGCGTCGATAGGTGACCTCTTGTGGCTGGTGCGATTTCAAGATGTGCAAGGAGTCGTGTGCAAATTCTCTAGTCCCATAGTTCTACGGATAGATGAGCTTGTGAATGGTTGATTCAGTCGATGGATAGGCGATACGACGGTGACGACCAAAATCCTCAGTGCTGGCAGGGTGCTGACGACCGGTTCCGTGTGGGGATGGTTGCGAACAGCTTAGCTTAGGTCTGGGCTTCGCAGCGCCACTGCTTAAGCTTGTCAGTTGACTATGCCGATCCTAGATTGTAGTGGTCGCCGACTCGGGTCCGCCTGAAGAAATGGTGGCATGTTGAGATTTTGTCTCAAGCTTGAATGGGGCCGGCGATCACATATAAGTTTGAAGAAACAAGCCGTTGGTCGGTCCCCGGCTCAGGATTCGTTTAATGGTGTCCTCGGCCATCCAGCCAGCAAAATCGGCGTATCGTCTTCCTTGGCTCGACTGTTCGAAAGAACGTAGATGTGACTTTGAGTTGGAATACTCCAAGCAATCGGGTCCAACTCAAATGTAGTTTGGGTTTGAGCCGCTCACGCACCCAGCCAACGAAGTAGGTAGGTATTCAACTACCAATATGTAAGTGCTGGGAGGTTGAAACTGTAGGACGAGGAGAGGAGAAGCGAGGCGCCCGGGATGCTGTCAGAAGTTGCATTCCACCTGGACAACAAAGACCGCAATGGCTTAGAGCCTTAGACAACCGGGCGTGCCAAGAGAAATAGCATGCGAATAGCGTTACGGGGCTTGACGGTTCCTCTTCGGCTGGCGATGCTCGTTGTCCGACGGACCACCACTTTTCCTTGCTGTTTCTTCAGTCCGTTGGAGGCTTGGAACTAAGGTAGCTGCTGTCGGGATTCGGAGCAAAAAAAAGTAGGATTGGTAGCGTCGTTCTTCTGACAAGGGTTTCGCAAATTAATGCAATGTGCTTGACTACTTGCGAAGCCAGGTGAGATGGTTTCTTGTGGCGCACAGTAAGGCTTGCTGAAGCTTGAGGTTGCCTGCAGAGCTTTCTAGCCTACGATTAGTTACGTTACTCTCTGGCACAGTGGCGAACCGTCTCTCGCGATGGGTGCCGCGGGTGGCTGATGATTGGAGGGGATGACGGCAGATGGACGACAAGGTTGTGGCTGGCGTCTGGGGCTAGAGCGAGGCAGACGGACGTCTTTCAACGTCAACGGTGACACATGACAGCGAGGTAATGCTGAAGATAATTCTGTATTGCTGGTAGGAAGATAGTTGTAGCAGCAGTGCTCAGCAGTGCTGGTGTTGATGCTGATCGGGATGGGTGGTGAGCTGTGGTCGGAGGACGGCCGAGGGCGTCCAAGAGCTGGCGAGGACCAAGATTCGGTGCGTGAGTAATTGCAAATAATGGCAGCAGTGCCAGCAGCAACATCGGACCGAACAAAGTCAGTTATTCGTTGACGTGCCGAATTGATGATGCGGTGACTCGTGAGTAGGCAACAGGGCAGGCAGATTTAGATGAGGATCTGAATGCCGAAAACCTGTGCAGGATACAATTACCGTAGTGAGAATGGGCACTCCGTCATCAGCAGTTGAATGGACGGGAGGCTTGACGAATGATGGCTGTGCAAGGGCTACGCCGTGATGGAAGGAGTGGACTACTGGGCATGGGGCATGGGGCATGGGGGAAGGAGTGATGGACATGGAAGACGCCAAGACGCGTGGCCCCCAGGCCTCCAGGTGCAATGGGAAAGAGGAGGTAACGAGTACCTACCTGCGCTGAATCATGGCAGCCCAAGCACTCGCTCTTTCCTCAGCCTGACTTTTGTAATTCATCACAATGTTGTACAAGATGAGGTGGTCGCGATCAACGGCTGCATCTCTGGATATGAAGGAAGGTCCAGACGGAGTTGTGCCTCCCGCCACGAGGGTACGGAAACCGTCATAGAGGGAATCCAACTTGGAAGGCAGGTTCGAGGCTGCGAGAGTCTATAATGATGGGGGATGGGGAAAGGCCCGAGGAACGGTGAGCAGGCACCTGAGATTCGCACCTGCTGCGTACCTTTATCCACATGATGACTTTCCCAAAACAGCACTTAGTTCCATCTTGATGGGGACGGATCGTGTGTACGTACCTGAGCAGCATACACAGCAGGTGCGAATTAAGGTAGCTGCACGCGAGTCTGAGCCTCTGCAGGAAAGAGCCAAGACCCCCCAGGGCCAAGCGAAGCAAGGAGCGACATGAGCATTTGCCTGATTTGCACATGCCCAGTACCTTACTCTTTCTGTCCTCCAGAGTAAGTTATACGGGGCGGGTACGAATTGCATGTACCTTTCTACGTATTGCGTACCTACCTACTCCGTATACTTCGTACTCCTAATGTGCAGTATGGAAGGTACACAGCATGGCAGGTACGCAACGCAAAGCAGGCAGGGATGCAGCGCAAAAGATGAGAAACCCAAAAGTCTTGGCATCGCACCCACTGTTGCCGTGTGTTCCCACCTTCTTGTTACTCACTGGACAACTGCGTTGCCCGCGAGTCCCAAATCCGCCCTTTTCTTCTTGCTTTGGCTGTGTTTCGCCCAGCCCGCCTAATGCTCGTACGGTCAACTCCTGCCGAAAAAATGGTCCATCCGTTTAAATGAACGGCGGAGCCCGCGTCCTGAGTAGGCCGCTCGTGAGTCGCTGCTTGCACCCCCCGTCCGCCGATTCTTGTCCCCTTTCTTCAAGATCCTTCCCCTCGGTGCATCCACGTCTTGTGTGTTTTTCTTCCCGTCCGCCTCCTTTTCTCCCCGAGTCGGTCGCATCTTGTCCGTCGACTTTGTCCTCTTGCTCGGCGCTCTTCATCAGTGTTTGTCTACCTTTCGCTGTCTGACATTGTCGCACGAGTCGGCTTTCCAGATTCCACATCCCGTCCTCTCTAAACTGACGACCACCAACAAGTCCACGGCAGAGACAAGCACGAATACTTGAACACGCGCGACGACATCATCACGACCAGCCACACGACGTCCCGATTGCATTGAATGTGCTTATTGTTTGGGGCGAATCATACTTTCCGACTCTAATAACTACCCGACCTGATCCCCAACGACTGTCCTTTGCCGGCATAAACCACCGTAGGACAAGCACACGACACTCGAAGAGAAACGCAAATCGAACTTGAACACCACTCTTCGAGCCCCTTGTAAATCAGACATCATGGCCGATGTGAAGCCTCCCAGCGGCAAGCTGCCCTATGGCACCCCCGAAGGCGGCTGGAAGGCTGTGCACACATGGAGAACTCCGGACTGGGTAGAACCAATTGTAAGGAACAATCACTTCGCTGCGGAACCATTGCGAACAAAGCTACTGTCAGGCGAATCTTGGAGGCTAACCAGCACTAGCTGATTGTATCCATCATGCTCATCGGCTTGTACGTCAGTCGTAGAAAGAACTACTCGATCCTCCGCCGCGGGAACGCGACATACGAACCTCTATTTGAAGAGCGAGGAGACTCCCCCCGCATCTCCGACGAGTCCTACGATCCTATCCGAACCGATCCCTTCCCGCCCAAATACCGCACCATCTTTGGATGCTATCGCGTCAAGACCCCGAACTCGAGCCGTTTTGCGAAATACGTTCACTCAAGAATCCTGCAAAAGTTCCCTTTTCTCATCGAAATGTTCTACTGGGCCATTTCCTTCTTCTTCTACCGCATGACGGCGACCCTAGCTCAGAGCTACTACGGCAGCAGGAAGGCTGTCTGGGATGTCGCACAGGAGCACGGCCTGTTTCTGCTCGAGACCGAGGCCAAGTTCTTCGGCGAGGGCACCAGGACCGGTCCCGAGCGTTGGGTTGAATGGCGCGTTTCCCATTGGTTTCTCGAGGGTGCTCAAATCGACGACTTCCGTGGCATCTGGCTGACCATTTTGAACCGCGGATACTCTCTGATCCATATTCCTGGTACCGTCGGCTTCATTGCTTACTACTTCGCCATGGCGCCCACCCACGCCCGCTTCTGCACCGTCCGTCGCACCATGACCTTGTTGAACATGTGTGCCTTCATCATCTTCATCTTCTACCCGTGCGCCCCACCCCGTCTGATGCCCTCCGAGTACGGCTTCGTCGACACGGTCAACCTGGAGAACGCCGAGAGTGTCTGGATGAGCGGCAAGTTCGTCAACAAGCTGGCTGCCATGCCCAGCATGCACTTTGGCTATGCTTTCGCTATTGGCTGTGTTTTCATCGCCGACTCGGCCATTCTCAACCTGCTCTTCGGTCGCCTGAGGAACTACCTCCTGCGTAACGATCTGGACAAGTCGTTGGATATCGATGACGTCGAGCTCAAGGAAATCCAGGAGAACCGCAAGCGCTGGAAGAGTTGGTTCATGTTCTGCTTCGGTGTCTTTTACCCGAGTTGGATTCTGTTGACGATTGTGGGAACCGCCAACCATTACCTCATGGACGCCTTCGTCGCTACCTTCTGCGCGTTGGTCGCGTACCTCTGCAATCGTGCTTTGTTGGTGTTCCTCCCAGCAGAGGACATGCTGCTCTGGGCCTTGAGACTCGAAAAGCCGGTGCCGACAACGGGCCGTATGAAGAACATTGCTGTCCGATAGAGGGTCGATTATTTGAGAAAAGCGCGTCAAAAGACATGGAATAAAGATCTCTTCACCGAGTCCTCCATTTAAAGCATCGCAGAGGCGTTGGGAAAGGAACATTGGCCTCCTTTAATATCTTTGCACACGAGGCCCCTGGGTCAACCCCATGTGTGCCGAATTAGCCCTTATAATGAAAATCTATCCTGTTTGTCTGTCTATTCTCCGAAACTCCGCCACACCCACAGTGATGGAATGTCCAGTTTTTAAGCTCCTGCCACATGTCGCTTGTTCGTATCCGGTGGATCTAGGGAAATCTGATTCGATTGTCGAAAAAAGATCATCTCTCTGTACAACGTGTACAACATGTCATTGGTTTTGGGAATGGGTGTAGGCCACGCCTCGGCGCATTGTTCGCTGACCCTGCAGGACTCTTTGGCGCCCGGCTGACCCTGGGAAATGGGAAAAAGGCTGTACCCGCTGCCCGACTTCATTTGCCAAGCCGAGATATCCGTGCGGCCTGTGGCTCTGTTTGCCTGCGGGAGCTACGGGAAGCGGTGGGTTACGGGGTAGTAGTTGGCGGTGGCCGACGGGGCCGGGACCCGGTCTTTGAGTTGATGGATTCGGACTTTTTGTGAGGTTCATCCTTAGTATGCTCATCTCTTGGCAGTTCAAGTCATCAAACGCGTCATGTCTTTGGGTTCTTCAAGAAGATGAGAGTTTGTCAAGGTGGCCGTGGACTGCATCGTCTGAAGGCAGAAAGCTGTGGTCATTTCTTTGCGCCGCGGCGTGTTGTCAAGGTTTTCGGTCTGGTAGTCCGGCTGGTTAGATTCCTGACTTCGCTTTCGCTTTTGGGGTTCATCTCAGATGATCAGATATTTCTCAAGTCCTGAGTTTCCGACATATCCAAAGTCCACGCAATCCACGCATCTGTAGTCGGCCCACGAGTCGGTCCGTTGGACGTAAAGAAGTGGGTAGCCATAGGCAGCAGTCTTTACTCTTCAGTCTTTAGGCAGCAGTATTTATAGAAGCAAGGTCAGCATTGGAAAGAGGCTATATCATTAATCATTTGGTCGTGTGTTGTTGCTCCTTGCTTTTATCTAAGTTATGGATACACATTTGTCGAGTGGAAGGTCGAATGATAGGCGGAAGTTGAAGGGGGACTTTATCAAAAGCCAAGATTTCGACCCAAAGGTAGCGATGTGCGCACAAAGACTCGCATAAGCGCTGATATTGGCGAGTGATTCATCCCAGAAGACTATTCAATTGTCTAGTATCTACCTCTGAGTTCAATTGAAAGTCACACGTTGTGGTGCTTTAGTATGTATGTCTGCCGGCAATAACGGATAATAGAGCCTGGTATGTCGAGCCTGGTATACATGGGCATCGAGTTATGGCGGAATCCGTATGATTGGTCATGTGTCAGATGATCACGGCGACCAATCTGGTGGAGGACATCCACCATGGAGCCCCTCCCGGATCCGCAGCCCTGCATTCTTGCGACCTGCCCAGCTGAACGGCCAGGCCAAGCGTCGGACTATTGTTCTGGCATCTCCTTGCGTTGCGAGTCGAGACATCGAGTCCTCCTTATTGCTTCAAGGCCTGTTCCTTGCTTTTGAGCAGTATGGCCTGAAAGGCGACGAATTTGTTCGCAGCCTTGCCTTGAGACAGTGGACCTGGACCGTTTCTCGTAATTTCGGTACGACAGTCTTGCTTCCGGCGACTCTTTCAAGATGGCCACTGAATAACTCGGAGCTGCAGGATCGGCAACATGAATAACGACTCGAGTCACTCGGCCGTACCCCAGCTTGCACCTGGCAGTAAGAAGCGTCGAAGAAGGAATGTGGTCATTTCCGACGACGACTGCGAGGAGTACCACGCCGTCGAAACAGAGCGGGCGGGGAATTCCCTCAACCAGCTCCTGAAAAGGAGACTCAAACGTGAAGTGCGAGGGCCCAAAGTCAGGTTAGAACACAGGGATTACAAGGTTGGCTGGGTAGCAGCTCTCTACACCGAGCTGGCTGCTGCACAGGCTATGCTCGATAATGTCCACGAGCCACTGCCCATGAACGAAAACGATACCAACCTGTATGTGTTTGGCGAAATTGGCGCTCACAATATTGTCATCGCGTGTCTACCCTCGGGACAATATGGCACCGCCAAAGCAGCTCTGGTAGCGAACACTATGCGCTGGAGTTTTCCTTCCATAACTATCAGGTTGATGGTTGGCATCGGCGGTGGCGCACCGCGTGAGCAGCTCGATCTCCGCCTTGGCGATGTTGTTGTCAGCAACCCAACGGCAGGGTCACCCGGCGTCATTCAGTATGACTTCGGCAAGACCGAACAGGAAGGCTTCTTCCACAATACAGGTGTCTTGAACAAGCCTTCCGAGGCGCTTCTTAAAGCGCTGACCAAGCTAAGAGCCAGTCACGAGTTGCAGCCTAATCAGATGCCCACGATGCTCGCGCAGATGAAGAGCTCAAACAGTAATATGGGTAAATACGTTCACCAGGGAGCTGAAAATGACCGCCTTTACGATGCTGCGTACGACCACCCAAAGGGTAAATTTAGCTGCGATGAGTGCGACAGCTCAAGATTGATTGATCGGCCAATTAGGCCTGATAACGATCCCAGGGTTTCTACGGAACTATAGCATCCGCAGATCAAGTCATGAAGCACGGAAAGACGCGCGATCGTGTTGCACAACAACATGACGTTCTTTGCTTTGAGATGGAGGCAGCCGGCCTGATGGACAATTTTCCATGCTTAATTATCAGAGGAATCTGTGACTACTCCGACTCGCACAAACTGGAAGGATGGCAGCCATATGCTGCAGCAACTGCCGCGGCATATGCAAAGGAGCTCCTGATGACTATTCCATCTCAGGAGGGCCAGATTCCAGCGCCAAGGACAATCGAGATCCGACAAGGTCGGCAGCTGACCCCCGAGAAAAAGCTTTTTGTGCTAGGCAGTGTCAATACCGCGTTGCTAAATGTCATGTAGACCAGAGTTCACTTGACAGGCGGAAAGAGATACTCACCTCTCTTAAATTCGATCAAATCGACGATAGACATGCTTCTATCAAAAAAGCACATGGCAAAACCTGCCACTGGCTTACGAAACACCCCAAGTTTGTCAAATGGCTGGACCCCGGATCTGTTGCCCACCACCATGGTTTTCTCTGGATTAGTGGGAAGCCTGGCGCCGGCGAGTCAACAATCATGAAGTTCGCCTACAATCGCGCACAAAGACCGTCGGGCCATAACGCGGCTGTCCTGTCGTTCTTCTTCAATGCTAGAGGTGGAGTGTTAGAGAGAACTGCTGAGGGAATGCACAGGTCTCTCCTTGTACAGCTTCTTGCGAAGATCCCCAGGCTACAAGGAGTTCTTGAAGATCATGAAATCCGGGACCATCTCGATATCAACTCGAAAGCAGAAAATTGGAGCCTTCCCTTGTTGAGGGATGTCTTCGAAAGAGCTATATCAAAATTAGGTTCAGACCAGATAACCTGTTTTATCGACGCGCTAGATGAATGCGCAGAATACGAAGCTCAGCAAATGCTCAACTTCTTTGAGAATCTCGGCCAATGCGCTGTTCAAACTAACACGAAACTGTTCGTCTGTTCTAGTCGGCATTACCCTTCGTTAGATATCCGATACAAAGTTAAGTTCATATTAGAAAATCAACGCGGCCACGACAAGGACTTGGAAGCTTACGTTCAAAACGCTTTGAGTCCCACCACACCTCAGCAAGAGACCGAGATTACGGCACAGATCCTACATAAGGCTTCGGGAGTCTTCATGTGGGTGGTGCTGGTTGTCAATATTCTTAATAAGGTGATCCGAACAGGTCGGATCCATGAGATTGAAGAGACACTAGAACGGCTACCACCGGAATTAAGCAAGCTTTTTGCAGAAATGCTTGGAAAGGATGATTATTATATGGGAGACCTACTACTTTCTGTGCAGTGGCTTTTGTTTGGAACACGTCCGTTGACGGCAGACGAATACTATGCAGCCCTAGTATCGGGCCTGAAACCCGGTTTCCTTCCTCAGTTGGACCCTGAACGCGTCATGAAGCAAGACATCGAAAACTTTGTGGTCAACTCCTCAAAGGGCCTTGCCGAAACTACGAAGACGCAAAGCAAGCCTGCCATGGTCCAATTCATCCACGAGCCCGTCAGAGACTTTTTCCTCAAGGACAATGGCCTTGAAACCACATTCCCTGAACGGGTGATAACCGAGGGCGAATGTCACGAGCAACTTAAGAGATGTTGCTATGCATACATAAAAGCATGCAGTCTATCAATCATCTCGAGCAAGGAATCGGTTTTTCGAAAAGCTGACCGGTTTCCGAAGGCCTTGGGTGCTTCAATGATCGCCAAATTTCCTTCTCTGGGGTACGCCAGGACGCAGGTTTTGTACCACTCCAATGCTGCTGCAAATATGGCAATACCGCAAGACCAGTTTCTGGAAGAATTTGCGGCTTCACTTGAAAATTGGATCAAGTTCAATAATCTCTTTGAGCGATATAAGACCTGTCATTACACGTCAATGGCCTCTTTGACGTATATCCTTGCAAATCGCGGTCTGGATTCTTTACTCGAGGCCAACATTCGCCGCGACCCTCTCATCGAGACATCTGTAGAAGAGCAACACAGAAGCCCCATAGCTGCAGCTATCTATAGAAGCCATCTCAGAGCAGCCGAAATTTTGTTGCTTCATTTGGACAAGAACATGGTCAACAATCACCTTAAAACCAAGGGAGGCAGCACATTACTTTACGGAGCTGTCAAGAAGGGATTGGCCGAGGTTGTAGAATTACTTCTCGCGGCAGGAGCGGAATCTAACGATTCTGAGACCATGGAAGATCCGCTCCATTACGCGATCGTTCAAGGAAATGAGGCTATAGTGAAACTCCTCCTTTTTCGTACGTTTCGCATCAGAACGCCCAAGGCATCTATGGATTCCCAAGGTATTGCAACGACCTCGACTAGTTGCGAAGCTCCAGATGAGCAAAAGCTCCGCTTGGAGGCGGACTACGAGCATGACGATCCAGGACGCCCGAACCCACTTCACATAGCTGTTGGTTATGGATATGCAAGAATAGCGAATCTACTCCTGGAAAAAGGTGCCAATGCCGACCGCCTCATAGCTGGTAAACCTCCGCTGCACATAGCTGTCAACAATGGCGACCGAAACCGTATGAACGTTCTTCTCGAGAATGGTGCAAATCCGGATCAGTGTGATTCATACGGAATCAACGTCTTACGCTAAGCTGTGGACAATTACGACGTGCCCCTCGCCCGTTTCATAATCGAGAAGGGGGCTGATGTCAATCAACGTATGGACGGCATCCCGGTTTTGCACCGAGCCATATCCGCCTCCCTTTATGGCATAGATATCTTCAAAATTCTGCTCGAGAATGTTGCCGACGTTGAGATTGCGGATTGTGATGGTGTCACTACGCTCCATCGCGTCGCCCGCGACGGCGATCATAGCATTTTGGAGATGATACTCAGAGCCAGGCCAGATGTCAATCGTATCGATAACTATGGTCGAACTCCTGTTATCTTCGCATGTAGAAACTACAGCCTCCATCCCACGGCCATCATCGCCTTGTTCGAGCAAGGCGCGGACATCAATTTACCAGATCTGGAAGGAAACACCCCAATGTTTGTCAGTATTGATGCACGCAGACCGCCCCAACTCGAATGCGTACTTCAACTCGGCGCCAACATTAACGACGTCAACAAGCAGGGGCAGACTGCCCTGTTCATGGGCTGCCAAACCGGGAGACTCGAAATTGTAGAGGTATTAACCAGAAACAGCACTATTCAGCTAGGCTCTACAAATCCAGCAGGAGAAACAGCTTTGTTTGGTGTCTTTCCCGGGCACGAGGAAGCCCCGTTGATAGTTAAGTTGCTATTAGAGGCAGGCCTTGATCCCATGCACACGAATTCCGCAGGCGAAACTTTCTTTGAATCATCGACATGGTTTCCGAAGCTTGACAAGAATCTTCGAGAATCCATTTTCAGAGCAATTGCAGAGAGGGAAATCAACCAAACTGACGAGATTGGTCGAACGATTCTGATGAAAGTCGCGACCGATGATGACCCTCGTGCCACTTCATTTCTATTAAAGGTCGGGGCCGATCCCAACATTTCGGACAGGCGAGGATACACCCCACTCTTTGCAGTGATAGACGCATCACAATCGGAACATCATGACCTCGTTGTTGACGCTCTTTTGCGGAGCGGCGCCGAAACACGTAAACCAGGCCCAAACTCCAAAACTCCTCTGCAAATGGCTCAACGACTCGGAAAAAACGGAATTGCTTCCTGGTTGCGCTATATAGCATGATTGATATGCGCTGGAGTTTCGAAAGTTTTTTCCTTTTTTTCCTTTTTTTCCTTTTTTTTTTTTTTTTTTTTTTTTTGGCGCATTGGAAAGGTTATTTCCAGGCATGCAATTGATTTCTCATCTCAACTTCACTGACCAACGTCATCGCACCGAGATCGTGCTGGTTCCACCCTGATCATTAATCATTGAGACGCAAGCTGTTAGATGCGCAATTCTTTCATCTGGCGTGTGGGAGGTCGGTATTCATTACAAATACGACGCGGGATAAATTATGTCAGTCTCGCTAAGTCATCTCGGGTGTGCCTCAATGACCGCCATTCGTGAAGTAATTAGGCAGTTTGATAAAACGGCGAAGCTACTAATGGCTTTGGTCATATTCTGAATTGTCCTTTAAGAAGTGACTGTATGGTAGATCCCGCTTGCTAATCACTCACGTTTCTTCCACCGTTAGGTTGTTCCGAGGCATGGAAGTTTAGCAGAGACACACGTATATAAGATCTTGCCATATCACTCGGACCTGCTATGATCATGCGGATTAGGTCACGTATCCTACCTTAACCTAGGTATGTCAGACTCGGAAGAAATCCTCGTCATCGGGGGCACTGGTGCCCAAGGAAGACCAGTTGTCAGGGGTAAGATTATCATACTCGACAAGGCAAGACTCTCGCATCTATCTAATAAACTAGTAGCTCTCGCAGAGACCAATCGGTATCGCGTCAGGGTCCTCACCCGGAACGCAGAGAACCCTCGCGCAAAGCAGCTTGCTGCTCTCCCGAACGTCACCCTCATCGAGGGCAAACAAGACAGCCAGCAGGATCTCCACCGTGCATTCAAGGGTGTCTACGGCGCGTGGGTGAACACAGATGGATTCACTCTGGGCCAGAAGAATGAGCTCTTTTACGGCATCCGCGCATATGAGATTGCTCGGCATGAAGGTGTCCGGCACTATGTATGGGCTGGCACCGATTATGCATTGAAGTAGTCGGGGTGTAAGCAAGAGACGTCACTCCTCTTTACCGTCCTCGTGATTAGACAACGTTGCTGATAGGCTTGACTAGGGAACGAGAGGTACCATTGGGGCCACAACGATTCCAAGGGGAGAATCACAGACTTTATCTTGGCTCAAGGCCAGGACGGAATGAAGAGTTCGGTTCTCACAACAGGCCCCTACATGGACATGCTACTGGATGGGATGTTTCCACCCAAAGAACAGCCGGACGACTCTTTCCTCTGGGCAAACCCTGCCAGTGCGTCCCCACACAACATCATCTTAAGTCTTGGAAACCTGTCTTACCATGCAGCAGAAAACGGCAAAATCCCGCTCATCGCCCTGGAAGACGTCGGCATCTACAGCCTCTGGCTCTTCGATAACCTCCCCGAGTCCGCGGGCCTGAACCTAGAAGTAACGACCGACGAAGTTAGCTTCGCCGACATTGCAAGGATCTTCACTGAGGTGACGGGTAAAAAGGGCGTCCACAAGCATGTGCCGTTTGACAAGTACGCGCCGCTCGCGGAGCCGTATCCAGGTGCCTACGTCAATTTCGGCGCTGGTCCGGAGGTTGTTCGTGACGAGTCGGATATGACCTGGAGACAGAACTTTGGGGCGTGGTGGCGGTTTTGGGGTGAGGGTATCGTTAACAACAGGGATTTAGAGTTGTTGGATCGCATTCACCCTGGTCGGATCCGGAGTTTGGCAGAGTGGATGCGGAAAACTGGGTATGATGGGAAGCCGAGGCCTGTTCTCAAGGGGATTGAGGATTGGAAGAGTAAACAGGGATCTAAGTTGGCTTGACGGTGAAAGTAGGTGTTCGAAGCCATTGGACAGCTCTTCGAGAGCCGTTCAACCTGTCTCGGTCGACGGTCATTACGACAACACAATGAGATTAGCTTGAACGGAGGGTCACTTCAAGCCTGGTCCAAGGATTGTACAAGAGCAAATCTCAAAGATGCTGGCGCTTCGCCAAATTGTTTGTCTTTGTCTTATTTCACCTCAGCTTTCGAAATCTTGCCAGTCCTATGGCTTTGTCCACTGGCAACAAAAGTTGCGTAAAGCTGTAACAAAGATGACATTCATCTCAGTCATCAGTCTATATAGCCGTAGGTAAGGAATCACCCTTGGTGGTTACAATCACAGTCTACCAGGAATTCGATATCATATCAGCTCTCAGAACATTAGCAATCCAGCATACCAGGACCACTTCAGTCCCAAAGAATGTCCTCGCCACCACCTTCAGATGAGTCTACCAGAACAGATGACGAGTTAGTCTATGATATAAAGCACCTGAACGAGCCACAGAATTACTTGCGTATCCCAGGTGTCATGTTCGACGAAATACCAGACCTGATCCCATCTGAACACTCCGCGGCCCTCTACTATCTCCAACCCAAAGAGTTCAACCTCAATCTCTCATGGGGTGAGTACTATAGAAAGTTGGAGCTTTTCGATTGTGTGGCCAAGAAACTAGTCGATATCTTTGACTAATCCATCCAAGAGCTCAAAGGTGGCATCGAACCCAAAGTTATGGGCGTGAGATGAACGACAATTGGACATGAAGATGATTCTGACCCTGAGCCTGATCCCTCCTTTTGGGACGAGTTTTTCGAGCGAGTGCTTGCTAACCTCGGAAACGAGGCTGAAAAGTTTGGCATGACTTCTTTAGACGTCATGTGGATTATGTACTTGTACACTAGAGCTTGGGAGAATACGCCTCTGTCGCTGAGGACCAAACAGGCGGGGTATTGGCGCAATGCAAACCTCCATTATTTGCACGATTTGCTGCCGGAATGGGTTGGGATGTTGAAGACTAAGAAGTTGAAGTGGACGACTGTTTTTGGTGAACTGTTTGGAGTTGGGCGATGATGGATGATAGCTGACGCGGAAGATACGATAGAACGCTTGTTTGATACACTTTCTCTACGTTTCTCCTCTTTATCAATATGTCCTATTTCGATGTCTAAGGTACTCTTAGATGATCTTCTCAGATATATCACTATGAATTGTCATGAGATTGACCACCCACGTCAGGGAGAAAGATATCTAAACACCAGCCCGAAGGCGCTCTGCGAAGTCCTTGACTGTGGTTACCAGGTCCCGATCCTGAGAGAGGCCGAGACCGAGGGCCTTGGAAACATCAAAATACGCCGGCCAACTCCCTACAATGGCTTCGATCTGCGGGCTCCTCTCTTCGCGAACTAGGTTTCTTGCTGTTGTTCCTCCTACAGCCTCTAGTGCATTCAGGATGTCTGCCACAGTGACAGTGATGCCGGGCAAATTGAGGACCCTCGAAATCCCAAACTTCTCACGAGGAATGCCCTTGACGTCCACAAGATTCTTGACCACCGTCTTCGGCGAGCACACCCACATGGGTAGCTCCGACCTTACAGGCAAGATGTTTCCCTCGCCCTTGAGTGACTCTCTCACAATACCCGAAGCAAAGGAAGAAGCCGCAGCGCTCGGGGCCCCCGGACGGACGATGATGGTGGGCAGCCGCACGATCCGTCCGTCTAGGAGTCCACGGCGTGAGTAATCTCCCAATAGCGTCTCGATTATCAGCTTCTGCGCGCCGTATGAGGACTGGGGTATCGGGCAAGTTGTCTCGGTGTTGATCTGGCCCGGGGTAGCGGGGCCGTAGACCGCTAATGAGCTGGGGAATACCACAACAGTTCTGCGATGCGGCGATGTTTCTTGGCGCAAGGCGTCGAGGATGAGACGGTGGCTGTCGAGATTTACGGCAAGACCCAATTCAAGATTTGCTTCCGCGCCTCCGGACATGATGCCATGAAGAAGGTAGATTGCGCTGAATCGCGGGCGGTTTGTAAGTAGGGAAGCGACAGCCTCTGGTGAAGTGAGGTCTGTTTGGAGTGACGTTATGCGGGATACGTGAGAAAGGGCTTGGTTCCTAATTGGAGGGGCCGTGGTGTCTGTTGCTGTAAGATGAATCGACGGTGATGATAAAAGGAGGGCAGTGATGAGTTCCTGGCCTATGAAGCCGGCGGCCCCGGTTATGAGGATGTGGTCTCCTTCAGATGCCATTTTGAGGGCTAAGTCTGACGGCTCATGAAACAGTACAGGAGCGTGGTAGGAGTTAATAGTTGTTGTTTAGACTCGTGAAACCTCGGCAGTGGAGTTGCAATTTTCCAGTCTCCGGGGTTTCGAGATTGTTGTAATACCCAAGGAATCCGGAATGTGTTGTCTAAGTACTATAGATAACATAGAGTTCCTCAACCGATCCGCTCCTTTTTGAAGTGATCGGCATGCGACCACTTAGTGGATAGCATAATCTTTATGTTAGTCATATCTGCCAGCTGAAGCCTTAGTCTCAGTGCCTGAACGCGATCGTAGCATCGCGAGCTTTCCTTCAACATGACCTTTCTCCGAATTCGTCCGGCAAAGATCTCCGCACCGGGAAGAAGTCCGGGTGGCAACGCTTGCAACCCCGCATGATCCACAGCCCCGCATCGATGAACTGGATGATTCCCCGGCAGTGAGATTACGGGGAGTGTCGGACTTGTCTCCGAATAAACGGTCTTCTCGGTCGTTGTTTCAGCGGCTAGCGACTTGAAGGAAGTAGGTAAGACAGGTGTTGGTTCCCGTCTCTCCCGATCGGCGTTTTCTGCCGGCTCATCATACAGCCCTTTGGCTGTCTTTTAAGTCCAAACTCAATCTTAATGGCCACGTCTGGTGTGGTTCCCGCAGTTGCTTCAACGGCCGATTTCACATAAGGGAACAAAACGATCAGCGGGAAACTTTTAAGAAGTGATGGCCTGAATGCTGCCAACGGCACGTGCTAGTTTTACTACACGTCCGGGTGCTGGGCACGATGTGGTTCTCTTGCTAGATGTAAAGAGAAGCCCTAGGATCGTAATGTGCTCGTTGGGTCTCTGATTGAAATGGCCCTATCAAGCTTGAGATCGTCTCTCGGCGAATTCATGGAGCTCCGCCTCTGGACCGATTCCATTCTTCGCGTCCACATCCAGCTCTCCCAGGCGGTTAGTTGCTAGGTCATCTCCAAACAGCTCCGCAATCTCCTCCAAGGACTTTCCGGACTGCCAAGAGTCAGTAAGAGTTAGTTAGCTCGTTGAGGACGTGACTTACAGTCTCTGGCAGGAAGAAGAAGTAGAAGACGGCAGCCGCCAGGTTAGTTGCGATGAAGAGCGAGTAGTACCTCCAGCTGACGGATGCAATTGCTAGCGGTGTAACTTGTGAGAGCACAATCGCAGTAACAGACTTGGCAGCGACCGCAAACGCCAGACCCTTGGTCCTCAGGAAGAAGGGAAACAGCTCCGAGGGCACAACCCAGATCATAGCATTGAAAAATATCGCGTAGCACATGGAGTAGAGAAAGATGGCGCCTATGGCGGCCCTCGCTCCGGCTGCATTGTCATTGTCCTTATTGCCATAGACTGCGCTGAGAGCCATGCACAATGCAATCATGGCGCTCAGTACCAGAGAGCCGCTCCATAGAGTACGAGTTCGTGGCCAGCGATCTGCGACGACGAAGAGGTAGATGACCTGGCCGAGAATCCCCATCATGCCGTACGCACCGCTAATAAGCAGCGCTGTTCTGCCAGTAAAGCCGACGGTGGCGTAGAAAATGTTCTGGAAGTTCTGAATGACAGAAGAGCCGCTGAGCTGTCCCATGGTGACAATGAAGGCGGCTGTAAGTGTGCGGCGGACATATTTTCTGGAAAATAGTGCACGTAGGGCTGTCATCCAGTCCATATTGCCCTGGGATCGCTCCAGTAGAATCTGCTCACGGATTTGTATGAGCTCGCGGCCAACCAGATCGTCATTGTCTGCAGCCCCGTGTAAGCTCGCCAAAACGGTCCTAGCTTCTTCGTATCGATCACGGAGTATAAGCCACCGAGGCGAGAACGGTACGTAGAAGACCATGACGGAGAGGAGAATCGGGATAGGGAGTTGCATTGCCAGTGGGATCCGCCATTGACCATCTCCCATTGCAAACGCGCCCGCGTAACCAACCTGGAATACAGTCAGTGTGTGAAGGAGGTACCTGAACAAGTCGAGGAAGATACCCAATTAGCAATGCCAAAACCTATGGCTATCATCATACCCTGGAGTCCGACGAGGAAACCTCGGCGCGCTGGAGGTGCAACTTCGGCAAGATAGATGGGAACAACAGAGAGGAGTTGACCACAGCCGACGCCAGCCACGAGACGGCCTGCAATCATCATGCCAACTTGGACAGCTGCACATTGTAGTATGGACCCAACAATAGCTGATGGGAGTATCAGAAACACTTCCAATGTATTTTTCCACGTGTGGGGGGAAACCAACTCAAGATCGAAGCAAGAAGAATCGTGTACTTTCGGCTCAGCTTGTCGGCAAGGTAGCCTACTGTCATTCCGCCGATGGCCTGGCCAGCGTTGTAGACCGAGACGATGGCACCTGTGAAGATGAAGAGTCAGTTTTGTGTATATATCACATGAGATCGTCTAGGGTTGTGTGAGTCGTACCTTGATAGCTAGTGTTGACCATAGACGGTCCATACATCTTGAGTTTGAAACTATCATGGCCAAAGGTTGTGGCGATAATCCCTGACTCTCGTTAGTATTCTCTCATCAAGTACATCGGAGACATCGGAAACAAACCAGAATCAAACCCATAGATGAAGCCACCCTGAGCGGCGACGAGCGCCACAGCAAAAATGAGGAAACCCATTCCAAAGTCACCGAACAACTAACAAGAAGATGTGTGGAGTAGTCAAGAATCTGGGGAACTGCAGTTCCAACATGCAGGTTGAAATCTGGGGCATTAAGATCATCTATATCAAATCAGCCCTCTACCCTACTACATGGTCGGTGCAAAGGTACACCGATGAATTCGGCTCTACGCTACAAAGATGTTGCCGGCCAGGAGGTCAGAACGCCGTAGTCATGACGAATTCGCCTAGCTAACGTATTGCCCAGACTGATATCGGCAACTTCCATCAGATCGCTCAAATGACTGGTACTGTTTAGCGCTCGGCACGACTTTCCTTCCTAGTTTACCTTTCATCCTTGCCCCTACCTAGAGCATGCGGGGGCGCGGAGTCTCCGCTTCATCCTTGAGATCCTACATCTCGAACGTCTCGTGAGTGGTCAATGACAGGCTTGGCTGCTCCGGAACCGCTGCCGATGCCGATACGTACATTCTAATAACCCTTGAGATAACGGCAGTTGGCCGCGCGGTGATCATCTTGAGCTCGTGCCAAACCAAAACCGATTCGGTGCCTCTTTGCACCGGAAGTTGCCAAGCACGGGGGACATTAGACCGCAAAGGTTTTATTGAGTCTATTTCACCTCTCGGAATCCAGACTGACTGAGGTGCATGGGTCGATGAATGTCACTACTAGTTGCACACAACAAACCATGTCTTGTCCAGCAATTACGCAGCCTGTCTTCGAACACCACCACAGTGGCCTGGGCGTCGCTACGTCTAAGCCAAGAGTCTCTTGGCGATTCAAAACTAGCGATGCTACTATCGCTGGCTGGGTGCAGACTTCGTACGAACTCGAGATCAAGTTCGCTTGTGACGAGAAGCCCCAAAGCTACAAAGAGGCCAGTGACCAGTCTGTGCTTGTGCCATGGCCGGCAAGGGATCTGGCTTCTCGTGAAACTGCGACGGTTCGAGTACGGGTATATGGGGAGAGTCTGGGTGACGAAACTTATGCCAACGACGAGCCAAGTGCGTGGTCTGAGCCAGCAACCGTGGAAGCTGCTCTGCTGAACAGAGACGACTTTCGAGCCGACTTCATCACAGCGGCCCAGCGAGTTGGACCTCATGGCCCTCTACGACCTATTCGCTTCCGCAAAGAGTTCACATTACCTCAAGAGCTCGATCTCAGCTCTGCTTCAGCCCGTTTGTACATCACATCGCTGGGTGTTTTCGAAGCCTGGATCAACGGGAAGTCAGTCACGGACGAGTGCATGGCCCCGGGCTGGACCAGCTACAAGCATCGTCTTGTCTATCGTATTCTTGACGTGCAGAAGCTCCTCATTCCTGGCGGGAAGAATACGATCTGCGTCGAAGTTGCGGAAGGGTGGTACGCTGGGCGGCTTGGGTTTAAGGGCGGAATACGATTTCGATATGGCGACACTCTCGGACTATTCACGCAACTAGAAGTCAAGGAAGGATCTGTCACTTCCTGGAGCCTTCTTTCAGATGAATCCTGGTCTTGTGCCCCCAGTGCTCTTACCAGAAGCGAAATTTACGATGGCGAGGTGTACGATATGCGGGAAGAGAAGGGAGATTGGAAGTCTGTCGAAGTTCCTGGGGACACCTCAGACGCAAGGATTCTTCCATGGCCTCAAGCAGCGATGGTGGCACCGGACGCACCGCCAGTTCGAGTCATCGAGACGAAGGCATGTATCAAAGTCTTCCAGAGCAAGACTGGGAAAACGATTCTTGACTTTGGCCAGAATCTTGTCGGAAAGCTCTTCATCAAGTCGGTTCACCTCCGAGAGGGACAAGAGGTCACGTTCCGCCACGCTGAGGTGATGGAAAACGACGAACTAGGCACCAGACCCTTGAGAGATGCCAAGTGCTCTGATACTATCATTGGATCGGGCGAGCCTCTTTATGATTGGTCACCCAAGTTCACCTTCCACGGCTTCAGATATGTCCAAGTCGATGGATGGCCGGGTGGTGGCCCCTCCACAAACGACATCCAAGCTCTCGTGATGCACACAGACATGAGGCGCAGAGGCTTCTTTGAGTGTTCGAACCCCTACGTCAACCAACTTCACAAAAATGTGGTTTGGTCTATGCGTGGCAACTTCTTATCGATTCCAACAGACTGTCCTCAACGCGACGAAAGACTTGGTTGGACCGGAGATTTACAGGTGTTCTGCCCGACAGCAACGTTCCTGTACGATACGTTAGGCATCCTAGGCAACTGGCTTGAGGATGTGGCGGCTGAACAACTGGAAGAGGGAAAAGGAGGCATTCCACCCTTGGTTGTTCCCCTGGCGATCTCGCCCAACTGGCCACACATTGCCCAGGCTGTATGGGACGACGTGACTGTTCTCGCCCCAGACGCGCTGTACCAATACAGCTCTGACAAGGGGTTGCTTGAGAAGCAGTTCGCTAGCATGCAAACATGGCTTGACGAAGGAGTTGACAGAGCTTCCGACGGTCTTTGGAACCCGGATAAGTGGCAGCTAGCTGACTGGCTTGATCCGAGTGCACCTCCTGATGATCCTGGGAACGGTCGGACTGACAGCATTCTTGTTGCGAATGCTTATTTGGTACACACGACTTTGGTCTTCTCACGCCTCTGTGCGGCCGTCGGAAAGCTTGATTTAGCTGCCAAGTATGCCAGTGATGGCGAGAGATTGAAACAGCTATTCCAGAGGCGTTACATCACGCCCGAAGGTAACCTGATGTCGAGCTCTCAGACTGGGTTATCCCTCGCGTTTCGGTTTGGTTTGTATCCCGACGACGTATCCCAACGCCAGACTGCTGCAAAAGCCCTCGAGAAGTTGGTTCGAACTGCGCGCTTCCATATCAGTACGGGCTTCGCGGGAACGCCGGTGATATCGCATGCTCTCACCAAGATTGGACGCCCGCAACTGGCATATCGAATGCTTCTCGAGACAACTTGCCCGAGCTGGCTGTACCCTGTCGTATCAAAGGGGGCGACAACGATATGGGAGCGATGGGATAGCATGCTGTCAGATGGGCGAATCAACCCAGGGCAGATGACCAGCTTCAATCATTACGCCCTTGGCGCGGTGGCAGACTGGCTTCACGGGTCTGTCGGTGGTATCTCACCTCAAGAGCCTGGCTGGAGGATGATTCGCGTAGAACCTGTTCCAGGTGGGAATTTGACGAACGCTACTGTCTCTTTTGACGGCCCTTACGGAAAGGTGGCTTGCGAATGGGTGCTGGATGGCACAGACTTCAAGATGAGGCTAGAAGTCCCGCCAAGCTGCTCCGCGGCAGTGTTTCTACCTTCAGGGTTACCAAGATCCTTTGCCGCAGAGACAGAGAAACAACGTGCTGTAGTGATGGTGCAGTCAGGGGTTCATGAGTTTGAGGATACCTTTGACCCGGGCGAGTGGCCGCCTCTGCCCTTGGTGGCCGCTAACCAGCCTCTGCCATCGAACACAATCGCGGGTTAGGCTTGATTCTTTCACGTTCCTCGAGGTCTTACATGAAATTGATTTTACGGGAATTTTATTATGTACTCATGTATGAATTGTCCTCATTGGATAGTTCCCATTGCTGTTGGGTATCATTCAAGACCATCTCATGCTTCGCAAGTTCGCACTGCAACCCTTCGTTCTAGAAACATTCTGAGGTATATAAAAGTGTTGGAATGAAATAGTAGTCAAGAAGAATTTGATCAGGTAATTATAGAGTGATATCTCTCAAATGAAGGAAACAGTCGCTGAGTCGCTATGCATTTGATCCAAATCGCGGTGTCATTTGGACCTTCATGTAGCCTTCGTGACCTTTCTTGGGGTATGTGTTCAAATAACGGAATCCGTCTGCCCTATCCATTTTCTCATTCCATAATGAAATATTGAAGTTGTAGATGAGGAATGCGACCGTTTTGCGTAGAACTCGGTGCGCAATACTGGTGAAGCATGTTAGTTGAAGCATATCTTCGGGGTGAACATATAACACCTACTGTTGTCCTAGACATGTTCGTGTACCAGTACCAAATGAGACGGAATGACTCTTGGTTGTCTTTGATTCTTGATTGAAACCAAGCCATCTTTCAGGCTTGAAAGTATTCGGGTCTGGGAAGAGGATGGCATCGCGCTCGAGTAGATGTAAGGTGAAGCTCATACTCGTCTGCGAATTGTCAGATACAACCAGAGTGCAAGTGACTAAGATTCTCTCACCATTGGAGGTATGATCGCTCCTTGGTATTGCACCGGAGTTTCACTCTGTCGTGGTTGTCGATGCCAGCTGGGCGAGCTCAAGCGGGATGACTCCCTGCATACAGCATCCTGAGAAAGCATCAGCGCCAAATTCTATTAATTTATGCCAACATCAAGGTCGCACATACCAAATATCTTAGTTGACTGGTTTTTGGGTCCCTCCAGATTCGGTGCCCGTATGTGCCGATATCCAGAGTATCCAGTTCGGCTCGAATTTTCTTGATGCATTCCGGGTTTTGGATGAGATGGTGGAGTACGAAAGTCAAGTTGCTGAGAAGGGATTCATTGCCAATGAAAATAGCTTGTGATGACTCGTGCACGGTTTGGGTCTCGTTCCCTATCTCGTTGAAGACCCGAGCCAACACACTCTGATGACTATTCTCGTCATCCCAAGACTTGACCGTAGGTCTGACGTGAGAGCTAATTAACTGTGAAGAGGTTAGTAATCTTGATGTTGTATCCGGAGAGGGTCGGTCCAGTGAGCTTACGTTGTCAAGCCACCCCAAAGGTGAAAAGGATCGAAGAGCTGGGACATAATCAAACATGATCTTGATCGGTGGCATACATCTTAGTACGGTAGCGAGGTCGATGGCGCTGAAGGCTCGTGTCACATCGTGAGTGGCTTGCAAATCGTAGACCTTGAGAAAACCATAGTTCTCTTCAGTGAGATACGAAATCATGACGTCGTTGGTGTAAGCCCATAGGTAATGCGTCAAGTTGATAACTTCTTTATCTGAAGCAGCATCTGCAAGGCGTGAGTGAAGAGACTCTACATGCTTATCCAAAGTCTTGGAGTATTCAGCCAAAGCCTGGCCAGAGAAAATTGGCCGCATGACTGCTGCTCTCTGCGCATGCTTCGTAGGACTAGCCAGTCCGCCAAGAAGTTTGTTGAGAAGACCGTAGTAGTTATCGCACTTGAAGAGGTCGGCGCGCCGGTGATGGTCGAGGTTGAACTTGTTGTCGACGAAGTGCAGTTCGTTGGGCCCAATTCTCACGACAGGGCCTATTATGACATTCTCAGCTTGGTTGCCAGTGCAAGTTACAAGCAATGGGCGCACAACGTACCGTATCTTTCGTGGAGTGAGATGATGTTCTCAAGCCAATCGTTCTTCAGCAGGACGTGATAGGCTTCGTAGAGTTTAGTCATACCGGCAATCCTCGGCCCGGGAAAACTGGCAATAGGAGACAAGAATATCCGGTACGTGTACTTGATGACGAGGTAGAAGGAAACCAGATAAACCATCTTGACCGTAAAGTCATTCAGGGCACCGAAGACCGTGATAGCAGCGAACCACGTCATGGCAAGGATGATTTCTGGAGTTGTTTGTGACTGTGGGATTGATCGCTTGGAACGCAATTGTCTAACGGTCGGCAACGCAGCTGCTTTTTATATCAGTCACCCCATCATGCCATGTCTCTTTCCAGAATGGGGGCATAGCATTACCGTTTCCACTCACATGTACACTCTGCAAGCCGTGAGGAATAGTATGAGGCGTTTCCCCATTTGATGTTTCCAGGCCAAATAGGTAGGTCTGGGCTCTACCCAACGTCCGTTGGCTGCAACGAAAACTATACGCCATCATGGCGAGGGTTCCCAATCGGTCCCGGTGCGAATTCATGAGTAGAGAAGAGCCATCACTTTGCGCCGGTTCGTATTGGATAAGATCAGAGCCCCAGGAAGAAGCTGTACTATCGATTGCCGACGGTTCAAATGTGAAAATTGTTTTTGATACGTCGTTTGGTATCATGGACTGGAATAGATTAGTCCCTGTGTTAAACAATCGAACAAACAAACAAGATCAGTCCCTGCGAACTACACGAATCGAGGATCCATACCACGGCAACAGGGTACGGCGGTAGCTCCGCACTCATAGAACAGCTCGGCTGATGCAAGTAGAAGTAGAGCGGCTGCAGGCCCGGATCGCAACCCCTTGGAACCACATGCTTGGAGGTTGGTTCGGCCTGTGGGCAAGAATAAGGAGGAAGCGGTCCGGATAGTGGCAATTGCTGTTGCAGGAAGTGGCTCACAAGGGTCATCGCACCCGGTGCATTGCGGAGTTGACGTGTGGAGTATGTCAGCAAGGAGCTGTACTATCGAATTTGCTGACGAAAGACACAGGGGCCAAAATGCCGTTTTTGCGATGGTCGATGTTTGTTGGCGAGGGTGGCTGTCTAGCTGAATATTTTTTTGTCGTGGACCCCGATATATTTGGGACTTTGGAGAAGCAATGGAACGTCAAATATGCAGAGGTTCCACCGCCATCTTATCTAAACGCCCACCTGGCACCGGGGGCATCTAGAATTCATCGTGATCCGACGAACCAGGACCAGCTGGTGGGCGTGGCTTCGATCGGGTATGCCGTTGACAGGATGCCAAGATCACCGTTTCCCATTAAGTCGTCACCAATGTCTGAACTATGCCGCTTATGCTTTTGCAACGGCAGCTTATCTTGGGATTTCTTTGCTATCGGTGCTCGCAAGTCGGGACTTCGGCACCATAATCGAAAGAACCGTGGGAGTGCGGCACACAGGTCGAAAGAGTTGCACTACCCACATGCTCTGTGCAATGCTAGGGCTGATCATTCGGGCAGACAGCTTCATTCCCGGAATGCGGGAGCTAGGGTGGTGGGAACCTTGTCGCCTATTCGATGCAATCCGTGAAAGCTGTAGGTAGTCAACAGCCATCAGAGGAACAAGCCTTTTCGGACTTTAGAGAAGAATTACACTTTGAAGAACGTTTCGATGCCCGCTTCTCGGAGTTTCCCTGGCCAATTCGCACCGCGGGCCATTTTTAACGTTTTGGTTTCACTAAACAAATCTAAACCTTCTTCCAAACTCTGGAGACATTGCCTTTTGGCGCCGTCGCACCAACTTATACGAACAGCCACTTAGAGACTCTACTCCCCCTTCTACGCAAACCCCGAAGTCATCGGACAAACAACGGGGAAATCTAGAGTAGGGTGATCAAAGGGAAAATACCAATTGGCAACGAGGACAGCCATACAACCCCAGATTGCTAATCATGACGGACAGTTCCATAGGTTTGGTTGGGTCGCACCATCCTGGGGCTCCACGCGTTAACGCGCAAGGCTCTGCTTCCCGGTAGTAATGATCGCTCGGAACCAAGACAACCAATATGTCACTAGTAAGGGCAGCTGGTCTCTGCATACTATTATCGCTCACGTGCAAGCACTCAACAAGGCATTGATGCATGCATCCATTTTAACAAGAGGTCACGGCAGATCGTGAGATGGGTAACGATACGGGAATTTACAAATAAAGTCATGTTTCAATGTTAACTCTCTCAAAGTGGGCTCTTCCAGGAAGATTGTTGGTACCTTGGTCGGCGTACCCCAACTACAATTGTGCATAAGTCTCGTGAGAGCCGCTCCATCTGCCGCGTGTCATGGAACATGATATTTACAGAAATTCGAAGTCGCGCTTCAGAATTGAGGGGTTGCGCGGAAATTTGGGCGGCATTGATTTAGCCTTGTCTCAAGATGTCCTATTCGGACGACTTTTGGTCCAGGACTCTTGATCTTTGGCGACATAATACTGACCCCATGTGCTTGAGCTTCATCCCGAGCAAATGTGCAAATCTAAAGGAAGAGAAGTCGGTAGTTCAGGGTACTCAGTACTACTCTAGCCGCCGATCTGCGAGGATTACGAATGTTTTATTGAGCAGCACGCCGAGTATTGTGAGACCTGGCGGAGCACGTGGCGAAGAGTTTTCTAGTACTTTGTAGTCTGAGGCCTAGATCTCACGCAGTATGATCCGGTATAATTGCCTCTCACAAGCCCGGATTATAGTAGCAGTTTTTTCAGTGGGCTTGAAAAATCTTTGCGCTCGTTGTTGTAAAGGCCAGTAGAGTGATCAAGATGGTATTAGCCCAGAGAACCTAAGCATGCTTGGCCTCTGGCTCCTTTACTAACTAGACACTTACACTCGAGGGTCGTTTGGATAAGATAACTGTTTACGCTCAATATGCCTGGCCATAAAGCCAGTCCCCCGTTTTGCGTGGGAGGCGCGGCGCCGGTGATAATTGTTGTCACGCCCTTGATGGTGGTTGAGATCGTTGGGCAGACATCATTTTAAGCAACTCGGACTTGAATTCCGACAACGAATGGAAATCATACGGTTGATCAGTCGAGATACCATATAGACCACATCTTAAGAACTGTTGCTCATATTCATGTGCCATTTCTGCAAACTTGAGCAAATAAATGATGCCTGTTGCACTTTGTCTTTGTCACAGTCCGTAGTGCTCCTAGAAACCAACTCTATCGTAAGTCCGGTAGTATTCGCTTGCTCTGTAAAGCACTCTGTATCGTGAATTTACCAACGAGACAATTCTCCACGACGGAGATATGTGCCCGATGGACTTCGAGGTTGGGGTCGACTTGCCAAACTCTTTCGTGTCCACCAATAGAAGAGTTCCATGAGCCAGGTTGATCCTACCAAAAGTTCATGCCAGTGCTACATTTGCCGAGGTGTATTGCTATGAAAGCTTGCCAACTTGATCCTAGTGTCATCTGAAGTTTACTGAGCCATTTCCTTTTAGGGTAAGCTCCTGCCTCTCTGGACAGAAGTCCAATTGTCCCTGTGTAAGCGGAACCAATCGCTCACACAAGTCAGCGCATGGGTAAAATGCTCTCAGGATCACGAGGCTTCTTCTCATGGAAATACTAAACAAGGAGTTCGATTGCCGTTTTAACCGCCTCTTCGCCCGCAAGAGGCCTCGTGGTAACGCTAGACTATGAATCGTAGAGTGAAACCACAAGACGTGGCGGGGGAGCAGCGAGCTGATGGCCATTGCATCTTTCAACTTGAGTCAAGCCTCGCATAATGTAGAGTAGGCGATCCTAGTTGGGGGAAACGAAATTGAGGTTTCAAACCTGGCAGTCTCGGTTTCGTTCTCCGTTGAAGCTTCATGATTGTTCTCCTGGGTCGATGCGACTCTATGCCTGGCTCTCGGCGGCACGGACTCTAAAATACCGCGGCACTTTATCATTCCGGCAGCTCGAAGTAGTCTGTAAGACGAGTTGGTTTTATACGACTCGAGTGTAAAGAACAAATGATCTTGCTGTCAAATGTGCGTAAGTCCTGGCCGGACAACCCTTGGTGCGGCGCCAAGATGGGCCAGTGGGGCGTCCGGGCCTCACTTTTCAGATCCTTTGGGCAACTCAGCAGCGACGCTTCTGCCGTATCGGGCACCCAGAAATTCAAGATAGATTTGAGCTTCTCTCTGATAGTAATATCTGGCGCCAGACCGTCACCGATGCCGATGCCAGTGCAATGCCAACTGTAGCCCTTCTGTCTCTGCGTAAAAATACATCGACACTGTCATCACTCTTGCCGGTCCCAATACTGTTTTTTGGAAAGACGATTACTACCACTCAGAAAGCTACGTACTCCGGTCTCTCGAGCAGCCAGGGCGGAAAGATCTGGACGATCAAGGAGATCAACGTCACAGCAATGGTCTGAGGCAAGCCAATGTTTTCATTTCCCATTTAAGAAACTGAGGGGCCTTCATTCGATTCTTTGTAAACATTCATGGTATGAGATAGCTGTATAAACAGCGATTCTACAGAATCAAAGACATGTGGGGATTCCGAAACCTCCATTTTCCTTCGGAAAACGTTCCATGCAGTGCTATTCATCGACTCTGTAGAAGAGAGTAAGGAGAAGCTTGGAGACTCTCGGTTTCTGCCGTTTCCTTTGTGAAAGGAGATCTTTGACATAAAGGTTTCTTGGACGGCTCGTCAGGGTGGTGTTTGCAGCCTCTAGTGCGTACATACCAAACGGACCCCAAGCAAACTGAATAGGGGAATCTGTCATCGCAGCCCATGATGAGGAACTCAGTCACTACTGGATCCGACTATCCATTGATTATGTTCTTCAACAAGTTGTTCCGGGGAGAACTTGCTCAGAAGGGGGATCTTCGAGATTAAACGACATTGAATCCAGATCCTTTCTTGAGCAACAGATTCCGTGACAATAGCAGAAGGTGAAAAGTTGGAGTGAGAGATGCAACGAAATGATTCGAGCGAAACAATAAAACAACAATCGGTTCCTCGGAACGATCTGAAAAGAACAACCGAAAGAAAAGAAACGTGGAAAACAGGAAGCGGCAGCACCTAGACGTTTGCGTCGTTGGAGGTTGAATGGCGGTCCCCTGCCACTGATTCGAGGTTTTGCTTTTCATCGCCGTCAGCCAATCCCCAATTAACAACATCCTGTTTGTTTTTCCTTCCCGCGGGAGTTGATCCAGCTCGGTACGCGCATCTCGCTAGGGGAGACAGGCTCAAATCATACGACACCGGTAGAGACCACTCTTCCTCCCCTACCTGCATGATCCCGAAAGGTCCACAACTCCAGTCAGTTTCCCTCACCTGCGTCGGAGACGGCAATGATTTAATCTCGATTCGGATCGAAATTATCTGGGTCAACAAGATCCTCTGCGCATGAATTAGTCAGTCCGACCATATGAGGATTGCATCTTTCGCCCAGCTTACTGGAACGGCAGCCTCCCGCCCCTCACCAGTGCCCAAATTGTCCCACGGGCAAATCTGTAAACGTCCCCATGGTCATTGGAAGTTCAAGACATGATCCCTGGGATTTGCTGCGTCGAGCCGCGGGTACGACCTCGCCCCAACGGGTCCCGACTTATGACAGGTCTCAAAACACACGCAGCGCATGGTTCTTTCTGAACGGGCTATCTCCCATTAGAGACCAGCTGTTTCTGCGAGTATCGTGCGAACAAGTGTCATACAGATCTTGGGCCGGGGTTTCCTCCTTTTTTCATCGTCTTTCTCACTTGAAATTAGTGCGTCTGGGACGTCCCGCAGCAACAAGTCCAACACCCATGTCAATCGTCCCCTTGTAAGTTATGCAGTGCATGCAGACTGCAACGTACGCCACCAAGATATGTGTTGCAGAAAACTGGGACTGACAGCCGGGCGGACAGTCCGGCTTGATGGCTCTTGGGAGAATACAGCGTTTGAAGATGGGCAGAATATTTGAGGTTTGAGGAAACGTGAGAGAACAGGGTTTCAACGGTTCGTCCGTAAGGCATGCAAGTCGTCATTTCTTCTTCAAATCCAATTCGTGAGATGTTGGTCATGCATGTATATGCAGACTATGCAGGCATACGTGCGAGCTCAAGAGCCCGCATGCTTAACAGCTGAGATATTCTGCAGAGCGCAGACACACGACCGGTGAGCTGTACATGAACACCTCCGTGGAGATAGGAGGAGGGGTCTCTGTCTGCTCACCGATGACCTCAGTTGCAGTTCGGCTCTGAAGATCTTCAGCAAAAGCCATGCTTCACCTCTGTGTACAACTACAAACAAACCATTACCAGAGTACCGGCCGGCAAGGCCGTCGCAGTGGCAACGAACCCCGATTTTCGCCATCAAGATCGATTCGCTATTCGGTTTAGCTCCCGACTCAACATAACAAACTGCAAGATGAGAGTCATTTAGTGATCTATCATTTACCCCTCATTTTGGAGATGGATGCTTCTCTCACGCTTCGGCCGTTGATGGGCACATGAATACAGGATGACATGCATGGACACACTCAACGACAGATCTATCCAGCACTTGAAGCCCCATGCATCCTGCAAGCCTCTCCTGCACGTTCCCTTCTAGACAAATTCGGTCCAAGCTGGGTGGATATCCCTGGTTAGCAAGACGTGGTCCGGGGCCGATACCATATTGCCGGTATGCAGCATGCTGAGAAAGGAACCGCTGGCTATTTCAGCCCTGTCATAGCACCGGGGAAGGGAGGCTTATGGACCGACATCCACAAAGTCTCTGAGTTCGAAGAGAGACGAGTTGGTGATGCCGTTTTCGTGATCTCCCACGTGGACATATTTTGCTGCGCCGCTCTTTTCTCACATTCACATTGTTGCCCCCATGATTGGCTTTGCCTCTTCGTGGTTTTTTGATCTCCATCTACTTTCGTCTCGCAGGAGTCCTTGTAGAAGAACATGCAAACTTCGCAGTGACGTGTCAAGCCAAGTACACTTCCGTGATCCCCACTCTCCGCAGCTCGTGATCTGGATCTCGGTATGCACGATTTTCCAGACCTCCTAGCACGTAGTAGGAAGGCTCATACCACAACTGTACTTGTGTTATGGATCTCTGCGTAGCCCAGATCGAACCAGATCCAGTTCCGGCCCTCAGCCCGGGGCCTTCGCCAGTCTGAACTATACTCGTTGAGGAGGAACGGGCGAGAGTCTTCCTGCATGAGCCCGGTTACCTCACGAGCCAGGGCCCAAGGAGCCGGTATCAGTAGGTCAGCATCGAATGGCAAGGATGCCGGTCTGCCAACCGCATACGACAGGCGACAGGCCGTTGCAATGATCAAACGCCTACAGCGGAAACGCCACCCTGGCCGGCAGTACCTCCGCGATCTTCCTCTGGATCCAGATTCCCATGACCCCCCCTTGTCTTAGTAAACACTCGCCGGAATGGTACCTGCCCCCTGGTCGTGGGAGAGACCTAGGCTCGTGGCCTTTTGCACGGAGACGATCCTACGGGGATAGCGTTCAGGGTACAAGTGCTGCTGCAAGTCGGTACCCGGGAGCGATGGCGGTTCCAAATCGTTGACGATGAGTGTGGGCCTCGCAACATGGTGATGCGCGATCAAGCCCTAATGGTGTAATCCAAGCTATCCGTCTGCAGATGAGCACACGGGCTATCCTGATCCCTGAGCCCACACACAAATACAACCCATCCTGCCATCTGCGCGCCGAAGATGTACCCGGGCCGTAGGCACCGCCCGAGAATTAGAGTGATACCCTGCAGTTTGGTGGGGAATACTTCGAAGGAGGCTGAAATCTGACAGATTTGAACGGCCCCGTAGAATGAAAGGAGGTATTCTAGACCTTCCATACCTCTATGGAACGTCCTAGCTGATGGTCATCAGTGTTAATGGAGGCGGCTCAGAAGCCGGCCTGGACAAATAAAGCGGCTTCGGATACGCACGATACCCAAAAGGTAGAGGAGACCTCATGTATGAAGCTCTTCTGGGTGGAATACCCGAGGGGAAACGGGATAATCAGTAGTCGAGAAGCGCTTCCATCATCCCGTAGCATCCTGAATGAAACCAAACCCTGGGTCTGCGGAAGGAACAGCCGAAATTCGACTTCGTACTTGAACAGGCCATCCTCCCGTCAAACCGACGATGGCATGGGCCGGCGTCAATGGTCAATCAGTCTTGTTTCATCATTCTTATCTCAAGAATCAGTCCTCGGCGAATTGACTGTTTCTCTTCATCGAATACACTCGCCTCGTGGCCATTAATGTTTATTGCTTCCCAAGTCCTTGTCCTTACGTATTGACTCCTGAGCTCGAGCCTCCTCCTCCTTCTCCTCCTGATATCCGCCACGAGTGACTAGACGGTTGCAATCGTCTGCTCAACCGTCTAGTCATTGGCCATCGACATCAAAGAGCCAAAACGTCCCCCCCCCTGACGTCCAGCCACGAGAGAGAACTGGTTCGTCTCGCCACCACTCCCGCTGGTATCCGTGGATCACCCCCTATACCGCTCTTCTCCCGTCGAAGCGAACGCCATCTCCTGATCTTGTAGGCATCCGTGGGAACACCTGACGGGATCCTACGCTTGCATCTTGCATCAACCGCTCTAAAATTCTTCACTGACCGCCGAAACCAACCACCCACAACTTTATCCTTCTTCAACGCACAGCCGGAAGACGACATCGTTGCATGCGAGTTGGAAGCCCACACAGAAGACACCGATAGAACTTCAGCAGAAGGAGCGGTGAGAAGCTCGGCTTCCTTCAGCTTCCCTTCTTGGTCCACCCGACGGTCTGTCTGCTCAAGATGTTTAAGGTCGCTGCCCCTTGGGGCTTCCATGGCTCTGACATCTTTGCCTTTGAGCAGGATATGAAAGTCAGGGCACAGCAACGCTCCAACATCCGACGCCAGAGGAAACTGTTCGCACGCAACACCCACAAGATTCCTTTCAACTTCAGATCCACCCAGCAACCCGTCGTCATGTCGAGTGAAGATTGGTCTTTGGCCGTAATTCCAGACGGGGTCCAAGACAGTTTTGAGGTGCGTTGGCTCTTGGTTTCCCATCTCTCCCCCTTTTCTTCCGTTCGCTCAACACTCTTCATCATCGCCATCAACATCTGAGATGTGATCAAGAATATTGCTGACCTTCATCCTTTTGCCTCAGGCCCAGCAGCTTCGGAACAGATACCTAGCTGGCACCGCGGGCAGCCCGTACGTTGACCCTGATCATGGCATCTTCTTTGCGAGAATGCAACGGCTTGATGGTTCTATGAACGGTAGACGACAAGTCATGGATCAGAATCAAACATGGCAGCCCTTTGAGGTGGCCGATACCACCGACGTCCAGTCCATGTTCGCTCCGATGCCGTATCAATACGATGTCTCGTCCATTGATGGCCTTCCACTGTCGAACTCCAACACCTTATGCCATGGCATGTCCACATCCTCTCCCGTCTTCACGGCATCGGATGCAGGCACTAGCTTCGGCAGCTTCTCTTCTGCTGGTGCTCCTCCCGCCTTGCTCGACTCTTCTTCCTTCAGCTCGGCAGACGGCAGCGCCATCATTACCAGTCCTTCAGACCAGTTCGAGTATGCCAATTCGCCCTTCGCCTCTTCATCCCTGGTAACTGAAGACTTCAACGGCATCAGGGCGGCTCCCCCATCACCGCCACCATTCTCCGAGCCAAACTCCATCATCTTCTTCCCTACGCCGCAGGAGCAGCTCGTCGAGCACCAGCACCAGGTGGAGAGCCAACAGGTGGTCATGAACACAGCCGTCCTGGAAGATGGCCACGGCAGCTTCAGGGGCATCAAAGCTGAGCAACAAGTATTGATGTCGAGGCCTAGGAAGGAGCTCCCCGAGAAGCCGCGCTCATCGCGAATTGATACCAGCAGTCCCTCGCGTTGCAGGGCTTCTCCAGCTCGCAAGCCTGTTCCCTCTACGCACAAGACTGAGCTTCGCCCAAAGCAGCCGAAGCCTTGCCCGGCACAGCCTATTACGGTTGATCTCGCAGAGCGTTCGGCCAAGGACGAATACCTTCTCAAGGCCAAGCAAGAGGGCCTGACGTACCGCGAGATCCGGGTCAAGGGAAACTTCAGCGAGGCTGAGTCAACTCTTCGTGGACGTTATCGCACCCTTACCAAGAGCAAGGAGGCACGGGTTCGTAAGCCTGAGTGGACCGATAAGGACGTGAGTTTTCCCCAGCACGGCTGCCCATGGCGACTATTTTTCTTTGCATCCAGCTGACTTATACATCGTAGGTCCACCTGCTTCAGAGAGCCGTCCGCAAGTTCGCTAAGGGTAGTGATCCCTCTTCCACCAAGATCCCCTGGAAGCAAGTCGCCGAATACACTCAAAGGAACGGTGGCTCCTATCTCTTTGGCAACGCCACTTGCCGCAAGAAGTGGGACGAACTTGTGCTGGTTGCTTCGGGCCACCAGATGGGTGTATACAGCGAGATGGAGTGATGAAGTCGATTGCATAGAAAGTGTGGGTATAGTCCGAGAAGGCACGGGACGATGCGATCTGCTTTGGTTCTTGGAGCAACGATGTGATGGACAGCGGAATAGTAATTTTTGACAAGTGACGAGTCAATTGATGGTGGACCATCGGTGGTTGTATGCGTATGGAAATCTCGGTATCGAGTAGGATGTGGCTGACTTATCATGTTTGCTTTTCATCAGTTAGAGTCCTGCCGCTGGGCCAATGTTTGCTTGCATCGCATCTGCAATGTGTGTTTGCCCCCTCTACCATTTCTCCATGGACGTGCATGATGTATGTGTATGTGCCTTCACAGCTTTTTAATGTGACCTCCGCCGCCATCCTTGGGAACGCCGATTTTCGACAAAACTTCCAGTAATTGGACGCCGCCACCGTTGCCTCCTGACCTGAGCGCATCCCATTCGGCCTCGTTTTTAACCAGAGCCGTGCCCGCCAAGACGGTGCCGTTGAGAGCGAGATTTCCTACGGCCGTACCGTCCTTGAAGATGGTAGCGCCCTCGGCAAGTCGCGGCAGTACGGCCAGCCGGTCACTCGTCATAGCAAGATTGTAGCTGATGGGCGCGCCGCCATTCCCAGATTCGTTCACAGCGCCGATGTGAGCCTCCACTGCATCAACCGCCGACCTGAAAAGTGATAGATAGATGCCGTGAAGTTCATCCGGCGTCATGTCGCGATGTATCGTCTCCGCAAATGTCAAGAACGGCAGCCCGGAAATGTGCTGCGGGCCAAGCTCTTTCGCCAGCACATCCCATTCTGCGCCGTCGGGGAGACCGTCCATCATCCGCGCCACCGGAAGCAGCTGGATGTGCCGATGAGGCTGACTTGCACCCGAGTGCGAGCCGCTGTTGAAAAAGGCATAGAGCTCACCATTATGCCCCTGATGTTGTTCGCTGTACTGTCTGTAAGCCTCTATGCAAGAGTAGGTTGCCGCCAGATCATCGCGTTCCAGAGGATCGGTCTGCTGTTTGAACTCTTTGGTAGCCAGGATAAAGTGCTCCGGGACAATGGCGAACTTGTTCAGCACCAAGTTGTGGCCCGAAGACGATGGGATGTCGGCGATGAACAGCGGGCCCTTCTCGGGACTCTCAAAAGGATCAAAAGGCTTGCGTGGCTCATCTGTCTTCTTGGGCTTCTGCGCGGCCGGCTTGTTTGCTAACGCGGGGGAGAAACGGAGTTGAAACTGGGCGGAAGAGTTAATCGAGTTCCTGTTCGAGTTCATGCGAGAGATATGTGATGCAACGCAGACAGACTCACCGGGGTTGAGTTGGCGTTGAGCACTGTGACTTGGGTTGCATAGTAGGTCAAGTCGCCATTGGAGCGAGCCTTATTGAAAGCTGCTTTCACAAGCTCCGGGAGGTTGACTGGGGCCTTGATTGGAGACATTTGTCCACCTGGTACGGGTCAGAGGGGGCTGAAGTAGAGTATGTTGTCGTTGCAACGTTGGAGATAAAGAGGAAGCGGGAGGACGGGGGATGAGGTCACTTTGGGACGGGACGGGGGGAGCTACGGGCACCCCTGGACCCCACCTCGGCCCCCCACATTCACCATCCTCACCTCCTTCACCGAGATTCTCAGCGACCAAGGTCTACACCGAGAAGGCAGCAACCACAGACACACAATCACTTAGAGCAAAACAGGAGTCTACGAACGGATTATTGAGTGGTTGGAATCATGTGGTTCGCTCCGGCTTTGAAAGTATTGCAATTCACTTAACGAGCTGATTATTAGTGGACCGACCACACGAATCGAGACTAACGTCAACGTTACTTTCGAGTGGAATGTATGTTTCTTGTATTATTGAGGCGTTAATGCCTGTTTTCGACTGGTTTTCTTCTGTGTAATATCCGGGCTGGCCTATATGCCAGGCAGACCAACGACTTGCCGTATAGCAGGGACGAACCGAGGGAGAACGTATACGCCGTACAACGCGGTAAGAGCGGTGATGAGACCGGTGACCTAGATTATGTTAGCAAGATTGTATAGGAGCGTAAGATTGAGCACTTTACCTTTTCAAACCACGTGTGGAAGTAGATGGCAGTCATGAGGAGCATCCAAGAGCTCAGCGTGATAATGGCAGCGGCGAACTTGCCGCCCAAGCCCAAAGCATCTCCAGAGACAGGCTCTCCCTTCAAACCCTGTGCCTCGACCGTGGCAGTCTTTATAGCGCCGTCCGTCATGACAACGCTGCGCTCTTCTCTCCTTGAGCCTCTCCAGCGCATCACTACCCATCCAACCTCGGACAACAGGAAGCCGGTGCCGAGAACTAGGAGGAAGACATGTCCAGAAATGTCGTGACCGCCGCGCCAGCGTCCGCCAGATGCCTTGCATGCGACCGCGGTGAAGACCTCCTTGGCATCTCCTTCGCCCATCTCGACCTTTTCTTCAATCATCTCGCACTTTCCACCCGTCCAACGGAAGCCACGGTCAATAATGGCCGGGCCGAAGAACCATTGTGTGACAAAGAACCACCAGCTCGTGACCAGCGCCCAACGCAACGTGCCCTGTACGCGCGCGGTTGCTTGTGTAGTCGCGGGGTGTGTAAGGATGAAGCCGAAGAAGGCTGCCGTGATCCAGAACCAGCCGCGCTTGACGAAGATTACGTTGAACAGATTTGACTTTTGCGCAAAGTACGACGGCGCGGAGTCTTGTGCGTGGGCTTGGGCTGCGGGGTCGTAGGTCGACGAGCGAACGTCGGGAGAGAGAAGCGAGAAGACGGTGCCGAAGAAGAGAATGACGGGGAAAGCGGCCAAAACGATCGTCTCGATTGGCGTGGGCAGGTAGGGGCTGTTTCGCGTCGTCTTGAGGGGTGTTGAGGGCGGCGACGTCGTTGCACCGTTGAGGTCGTCAAGTGCCCGCCTGGTCTTTGACCGCAGGTTTGCTGCTGGTGGCGTGTCCATCGTGATGGTTTTGAGTGTATAGAAGGGAGTTCTGAGTGTGTGTTATCGCATAAAGGGCAGAGAAAACCGAGAACGAGCGGGATCGTGAGTGACGACGGTCTTTAAATCGGTGGGAGGAATGGCGCCAGAGCTTGGATTTGGAAGAAATCGATGGACAGAGTATGACGTTGCTGCCAACCACAAGCGAGGTACCGGAGTAAGGTACGTACCTGCATGGGTCCCGATGGCTGAGCGCGGACAGTCGGCCATTGGGAAACGCCGACCGGCGAATTATCGCCTCTCCTTCTCGGTGAAGGTCTCTCGCTGTCTCACACCGATGATCAAGGTGAGGATTACAAGGTGAGGACACATTGCGAGAGAAATCGAAAGACGCCAGAAGAAGACGGGGGGGCAAGTCACGATGCCAAATCCTCACTAAATCATGACGCCTTCAATCTGTTCTAGCCCATCATAGTTAGTTGGCTTAATGAGAGGATCAAATCTCACAAGGTTACAATCACGGACAGTCTCAGGGGGGGTCATTCGAAGAACGGGACGATAATTTGTAAAACGTTGTTTCGTTGAATGGTATCAAAATGCCCTTGGGCAAAACAAGAATGTCAATCCCGCCATAGAAAACCCTCGTGTTCTCACGATTCACGGCCTAATCCCGTTTTCTAGAAACCTTAAAACTCCCTTGATGCAAGTATGCCTCCTGCCAAACCCATAGCATAAAAAGGGGGGTGGTAAGAACATGTAGCGTCACACCACTGGGGCGGACGACTACATCCGAAAGAAAGTAAACACAGTCACGATCCTAGACAATAGGCTCGTGAACATGATCGTGGATATGGTGGACATGGTGGGCTCGGTGATCGGTAATTCCCTTGGGGATAGGGAAAGCTTCACCTGGCACGTACGCATTCGTGTATCTCGGAGCGTACGAGAGCGGCTCAACCTCGTGCGCATAACGGCACACCTCTCGGGGCACGTAAGCTCTCTTCTAGAGGGATCCAGCAACCGCCTCGACACTGTACACCGCCACGTCCTTGATGTTGTCCCTCTCCTAGAGGGGAGCCTGGAACATGGCCACGGTGGCGCAGAAGTTGTTGCGGTTGTCGGCGTCGAGCGCGGCGCCCTTGCCGTTGACGGTAACCATGTTGATGGAGGCCTTGGTGCTGAGACCAAAGAACTTGACGTCCGAGTTCTCGAGAGAGACCATGTGGTCCTGGCAGTTGTTCTCGCCGACGCAGACCTGGTCGTAGTTGTTGAAGAAGCTGTACAGGCCGGCACCGTAGATGAGAATGTCCTTGGAATTGATGGCGCGGACACCCCAGGTACGGGCGCACTTGTCGTCCTGGCCGGTGCAGAAGGTCTCAAAGTTGGGGTCGAGGATGGCGTTGTTGACCGTGAAGGGCGTCTTGGCATCCGGGTTACCCTGGAAGTAGGCCGTCTCGGTCTGGATGTGAGCCATGTAGACGTTGGCAGCGTTGTTGAACTGGTAGTTGTAGAGGACGCTGTGCTCCGAGGCGGTACCCCAGAACCAGGTGCCCTTGGTAGCCTCGCAGAGAACACCACGGCCGTTGTAGATGTTAATCTGGGCCTTGCGGTCGGGGAGGTCGAGCTCATGGTCGGCAACCCACCACCAGGTGTTTTCGAAGTAGCCAGATGATTCGGCGGTCATGTGAGTGAGAAGATACGCGCCAATGCACTCGGGGTTGGCGGTCGTGGTAACGTTGGGATTCTTGGCGCACTTGTCGGACTGAAGCTGGGTACCGGCACTGCCTCCAATGCGGAAGTGGACATCCCAGAGACCGGCGGCACCAGGAGTAGAGCCAGCGATGTTGTACTCCATAAGGATGGCACCAGCCTGGGGACCCTGGGTCTGGACGATGATGTCGCTCATCTCAAAGGTACCAACATCGCCAGTCTTACCGATGCGAAGCATGACCTTGGGGTTGGCCTGATCTTTGAAGGCGGCACCGTTGGCCATAAGAAGAGGCCAAACCTCGCCGGTAATCTTAAGGTCCTTGGGAACATCAATAGTGTCGGAGATGATGTAGGCACCGTGGTCAAAGTAGACAATGTCGTTGGGACCGGCCTTGTTGAACAGAGCCTGGATGGCAGCGGTATCATCGCTCTTGCCGTCACCCTTGCAGCCATTGGCTTTGGCGCTGAGGAACGAGCTGGCGGGAACGTTGGAGTACGAGGGCTTGCTGCGAGTAACAACCTTGCCATCAGAAGCGAGAAGACCGGCGGGCTTGACAATGGCATCCTGAGCAGCTTGTACAGCCTTACCCTGACCGGCAGTGCCAGTGTAGGTTTTGCCCTGGATGAAGGATCCGACCTTCTGGTTGCCAGCGAGGACGGTGGCCTTGGTGTCGACGATCTGGACGGCGACGGGGACGTTGGAAGTCATGTCGACGTTGTCGAGGATCAAGCTGCCGTTGGTGGACGAAGACGCGGGATTGTAGGCAGTCAGAACGCCGACAGGGGTGTTGCTAATGACGCTGTCGAGTAGGAGAACGGAGCCGACGGTCTGCGCGCTGGCACCACCGTTTGACATGTCGATACCGACGCCGTAGTTGTTGATCTTCAAGTCCTGGAAGGTCCAGAGCCAGTTCCAGTTCATGTAGACGGCCGTCTTGCAGTTGTTGAATGTCATGTTGCGGGTAGTGAACTGCTGCGAGCCCATGAAAGCGCCGTACTTGCCTCCGTTGAAGGTCAGGTCCGTCATGAAACCTCCGGAGCCGTTGTCGATGAAGATACCCTGCTGAACGTTGGCGTCGCCACCATCCGTACGCATGTTGAAGACGATATTCTGAAGACTGGTGGCCTGAGCAACCTGCCAGTGAATGCCAGCACCAGAGGTGAAGGGCATGCCGGTCAAGTCGATGTTGAAGTTGCGGACAAGCTTCCAGAAGTCTACAAGAGGTTAGCAACTTAGGGTCTCAAAATTATACTCGGGGAGTTACTCACTGTTCTGGTTGGTATGGGCGTTGTTGCCCTGATCGTCGTACGGGTTGGCATCGATGACGGCCATACCAGTGAAGCTTGCAGCGGCTTTGATGGTGGGAAGCTGGGTGGCATCTCCAACCATGTGAGTGTAGTACTTCATGACAATAGGCTTGGAGACAACGTAGGTGCCGGCGGGGAAATAGACGAGAGCAGGAGTGGTAGTCTGAGAGTCACAGCCAAATCCGCAGCGGTTTCCCTCGTCCATAGCTAGTGTCAAGTCAGCAAATTATGATTTTTCTTCAAGAGAGAGGGAAATCACTTACCAGCCTGGATGGCGACGGTGTCGTCGGAGGAGCCATCACCCTTCGCGCCGAAGTCCTTAACGTTGCGGAAGATCTTGTAGTTGGGGTCACCGAAGGCAGAGACACCACGGCGCTCGATCGAGGCGACCCAGAAGCCAGCGGCGGCATCAGGAGTGGCAGCCTGGGGGACAGGAGCCGGGGCAGGAGCGGCGAGGACGTCCGCCGAAAACAGGCGCAAGGCCAGAAC